TGAAATTGTCCTCTAGGGTTTCTATATGAGTTTTGTAAACGTAACCAAACAAACAATTAATATAAACAATGTTCTTCAGCTTTAGTCCTTCAGCGTAGATGATTGTTCTTCAGTGTCAGCAAAAGTATATGTGATATTCATCCATCAACAAAACAAATATATAATCTTCAAAGTTCCAGCTTCTTGATTATAATGAACATAACTAGTAGAACTCCAATGTGTTGCTCAATCAACTTGTGCAAAGTCAATCAATATAAATATATACAACCTCCTGTCTGTCCTTTTTATTCAGTTTTTCTTCTTACAACTCCTTCTTATTGGAAATTTCTTCACTTGTACTTGTTCTTGAATGGCTGTTGGAACAGAATCTGGTACAAAAACTGGTGTTCTGTTGCCAATATCTTCTTGTATGTCTTCATTGCTTTGTTTATTCCAATGATCCTCAACAATTCCTTCCTTAAACCTATTTTCACTATTTTGATGCATGTCAGCATTATCACTTTCATGCAAACTAGAATTATTGTTTTCATTTAAGTGTGGAGTGTTATTGGCGTCATTAGCATTAGTGATTGCTCTATTCGGTCTGCGCTCGGAACGCGTTGGCCTTGCGACATTTTGCGCATTGTCAATTAAGAGTTCCTCTGCTAAGATGTCTTCCTCTTCATCTGTGTTGTGTGTGTTCTCCTTTTGAGGTACTGCTTGTCTGTTTGATTCACTCTCATTGTATTTCTTGAGATGAGCTTTGTTCCTGTAAAATTTGTTTCCTCTTTCATTCTCTAGTAAAGCACTTTTCCTGTAGATCTTGATGACTTTGAATTTCTCATTTAACCAATTTGGAGATAATTTGTCATTTTTCCAGAGATTCTTTACTAGCACTGTGTCTTGTTCCTGAAATTCACTGTCTTTTGCATTCCTTTTGATGTCTGTGTAATTTTTCATTTTTCCTTTCTTTTCTCTGTCTTTCCTATCTAATTCTGTGTCTTGTGGTTCATCCTTTGCATATTCTGGTATGTCATTCTTGATACCACGTCCAAAAAATACTGTAGCTGGGCACTGTCCTGTTGTTGCATGTGGGGTTGTTCTGTAGAGAAGTAGAAACTTGTTCAGCTCTTCTCTCCAATCTTTTCCTTCTGCGTGTGCACATTGATTTGCCTTTTTGAGTGATCTGTTGAATCTTTCAACTTCACCGTTGACCCATGGTGAATACGGTGTCACATTCCTTAGCTTTATCCCATGTTGTTTGAGGTACTGTTTGAATTCGTCTGAAATGAACTGTTTTCCATTGTCAGCAACTAATTTGTGCACGTAGCCAAACATAGAAAATATCTTATCCAATGCTTTGATTACCGTCTTTGTGTTGATAGTTTTGACTTGTGCAACTACTGGATATCTTGATCTGTAGTCTATGAGTGCTATTAAGTAATCCTTTGTTGGATATGGTCCTTGAATGTCCAAAGCTACTGTGTGCCAATTTGTTGAGGGTATCTTTGTTACCTCAAGTGGTTCAAAATTGACTTTATTGGATCCTGTTACTTGACATGCATGGCAATGTTTTATCAAGTTTTCCACTTCTTGATCTATTCCTGGCCACCATACTTTTTCTCTAAGTAATCCTTTAGTTTTCACAATGCCTAAGTGATGTTGGTGTGCTGTGGCAAGTATTCTTTGTCTTAGATCTGTGGGAATTATTAGCTTTGTGCCTTTTAAAATAATATCATCTTTGATCCAGAGGTCTTTCCGGTTCAGAAAATATGGTTTGTATTGTGGACTTTTTGACCATTTCTCTGATTTGATCTGTTCTTTGATGTTTTTCAATATTTCATCATTTCTTGATATTTCTTGAATTTCCTCTATTGTGACTGATTTAGGAATAGCATCATAAACAATTGAGTTGATGAAATGTTCTGTATCATCACTTAACTTTTCTCCTGTAGCTGGTAAAGGTGAACGAGATAGGACATCAGATGCATTTGTGTGTCCTGGTTCAAATTGAACAGTGAACTTGTATGGTTGCATTTTTAGTAACCATCTTTGCAATCTTGGTGTAGGGCTTCCTCTTGCTGATAATAGTTTTTCAAGTGGTTTGTGGTCAGTTACTATTGTAAATTCTCTGTCATACAAATAGTAATGAAACTTCTGTGTTGACCAAAATGCGGCTAAGCCTTCTCTTTCTGTCTGAGAATATCTTTGTTCTGTTGGGCTTAATGCATGTGATGCATAAGCAACTGGCTTGAATTGTCCATCTTGTTGTTTTTGAGTAAGGATTGCTCCTAGTCCTACTGGTGAAGCATCTACAATAACTTTTGTGTCTGCATGAGGCTGGTAATAAGCCATTGTGCTTGCATTTGTGAGGCTTTCCTTTAACTTTGTGAAACTTGCTTGTTGTTCCTTGTTCCATGCAAATGTAGTTTCCTTTCTGGTGAGTTTCCTCAGAGGTTCCGTAAGTGTAGCATAGTCTTTGATGAAGTGTGAACAAAAGTTGACTAGACCTAGGAAACTTCTTACTTCTGTTGCATTTGTTGGGACTTTGGCATTGTTGACTGCATCCACTTTGGATTTATCTGGATGAATTCCTTTGTCTGTTAGACAATATCCTGCAAATGTGAGCTTTGTTGTTCCAAATACACATTTCTTTGGATTGATCTTTAAGTTTCTGGCATGCAATGCTTTGAATAGCGTGTCAAGACGCTCTGCCATTTCATCTCTACTCGATGACCATATCAGAATGTCATCTGATATTGACCTTGTGCCTGGGCAACCTGCAATGCTTTGCTCAATAACCTTCTGAAACTGCTCAAAGGCTGAACTGACTCCATACACAAGACGTTTTGATTGAAAACAACCTTCATGTGTTAGAAATGTTGTTATGTGCCTTGATTCCTCTGCCAACTCTAGTTGGTGGTACCCTTCTTTTAAATCAATCTTTGAAAAGTATTTGGCATTATGCAACTCTGGGAGGATTTCTTCAACTTTTGGAATCTGGTGTCTTTCTCTTACTATGGCTTCATTGGCTCTTCTCATATCTAAACATAATTTTATGGTTCCATTTGGCTTTGGTACTACTACTATTGGGTTTATCCAGGTACTTGGGCCTTTAACTTTCTCTATGCAGTCATTTTTCAACAATCTTTCTAGTTCTGCAGAAACTTTCTTTCTTGTATGATATGGTAATCTTCTGATTGGCTGCTGAACCGGAATGACATTTTCATCAATATGTAGTTTTAACTTGTAGTCTTTGAATTTACCCATGCCTTCAAATACTTCTCTGTTGTTGTCCAGAACTTTCTGAATCTTAGGATCTATTTTGTGTTCAGTTGGCTTTTCTTGACTGATTTCATTTACTGATTTGTGAAGTGGATTTGTTGGATCTGCTTTAGAACCTAGAACTGGGCCTACTCTTAAAATATCAAGCTTTTCTGCTGTCTTTTGTCCTAGCAATGCTCCCCCTGAACCTTTTGTGACATACAATTTTGCTTGGGTTTCTTTCCCAAATGCTTCAGCTTTTGCTCTGAATGTTCCTTTTAGTTTCAATGGTTCTTTGCCTAGATAAGTGAATATCTTAGACCCCGTTTACACTGTCCCGTGCAAGTTTGGAACCGTGACAAAACTGTCGCGGTTCGCCCTTCCGTTTACACTAGCACTGTGGAACCGTGACAATTTTGCTCTGCTATCCGGAACAGTTTGGACCCTGCTTTGAAAGCGAACGAATTTTGTACCGTCACGGTTCCGTTTTTGAACGGGACAGTGTAAACACCTATCCGAGACGATTTTGTCACGGATTCACAAAGAGGTCTATTGTATGGCTGTTTCAGGTAATCGAGGCTTTGATTGTGGCGTAACTACGTTGTCAAATTCTGAAGAAAAGGAAATTCTGAAGAAAAAACGACCACAGAAAGGCTTGTAGTGTTTCCCAGTCCAAGCCTTGATTAGACTTTGCAGTTTTGTAGTCTAAAATAACACTGAAAATTAAAGCCACCTTGTCGTTCGTCCAAGTAAAGTTTTTATCGGCCTTCCACTCCATTTTAACTCTCAATAAAAATTCGATTGTTGACTTCGGCGGCAAAATAAATGCCTTGGTTGACTAAATACAGCTTCTTCTAAACAATGTTCTGCCATTAAATTTTGAAGCCATTACACTGTACCGGTACAGTGTAAACGGAACGGCTAAACGAAACAATTTGGAACCGCGACAGTGTAAACACTTGCGAACCGTAACGGTACAAAATTGTCCCGGGACAGTGTAAACGGGGTCTTAGTCTTGCTGCTTTCAAGTTGTGGTTTTTTTTGGCAATTTCTGAAATGATCTCTCGTCAATGATGTTCAATGTTGATCCACTGTCAATGAGCATATTTATTGGTGTGCCATCTATATAGACTGGATATACTGGTCTTTCCTTGCTTCCAATTTTGAATACTGATGTTTCATCATCACTTGAACTTTCTGTTGTGACTTCACTTGCTCTCACTTGATGATTTTCTGGTTTCTTTGGATTTTTGGTCTTGCAGCATTTTGCAAAGTGTCCCATAATTCCACATTTCATGCACTTTCTTCCTTTTGTCACTCTACAGTCTTTACTGTTGTGATTCTTCATTCCACATCTTCCACATTGTTCCCTTTGTTGAGTGTATTTTTGATTTCTGTTTGCTTGCCTACCTTTGTGCTGGTATTTATTTGGCCTTATTTTATTCAGGTCTGAGAAAGATTCTTTCATTGTGTCAGCTGATGAGCCTGCACCATTTTGTTGTTCTATCTTCTTTGTCTGAAGGTCTGATTGTTCCATGAGCTTTCCTATTCTTAGAACTTTATCTAATGTGAGATCTGGCTCTTGTAGCAATCTTTTTCTAAGCTTACTTGATTTGCATTTTGCTATTACTTGATCTCTTATCTCATCTTGTGTTGCATCACCATATTCACAATGAATGATTAACTTTTTCAACCTAGTGACATATGAATCTATGTTCTCTCCTGTTTCTTGACCTGTTTCATGAAATACACATCTTTCAAATGGAATATTCTTCTTGATATCAAAATGACTATCTAACTTATTTACTGCCTGGTCATATGTTGTGCCTACCTCACCTAATGTTTCAAATATGTCTTGCACTTCATCTCCTACAAGATGCAAAAGTGCTGCCCTCTTTTGGCTATCATTTTGAATACCTGTTGCATTCAGAAAATAAACGAACGATTTCTTCCATTTTTGCCATCTTTGACTTACCGTGGAAGGATCTCCTTTTGGATCAAATTCCTTAACTGGAGGTAATTGAATCGATACTGGTTGAGGTTGCTGCGCCTGGCCTATTTGATTATCGTTTTCTTCCATATCTCGTATTCTCTTGTCGAAATTATTACTTTCTAATCCTTCTTTGGGTTCTTTAGATAACTCGTCGCCATAATATGTTGTGTATGCGCGCGCGATGCCTAAGATCCGCTGCGACCTAACGCTAGACCTAGAGAGCACACGAGACAAGCCATTACTCACAGCGCGTCTCCCAATAATATCACAATAGAATACTCTATGTACGAAATCACCAACATGCGTATTGAATTCAAAATAGGAGATAGACATTTTTTTCTATTCTTTTTATACGGTTATCAGAGATAATTTTCGTCTATTTATACGGTTATCAGACATGAAAAAATTTTGTCAATGGTCAACTGGGTCGTGCCGCCCATGAGTCGGTTGGATTGGAAGTACCGTATTTTCTCGAAAATTGGCCGACCTTCGAAAATAAGCCGAGACACAGTAAAGCCACTGCATTGCACACTCTTTTAAGACAGTCAAACAAATGTTCGAATCAAATCATTCGAATCTACTGGTAAATTAAAGCATCGAAGGAAAATTCAATTTTTTTTCTCTTTTCAGAAAACACTTCGAAAATAAGCCGATTCAAAAATAGGCCGAAAAATAAAATTTCATAAAAAATTATTTGTATCTCATTGTTCCTTAATTGCCTGTTGTGATGCTCATAACAGAGAATCACAGAACTGCAATGTCTTGATTTCCAAAGTCAATTGTGGCTAGCTATTGTTTTGCAAAATGTAGGGGGAGGGGCAAGGCCCCCGCAGTCGGAGGCCCTGATGAGTGGAGCATGAAGTATTTAAACTATGCGCCCTATGTCGTTAAGTTTGTCGGGACCATGTGAATAAGGGTGATTCCCTCAAAAAGGAACATAAACGGATGAACGGATGTCTTTTCCTCTGTCTTCTATTTTTGTGTGTTGCTTTTACTACAGGGAAACTAGATAACAAAGAAAACATTTGGCGCTAAAATCTTTTCTCAAAATTCTTCATCGTGCTGATATCATATCAGACCATATCTGGTGTATCTTTCGATTATTTGTTGGATATTTTGTGATTTAATTGTCATAAGCAGACATGAGTAGGCAGACGAACGCACGTTCAGCAGCTTCTGGAGCTCAGCTTCGAAGATGTGAAGGTAAGGAGCAGGGCAATACCTGTCGAAACTTATTACTATTCACGAGTAAGTATCATATAGTATCTAAGATTCAAATACAGGTGAGTCAATTAATTCTTTACATATAGGAATAAATAATATCCAGTCATTCGTAAATAAACCCTAAGAATTTGCCTCATTCTCTACATGGGCTCTATGCCCCCCTCCCTTCGTCGAAAGCCCTGCTCTAGAAGCCAAAATATATTGAATGTATAAACGATTTGTCGTTTAATCTCAATTTCGCGCTTATTTTTTTAAAAAGTGCATGCTAGTTTCAATCTTTTTAATTTTGTTGCCTTATATGCATAATGATTTCGTACATATTCTCTACCAGCATCAGCCCTACCACGCTATGCTCCAAGAACAACCAATGAACGAACACTTGCTGAAAAGCGATCCTTGCAGGTAGCTATCTTCTTAATCGATAAGTGATACATTAGATATAGCACCTGTCTCACTCTCATAGACACTCTTTCGAATTTAGAGACTTTTTAGCTGATGTTTTCTAAGGTCATCTTGGGCATCTTGATGTAAATTATAAAACGATTATTAAAACTGCTAGTTATCAAAATTAAACTCAGATATAAAAAGACACCTTAACATTAAGTACTACCAATTGTTTGTGAAGTTTGTGTTTTTTGTGGAGTACTACCAATAATGTTTTTTGTAGGCATTATTGCAACGCGACAGTGACACTGTTAAAAGGAAATTCCTTGAAAATGTCAAGTTCCCGGCCATTCGCCAAGTGACGTCGTATACATTATTATCTTCAAAACAAGGAATTATTGAAAATACCTGGGCGCTTGAGCACATTCCGTCACTAGCAGAATGCAGTTCATTTATTCGAGTACTAACAGAGATGAAAAACACAATGAGTGCTGTTCATTTAAAACACATTGGAGTTTTTGGAATTAATGAGCTAAAAATAATCCAGCGAATTCACGAATTAATGAAAATTAAGAAGGATATCGATGCCGAGAACGTTTGGTTTGAGCATGAAGCTGGATTACCGTCAGAAAATTGTTCAAAAGTAAATCAAGAAGCCTTGAAAAAACTTCAGTCACTTTTGCTCGATAATAGCAATGGAAGAGTTGTCGTTCCTCCTGGAACTGTCACAGAAGACGTTTCAAGTCTTTGTTGCAATCGGTGGATCAGCCTCGGCTTGGCACAAGCGTATGCAAAAATTTTAAACAGTCAAGGTAGTTCATCACGTATACTTGTCTTAAACGGAGTAAGTAATATAACTTCTGAGCAATTGGGACATTACTTGCAATTAGTAAATGGAGTCGATTCTTTGGAGCACCTTCTCCTTCTGATTAATGTTGGTCGGGATGTAAAAGGAGAAACGTACGTTGCTGATATGCATCGTAAAGGTAGCCACTGGGCACTGCTGGACATCGATCTTGTGGCTAAACGTTACTTATATTGTGATTCGCTCGCCTGGCCAATTCCTTCACAAATTGAATATCACCTCTTGCCAGTACTTGAAGCATTAAAAGGTATATGCACCAGTAACGTTACCTTACCTTGCAGACGAAATCAAAGTTTTTTGATAAAAGCTGCTCATGTATCAGAGAGTGTGAATGACGTTGGAAAACATTATTGCACTAGTAACTGCTCTGTGAATATGCCTCTTCAAAATTGTAATGAAATTTGTGGTGCAGTTGCCATTATGCTAGCAGCTATATCTGTTTTATACCCGGCGTTATGGGCTGCATTGAAAAAATTAAAAAAGCCGATAGACGAAGAGTATATGTGGTTCAAGAATCCATCTTCCAATGCTGAGTACATAAGGAAGTCCCTTGGACAAGGGCTAATTGAAGGACGATTTCATATGGGTGCCTTCGGAATAGATGCGGAGATTATCGGACAATTACGCCTGATAACTGACTTAAATGAGGACATGGTTCCTATCTCGGCGAAAGAAAATTTCCCAATTCAAGAGTATATCAATGAAAAAAAAACAGTCACTCTGAAACTTCGTAATAATCTGAAGAAATTATGCAGCAATAAACGTATATCTGAGGAAATAGATGGTTCAACACAGGCAAAAGTTTTTATCAGTGATCAAGAGCCTAGCACATCTGTTGGTGTTGACGATTTACAAAATTTATATACCTCAGACGAATGTAAGAGCGATTTGGTAGAAGAAGATGATTGCAATTTAAATGGGATTAAAGGAAATCATGATATGGATGATAAGATTGATGATAAAAAGAATGCAAATATTAATGATCTTCATTTTGTAACCAACAAATTTATGCAGGAAAAACATAAAATTGAAGACGAAGCTAACAACTGTATGGGTACTTTAAAGGCAGAGGATGAAAAAAATTCCAAGTCAAATGAAACACAACATTCTTTGAGATCAAATAGTTCTGACGAAACGGGGATACGATTGCCAAAAAGTATGGACACAGATAAACCGACAACAACAAGCAATGGAAAAAAGGTACAAATATATTTAACTTTACAATTATGCCGACTAATAATAACGTAATAGCAGTATTTAGCAGTAATGTTCTGAAAAGTGTGAGGGGTGGGGTGCTGGGGCTTGTCATAGATCTCAGTTCTGTTCGGATTTTAAAAATCATGCACTCAAAAATTCAATTTTCCAGTTTCATACAAAATTAGTGAATATTAATGTATTCATGAATGAAAGCAAAAACTATAAACTGCTTATATACATTATCATATTGCTCAGTCCTGCTTCATAGGCTCAAATCTTCCTCATTTCACGAAGGCATTTTTATGAAAGCACGTTAAAAAATACTGTATGAAAAGTTCATTTCCATAAACCTTCTTCAATCTTTGTAAGAATATATTTCAACTCCTGTCGCTATCAACCATCAGTTTTGCATACTTCTTTTTTAATCCCTGAAGGAAACTTAATGCATTATATTTTTACAGAATGCTCAACCAAAGATCTACAAATGTCCTTTTTGCGATGCAGTACTGAGCTCAAGAAATTGTTTGTATAAACATAAAAAGAGAAAGCATTCAGATTGTTATCAACCACAAAAGCAAGAGCCTGTTGAATGCCACATATGCAAAGATTTTAGGTTTGTCCTCTGTGGTATTGCACTGACATAAACAATGGTATTGCACTGACATAAATACAAATCTAATTGAAATATCAGCAATTGATAGTATAACTACTGAATTAAGATTATCACCATCGAACCTAATCATAAATATTCACGGTTTCCCTAATGTATAATAAACAAATAATTATAATCAGCTTTAAATAATTTTCACGAGGTCACAAAAACTGTAAGAAAAGAAGTTATGGAAGCGTCATTAAATGTATTCTTGTCAACTTGCAAATTTAATAAATGTTCTGTCCTGTCGCTTTCAATTTACAAGTTTTCTAAATAGATCAAATAGGGATATATTCAAAATGTTTATAAATATATTAAATGTATTAAATACATATGTTAAACCATTAATCTATTTATTTTATTGTAGTTGTGATAGTTTGTCAGTGCTGGCAACCCATTTGAGAGAACAACATGGAAAAAAATCAGATGTTAATAACAGGATGTTTGAAACAATTGATGCATTTTTAGAATGGAAAAAGGCAGTCGAGAAGGAAACGAATTCCTGGTATGTCCAGCATAGAACTAAGAGAAAAGGAAAGCATTATACAACATGGTGGTATTACTGCAACCGAACAGGCAACGAAAGAACGATCTCGACCGGAAAAAGAGCGTCGAAAGTGCAGGGCTCATCAAAAACAAACATAAAATGTAGTGCATTTATAAAAGTAATGGAAGACAACGCCACACAGAAAGTTGAAGTGCATTATTCACTGGATCACACGGGACATGATTACAAATTGGGACATTTACGTATGTCTGAAGCACTACGGAAAGAAATAGCGGGAAAATTAGCCAGGAAGATCCCAGTAGAAGTCATTCTTGATGAGCTCCGTGATAACCTTGGTGGGAACTTGAATCGCGATCATCTGACACGGAAACAAGACATATATAATGTCATGCATCAATTTAACATCAATCTTGCCCAGAAACATTCTTCTGACTCTACAAGTGTTCACTGCTGGGTAACAGAATTGCAGGATGACATCTACAACTGCATTTTATGCTACAAACCACAAGGCGAAGAGAAATATGGCCTACCAACCAACGACTTCTTGCTAGGTATACAGACAGAATTTCAAAAAGATACTATGTGCAAATATGCTTCAAAGCTGGTTTGTATTGACTCCACCCACAGTACCACAGGGCAGAGGCGGCGGACAGTGCTATTTATGCTATTTCATTAATAGCAATTTTTTTCCAAAGAAATGTTCTGCTTTTGTATTAGACAAATTAATGTAACATAAATTATACGAGTAAAATCTTTTCTGGATCTTGATTTCCTTATCCAGTTCCTTCATTCCATGATTTATTTGACCCCTCTGTGCTTTTTGATATTGCGATTGCCCGACTTAATCTATTCAAAGAATGCCGCGTGTATACCTTTCTGATCCACGCTGTGGCCGTCGATGGCCATGCTATTACTTGGCCCTTCTGAATAGCAAACGGAGGAAACTAATAGGAGTTGCGCCATAGTGTGGCTATGGTGTGACGCAACGGGCTATTGTGAAATACGCATATCTGACAGCCTTGCTATTAAATTCTTGGAATGAATAGCAAGAGCTCACACGCGATCACGCATACAAATCGTCAGTTCGATAAACGTTGGGAAGAGAGTAGAGACCTTTTCAGATACAAAATGAATCAAGTAGCGTCAGGTGGTGTACGATGGGGTGTTTCAACTGTCTTTTCCCTCATATCTATGCAAGGAGGTAAATTAACTCATGAACAGCGCCTTCGTCTTAAAAAAGACGGACGCCCATGCCCCGATGTTAAAGTTAAAAGTCGTTCGTGTGAAGCTGTGTATAGAGGTTTTTCTTGGATATGTGGTGATTCAGAGAAGAATACATATTTCTGCTGGCCATGTTTAGTCATGGGAGATCATTTGAAGGTAAGAAGATTACTATTTTCTATTTACTATTTTCTCTCGTCGGAAAGTCTCGTTTATAGCGGCTTTGCTATTACAAATTGAAGATGAATAGCAGGGCTTTTAACGAGCGGCGGAGAGCCGCGGTAGTCTAAACAGCCCTGCATATGTAGCCACCTTTTACAAACGCAAGGAATTGTGGCATTTTCATGAACACACTTATTCACAAGACACCGATTGATCAGATGTCCCTGTCATAGTCCCTACAAGAAGCCATTTTAGTATTACTTATGCTCAAGTTTACGAAACTGACCATCTATAACTTAATGTTTAGGTTTAGGCATAGTTAACTATCGTTTAGGCGTTTAGGTAAAGACTACATTTGCTGTAATTGTTTCCATTACTACCAAGATACCAAGGGGTGTATCACTCTTCCCAAAAGGCGTCCGAGATTTTTTAAAACATTAGTATTTTTGCCAAAGGTGTACGAAGGTGATACGCTCCTCGATTTCTACAAACAACTATTTGAAATTAAGAGCAGTTTGATGCTAAAATCGAGCTAAATATAAAAAACAAGGTTGCAACTCCACTGTAACTTTTATAAAAATGTGGGTGATAATAGAAGAATTTTTATCAATTTATTCACATAATTTATTTCAGATGAAGGCTTGCTTCGTGCAACCAACTGGATTTGCATCTGATGGCAGGAATTTGTCGAATGTTGCTAACAGGCACCAAGAATCAAAAAGTCACATGACATGTCACGCTTCGTACAAGCTTTTAGGGAATGTGGATGTGGCCAGTGCACTTGATGAAGCAAGACAGAGAGAAATTCTGAGACATAATGAAAATGCATCAAGATATTCAAAGATGATGAAGCACCATATTGATGTTGCAGTCTACTTGTCTGCCCAAGGACTCGCTTTCCGGGGGCATTCTGAAGACAAATTCTCTCCAAACAGGGGAAATTTCATTGGATTGATGGACTTGTTAGGGAACTACAGTCAAGAGTTGCGAGTTTTCCTAGACAAGGAACGGATAAGTTCAAGAAAATAACTGCAATTTTTTTCATAGATGTGCTTGAAAAAATGATCAATTTGCGATACACGTTTGTTGTAAAAATAAAATAAAAACAACAATAATGTTTGAGCTTAGACGAAATGTTTTCTTTTTTTCAAAATATTTCGTATCTTAATAGAAATTTTTGTGGATTTTTCAGAAACGAGCGTAGTTTTGGAAAATAGACCATCATTTAGGAGCAGTGATAACTTTATATCTGTATCCCTCTTGTAAAGGATGGGCGTTTCCGCCCTTTTAAAGGGCGTGGCCCCCGGACCCACGTTGTTCACTCGCTTCGCTCGCGATTAATAGCAATTTATTATTGCTCCCCGCCGCCCCTGCCACAGGGTATGATTTTTTGTTAGTGACAGTTATGGTGAAAGATGATTTTGGAGAGGGAGTGCCGGTTGCATGGCTTATAGCAAATAAGGAGGATGTTTGTTCACTCGATCCATTTTTTGCTTCCCTAAAAAAGCGGGTTGGAAATATACAGGTCAAAGACTTTATGAGTGATGATGCCGAATCTTTTTATAACGCTTGGTGCAGAAATTTCCTAGTGCCAAATAGGCAGCTTATTTGTTCTTGGCATGTGGATAAAAATCTTCGCACAAATATAATGCAGAAAATAAAAAATCCTGAAGATCAAATTACAGTCTACAAATACGTGAAGGTTTTGCAAACAGAAACAAATGAAAAGGAGTTTAAAACTATGTTACAAGAAATGTGCAGTTTTCTTGAAGACAGTTACCCTTTATTTTATGAATATTTCAAAAAGGAGTTTTTGCAAAGAATGCACAAATGGGCTTACTGCTATCGGACATCAACAGAAGCCAATACCAATATGTCATTGGAAAATTTTCATAGAGTGTTGAAAACAATTTATTTCCATAGGAAAAGAAACAAGAGGGTTGATCACCTACTTAGTGTCCTCTTGAAGATTGCCAGAGACAAAGCTTATGAGGCATGGGAAAAGCTTGAGAAAGGAAAACGTACCAGCAAAATTAGGGATATCGACAAACGCCATAAGACTTCCTTAGAACTTTCCTTGAAAGAAGTTTCTGCTGCTAATGCCACACAATGGATTTTTCCATCTACTGCAAATGAAAACAAATTGAAGCATTCGGTTATAAAAAATGACTATTATTGTGAATGCAAAATGAAATGCAGCAGTTGCAAAGTATGCGTTCATCAATACTCTTGTTCCTGTGCAGATTATGCAATCCATTCAGTGCCTTGCAAACACATACATGCCATACACTCAAATTTTTTCGAAAATGATAAGCAGGGCGTTCAAAACTATGGAGCCGAAGAAAATGAAGATGTGACTGAAAAACGACAATATTTTCAACATCAGTTAAACAAAACAGATAAAATAACAGATTTGGCTTTTATCAAAGAGTCTATTCAAGGAAAAATGAATATTTTGTCCAACAAAGTAGAAATTTGTTCTGTTCCAGACGCTCTAGAAGCTGCACATGAGCATCTTAAGAACGCTATTGCTGTCCTGGATGGAATTTCAAGTCTAAATTCTAACCAACAAAGTTTGCAACAGGCAGAGGTGTTCCCTCATAATAAACATTTTGAAAAGCAGAGAAAATTTTATAGCACAAAACAGAAGGCAACAAAAAAGAAAAGAACATTAACGAAGCCAAGTATTGAGGATACTAATAATGTGAAGGAAAATTTAAAGCAACAAGAGGTACGTTTGTGTGGAATTTGTTTCCGTGAAAACGATACAACGAATGAAGGAATGGTAGAATGGGTGGAGTGCGCTAGTTGTGAAGTATGGATACACTGTGCCTGTGACAAACAAAATGTGAACTCAGAAGAATATTGCTGCCCACTCTGCAAATAGGAATCTAGTCTTTTCTAAAGAAATGAATAAAATTAATATCAGTGAGGAGGAACAATGCTAACATCAAATGAACAATTTGATTTGGTTTGTATCAAGGGCTGCACTAGCCTGCGTCATATAATGAGTCACAGCTTCCGCTGCCACTAATATTATTGACCTGCCACAAAAAAAACAACGAGTCACATTACAGTCCCGGATCATGCCTCCTAGGGGGAGTCCTGGCTCGCTGTTGCGTAACATTCACCACATTCTACTGTTAATTGTTCTTGGTCAGTATACATTGTTTCTGGTCACTGATTGACTGTTTCTGGTCATTAATATACACATCTTTCTGTGTATAAAAAGTAAAGGCCAAGGCAGCACATCTGTTTTGCTTTTGAAATAATTAGGTTATAAACGTGTTCATCACTACCCATAACCACCCTAATATCAACTCAACCGTTTATTTATGAAAATTCCGTTCAATGATATTTCTTGATTCAACAAAAATGAAAATAATAAAATAAGCATTTGTCAACAGTCGTCTATTTCTGTGGATTTTCTTTCGTGGATTTACTTGATTTTCTGCGCATATTGGTGATTCCGTACATAGAGTATTCTTATATGAAATAGTTGGGAGACGCGCTGCGAGTAATGGCTTGTCGAATGTCTAACTGAATGTCTAATCGAATGTCGCTCGCTAAATAGCGGACCAAGTTCGCCACAGCAAATATGGCCAATATGACAAGCGAAGCCCCGTATGCCGGGGAAAATATTAGCCATAACTGATTTACTTGTGTTTGTTGTTGTTTGTTCTCGGCGCCTTGCGGTGTTTCTTATTTACTGCATTTCACTACAAGGCCTAATTTCTTTGCAATGAGAGGCACTGCCTGAAATATCAGAGACTTTCCAAAGTCAGTTGGCAATATGGCGAAGGTGTCTCTTCTCTCTACAAACAAGGCTTTCAATGTTGTTCTGTGTTAAGTTCCACAACATGCGGAAAATATTCTTTGAGTACAGTTTTAACAGCATCTTCAAACTAAATCGTTACAGTCGCTAGCATTTATTTATGTTGTGTTCTGTTCAATGTTTTACACCAGAGCTAAGTTTATTGTTTCGCTGTGACCTTTGAACGTACAGAAATCTGTACACTCGCTCCTGATTGGTTAATATAAGCACACCAGAACGAGAATGGGGCGCACTAGACCAGACTCTCTATTTTATTTCATATATAGTGAGTCTGGTACCCAGGGTAAAACTCTAGTAACAGACGTTGGGGAAAGAAAGAAATGGTGATCTTTGGTTCAGAGTGCACGTCGATGTGAATAACAAAAAACTGTTGTATCGATTAAAGAATTTTACTTCCTAAACAGAAATATGCATCTTCTTTGTCTCGAGTATTTTCAGTAGGCCACGTTTACACATCCAAAATGTAAACATTGCAATGATATACAAACAAGAAAGTTATCTACTGAATTAATGCAAATAATAGAAAAATAATAGAAATGTACCTAAACGACTTAGAAAAAAGATAAAAGAAAATCAAACAGTATTTAAACAGTTTATTCTCTTTTTATTTCATACTTTGTTTTCAAAAATAAGGAAAAAGAGGGTCAAAAAATTTTCATCTCTGAAGAAGTGGGGGGGGGGGGCTTTAGCCCCAAGTGGCATCGTGCCTGAAATACATAAAGATAAAATTTACTTGGTTATAATAAAGAGTAGAAAAATTGCCAATGAAACCTAACAGCAAGCATTGATGCCTCTACTTGAAATATCTGTTCAAAATGGGATGCGCAAACTCATGCTGAGTTGGCTGAGTTTTGCCACGTCGTATAACTAGCATACGGATTTTCAAATTCATTAATTTGAGACATTAAAATTGGTTAGATGTTAGGTTATGCATATTGTTGGGACATTAAACATATTTTGCGTTTGAAAACATATGTCGTTTAATTTCTTAACATTCTTCAAGCGAGATAAAAGGGTTTAATTTTTAAGGATATTCTCTCGCTCTGTAATACAGTCCTGTTAGCGTTGTTATCGGTCAAAGTGTTAGCCCGAATTCTCGAAAAATGCATGGCATTCATGTATTATTCAATTCTTGGACAATTCTAAACCATTCAATCATGTGTTAATTAAGCACATGGTATCTCCTATCTTTGCTGAGGTCACACGCTTCCATGCTCAAGAGATTGTGAATATCGATTTGCAGTCTTAGCGATACAATACAGATAATTTGATAACTTTGTAGCATATGATATTAAACGACCCGATTTGTAGCCTTAGAAAGTCCTTGAATTTTCTTTTTCGAACTTTCTATGCGAGTCAAATTTTCATGCTTTGCTGGTTGTATCACCATGTCTTAAAACAGCATATCTTGTTTAATCTTGTTGCCAATTTTTCAAACAGTTTTGAAGAATTACACGGCAAATCAATATACGATTCCATAATCTCCTTTAATTCCCAGCTAATCATAAATCAAACATTTCCAAAAAACCAGCAATATTGCATGCCTCACTAATAAAAAACTGTAGCGGGAATCGGGGAACCGAGAAATCGGGGAATCGGGGAATATCGATACCAGTAAGCAAATTTACCAGTTTTATGTCTACTGTCTACTGTCTAATGTCTACTGAGACGGCTTTGAGGGACTGCATTGCATTTACATGGCCCTGAATACTGCATTTGTTTTTTATATTCGAAGAGGATATCAAATTAATAGGTGAACAAATAACTGGATCCCTTTGGTCTTGACAAATTACAAACAAAAGTCAATTGTATATGAAGGAGTCAAAATTTGGAATTCCCTGCCATTGCAAATCAAAAAGTTACCGAATAAGTCATCTTCCATCAAAAACCTGAAAAGTTATTTTTAAAGTCAAATTGATATACTTATTTGAACCCAATTATGAAACATATATTACCACCATGCATCTCACTATTGTGTTTTTAGTATAACCAATTAACAGATCTTATTATACTAACCCTATATTATCTTGATATTCCTCCTCTTTATTTTTCATTCACATTCTTCTTTTGAAATCGAACACTACACCTATACACGTCCAATTGGGCATATGACCTAGATAGCTCTTTGTGAGTTCTTTTCATATGTCCGACAGCAAACATACCAAACTTCGAACTATCTACTGTATGTAGTTTTTCTTTTTAGTAAAAAATAATTGTTATTTGTGGTTCAAGTATTAAATAGAAATGTAGTAGTTAATTATTGCTGTGAATGAAATGTTTTGAGTTTGAGTTTTGGGTTTGGATGTGTTAAGGCTGAAATAACAAGATCTTCGCCATTATCTTATGCTAAATTAAACTCTATCACATTACACTTTACGATATTTGCTTGAACCAAATTGTTCAAATTCATCGTCTCTTTTTTTTCGGTCTTCAATGAGAGCTTGGGTTGATTCCGTATAAGTAGCTGAAATAGTAGCTTTTTGCATTGTAAATAGATCTTGCTACCTTATTACGGTCTCCATCGGAGCACGGGCCCCAGACCTTTTGTCCCTCTCAACCTCTCCTCTTACGCCCCTGCCCCCGAATATAGCCACCAGCTACACCAGGTACCGTCTGTATATGAGCGCTCGTCAGACAAAAATCGATATTAGATACACTAGCAAACCAGAGGTTCAAGATGAATGAGGTGCCTGAGTTGACCAGATTACTGACCTTGATATTTTTCACATTCCTAACTGTTTGTGCTTCTAGCAAAGAATCCAAGTTGATATCAGACAACCAAACAGCTACGATAATATTTGCAGGAGACATTTCTTTTGACGGTCCAGTCAAATACTTTGCTGAAATAGAAAAGACTTGCGATTATAAACGGCCTTTTGAAAGAGTTAGAAAATTACTGGCAACAGCAGACCTTCGAGTTGCAAACTTGGAGTCTCCTTTGCTTAAAAGGGCTTACGGTGAAAAGGTACCAGACAGTGGTAAAACAGTAGCAAATTGTGGATCCATTGATGCTGTCGAGGGGCTAAAATATGCAGGGTTTGACATTGTGCAAGTGGCGAACAACCATTTTGCTGACTTTGGAGTAGCTGGGGTGAAAAGCACAATTGCAGCACTGAAGAAGGCAGGCATTGCATACGTTGGAATGCAAGACCGAGTGAACAAGAAGACTAGTCAAAAGCCTGTTATTAAGATGGTCAACGGGTTGAAAATCGGCTTTCTTTCCTATTGCTTGAACGTTGAAGGATGTAGTCCATACAGATGTGAAAATGGGTATTGTAGTGAATTTATCAAAGGTGATGACATTTTTAAACTTGGTCCTGTCGCATTCGATAAGCGCATTGCTCGTAACGATATCAAGCGACTGTCGAAACGTGTTGATTTTACAGTTGTTTTGATGCATTGGAGCAAAGAATATTCGTTAGTCCCTCCACTTCCCATACGCCAGCTGGCGGAGTCATTGGTTGTTTATGGCGCAAATCTAATCATTGGAAGCCATCCACATGTTATACAGGTAGTTGCATTATTTCTAACGTCGATTTAAGATTTTTCCTTCCAGGTATAGTATTGTCGGGATGAATCTGTCAGATGGAAGGGGAAGGGGGGGGGGGGTGGAGACACGGAGACAGGCAAATATAGACAGGATTTTCCTCAATCATTCTTAATAGGTCCTTTTCTTTATGCTGATAATTTGGGATGGAAAAAAGCTATTTTTCTTACGGAAAGAGAGTAAGGCACATGTATAGGGTCAATGTTAAAAAATAGCGAACTATCAGAGCAGGAAAAGGCTAAACACAGGAAATGCTATTACTAATTCCTCGGCAAAAGAAACTCGACTTATTTTTTACGTATCGAAACCATACGCAACGAAGTGCCAGATTCAATTCAAAATGATGGTACGATAAGCTAGAAAATTTCGGAAAACAAAGAAAAGCCAGAGAATCTCGCTCTTTTAATCAAGACTTTTATTTGGCAGACCAATAAGCCTCGGTCAATGGGAGCAATATAAGCAAATAACCTCTTTGATGAAGTTTTCCTGCAGTTACCAAAACTGCAACCGAGCATCTCAGTTGGGATGGGATCAAAATTATGTACATCTAGGAATCAGCAACCAGATAGACATCACTCTTTATGTGCGTCATTTATAAAATTGCAGAAATGTATGTTTTTTTTGTCTATTTTGCATTTCATGTAAACTTTTATAAAGGAATAGCAGATAGTACAATAGAACAAAATGTTCCTTTTGCACAGTCATTTATACTTTCCAGGGCACGAATGTCATAGGTTGTTTGCAGATTGGCAGAGTTATATGTCTTGAATTTCTTTTCCAAAATATACTTGATATTATTCGCAGATTTATTGCGGAAAGAATTCAAATAAAGAAGATGTAGTAAAAATGTAAAAAGGTGAAATGGCGATCGTTCTACTAGTCCAAACAACTTAAATGATTAGTTTCGTGTCACAGTGGAGCAAAGTGAGCTTCTGTATGGCAGTAAAAGTTGTCCTGAATTGAAGGGTGCAACTAGGGCAGTTGCATTCTCCCTCACGAGTGAAGCATACAGACGTCCAGACTCATTTTATCAGGAAATGTTGCGCCCTTATTGAAATGGAATCAGTGAGAAAGTTTCTGAGACAGATAGTTTATTTTCTCAAGGATTTACTCAAAGTTATTTGTTTAGTTACTGAATAATGTGATCAAAATTGCGTATTAGCGTACTTGTCCATAAGATTTTGAAAATCATTTCAGCGCCCAATAACTACTGACGCCCCTTCAATTGCTTTGCGATCAACCCTGCGTCAATACATTGCAGATCAATCCAAAAGGTAATAAAAGTCATCAATAGTAAGAAAAGGCTAATGTTGAATTTCTTGGCATGAACCATTATGCTCTTGGGAATATGATAATTATAAACAGCTCCGCAATGCACGGATAATTTCAAAAACACGATTACGAAAACTCTAGCCAAATCCAAACAATTTCAGGTTTAAAATGTTTACACAGAAGGAACACATTTACTAACCTTTATACGAGATGCTTGACATCCACAAGAAAGGCAAATTACGATGAAAGTTTGAGATGTATTGAAGCTTGGTGGTCTAATAGAGACATGAATTTCCTAGCTTCTATTTGTTTTTTTCATGCAAAGATAAATTCGAGTTATTTCACAATTATATTTTCTAATTTCCACCAGATCCAACGAACCTATGAATGGTACAAATGGTCTTTAACTTCCTCATTTCTTTTTCAGATCTGGCATTGTTGCTGCAGGTTATATACCTGTGGATATAAGAAATGAACCAGAGACAAATTGCTTACAGGCAACTCCATTAGCAAGCAACTGGATCGAATTTTGCCATGAAACAGATCTCTACTGCGTGAATCAGAGGGATCTGTGTATCTCTGAGGCGTCTATAGGAGACCCTCTCTTCAGTTCATTGGACTTGAGGAAATGTATCATTAGCAAGGCCTAGCAAACTTTCTGACAAAAGTGTCAAGCATGAGATGAGATTGGATATCGAGATATATTGACTAAAGTGTAACAAATGGGGTTTTTGTCATGACGGTGAAGAACCAGTTAACAGGGGCAGATACGAGTTATTACAGAAAAATTTGAATTCTTTCAAAAAACCCATGAATTATAAGTTATTATAATACCTCAAATTTCTTACAGAATTTCTGTATATGCCTTGACACCGTTAAAATGCTCTTTCTTTCGATGATTTCAAATATCTTTTTGCGATTATTACTTAACTCAAAAATTGTTCTTATATGTAAACGATCTATTTGCCAGGCGATAAATCTATACGTCTGTTTTTCACTGTTATGGTTGCCACCTGTTGATATCAACTCAACTTCTTACAGAATTTCTGTACATGCCATGAAACTGTCAAAATGCTCTTCTTTTGGTGCTTTTAAATATATTTTTGCGATTGTTAATTCACTTGCAATTCAGTCTTATATATAGATGATTTATTTGCCAGTGGGAAAATCTGTACGTCTGTTTGTCACTCATATTGAACAGCCATAACATGTAAAGAAATATACTTTGTAGATATAGGCCCTGGGCAAAGCCTTCCTGTAAATGACGGGATTTTCGCAAATAATTGGTTTTGGCGTAAGCATATCAATCACTTATGCAAAATATGCTTTATATTCCCCAATTGTTCGCTTAGGATCGTTTAATTATGGAAACTGACTACAAGTCTGATGAAAGTTGTTCAAGTGATTCTTTTTCCGTGGATTTTTCCTCTAAGAATGATTTAGATGATTTTGATTATGAAATAGACGAAATTGAAGAGTCCTACGATCCAGAAGGAATTGAGAGTGATGGTGATGAGCCTGGTTGTTGCCACTAGTCTAGCCATAACCAGAACGCTTCTAACACAATAGAGCGAGATGAAAGTGTCCCAGAGTTTGGAATGCCTCAAATTCACTTTGAAGATAACACAAAGCCACACGTCATTATTGAGATGATTGTTATTATGCGTACGTCACAACCTCTTTTTCGTGCTACAGAGTAACAAAAATATACAGAGTAGAGTAACAAAGTAAAAGCATTTAAAATACTGGAACTAGCGCCAGGAATAAAAAGAGTCCCTTTATGTTCTTGATTTTTTAAGATAGCATTACTTGCTTGAAATTTTTTGTTAATTTGGATTTTGCGTCCAGGCCATTCCATAGTTTTGTCCCTCTAAAAGAAAAGCATTTTTGGCCACGTGCTGTTCGTAGAAACGGGACACGAAGATCCCCAGCGATCATATGAAAACCAGGCTTTAAAAGTAACACCTATTGGTAAAGAACATCTAAAAGTAACATCTGCCTGTGGGGAGTCATCCAAATATCTGTTGGATCGTTCTTTTTACCATCGGCAATCTTACCCGTGTATTGGCTGGTGGCAAAATGTTTCTTGATGAAGACGATAGTGCAATTTCTGCTCTGCTCTCCCTTGTCATTGGCAAAAAGCAGAATCTATTGAGTACGATGCATTTAGAGATCAGCGCAAGGATTTAGAAAGAAGTTCTCCTTCTGTCATCACATTGGAGCAATGCTGTCCTGATCTGTTTTTATGGCAAATAGGACCTTGAAAAACTAATCGAGATAAATCGGGACAACTTAAACTTGTAAGGATTAATAGGATTTGACAAAGAACAATAATGCAGAGAGAAAAAAATTAAATATCTTCCTTTATTGTCAGACATGATATCTTTGTGCAAATCCATTACCTTCAATCTTTTTGTTTAATAGTCCACCTAGTATCTTTGGTCAAACACATAATTCTTTCCCCAAATTTGTGACAAAGTTGATCTCCATCACCTGCACACACACACGACTTGTAAATTGTCAAAATTCTTCACAAGATCTACATACCATATTTGCTATACCATACAGTGCAACAAAACATGAGACAAACCAAAACTACATTTTTTATCTTTTTAACGAAGGATACTGTTGTACAGTCTCACAGGGGCGAAGCCAAAAAAATTGCTTTGCTTCATGCTTTATGCCGACTAATAAGGGCGTGTCTCACTTTTGAAGGGTGTGGTCAAAAGATAAATACTTTTATATGCTGACAGAAAAGTGAATACCTTAGAATTGTTGAAAAAGGTTTCAGGGTGAGTCCGAAAAAGCTTCTTTTGCCCGGGAAAAAATCCTCAATGTGCCGACGGACACATTGTTGGGGGTACCGCACCCCCCACATACTTCCCCTTTGGCGACGCCCCTGTAGTCTCGTTATTGTAATTATGTTTGGTTTTTGCTAAGACTACATTTTTTCAGAAAAAAGCTGAGAAATCAAATCAATGAAATCCTGATCTCATGGTCAACAAACCCGAATCTTTCAACCACTTTTCTTGCTTCTATTTGCAGATGATGTTGTAGTTATCTTGTTTCTATTCACAAGCAACAAGAAAGAAATCTAGCTGTTTCTGAAACTTTTCAACAGATAGGCCAGCATATTATTTCTAATCGTCCTTTGCAAAGTGATATCTCTACCGCAATCTTCACTTTAAAAATCAAGTACAAATCCGAAGTATACTTTCTTCTGTCTGACTTGCTCAAGTAAATTGACGCTCTACCTTTTCAGACAAAAACAACAGTGGGAGATCTTTCTAAAAACATAGAAAAACCTATAAAAATTGTTACTAAGTATATAGGCTAGTGGCTTGACTTTCCTATCAGCACTACCTTGATAGCATTATCAAGTTGCTTGACCTTCTGTATCGAAGTGTAAAGCAGTGCATTGTAATGCCTTAAAGTTATAAGATCAAAGATACTCTGAATATGAATTTAGAAGTAAATAAATATGAGCTAATGATAAAGAAACATGCAAATTAGAGAATGACATTGTGATAAAAATTGTGCATATCGTCGAAAATTAAGTCATAGTGTTATTCCAAATGGTAAGGAATTTTGAAAAACTCGAAGGTGTTCTTTGAAAGCAGGGTTTTGTTCAAAAAAGAAAATTCCTGAAATTTCCAAGAAATTTTATTAATATATCAAATCTCTTGGGATCAGCTACAACCAAGGTTCTTTGTCTTAAACTGAAAATATAGAAAAAACCAAAACCCTATCGATCAAACAACTCAACTGCACAAGTTCCTTACTAGTTCACAAGATACTTCGAATTCACACTTTTCAAGCTAAAAGAAAAATTAGACTGAAGAGCTCTGCCAAAATAGAAGAGTTGATTCCCAAGAAAAATCTTTTATACCTAGGGATACCCTTCAATTTCATCAAGACCTGTCTAGGTATCTAAACTCTACGAAAAATGATCTAGAATTCTACGATCCTTCAAAAATGTCCCCTGAAACGCTAAACACAGAAGTTGTATCTGTCTAGTTTTCAATAAATAACATCCCTTTTTAAAGGAAGAGCATAGACAAGTGAAAGTTCCCCAAAACGTAAGAAAAACAATGAAAAAGAGTTAAAGCTGTTCTTCTACAGACCATCTACTGTGAAGGAGGCAGAAAAACCTTTATTTGGGCTCCGGCTCCGGGGCTCCGGGACACATGGCGAAAAGGACGCACCATATTTGGCATACCCGGTATCGCATCGCATTCCGTTCTCTCATCTATAGTTAGAATTAGAAGAACGAGGCATTGAGAAAGATTTTTTCTCTTGAGTATACAAAATTACATATATCATATATTATATTCGAAGACATGTTTCTCTTTGTGGTATACATCTATGTCCCGCCAAAGTCAAAATACCATCAAAGCATTTGATTGTGGGAGGACCAATATCTATAGACCTTTATTTTGTTAAAAGGACCAATATCTATAGTACCTCAAAGCTCCGTTCTGGGATCACTCTTATTTAACTTCTAAATTACTGAAATGCAAAGCAGCATTGTTTGTGAATGGCTGGTGTCAGGGGCGGACTGGCTAATTATTTTGGCCCGGGCAAATTTTGATCAAACCGGCCCACAATAATAGCAAATAAAAAACTCCTCGGAAAATACAAATGAATGTTAGTCTGTAAGGAAAACAAGTTTTTAAATTCAGTAATTTAGTGCATGGATGAATGCTGGTTAACAGAACATGTTAAATATGTCATTTGCTGACTAAACAGTAAATAAACAAAAATTCTAACTCGTTGGTTTGACTCTGTTTCTTAATACAGTAAATTATATGTTGATAATGTGATCGTTCTGGATGTCATCTAACAGGTGTTTTTCTAAGAACATTAACATAAAGGTCTCCAAGTTTGGCTGCGAAAAATTACTACGTAACCTGTTCTTTATATATTTAAAGTGGAAGGCTTCTATCACACTCCATATGTGACAAATAATTTTCTAATCCTCCGAAAAACCACAATGAAATTTCAGCAACCCAAAAATATCAATTTGTCAATTTCTGACCCCAAAAAGAAAACAAGGGCACCCCTGTTGAAATTTTATCGTGTAGCACCATACCCCTGTTGGGCAGGGGGTGCATTTGACTTATGATAGTGTAGGCCTAATAAACTTTCCATAACTTGTATGAGTTATTGAAAGAAGCAAGAGCAAGACCATGCTGTTTTTTGTTATGTTTGTGGCTTTTCCTTGATAAAAAAGCTTTGTATCGTAGCTGAATCCTTTTTAAGTCTCGCAGCTTTTCCTCACGAAATTTCTGTGCTCCACCTTTGATTGAAGTCTTCTTGCTCTTCCCCCGTTCTACGTATGTCTTTTTCATTGCTTCAAATACAGAGCAAATCGCTTAGAGATTTCTAATTTTTGGACTTTTAAGTTTATTACATTAAGCAATAGCTTGAAATTAGCAAAACAAGGGAACAAAGATTGAAATTGTTGTGGATGCAACGAAGAGAGAAGGCCTTGCTGAAAGCCCACAAGCAAACACGTTAGTACTAAAGGAAGGAGTACATTAGAAGTAAATATACGGTCAGTAATTTCATCGTACCAATGGGGCCGTGCAGGGCTAGAAAAGTTTTGTGGAGGTATGGGCTTACCTCCACCATTGTCAAGCAGATCGTACAATCAACAAATAAAGAAACTTGCTTGCAAATCAGTTACAATTGCAGAGAAAGTTATGTCAGAGGCAGCTGAGCAGCTTTTCAAGATAGTTGAAGAGGAAGAGCCAACAAAAATTGAAGTGATGCAAGATGGTAAAAAGGTTGCAAAAGTTGCAGTGACAGTTGATGGAACTTGGCAGAAGAGAGGCCACTCATCAAGAGTTGGAGTAGTTTTTGTGATATCTGTCAGGACTGGTCAAGTGCTGGATTATGTCATCAAATCCTTATTTTGCCACGAGTGTAAAAGTCATGAAAAAGATGGTAAAGACACAGCTAAGTACAAAAATTGGCATCAAAAGCATGTAGGACATTGTCACATTAATCATGAGGGATCTTCAGGAAACATGGAAATGGATGGTGCTATTGAAATATTCACAAGAAGTATTGAAAAAAGGTTTTCGAAATATACAGAGTTTATTGGAGATGGGGACAGTAGTACTTTTGGAAAAGTAAAGGAGGCATTGCAAGTCAAATATGGGGATGATTACTCAGTTTTAAAGGAAGAATGTGTTGGCCATGTCCAAAAGCGAATTGGTACATCACTCAGGGAATATAAAAGAAGGATGAAGAAAGAAATGCTTCCAGATGGAAAACCTGTCGGGGGTAAAGGTAGATTGACAAAAGCTGCAATTGATAGCATTCAAAACTATTATGGTTTGGCTATCAGAAGAAATGCAGGGAACAAGGATGGTATGAAGAACAGCATAATGGCAATTCAGCACCACATGGTAAAGTCAGAAAAACTTTCTCTTGCGCAGCAGCACCAGTACTGCCCACAGGATGAAGCAACATGGTGCAAGTATTGGAGAGAGAAGATTTTTGGTGATGGCTAAAACAATCAAGAGAATCGACTTCCTGCCGTTTTTCATGAAGAGTTGAAACCAATTTTTGATAGATTATCCCAGGATGAACTATTAAAGAGATGTTTAAGGGGCCTTACACAAAACCGAAATGAGAGTCGACACAAAACCTGAATGGTCAATTTTGGACAAATCGATGCCCTAAGACAAAGTAATGTGGTATAAAAAGAGTGACAATTGCTGTATGTGAAGCTGTATCTGTTTTTAATACAGGTACTGCATTCATAGCACTGCTGATGCAGAGTCTGGGGGTAACAGACTTAGGTTCTCAAACCCTTAAATTTTTTCGAAAGGAGAACAAAAGAAGAATAGAGAATATGAAAAGGAAGTCTAGCGCAGAATTCAAAGCACGCAGAAAAGAATTACGAATGAAAAAAAAAGATTCAAGGAAAGCCAAGTGAAACCTTCTATAAACCAGGTGCTTTTGGTTTAGAAGTTGAACCAGAGGTTGAGAAATGTACCAAAAAGAAGCAGAGCAGGAAAAGACCTTATTCAGTGACAAAGCAAACAGAAGTCCCTAATATAACATTTTGTGATGAAAAAGACATTTTTGTTACCGTAGAGAGAAAGAAGAAAAGATAAACTGAAGCAAGAAAGTATGCTTGATTTGTAGATTAATTGAAGATATTTTTGCAGTAAGGAGTAAGCTTCAAGCACCTGTAATGAAAAATTAAGCCAAGTAACCAATTTTACTTGCAAAGGCCAAACTTTGCCAAGATTTACAACTTTATTTTTAATGGCGTTTTTCTCAAAACATGAAATTTCAGCACTTCTGTTACAAAAACATTTGTATTTTTCAAGCTGTTTTGTGAAACCAGCTGAAACTTTTGGAATATATGTAGTAAAGATTAAACTATGCAATACGTAGAGGATTTTGAAATCTGTCACAGTTGGTGGTAGTTGCCATGAAAACAGTCTTTTTCGGAGTATTTTGCCCCCAAAATTGAAAAATCTAAATTTCTTCTACTTATTGCATTCCTAATGGTATAATTGATGTTTGTGCAAAATTTCACATTTATATTGTTTTATTCAGCTTAGATATCTGCACTAAATCATTGCAATTTGATACTCTTTTTCTTATGTTTCCATGGAAACCTTTCAAATTTTTGCTCAAAATTTTTGCTCAAAATATTTCAAACAAGGAGAATCAAATGTGTGCTAAATTTTAAGGAGCTACATTGCATGGATTTCATTTTATAGTCATTTTACTGTTTCTGTAAGTGTACTATCAACAGCCTCCTTAAGCAATAGCTTGTGCTTAGGCAAAAACATGACCAGCTTGAAGCAAAAGCTAAGTAAAAGGTCACCAGGGCAGGTTAAAATCTTATGTATCGCATTGAAGTATAGTATGTCGCCAAAAAGGAAATACCGTCAAGAGAAAATATAACAATAACATGTTTCCTGAAGTGTGTCTGTGCTGCGGTGACAATAATGAATTCGTAATTTTAATGGTTCTCGAGTACTTGCGTGTATATTTATTCATTCCCACAAAGTCTCTGAAAATTCAAGGCAAACAGATCAACGCTTGCGTATACTTTTTTGCCTCGCATTCACTTTTTAAGCTAGTTTTTTTGGCACTTTTATCAGCCGGCCCTCAAACCGACCGGCCCTTCGGGCGATCGCCCGAATAGCCCGACCAGCCAGTCCGCCCCTGGCTGGTGTTTTCTATTCTGGTAAATGTTTAACTTTTTTATCGTTCTGATCTAGCAGATTGAGCTGAGGAAAGTTGCTTGTAGAAAGCCTTTTTAATCGCAGAAGAACTTGGCTGAAGCAAGTAATCACACGTACAATGATGACAGGAACTCATGCCGATTACGTATCATATGAACCTAATTAAAAAATGCTGAGGATGTTCACTCAACTAGCAAAGTTCATTGCAGATTTCGAAGCAAATTTAAAGTATACGTTGCTTTCTTAAATTCAAAATGCTGCGCAACCGATCGCCAAACAAGGAACAGTTGATGTTGAACTTGGTTAAAAAATGTAGCCTCTTGAAATTGTCCCAGAATACCTCAAGAAATTCACGTGTATCCTTAGGAAGTTGCAAGCAGGGGTTTTTGATAAGAGCATCGATGAAGCCCAGAATAGAAGGTATTAGGTCAAGAGCTTGACACTACGTGTTTGCATATAACCTGCGACTGGGTTACGATTGTTTGTTTGAACAAGTATTGGTTGTGGTTAAGAGCAACAAACAGGCTGGATCGTATAAGCACTTGGTAACATGAATACGATTGCAGCACAGATTCGGATTTGATTTCCATATCTTTAGAAAATCTATCAATTATTCGCTTAAGAATGATTTGAGAATACATTTGGATAGAAATTGAACTTTAATTCTAATCAACAAGGCAAGTGTAGTAAACAATTTTACAAAAATCTTCCTTAGGTTCAAAGTCTTCATTTTATTAGTCCTACTAGCAGAAGAGGATGTTAAACTTTGTGCTTTCGCTCAGCCGCGCGACCAGAGTGAATCTTAACGTATAAAAAGACTTCTGGTTTACTTAACACCTTCAATGATACCTCACACCTGTTGTCAAAGAAATTCAGTGAACGCGTTGAGTTCCTGCTTCAAATAACAATAATATATTTGAGCCTAACACTCTAGATAAACTTGGTTTTTGCAAACACACCAGTTGCGAATCTTCATGATGACTGTTGTCGCGGTGGTAGTAACATTATCTGTAATTTTATTATTGTGCTCTTCAAGCCAAGCTGGCGGAAAAAGAAGAGACACCACTGATAATGGCACAGTTACTATAATATTTGGAGGAGGCATTTCTTTTGACGGTCCAGTCAAATACTTTGCTGAAGTAGAAAAGACTTGTGACTATAGACGGCCCTTTGAAAAAGTTAGAAAAATATTGGCAACAGCAGACCTGCGAGTTGCAAGCCTAGATTCTCCTTTACTGGGAAAAGCTTATGATGAAAGTACACCTCAACTTGGCAAGCAAACCTATAATTATGGATCCATTGATGCTGTTGAGGGACTGAAGTATGCTGGATTTGATATTGTGCAAGTGGCAAACAAGCAGTTTTTTGATAACGGTGTGGCTGGGGTTAAAAGCACAATTTCAGCACTGAAGAAAGCTGGCATCGCATACGTTGGAGTGCAAGACCGAATGAACAAAGAGGCTAGTCAAAAGCCTGTTATTAAGACGGTTAACGGGCTGAAAGTTGGGTTTTTGTCTTATTTTCTTATTTCACAAGGATGCAGTCTTAACAGCTTTATGGAAAGATCCAGAAATGCCTCTAATGGAGATGAAAATGTTTTCAAACTGGGCCCGGTCGCTTTCAACAAGCTTACAGCTTCCAACGAGGTCCAAGAACTTGCGAAACGAGTTGATTTCACTGTTGTTTTGATGCACTGGGGCGAAGATTATTCGCCGATTCCTTCACTTAGAGTAAGGCAAATTGCTAGGGCATTAACCGTGTTTGGCGCAAAACTTATCATTGGCACCCACCCACATGTTCTACAGGTAACTGAAAATCTTTGTCATTTTATTTCTTGTTCGATACCAGCTTGATTTCGAAAAGGTATTTTTGACCAAGCACCGCGAGTTAGGAGCATAGAGTCTTCTACAACTGTACGACAATGCTTGAAAAAGCACAATAATTTGAAGGTAAAAAGCGAAAAAGGCATTCACCCTTTTCAAAACATTTGCCTAGAAAGATTTGACATCTTTCTGGGCTATACCATTCCTCACTTCAATGCTTGCCAAAAATGTTTGGAACACCAAAGCAGTTTCAATCAATTCTCGATCTATTCTCAATTAACCCCTATAGAAACAGCTAGCTTCCTGTCCCTCAAAACAATGTTGTAATTGCACAATAGCCATCCTAGTTTCTAAAATATAGAATACGTAAATATATAGGGAGAATAACACAGCATACATGATCTTCAAAGGGAGATGGAAAGCAGCTAGTATGAATGACAAAAATGCCGCTGGTATTCCAAGACTTTTTGCAGGTGTTGTAGATCAGTAAAAAAGGTTATGAGATTACTTCGATACCTGAGGCATTCATGTCCACTTCTCAGATTCCGGAGGCTTGATTTTGTGGGGGCTGGATTCTGCAAAAAATTAAATTACAGGGGTTGATTTGTAATTAGGGGGCTGTAATCACCTGACTTAATGACATCTAGATATTATTTAGACTTGTTTTTTTTGTTAATATTGCTGTTCTTACTGCTTTTAGGCCAAAGATTTATTCAAAACATTTTCATAAGAAATCAGTTCCAGCAATATAAAAAATTTAGTAAATTTTGACACTAGCAGTTTAATGAATTAAAATTATGAAAATACAATTATTTGCTATTCAACCGTTTCGACTGGAGATATTTTCTGCTAACAATGAACTGATAAACAAAAACTATTGAAGGTAATCGCCGGGGTTCCCCTGTTGTCGAACAGCTGTGTGGCAATATAATGCTGAATCGACTGCAAACAAAATTAAAAGTACAAAACGAGAAAGCAATTACGAGACATTTTGCTAGTTTTAGAAGCAATTACGAGACATTTTGCTCTATTCGTTAGTAAGCATTTGCTTCATTAATCCTTTTTAATAAGTTTTAATCAAATTCTAGGGACATCAATGCCATGGATCAAATGCATTGGCTGTATATAGCATGGGAAACTTTCTTGCCCCAAAATATACTGGGACCACGTCTGAAATATTCCATGGAGGAAGGAAGCCAACCAAACAAGATGCCCTAAAGTACGCTTATGACGCAGAGTCAAACTACAGTCTAACACAGCTAGGAATGATGTTTCGAGTCACCCTTAGCAAGTGAGTTATTTTTTATCGTTAGCTAGCTCTTACAAATCATTTGTATCCAAAAGAATTTCTTTGAGAAGAGGAAAAATTTTGAAACAGCCAAAGACATTTCGTCTAATACATATAAAGAGTCAGAGTAACGACAAAAGAATATCTGGTAGATATCATACCCAGTTGTTGGTGGGCATGGGTCATAGTAAGGTTCGCCAATTAGGCAGAGCTTCACTGACGTATACAGTATATAAAAACCGTCTCTTAGTTTTACTTTATCAACAGGTTCCTTAATGTATTAAATTGATGTAACTATGGATATATTTTGAGCTTCAAGCCTTCTCTTAATGGCATTTAGGCCTAAGTTTCCCAAAAGAAAATTATCTTGAATCTTGATCAAAGAAATTAAGAAACGACTGAAAGTTTCATCAAAGAAAATTAAAATTATTTATGTTTTAAGATATTTTAAACCAGTGTTTTCACTCTATGTTCTGGGGTTGAATTGATAGCAAAAGTAACTGGTATTCCAGCAATTGTAACTGGTGTTTCTCTTCTAGAAATTAAGAATTGGCAGTGCAAAAAATGATTATAAAGGTCCCTAGAATATGGCATAGATTTCCTTGTAGGCAGTGGCGGCGCCAGCTACTGCCGAGTGGAAGGGTAATGGACGTAGCCAGTGAGACCAGGCCCTAATCGCCTCGTTTCAGTGCATTGTACCAGGTCAAATTTCCTTAGGAAATATGATCTACCCCTACCTAGTGCTTTTCAACCCGTTTTTAAACGAAATATGTAGACCATGTTTCGAAAAAAGTGGGGGGGGGGTAATTACCCCCCCCCCCATACCACCCCCTAGCGCCGCCACTGCTTGTAGGAACTATTATGCATTGCTAGAACTGGTTAAATTCTCATTGATCTAAACACGGAATTGTGTTTTAGGGCTGGTATAATTGCTGCTCATCATTTACCAATTGAGATAAAGAATGAGCCAAAAACCAATTGCTTGCAGCCAACTCCAGCAGGCACAAGTTGGATTGAGTTTTGCAGGGGTTTTGATCTGTACTGCATGAATTGGAAAGATGTTTGTGCATCGGAAGCTTCGATGCAAGATTATCTAAAAAACTCGCCAGATACATCTGCTTGTGTCAAAAGTGACTCTTAATGTTTACTACGAGAAACAGTAACATTCTGCACTAAAGGAGGGCAGACTTTTCATAATAGTTTGTCTTAAAATAGAGCTTTCAGAGTTGATAACACCATAAATTCTAAAATAATACATATTTGCTTGTATGTTAGCTCCTGTTGTCAGGAAATTGTTCCCCATAAATTGTATTAATGAATTTACCCTGTACAAAATTGCTCTGTCGGAAATGGCGTTTCATGCAATCATTTTTCGAGACTTGGCTCTTTTTGAAATTACTCTTAAAATACTTTTTGTAAAGTTTGGTCTTCCTAAAAAATCTCTTCATAAAACTGGTTTTTATCAAATTTTTGTCTTCAGAAAATTTCTTCTTATAAACTGGTTCCAGTCCCTTTTGAAACGCATCATTTCACAGGTGCTTTGATGCATTGTAGACAAGAATTTTCTTTGTTTACTCCACTGGGCACCATACAACAACTTGCAAGGTCATTGTTTGTTGACCGAATATACCCTGTGATGTCAAATATCAGTCTTTAGTGTATGCAGTTGAGATTTTGAAGTAACATTTTTTGCAAATTATGCAAAAAGCTGTCAAAGACCTGCATTTTAGTGACAATCCAGCATCGATACTTCAACTCGGAGCTTTATTGCCTTTCTGGTAGGTGCTTGATTAAAGGTCAGTATGATTGCAAACCAAGCCATGTGGATGTGACAATCCCTTTTGGTGATCCTCCTCTCCCTTGTTCTGACGCTTTTAGGTCGCTAATGATGCACATTTCTAATTTTCCTTTTGTGGCACAGAATTTAAAAATGGCTTTGAAAAAAGTAAACGTTTTAGAACACAATTAAGCCTAAGCTCAGTGAAACGAACGTTAGTTTTTGGAGTGGTAACCTGGAGTTTGATTCCTGCCACAAGAGCAGTACAAAACGGTCGAGCAGCAATTCAAAATTGATATCGAGATATTAGGGGGCTGCACGCAGGCTAGCTAATATCGACAACGACATCTGTACAGATCTAGACTTTCCAAAAATCTATATTTTGCTAAATCCGTAAGGCATTCGTACTACTGTGAGGACATATCTAAAATTCATTCGCAGCTTAGATTTTCCCTCGCAATGGTATAAATGCCCCGTGGACTTAACAAAAAGAGCAGATCATGTTTGTTGCTCTACAACAACTAACACACAAGCTCAAAAGATCTGTTGCAGGAACGTCACAGGTGAAATGTAAACAATTGGCTCCAAACTTTTGAACTATTTTTTTGTAACTGGTACTTTTAAGTTTTTGTAACTGGTACTTTCTTAATTGCAGTTAAAGAGGTGTTCATATTATCTGTTATGCCTTTGGAGTACATAAGAAGTCATGTAGTTTTATAATGCTGATCGTATTAAGCTGTTGCCTGATGATCGCAGTGAGCGTGAAACTGGCAAGTAGCAAGTTAGTACCGTCGTATTCTCTACAACGTAGCATGTACCGCCCTCCGTATATGGTACCGAGCACTTTATGACAGACCGGTAGATAGTTATTGTCGTTAGTTTCGTAATGACATAGCCGGGAACCACGCCTTCAATAAAAAAGTCTTTGTGGTGCGGAATTGTCTTGTGTAGCCTGCGCGCAGACTCTAAGTGTCTTACCAGAACTGGTAAGATACTTAAGAGTCTGCGCGCAGGCTATGTCTTGGGTAGATGTGGCATTTTACGAAGGTTGTGCCAGAGTATGATGAAATGGGATAACAAAACAACAGTCAACAATCAAGCTAATTAACTTAACTTTATCCTTTTTGCCGTTCAAAAATGCCTGCATCCAGCAAATGAAAAAAACTTTCGAAACCTTCTCAAAATTGAAAACTGGCCTGGTAAATGCATACGTTTGAAGAATTGCTAAGAGACCTCAACGCTTTTGAAAATTAAAAACTCATTCTCTTTTGAACTGTATTTATCATTTGGTAATTTTTAAGGGAAATTTAAGGAAACCAGATGTAACATTTGTCTTTGTTGTTGCTAAACTTATTCTTAGGGAGCAACCAATCATCGTATCATATGTGTACCAAAACTAAAAGTACAAGTCATTTGTGGAAGGCATTGGCGGACACCTGGGGGCGCCCCATTACTTTGGAAGACAATAGTCTTTAGTTCTAAAACAATGGACAAATGTGACGTCATCTTAACAAAACTGTAGGCTTGTCACCCCCAATATCTGGCCAAGTGTGCGCCACTGTGGGGAGATGATAGACAAATATCTGGTTGTCTCATAAATTTTGTCCAAGATCGTAGATGCATTTCGGGGTCTTTATCCTTGCAAAGAAAATAAGTGTCCTGCCCACTGTCTTCCCCCTCTGGCAAGCCCAGTGCATTGCGCTTTGTTCCTATTAGCTATATGACGGTTCATGTTCAACTTTTCTCTTGAAATTGCATGTCTTTTGGTGTTGGCCTCAATGAAATTGTAGAGACCTTGAACAACACCAAATCCATTTCTTATTGACTCACTTTCTGCAAGATTGAACTAATGGCAAAGGCAGTGGACATAGATACTCAGCGGAGAACAGTCTTCCATTCGCTTTGCCAAGCCCTCAGCTTTGCGGCTCGTTTTAGACCGTCGAAGCATTTGCCAAGAAGTTTCTACATACGCTTTTCTACATAAGCCAAATTTGTACAATTGCTGAAGACTGAGTTTTGTAAAATTTAGCAAAAACTTCCTTTTGGACACCATTCAGTGTAAAAATGACACAAACTGATATTTGTTCGCTTTGACGAAAGACAGGTGTTTCATCAATTATGACAGTATTACAGCCGCTTTCTTTTACTTCTTCAACAATCTTTTCAAGCACTTATTGGGCTGTTGCTGTTCTTGTCGCTTTGTTATGTTTTTTCACCCTATAGATTTTTACCATATTCCATTGATTCCGAAAGCGCTTACTATTACGACCGCTTGATTTTTTTTCAGCTCAAGATTCTTAAACATGTTCAAAATGTAGTTTTTCTTATACTTTTTGTTTTTTGAGAAGGCTCCTGCCCGAATTTTGCCCGAAAAAACCAGCTGCCCGAATCTAGGGACGGGGGGCTGGGGGGCTGAAGCTGTACGCCTATGCGAGCAGCCTGCTATCGCGACCTTTTCTCTATTCATACATTTGAAAGTAATAATCGTATGCTTCGGATAGCCTCCTATTGACTGAAACTTTCAAAACGAGGCAGGAAAGAAAAGGATCGAACAAGGGCCTAATCTACGCAAGTAAAGCGTTTGCGCAAGTGGAGGAATTAAAATATTAGAATCCGATTCAATCCAAAATGAGCAAAGCCCATCCACCAGAGCTTAAAAGGTAAACTGAAATTTAGCTACAAGTCAACCAGCTAAGTTGTATATGTTTATTATGGATGGACCTCAACTTACGCTATTGCACTATATAGAATTACATGCAGCATATAACTTATTTTTTTGCAATATTTCTTAACTTCCTCCTCAGGTGAAGCATGCTTTATAGTGGGTTTGTTCTTAAACAATATGAATTGAAAATATGCCTATCTAATATTTCATTTTCGACTAGACATAGCCTCGAAGGCTCACTAGAACTACTGAAGGGTGAAGTCAGCATGAATCGCCATCAAAAGTATTCAAGTAGGCTAAAACATTGGAGCATCCAGAAATATCTATATATAACGTAATTTCCATCTGTTTCGTCTGTTGGCAACACAGGGCCGTCAGAACCAGGGGGACGGGGTGGACTGTAATACATTTCCACAGCTGTTACGCCGCGGAAGTCAGGACAGCATAGGCCCGTTTTCTGACCGCATCGGAGAAAATCGAAGATATCTCAAAATTTGAAAAAGCTATAGAGAAGCTGTTTTTTGTTTTGAACTTAGCATTAAATTCTTTACTAGAAAGTTGAAATAGAATTCTAATTGCCTTTTAGGGTTTTTTACAAAAAAATTTGGTTTCCCTGAATGGGCTTCCCGCGAAATTCTTTAACAGAATTTGTCTACGGTACCACTGCCAAAGCCAACCAAACAAGGCTAATTGGAAATATTTTTGTATTGAAGTCTCTGAAGAGGTAGAAAATAAATGAAAATAGCACTTAATTATTTTTTTTTTAATTTTTTTACCTTCAAGTTGATATTTCATCGCTCCTGACGGAGAAGCCGAAGAGATATACACTGCGAGGCAGCCTCGCAGCTTTGAGAATCGATAGGAAAACATTAAGTTTTAGGCCGACCGGGTCGTCGAAAATCAGCTCGCGCTTCCACAGACAGGCTTATTTTGCTAGAAAAACATACTAAGATGACTCTTCATTCGTAGGAGAATAAAATTTTTGGGGTGCCCTCTCAGACAGAAAAACCGTTGACATTCAAATTTCACGCGAGCACACAGAAAGCTGATTTCTAACTGGTTTCCACCAAGTGCTGACCAGGGCACCCCACCAGGTTTTTAGCCTCGTTCTTAATCTTATTCATGCAAAAGAAATGAGGTATTTATCGTCTATCGTTTGGAAGCGCCCGAGAAAACATTGAGGAGCACTTTGGCCTAAAATCGCGATCGTGTCGGAAATTTACGAAAGTGGTGATTCTTTAAAATCTTCCCCTAAAACCTGATAAAATTTAGCAAACAACAAATAAACGAAATAAAATAAACAGAGGATGGTCTTTGTTTTAAAATTATTTGCAATTTTCTGCAATAAATCTACGATTTTATACTTAATTTTGAAAATCATTCAATTTTCGAAAGTTGCGTGTTGCGGTCTGTTAAATGGCAAAATATTGGCTGTCCTCATTTCCCCGAGAACAATAGGCGTAACAGCCGTGTTTCCCTTATGACCGTGTATTGGTGAGAAACACAATGAGCAACCCCCCCCCCCCCTCAATGTGAATTTTGTTCTGACAGCACTGGTGTATGGGAAGTACACACCTGAGATATATTTTCCTGCAAACCTGGTAAAGGGTGTGCAGTCTTCGCCATAAGGAAATCACCATGTGTGTGGTAAACCACAGGCATTATTTCTCTCATGCCTGCGATTGACACTGTTACATATCTGGCTATTTCAGACCCCATTTACACTTTCCTGTTCAAAAACCGTGATAGTACAAAATTTGTTTGCTTTCGTAGCAGGGTCAAAACTATTCCGGATAGAGGGAAATTGTCTCAGTTCTAGAGTGCTAGTGTAACAAAATAGAGAACAACAATCGTTTTGTCACAGTTTCAAACTTGCACAGAACAGTGTAAATGGGGTCTTGAATACAGTAGCCTCGTGGCCAATGAATTCTAGCGGGGCCCAGAAAAAAGATTTCCCGACAAAATTTCTCTTATTTATTTTGATCAAATAGGAGCATTTCATGTTAGTGTAAAGAGTGGGGGAGGGAGAAAAACTTTTGCCTTGGCTGGAAAGATATTTGGAATGCACTTTTATTATGTCCCTATTTATTTGTACCTACTGTGCATGTTTATGAGACCTTGCAACCCTATAGATCGGTAGATAAGGACAAGAGTAGAAATAGTTACTACCCAAGGCGGCACCATCTTTGCCACCAAAAGGGAAAATTTGTTATCTTAATACAATTAATAATACAAATGTTGACAGAAATTTGCATTCTTAGTAGCAAAATTTGTTATAAAATCTTATTCTTAAAATGAATATCCACTGGCAGAAAGCGATGGTATTGATCAACTTCCCTGTTCTTGATTCCAAATGTTTTACCTCATGCAACATAACTGCATAATATTCAAATTTGGGAAAAATTTTCAGGTCTTGAATATTGACAATTTTCATAACTAAATTTGGCCCTTTAACATTCAGATTTTAAACAAAATCCGGGCAGCAAAACACTCTATGGTAGAAATCTGTAAATCCTGAGAAATTATTTTGTTTTTGTGGAAATCTAATTTATATATATTTATTTTCTTTTCAAAAGTGAATTGTTCCTAGACAAAGCGGAAAGTATTTTAGTCCAAGTATATAATTTATGTTGCTACAAGGTTTGTTTTACTTCTCCTTTTTTCTCACAGCTTAAGTTTAAGAATTTTCTGACATAACAATGATTTTTCTGAAAACCGTTGTCAATGTGCAGCAAAGTTCTGTCATATTAGTCTGTGAAGCTAAGTTTTTGATTTACAGAGAGCCAGAGAGTGCTTGAGTGTTTCTGCTGCGTATGTTCCAAGAACATTCGACATTACAGGACAACTATATTAAATTGATTGATTATTCCTATTCGTCCCCTACCAACGGCATCAATGACAAAAATCTACTTCTTTTGAGCAATTTTATCGATATTTACCGATCATGGCGAAAAAGGGAAGCCAGAAGTTTTGATCACTACCTTCCATGTTTCTGGGGAATTTGAACAAAGCAAAGCAATAAATATGTTTAACTCGATCAACACATCCCAAAATAGGCACTATTGAAAGAATGAACTGATGTTACTCAGCTTATGAAAAACAAAGCTTCCAATAGATCAAAGATAAAAAACAATGGTCAAATATACAACTCACGTGTGCAATCAATTGCTTGCATGATTGGTGCCATGCATGTGCCAATGCATGCGCATGCGATTGCATGCATTAAACGATGAAAGATGGGTGTGGCATTTTGAGATCTGGGCATGATATGGATGCCAGTCCGGGGCAGCAAAGTGGCTATTTTTCATCTTTTGTTCTGGTTTAGTCAGGCCTGGCCGTTTGAGGCAAGCAATAACCATGCTCACCTTCGAGCTCCTCTGGGAAGCTTGTGATATCAAAAAACATCTTTGGTGAGCTGTGAATTGCTCTCCAAAACAGGACATAAAGGAAAAATCGCTCCCCTAAAATTTCCATTCATTTGCCCTTTTCCTATTCAGAGAACTCTAAAAAATTTACAAGGGTTGATTGGTTTTTTTTGTAACAGTGATTTCTCCCATCATTGCATTTTGTGCAATCACTTTTCCCCCCTTGTCATGATTGTCACAAACTTCAATCTATCTTAAAAAGGATAGTGAAGCAAAAGTTACATTTGCAGAGCTTAGAACCTATCAGTCTTATTAAAACAGGCATATTCTTGGTAGGAAAGTCAAAGAAATTGGTAAGAATTGTCAATTGGGGGGGATAGAATAAAACAGCAGGTCCATTCTAGTATTGGAAACAAAACGCTCCCAAAAAGTGAACAGCCTACTCGGTCTTGCAGATCAAAAATAGCAACTAAAACATGCAATTCCACTATCGAGCAGCTTTTACTGAAAAACTGGGATTGCGTGAAAAACTATAATGGAGACATGTTTCAGATTATTGGTAGAACCCAAAAGTCATTCCATCTAGTAGTTTTGGAATCCATATTTGATCATGATCCAAATGCTTTGTGGAAGAAGATTACCAGTTCCTTCTACTGCTGGATTTTTAGTGCTGTATTGACAACTGAATTTCTTTTTATAGGTATATGGACAAGCGATTAACATGTAAGTTTTAAATAATTTCCTACTTTTAACATTTCTGCTCACCATGTCTATACTTGGAAACAAAAGTACGGATCATCAAAGGCTAGATTGTTTAAGGGACAGCAATCAATTTCCATCAAAAATTATACTTAAGGTCAAGTGGCATATTGAGCCCAATGTTTTTGTTAGTTCTATAGATCCTTTGAGTAGAAAGACCTATTGAAATAAAAAGCATTTTCGAAAAATTAACATGAAGACTAGTAAATTGTTTATGTTGCTTTTTTATTAGAATTTTTTCCCAGAGGCCATACTGCTAGAAGAAGAGTTTTTGTCAATGCTCCATATTATGATACTCATGTTCACCATTTTAACTCAACTAACTACAAAACTACTAACTCGTGTGAACATGCATGAAAAGCTTAGTGTAAGATCAACTGTGAAATAACAACAATGAGGATTCACACTTCATGTGAAAAAGAACTAAGTTGTTGATAGCATAGCGGAAGATTGTTTGTCTTAACATTTTTGTACCATATATTTTGTTTTTCGCAAAGCTGCGTAAAGATTTTGAGTAAATGTTTCAATCTATGACCTTCTTGGTCTATAGTTCTAAACCTAGTTTGTTTCATAAGTTTATCAAACCTTATAGTAAAGCTGAATGGTCACAGACAAGTGCAGGGCATACTTCGAGGTTTTGATCCATTCATGAATCTGGTTATGGATGAGGCTGTAGAGTTGGCATCAACTGGGGAACATAATAACATTGGGATGGTGGTATGTTTTCTAGTATTCAAATAGATTTTTGTTAGGAGAAGGGTTTTGTTGCAATATATATCTGAAAGTTCTATCATCAAAATATATCTGGTTTCGACATTTACCTTCTTGCTGTCAGGGAAATCGTGCCTAGAATGCTTTGTGGTCAAGCTCACATGTCAATTTGATTATCTATTTATGTGTCTTGCAGCTACTCAAGCCAGGTTTTTTAAGATATTTATATCTTCACCAACAATTTTATAGCAATCAATAATTTAGAGAATCACGCTGAAGAATCCTATAGAAGATTGATGCACTGGTGGTAAAAGTAAACTGTAAACTGGCAGAAACAATGTGTTATTTTAGTCTCAATAGCTTTTGCCATCTGCTTCATATACTTTATCGACAGTTTTTCAAGTTTTAAAGGCATTGAGTCATTGTAAATAGGCCTTAGGGGGTTGTTTGGTTTTGGGCATGATTGCTGTGGTTTCATGTGGTAGCGGCATCCATTGTTGACAACTTGATTTTGATGGAAACTGTTTTGTTAATCACTGCGAGGTGAATTCATGTGACCAGTTCCAGGTCTACCAAAAGCATTGCAACAAGAACGTTCAGTTATACTCTCTCCTTTTATCATGACTCGATGCCTTTAAGCTATATTTGAACACATTTACTAAGCTATGTTTTTTCATTATTTTTCCAATGGTTGATTTCAGGTAATACGTGGTAACAGTGTTGTTTTAATGGAGGCATTAGACAGGGTATAGAAGACTCAATAGAAGAAGGACAATCCAAAGATGTGGATCAGCTTCTATGCTACACTCAAGCCACATTGCTAATTTGCCATGTTTCCATATGAAGGAGAAAGGACAGAGCCTGTTTTGACTCGCTATGAACCTTGAACAACTGAGAAATTTCAGTATTCCATTAATTGTAATTCTTCTGATATTTCTTAGACCTTTTTACAGCATCTGTACATTCTAGTTTTTGTGTTATATACTGTAGGGTTGTATCACCACATAGTAAAATTGATTAGATTGCTAAACAGACACTTGAAGATCGTCTTCAAACAATGGCTTTTGTTTGTCATATTTAGTTGTTCAGACCCAGAACATATAAGAAAAGTGAATTCTAGATGAAGTTACCGGTTTTTTGATTTTATTAATATCCAGATTCTTTTAAGGTCGCGTTTACAAGAACAAAGTTTCAAATGAAAAAGTTTTTTCCTATGCATCGAAAATACAAGCATGAAAATGGCTTTGAAAAAAGCAAACATTTTACAACATATTGGCTAAAAGTTTATTCGTCTGACACTCCTTAGAGCATAAAACATCAATCCTCGTCTTGTTTACAGCACTAGGAGAGCCCTTCCATCCATTCAAAAGGATTGCATTCCTACCAACAAAAAAAGTTCTGTTGTTTATTAATAAGTGCCAGTGTGATTCTGGCTACGCAGGACGCACAACCCAAAGATTGGGGGATAGGATAAAACAACTTTCAAACTGTTTTCAAACTTTCAAAACAACAACTGTTAAACGACGCTTAACATTTAATTTGTTTTTATTAAGAAGAAAACGCAAGTTTTTGAAGATGTATGTGTGTAGATTTGACTGAGACCTGTTTACTGTACACAATATCATACCCATGGCCCAGGGATGTGGTGCTATTGGGGCTCAATCTCCATTATCAATGCTAGGAGTAGGAGGGACGCCCATTACTACTTACACTATACTCTTTTTTGCAACCTTTTGCACTTGTCCCAAAGATTCACCTTAAGTTTCTTCGGTACCTTCATTTTGCTCAGAGCAAGGTCTGCATAAATATGACAGCAAAGCAAGATACCTTTTTGTTGTTTTTCTGATTAAACATCAGCTTGAGCAAACATCCACAGGCCAGAAAAACATGCTATTATGGTAAAAATTTAAGTTGACCTGAAAATGGAATACTCTCTATATATAATCTTCAAATTCAGTTCAGCAGAGTTTTAGTGTTACACTTTGGAGGTCTAAAGATAAGATATTCCTAGATATTCCAGCAAAGTAGCAAACATTCCAATAAATTTTGTTCTCTGGGGGCTAGCCTCTACCACTGCACTCATGTGTGAGATTGTTGATCGATTGATTGGTGGTCACTTTACGGTTTAGGCCGGAGGGTTGAGAGGGGATTAGGAGAAGTAAAAGGTTCTGGGCCTGTGCTGCGATGGGGCTGTAAGAATCTTACACTTTGCTACTATCAGATTGTTTCAAGGACTTGTTTTGTTCAACATAAAATATTATTATTTCCATGCCTTCAAATTGAGCACAGAGAAAAGTGATGCCCGTGTTCTTGACTCGTGATCAAGCAATTGTGCCTAAAGAGAATGTTTCCCTAGTTCTCCGAGAGAATTCAGGATGCGATCGCAGAAAATTCTCCGCTTTTAGAATGCTGCGCGGTGCCTGGTCAGGTAGTTGAGAAATTCAAATTACCAGCACAAAGAATTGGAAAAGAAAACGAATATGCTCTTGGCAATTTTGTCTCATAATAACAAAACAGCAGATTTTATTAGCGAATCAACCGTGCAACTAAGAATTGTCATGGTAACTTAGAACAAATATACATATGTATGGATATTAAAAAATCAAGTGCTGAAATAAGAGAAATATCGAGATTAATGAGCCTCAATTTATCCTAAAATTAAGAGCATCTAGGCTAGGCTAGGCAAAAATTATTCGCTTCTTATAAACATAATGACTCCTTTTTCTTTCAGCACAACAGGAAGCTCTGGCCAGCGTACAAAAAAATTACTTTTTAAATGCTTTAAGATACAATATCTTTGTCTGGACTTTGATTTATCATCAATCAACAGGAATCATCATTTCCGTCAAGTCGATCTAAAAACGCGCTTGAACAAAATTTTGCTGCTTCAGCAGATCGAATTGATTACTATGGCAACCAAATAAACTATCATTGCTTTGGCATTTAGTTGGATTGGTTAATTCAATCCAATTCATTTTCAAACTTAATGAAAATGGCTGAATAACAACAGCGAATACAGATTGTTAGATGGCGCGTCTAGTACTCAAGGCTGCTATATTACAGCTCTTCACAATTGTAAACATTGTCCAGGGTATTACAAGTGCAAGCAAAGATGTGGTAGAATATCTTATTTTTCTTGAAATATTTTGATGCGATTCGCAACGTGTGAAATTCTGTAATAGGTGCTTCCTGTTTCATTAAGTTAGGCCTAATAAAAGTTTACGATATTGATAGCAACAAGCTTTTGCGTTTGTAACGAATAAAGTATGTCCTATGCATCCGAAATTCTATGCCCTTATGTTTCACTCCACTTGCATTCGTAATTATTTGTTTCCACGATTTTGTTAGTGATCTTCATATAAATGCTTTTGTTTGATACATATATATAAGTTAACTACCTATTATGCTGAGAGGTACGTTAGTGCATTAGCGCCAGAGTTTTTGATTTACATTTAAGCTGGTTATGAATTGACAGACCTTAGTGGGATTTTGATCACACAGCTCACGAACATTGCTAAAAGCCTCGTAGAACTATTGGTTGATAGAGTACATCAGTTTTCCAACATCACAAGATCATTGGTGTGCAATTTTGCAAAATTTCAAGTGTGCAATTTGGTACAAGAGTGCATGCAACTATGCCACATCCCAAGTATATCAACAAAGATAAAAAATGGAGATGCTTGATCCAGAATGAAAACTTTTGTTTCTTGCCTGGACAAGTTTACTTTGAAAATTTGAGACTGTGCGTCTGAAATCATAAATTCTTAGTTATAGTTAACAATGGTACATGTCATTATCCAGGGATTTTGTGCAGCCAACACGGGCACACAACAAAGTTACCAGTTTGGTGCTTGATAGTTGTTTGGAATCTAGCAAACCAATGCAAGATTATCTTGATCTTGAGGAAACATGATTCTTTAATTGCCCTAAGCAATAGAACACACCCATGTCATGTCTAGATCTCAAAATGCCATATCCTTTACTAGGTGTGCAGTGCAGGGACATTTTAGACAAAATTTTTGAATGGGCACTTGCCATACTCTGCAGTCTTGGTCCTTGTATTGGTTCTTTGATGCATGTGGGAAGATTTCATGAAAAGGGCCTAAAATACAAGGATGGAAACCTTATATCTTCAATACCAGATGGTTGCCAGTAGATGAAAGGCTTTACACAAAGTCTCTGAAAATTGATGATATGGAAATACCTCAAACCAGGCATGATCTAATCTATATCAGCCTGCTGGGCAAGTCCATGTGGAAGATACCTAGTGTAACTTAAAAGGATTTCACCTTTGGCTCAAATTAAACAGCATTTTGTGGTTTGGTTCTCATCATTTTTGCTGTGTGGGTCTGCTGATGAACAAGGAGGTTTCCATTGTGAAACAAAATATAGTCCTCTTATTTTCTGGCATCAAATTCTGGCTGGCTGGCTCTCCTTGCTTCAAACTTTTGCAACCATGTCAACTTTTGTCACTCTAAATGTCACAAAATCAGAAAAATCAAATGCATCACAAATGCTAACCGGACATTTTTTTCTGATAGTAAGGCAATGTACCTCAAACATGAAAATTTTTGTTTCATTTTTATTTCCACTTTTGATCTTGTAGTAAACCATGTCCTTTGGTCTAAGTAGAATTGAATTTAGCTCTCCCAAACAAGCATTATCTGTTGGTCCAGTCTTAGTTGCTGCTTTGATTTTCGTTGTTGTTTATAAAGTTTATTTTTTATGATATCTAGTTTTTAAGTTATTATTTTTTGTGTCCTCTATCCTAGCACCATTTACCAGACTTAACATTGGAAGTAAAGATTAACAAAACAAAAGGCATACAGCCCAACAATGTTCTTCTTGTTGAGTACATTGTTGATGGAAATAGGGATATTCCTTCAGCAGAAAATGCACAACTTTTAGTTGAATTCCCTTATCCAAACATAGAAGTTACCTATGCTGAAGAAGTTCAAAAGCTATCCAATCTTACAACCAGGTTAGCAGAATTTTCATTTCTTGTGAATTGTATGAAGTTTTTATTCAAACCTTATATGTATATATATTTCCATAGTGCATCAGAGCTGATTAAACAAAGCACAACAAATAGCAAATTTGAAAGCTTTTCAACACAGAGCTGTTGAAAAGAACGTACATGAAATATATTTTGATTTTGGTTATTTTGATGTTTTGGCTGAATTTTAAAGCACTCAGTTTCATGATTGTATTATCTCAATAAATTTCCATGACTAGAGTGCTAAGAGAGTCAGACTGTGTGATATTTTCATTGCGCTTATTACTTTTAACTGAAATTTTCTTTAGGTGTTTATCAAAGCATCAATAGCTTGTTGTAGCTGTTTTATAGCAAACTTTACTACCACATATGGAAAAAGAGTTAGATCTCTAATCCATTTATCATAGATGAAGTTAAAATTATTTTCAATTTCTTTTTGCATTTTCTTAATTTACAGATTATCACATGATGTAAGACTTGTCAATATCAGCTTGCAAAATGTCAGTACAGAAGGCAGTAGGATTCATATTGCTGTGAAAACCTCAAGTATACTTCTCCCTCAAATCAGGTTGCCCTTAACCTATAGTATTCAATATGTTACAAATGGATCTTCTCAAAACTTTTCTTTTATAAAGGTTTGATATACAATTGTTTTTAAACATTCTGAATTACCCTTCCCATGATTATCTTAAAAATTCTTGAGAATTTTCCTTTTGGTTTTTGTTCAGTTCACTTCCTCTCAAGGTCTCTGTTGCAAAATACCTCTTAGTATTTTAAAGCAAGAAGAAAGAAGTAATCATCATGGTGAAATTATGCCAGAAATAGGTTTAGATTCCTGGCAGATATTCAGTTATTATTGACTTTAGGTGCTAAAGCTTTTGCCTTATAAAACCTTGAAAGAGGACCAATTTCTAACATCATAGCTGATCATAGTTTTGCTAGGTAACAAGACTAAAGCAGTTTAATTTGTTTTATTTCACTAAGCAAGTTACCTAAGCTAATACTTAGGCATGTTTCTAAAGCATATATTTTGTGCTTAAAAGAATCCATCTTTTGCAGGATCTCTACTCTTATAAGATGGAATCATTTGTAAACCAAGACATACAGATTTATCCTGAAAAAGTTGAAGGTGGATCTAAGATCAATGCTACAGTCACACTTCGAATTACAAATTCAACTGACAGCGCCTTCAATTTGACACTCAATGTCACACTTGATAATGGTACAATTGATTATGGACTCTGTGTTGATGGAAAGAACCAACAACTTCTAAAAAATGCTGATCTTTATTCATTTACTTCTTATGTTGGAATCTTCAAGGCAGAAGAAAACATATCATGTAATATATATGCAACCATTGGAGAAAGAATTGTGCCTGGTGGGCAGATAAAACTTCAATCAGTGATTTATTATTATCACAAGGTCCAAGAACCCAACCTGTATCCTATAGACAGCAAAACTTCTAAACACTTAATTGTATCTGCCATCCAGTCAGTTGTCAATTCATCTCTGAATTTATCTGCATTGGAAGCAAATAGCGTTTTTACTGTCGACATCACATTCATTATTCCAAGAGGTTTGTCCAACATTAACATCACCATCACATTGCCGACATATGAAAAGGCAATAAGATCAAAACGGAGTGTGAGGTATGGTTTTACTATTTGCATTATATTTAATATGTCATGAATAAATAATCTTATTTAAAGAGCTAGTATTGCTAAAGGAGTTATTGAATAAGTTATTACAGGGATCCAGGAATGTGGCTCTCACTGAGATCGATATTTTAATTTTTGTATTTTGCAATGAGTGATCAGTCAAGTGTGTTGTCTATGAATCTATCAATCTGCTAGTGCGGTTTTGCTGAAATGTACAGATATTAAAACACTGCACATATGCTGAAAATGGCATGCCGCAATAATTGGTTGCAATAAATTTTTGAAAACCTATTTGAAACATGTTTGATTATCTGGTGCAAAAAATATAAACATGGCTGAAGCCTGTATGTTTTATCATTGACATAGGACAGTGGCATTATGCCTTTTTTTATTTCTAGATCAATATCTAGCCTACAACCACTGCTGGAGTTTGTGCCTACCGAGAATATTACATACACAAATGGTGCAGCTATCATGTTCCTTGATACCCCGGTAATACAAAGAATCAACAGTACTGTACTCATTGCAAACTTTGGAGAGGTTAACAGCTCCAGTGCAAGCAATGTTTTGTATAGTGAGGCATCCATTCGTCTAAAATTCTGGCTGAAAGTTGCAAATGATCCATTGAATATATTTGGCAAAAGATCTGAAGTTTCTATTGTAGTCGGGAGTGCCAGTTCAAATATACCATTCCAGATCACAGGGCCTTTGGTAAATCCTTCTTTAAAGATCCAAAAAACTGTGCAGGTAAAGTAGTATTTATGAACATATTTCTATACGCCTGGGATGAATTAAAGATATTATGTCCTGTGTTCTGTGCAATTTTCACACTGAAGTGAAATTCGTGCTTGTTTTATGTTGATAAATAATTAGCAAATGTAGCAAATCAGAAATGTGCTACCAATCACAGAGGCTATACACTGCCTTTTATCACACGTAAAGAGCAAATAGTAGAGAACTTGCCATACAGAATTCTTATGCAGGACCATCTAGCGTAAAGATATGATAATAATGATCAGCAAACATCAAAATTCTACATCTGTATTCTGTTTCAAAAGAAGCCAGTGCCCACTTCAAACTTACACATGGGTGAATAGATCACTAATGTGGCTGGAGATTAGTGTTTTTTGTCAAACTATTGCTACTTTGTGTCGCAAACTCGCAATGCATTTAAGGGCTATCGTTAAGATTTTCGACTTTAATATTCTTGTAACTGTCATTTCCTGTCATATCTTACCGCCACATAACTTTTACTGTTAATTTGATTAGGTACGTATCATTTTAAAGAGTAGTGGTCCTATCTGAGGGCCAAAATCATGTCCACAAAAATGGTGCTCTATGCTATACCTGTTGTCACATGTTTCTCTCACGGTTCCTTCCAAGTTTCCAGCAACAAATAGACTTCGATTCTTAGAATGAATTGCTAACCCAAGTTTCCACAGGACAGGTTGAAAGAAAAAAAAAGGTAGTACTGTTGATATGATGAAAATATTGCTACAAAACCCCAGCACTGTCCGCCTCGAATTAAAGAGGTTGTTCAATTTATGAAAATAATATAATATTATGAATCTTTCTTGCTAGGTCAAAGATGCAAGCAGAGCTTCTCCTTTGCTGAAATTCACCGTGGTAGTACAACATAACAACGATTCTCGTGTGAGCGCTTTGAATATTACAATTACTGATCTCGTGGATACGATAGCAGTCTACACACTGGATATCCAGCCACGAGGCAAGCTGAGCATGTCTAACTTAGGATCCATCATCACAATCACAGGCTTTGTTTCAAACCTTCCTGGTGAGTAGCATTTATGCTCAGATTTCGTATCATTTAACTGTGATAATACGATTTAGCCCCCATATCGAGTTTTAAGCAGTCATTAGCCCGGGGAAGGGGGCTTATCCGAGTTATTTGGGTATATAGTAATCAATTAACACTATTCTGAAATGTGATTCGGCCTATTGACGAAACCCTTCCCATGATTTGGACGCTCACTTCCAGGATACCCAACGTCAATGGATACTCGATGGCAATATTCTAGAGGCTAGATTCATAGATTAAAGGATCCAGCTATCTGACACAAATAATTGACCCAGAACAATTCTCTTTTCTAAAGGGCAATTCCTCTGCGCAAAGCCTATATTTTAACTTTTCTCAAACTTCTTTAAACTTTAAATGACGTTTGCTGAAGATTCCTCAGCAACTGCTTTTAAACTTGATAAAACAGAATTTTGACGAGATGAATTTCTTACGTTAGAATAACTTGATCTTGGTTTAAGTAGCGAAAATTTTAGGTTCGTTTTTTCACATTTTTCCCTCTCTGATGACATGTTTCTTTTCACAGTGTCGAATAATGTGACAATGGTCTACACAGGATCCTTCTTTACAAGAGTGCAGGTAATTTTTTGAGGCACCGAAGTAGAACAGTACTTGTTCAATAATATAGTAACCAAATATGTCATTTGTTTCTCGATAAATTCCATTGCTGTGCATTTTTTACATGCTTTTTGATATGCGTGTAGCGAAGCATTAAACGAACCAGACATGAATGATTTTACACATAATTGTTCCAAAAAGCATTCATACTGCATTACGTATTATATTGTACAAAAAGTTCAAAAAAATACGATTTTGTCAACTGACTTCGTCACGCACCATTGATAATGTCAGTTCATGAATGGTGTCTCTAAGATGATACCCTGGGTTTCAGAGCGTTAGTGTCGAGGAAATAGGGCGTCGAGGAACACCCGCAACCCCCTATTTCCTTGACACTGACGCTCTGGAACCCAGGGTACTAAAATGAAAGCAAAGTGATTTTCGCCGTGGGTTTTTGCTGGAATTATAGGACCGTTAATAATGCCTGTTGGCATTTTTAGAATGCATTTAACCATTAGTTAATAAGGAATAATTTCACGTGATACGCTTCCTGTATAATGTTATTTTGCTCGACAAACAGGCTGCAAGGTTCCAGCACAAAGCAAGCGTTACATGGCGCAGTGTTCAGGTAATTCTATTTTTACACATTCATTGCCCTACCAACAACTGATGCTAAAAAGTCCAAATGCTATTCCAAAGGCAGATTTGTATAGCCATAAAGAATCTCATAGATCTAGAATATACTAGATTGTGTGCGGTACAATATAATGCTAAAATAACGATCAATGTAAGTAAATTGTACCAGGAAAAATGTACAGAAAAAATGTTTTTTCCTGGTACAATTTACTTACATTGATCGTCCTTATAGATCTAGAATGTTCATTAAAACTGGGCCCCTACCGTATTTACTAACAGAGTTATGTAAAGTCTCAGACGCGGTCAATCGAATCATATGCAGATGAATGGTTTTAATAAACAAGCTCCGTTAATTGATTTAACCAAGTCGCCTTGGCCCTTACATATGATATAACTTATCATATCGATGTCAGGATAAAGCCTTTGGTAGCATTAGCTTCCCAACTTGTCAAGACTTTGGAGGTTTTAGTTGTATTTTGCAAGGCAACCTTTATCGTGGGGTGGAAAAGTTGCTGTAGCTATCTACAACATATTGATACAAAAACAGAGTCTTGATACACTGATTCAAGTAACTCGTCACTTTTATTCTTCAAACAGGTGAACAACTTTGTACTTAGTAGAAAGACAAGTAAAGAAACCTGTCTGCTTACATCGAAAAAAGTGACAAAGAAGGTAATTCATATTTTTTTATAAGAATGCCACTGTGATATTTCAATCTTTTCAAACGTTTTCAGGCATGCATCAAGATCTTATATGAATGTAGTTCTTGAATATATTTCCTCAGATAAAATGAAAAATACAAAACATCATTATAATTTTGAGCATAGGTATTTGTCCGTTGTTCGAAGATACCCTCTGTTTGAAAGTGACCATCTTTTGGAGATGTCCGTTGTTTAGAAATGTCCGTTGATTTAGAGATGTCCGTTGTTTAGGAATGTCCGTTGTTTAAAGTTGTCCGTTGTTTGGCAGTGTCCATCAAAAAATGTTTTACTTTTTTTGGTGTGTACATGAAAGTCGACCTTTTGCAGGGAAACCTTTAGTAATCTTATAGGATAAGTAACAATTCACATTTCAGGACAAGTAGGTTGAAGCAAATCAGTTCTAGCTAATGTATAATTTCTTACTCATTTGGTATTCAGTCTTTTTTCAAAGCTAGATGCTTTTAAACAGAGCCTCTATTGTAGCCCCTGTTTGGATAATAGTCACAGCAGTGTGAGCATTTAAACAACCCCTGTGTAGTCGAAGCCATTCATTTTGACATGAAGGTTGGAGATTCATTGTCTTGTCAAGGCTACTGTTGCTATCATCTCAACAGTGGCTATAGGGTGCCCGCGCAGCGTGCTTTATCAAAACTAGTCTTTATATCACTTATTTCTACTTCAAGATTTTCATTCTAAATTTCGTCTTTTGAATCTTCTGCAGACTAAAAAGGCCTACGAGTTGGTAGCACTTGGTGTTGCTCTTGGTATAATATTTGGCATATTGGCAGGGCTTCTCGTACTTTACTGCGTTAGAAGAACACGGGTTGGTAAAACTGTAAGTACCCAAAGAGGAAATGGATTGGCTACCTTTTGCAGCCAAAGAACAGAGCCTTAGTAATAAACCCAATGGGATAGGTCTGGCTATTAAATGCAAAGTACTTGAGTATGCCTCGCATACAAGTGGTCTCAAAAAGCCACGTTTTTAAAGAATGCCTTTTTTTGTCACAGGAATGTTCTTTGCTTGCTACTTTGTTTAAACTTTTTTAGTGGGGTGTGATTGACATAAATTATTCTCCATAAAATTAGACGACATAGGCAGCTGATATCTGACCACATATTAGTACAGTTTCTGTGACACGTGGGGGAAAGTGATATATTCTAGATTAGTTGAATTTTCAAGAAAGTCGATTTGTTAAATACACCTCTTAATGGCTGCACAGCAAAGTCTTCTGATGGTTGAGAACTCTTTATACCACTCTCCCTATTTTTCTCATCGAATTTGCGTTTCAAGTTATCCATTCTTAGAGGATTTTTTATGAATATGACTTGTTACATCAAAACCTTTCTAAAGCTAAAATTTCTTTTTTAGTATGTTTTCTTAGAATCCTTAAATGAAAATGAAATTGAAGAAGATAAAATGGATAAAAACAAGGAAAGCAGGAAAAGTTTTCGTCTGGAAACCCTGATTGGCCGAAAAGACAAGCAGAGCAAAAAGTAGGCTCTCAAACTTTGCTACTTTTATACCCTTTAAATTTACTGATTCCTCTTGAATTACCAATATGAAGTTGATAAATAATTTTGTCATATTACTGCTTGCAAAAGTTTCCCCAGTTATGGCTCAGTATTTTATATCTATCTTGGTTTGGTTCCGTGCTATTTTTATTGTAAGTAATTGAGTCGCTAACTGATTAAGCTAGAAGGAATTCTCCTAAAGACTTTAAAATATCTGCTAAAATAGCTTCGTATAACTTGTATTTTTGTATTTGTTGCTACCTTGCTTTTGAAGGTAGCCTTAGGACCTTGGGAAGCTATATTTATCGTGGAGTGTCCTGGTCCTTCCTCTCGATGTGACCACACTTTTTGTCATGGCAAGGATATGATCCCCAAACCCTTGCTTCTGTAGTCCGTGGTCCTAACCATATATTCATCCTCACATAATTCTCGTCCGCTGCACATGTTTTTATTTGGCTAAAAAGTTAATAATAGTCACTACCTTACCTTCTCATAAAATGCATCTCTAGCACGTAATTTTTGCCAGATCCGAAAGCCAAAAATTAGATGGTGACAAATGGGCACTGATGATAGTGGCAAATTCTGATGCTGAAACTGTCGAAAGATCTCGATCACGGTTCGTTTTATTAGAAGTTTTCTTATGGATACTTTTGATAATAATGTATTGCAATACCTTTTTATTGTTCAAATATGCTTTGTTTTCTAAAAAGAAGCAATTGGTCTCAAGAAATTTGAAGTTTCTCAGCAGAGCGAATTATCTCGAGAGAATTTGTTGAAGCTTCAGGCAATTTTTTCTATACTTGAGCTAACACACCCCCATATAGTCTGTACTTATAACTTAATGGTCAACCTTAGCTTAACTTTAATAGTTTAGCTATTGTTATAGCAATGTTTAGTTTATAGCAATAGTTTAGCTATAGCAATGTTAGAACACTCTTGAATGGATACTTAACTTTAGTAGTTAGCTTAACTTTAATAGTTTAAATAGTATTAAATAGTATTAATAGTATTAAATTTAATAGTATTAGTATAGTAACTTTAATAGTATTAAAGTTAGCTTAACTTTAATAGTTTAAATTGGAAAATTTTGGGAAGATGATGTTTAGGCCAGAGTGTAAGTTTCCAAGATTCTGCCATTTTTCTTTGAACGTTCAGAATTTCATCAGGAAGTCTGAATTGTAAGAAAATAGCTAACATGATAAAGCTCATTCGCTAGTCCAGAGTTTGACAACCATGGCTGTGGAATTAATTAACTACTCGATTAACTATCTCACCATGAACTTATTCCCCAATCATCAATGCTCAATCCAGTGTTCTGAGAAACTCATCTGCGTCCTGCTGTTTTTTAACTGCAAGTAACATTTCAGTTAACCCTGTAGACAGAAAAGTAATTTAAGCATAAGTTCCTATGATGTAGCTGAGCAGAATTAACAAGCAGACTCTTTGTTGTTTTTTGCAGTACGTTAATGGAGGAGCTTGTTCGTGGCTATGACAACAGTTTCAAATTCTTTGTCGATACCTTAAGTCAAATTGCAACAATTTTCTCAAATAAGCTCCGAATGAGCGGTGACATATCAGCTGAAACTTTACGAAAGGTGAGTGTTTGTTAGTCTATATTAATTGTATGTGTTAGCATATGTGTTAGTTCACTTGCAAACTCATCTTTCAAAATGTACAATGATATTTGCAGATCCAGTCAGGAGCAAATACGATCATGTCAAATTACGTCACAAACAGCAAAGTGATCGATCATAATTTAATGTTTGCAAGCGACGATCTTACAGCACTCATCAAGCAATATTTGGTTTGTATTATGTTTGTACATCTTGTATGTTAGCATTGTCAACATCTTCATCACAAAAATTCACAACATTATCATTATTATTATCATCATAACCCTCTTCATATACATCTACCGGGCGCCATTTTAGCTCTAGATAAACCTAACATCTCACATGCGTTCAGAGTACGGAAAATTGTGTATACCGTTCATTATTCATGACATATGCAAAGATCACCATGTCTGAGGCCAATCTAAGTGAACATCGCAAGTGAACAATCTTAGTATCAGGTTTTTAAAAAATTCAGAACCAATATTAAGGAACAACTTATCCCATAAGAAAAAAGTTTTATGTTAATTTTAAAGCCATCCTATATTAATTTTGATTGACGAAAGACAAACAGAGTTTTCTGATTATTGTGAATGTTTTGCTGTTTCATTCCTGCCGTGTTTTGCATTTTGATTCACTTCTGTCTGTTATTGCTGATTCTGTACGGAACATATGGAAACTTTTCTTGAGTCCTATTGAATGCTGTTGTGTTGTAGTTTGATCAACGTACAATGCATTTCTTGGCATGTCGAATAGTTAAATCAAATATATTTTATTTTAGTTTGATAGAACATGTTGAAACAGGCTCTTTTCTGGAAGGTTCTTAATGTTTCTTTAGCATGTTGTGTCATCATAATCTTTTGCGTCTCCCTGCCTCCGTATGATTACATGGTACTAATCCAAAAGAAATAATAAAATTTAGGTAGTAATTTCTGTTTCCAATCCTCGAAACATTAAAGACAGTATTATAATCTTCCCTCAAGTGAATCTATGGGAAAAGCACATCCATTACGAGCTTATTGATATTTTAACACCTTCAAGATTTGTATCTTATATTTTGTTATTTTTTAATCATCTATTAAATTCGAAAGGATATAAAAGCAAACTTAAGCAATGTTGTATCTTGTAGAAAAACCAATGCTCGTTGCTTCAAATCGCCAAGAGAGAATCGTCTAACCTTTTCGATTCAGTGATACCTCCAAATTTAAAAAAGGACCAAGCTGATGAAATGAAATCAAATTTCGAAGATTTGCAAAGAGCAATATTTGCAAATGCAGAGAGCATTCGAGCTCAAACATTCTTGCACGTGAAATCTTTTCATACTACTCAAGCCGGCTACAAATATTTACTGGTACGTGACGTGAAATTAAAACTTTCAGTTAGAATTTGCATGCATGCCTTGACCATTTCTATGCCTTCGACCGAAAACATTGCTGTCAGTCATTCCAGCGGAAATACCGAAGCAGTTTATGCATCAACTATCTGACGTGTTTTATTCTTTTTCATGATTATACTTAAATGTTCTATCGTTATCAAACTAGCTGCAAATCATCTTTTGACATGGTGTAAGCCGGCGGTTGAGTAACGACATACTGTATCTAAGCTTGTTGATGGTAGTAAGATGCTACAAAAAGGTGTATCCTTGCCGTGCACATCTCGTTTTGCTTGTGATTCACTGCAGTTGTAACTGTATTGTCAGTTCTCGAGATGGAAAGTGTTACTAGCAATGCACAATTTAGAGAAAATGGAAAGGAATATTTAATATTTTAATAGTGCAATTTCTTGCGATTTCATAAAACCTTAGATGATTTTGAATAACACCTCACTGAAAAAATAAGGGTGAGAATGAAAACCTGAATCGGCTGTTTCCGGAAGGAATGTGCTTAAATTTACTGAGAAGTTGTGAGATATTTTTGATAACTTTAAGCATCGATTTTAGTAAAAAAGAAGATAAATTAAGTATTTTCCCTAACAGGTCTGGTCTAAAAATATGTTTGATCTCTGGTGCAAATGGATTTCAAAAAAGCTTTTACGAGAGCTGGATATTCTTCAAAGGTATGTAGTTTCAAGGTATGCTTATGAAGTTTGTTTTTTAATCTGCTCTCAAGAGAGGGGGCAATTAAGCACTTATGATTTAGAATCGGGGCTTGAAGAGATTGCTGCTCATAATGTCTTCGTTTTATGGATGTGATTTGTGTAAAAGAGTTCATATTGTTTGAGATATTGTAGCTAGAAGGTCCCTTAAAGGCAACGTTTCTCGTTGTGGATTGGTTAATGCACAATTCCAGCGCTCCGCCATATTTTTTACAATGCGATAAATTAAAGGGGGACTGGAAACAATAAAAAATCCCTTTGTTCTTATAATCAATCAACGTCGTGACAGATTGCCTTTAAGATTCCTTAGCCATTGGTGCCACAGAACTTCAGGATCCACTGACAGGTCTTTTGGACAAAGAGAGGCTTTGGATATGGAAAGCACAAAGTCATCTGATTATTTCTCTCTGTTTCCATGGCAATAATCTGGCGGCGTTGGGGGAAAAATTGTAAGAAGCTAGGAAAACCAGAGTCTTCTGGAAATGCGAAAAAGAAAAGTTAAGAAAAAATGCTGTGTAAGAAAGAAGATCAATATAAATTCAACGAGGAAAAGATGATGAAGAAAGGGGAAAGGGGAAATATAGAAGAGCGTAGTGTATGTAGGGGACCTATAATTGGGGGCCCAGAAGCCGCAAAGCCTTGTAAAATTCAGCCAAAACCCTCTACCCGCAAGCGCATAATATCAATTCGAAAGACGAAAAACTCATCCTAAACAAAGCTGCAATTCGCGGAAAACGATTTCGAAATCCGTAGGCGGCACGAAGAAATGATGTCAGGGCCGTGAAGCCGCCAACCGATAGTAGGCCCCTTATGTAGATATGGCTGCAGCTCTGCCAGGCAGGACGATATGAATTTTTTACCGCTCATTAGAATATTTCTAGTGACACTTTTGTTATAAGCTGAACCTTGTTGAATGTGTTATTCTGACAATTATTATTATCCCTAGGAAGCGGCTGGTGTCATCGGAAGATACAAACGAGTTAACTCTTAGAATAAAGGAAGTCTTTGAGCAAGGAGAAGAGGCTTTTAAGGACGAGCTACTCAAAAAAGCTGTTTTGTTGCAGAAAGAGACGACATTTGATAACTGGAACATTTATGAAGCCTTGGTAAGAGAGGTTATACCTGACTGGAAATGTCAGTTTGGTTGTTTGTTGAACCATAAGTATTGCCTGTTAACTAACATCTTTCCTCTTACTGAGCACCGTGGTTTTTTTTAAGGGAACTGAGCTAAGGACTGAATTACAGCAAATATCTGTCGATCAATCGCAAGGCAATTCAAAGCCTGTTAAAGGTTTGTGTTTGATACCTTTTCTGGCTTTTAGCACATATTTCTTCAAATTGACACTGTTTAAATACACTTATTTAGTTCTTTGCAAAAGGTAAAAATTTCACTTCTTCTTTCTCCAAATATCTCCAAAGCCTGAGTTATGATTTTGGTAATCCTTCCAACCTCCAGCAGCTGGGGGTCCTATTCCACTTTTAGATTTTACAAAGTTTGCCAGGCTTTTTAAAATGAAATTTCCAGTTATCTATAATATACAAAGCTAGATCGGGTAAGGCCAAATAATTCTGCAGGGAAAAAAAAGATTCACTACTATTTAAAAAGGATTTTTCTCCAATTCATTGAGTGATTAATTAATGCACTAGGTTCAGTTCAGTTCAATTCATATATTAATAATTCCACTACATACAATTTAATAATAACCAACAAGACTACAAGGAAATAAGACAATGTTCAAAGGAGATTATTACAAGGATACAATATAAGACAAAAGTGGGGAAAAATTGTATGCAGGGAATTATTCAAAGGAGGAGCTCTCTCAATAGGTAAACTAATCGAGGAGAGAGCCCCCCCCCTATTTGAATAATTTCAAGTGAATTTGGTTGGATGTGAATAATGGGGCAATTCCAGCTAAACCCAGCAGGCAACCACCAGATCACAATCCAAATCTAGGTATTGTTTTGTATTGTTTTAAAGTTAGGTTCAGTTTAGGCTGTTGCAAGATTCGGTTTGTTAATTTGTGTCCAATCTAAAATAGCTGTTGGTACTATATCTAGTAACAATGAAAGATTTCAAAACCTATGATTAGCAAAGGTACACATTGTATCCACTGACCACTGGTTTTATGCACCTTTTACTTTGCCTTCAGATGCTATGGAATTTATCAAAAAGAGGTGTTCGGTTTACATGGACAAGACAAAAATGTATGGAGAGAAAACAGAGGAACGAGAGAAAGAGGTTATTTCCTTTCTAAGCTTCCTTAACTCAACTTTCCTTTCTTGAAATGGATCTGCCAGTATCAAATATCAGCGTGTTGACAACATTTTCTTTTGTATTGATGTCTTGACTCTTTTTTACAGACTATGAACAAAGCCCTCGAAGTGATACAAGAAGTTAGATCATATCAGATAAAGGATATCATCGGGAATATTGAGCTGCTTATCATCAAATATTTTTCACGAACCCATGGTGAGTTGCTGCAACTGTTTAACACCGATTTGTTTCATGGTATTATTAGTTAACCCTTCATTATATGTTAATTTTTTGCTTTTATTTGTTTTTGATATTCTTACATCATTTGGTGTACGTGGTTCGTAGCATTCAAATTTGGCGTACTTCAAAATTCTCTATACTACTTGTAAGTTTCTAGAATAGTTTTTTGAGCATAAGATATCACTTCTTATGTTTCCTGCTAATTTGCAGCTGTGCCTAAGAAAGCAGAAGGCAAGGGAAACCCAGCTGAAAATGGTAGTGTTAAAGAGCACCGAGGTTCTAAGGAGGATGCGATGAGGACCTTGCTTGAAAGTCTTGAGGATATACAGGCAGATTGCAGTGAAACAGAAACAATCACGGGCTCTTCAACTGAAGACTACTTTGAAGAAGTTCAGGTGAGCTTTAGTAAGATTTATTCTCTCTTCCGATAGCACGTTTCTAATCTGTGTGATTATTATCCTTCGTTTTCTTGCAAGTCTAATTACCATCCTTGCTAGCAACTGCGAATATTTTCATCTTGCTTTCTGCTTGCAAAAGAGAAAGCATGTTGATTGCTGTATGCGTGTTAATGTGTGTGTTAATCAGAGAAAGCGTGTCAATCAGCTAAATTACACCGTTTTCAGCTTCTGTTGAATATGTTACTCAATCTGATGTTTTAATTTTTATCTCGCCCCACAGACGGCTAGAGCTGATATTCAGAATTTAGTAGCATTGTTGCTGCAACAGTCGGACAAATTTGGCGAGGAGCCTTTGGTGTACTGCCGATTTCAGCTGAAGTAAGAAATTGTCTCTTGCTTTTTAATTGACATACGGATTTAATTGTAGCCACATAATATAATAAACTGATACAACCTTGCTTATAAATTTATTACCGATGGCTAAAGTCAGCGATCATTTTAATGGTTTTTGTTTAACATTTTATTTTCTGTCCTCCCATTCTCGGTTATTCCAAACTTCAAAATCTTTTTTTACGGCTCATTTAATGTTGAGGGTTGCTTATAAAGTCCTTTGTTGTGTTGTATTTTTCTATCCAGCCCATTTGATAATATCTTGGTTTCACCCATATACTGTGTAGATGAATCCCAAATCACATCGCGTTTATTTCACTGTTAGCTCTATTTCTATCTTCATATTTTCATAGATCACTGCTGTATTTCTTGAGAGAGCTTTCCCTTCCTAAAATCAAGTCAACTGTCGATGCCTGGAGTAGCTACCTTCAACTGACTTTGACAGAAGTGTGAGTCTCTTGAGTTTGCAATCATGCCCAAACTTACGTTGGCATTTCCTCTTCATGTAAAACATCAATAGCTTACGTTTTTAATTTTATGCAACATAAATTTTCAAAAAGGTTTTGATCTGTTTTTGAATCAAATAGATAATTTAGCTAATATTTTGAATAGAGATTATTTTTTCTGAAAATTCTTCAGACATCTTTGGAATTCTGTCATGCTTACAGATGTTTTAAAAACACATCATTATGGTACCCAGTTTTCCTTACACTTCAAGCTCTCAACTTAAATTTTCAATAGTAATATTGTTTATCTATTGCAGATTTGTTCGAAATGAACTGAAGCACTGTTCGCCTGTGAAACCTGATCAATCGACAACAAATGGAGAAGACCAGGTTTTTTTATCATTGCTAATTTTCATTAACTGTTTCTTTTATATTTTTAAACGTTATGGCAACGAGCTTCTCTACCCATCCAAAGGCGATTTTCAAATGCATTTTAGGGCCTATAAGCTAGAAAATACCCTACCTCATTGGAGTCAAAACCACGCCTAAGTGTGTTGGTCTTGCTAATGGGTGTGAACCAATTGATGAGATTTAAATGTAACTTTGAAAAGGAATCCCGTTTTGAGATGTATTTTATTGGTTGAAGTATTGATATTTTTTCCTGTTAGTTAACTAGATTCTCTGCTTTATAAGAATTGATCATTTGATATTTTTCTAGGTAGATTTTCTAAATTATCCAGCGTAGTTTGCACTCTTTAATCATTCGGTGTTCTGAACAGGTTATATTTTGGTTCAAATCTTTGGATTCTATCACAAGCAATGAATTTGAGAAATCAAGGAAGCAGTTTCGTATTTTTGTCGATCAGCAAAAGGAGGTAATGTTCATACTGCGTATTATCGCCTGCAAGCATTGTGTTTTACAATGTTTTATCCAAAAGATGATTGATCATTTGTAACCAGCAATTGTTAGGGATGTAAAGAAGACAAAATTCGTGAATAGTTAATTGATAAAAATGTACACTGATAAGCCATAGCATCAATTGTGAACCGTTGCATCAAATTGATTGAACGTAATTTGCAATGCGGATTATGATTGAAAATACACTCTTCGCTGCTTTGAATTAAATTTGATTTGGAACTAGGTGATTAAATCGCTTGACTAATGAAGTTTGATCGCAACTGGGTTATAGAATCATTTGATATGACAACATTAGGTTATGAATCCCCAACAATTGTTTTGTTTATGTGCTATTACCCTTTTTTGCATTTTTAAGCGCGCACCATACCTCCATGATGAGTTTTCTTGTGAGCTAGACCAAAACAATCGAAAAATGTAGGCATAACTTAGGGAATTGATATTTCGTTATTTTTCACTAATTGACTTTATTTCTACTTTCAGGTCTATTTACTTAACGATTCATTCATATTCTGTAAAAATCTTTCCAATTAAATAACGAGAATATGCCATGAGCAATCTTAGTGTGTTGAGGAAATTTTTAGAGGTCTAAAGCACGTCAATGTTTGATATACTCGCGAATTAATGGATTATCACAATTTTCATATTTTTTTCATAATACAAGCCTTGTTATCTATTTAACTTTTAGCAACTACATGGTATCTTCAATGAGCAAATAGAATGCTTGAATAAGATATCGAAGGACTATATTTTCAACGACCTGCAAGAATACAGCAACTACGTTCGTAGAGTGAGTATTTTCTTTTATATTTGGCGGCCTATTCAATGCAGAATGATATAATTCGTACCTCGAACTTTATTCGGTAACAAAGGTTGTAGAAATATGTCAGAAACGAAATTTTCACCTCACTGTGCCATGTTACGATTTCTTTTTTTATATCTGAAACATTTTTGTTGCATTGGTTTAAGATCTCAAGTTTGTCCTAGAAGACTCCCAGTCTTCAACTCAAGACTCGCAAAATCTCAACAATATTCAACATATTGCTATTTCATTCTATAGAATGCCGCTTTAGTGCATTATTCTTTGTCGATGAAATTATGTAGTTGTACCAAGGCAGATGAGTTACCTTTAATCATCTGATGCCTGTTACTTTATTTATTCAGATCAACTCCCTGAAAACGGAATTTCTAATAGTACACCAATTTCTGGTCAAAGCACTTCATGTCATTGATAGCAAACAACATCTCTCTGATCCGGAAGTCAGAAATTGCTTCGTGAAATTTGAAAAGGTAATTTTTAATCTTTCGGTTGCCCAGAATCATTATAATCATTTATGAGGGTTACATTTACAGCATCTCAAAGTGGAATCTCCTAAAAAAGCTGCAATTGTTTGAGTTTTAGCTCTTTTGTTGATTCTTAGAAATCTTGAGTTGACATAGTAAAGTCAAAATAAATAAAATGAAATTTTATAATCAATTTCAGCTCATAGTTATACCATATGCTACGAATAGTCACGCATAAATGTTTGCCCTGCTTTTCTTACAAAGACCAGGTATTTTCAGAATATTACAAATTTCATTCAGTGTAGATTTTCTAGAACCTTTACTATTAATCGTGAAAAATAATAACAAGTGCTATGACCGTTAGAGAAAGAAATAGGTGTTGAAAGTTTCCTTTACCTTATATGATAAAACAAATTATTGTTATGCTTTCAACAACATTTCCTGTTAAAATATAGGCTACAAATGCACTTACTTCAGAAGATCAAAGCGAAGAAAAGCTAGATAACAACAAGACAAGGAAGGTATAGTTACCTCTAGTTATCAAAATTGTATTTTTAGTGTTGCTGAAATTATACCTTGTTTAGTATTGAACTTTCGTTGGCTGATACCCATAGTTCTCTATTGCAAATCAGAGTACCGTCCTACACAGAGTCACGTTTTGAATACAACATCTCAATTCCATCCTACGTCGCACTTTTTAAAGTTTTCTGCATGATTGTTCTAGTTTCATCATTTAACAAAATCGAATATCTAGAATTGCACATTCGATGAAGTCATTATCATCATATCTTTCAGGAAGTGCGTGAATTATTGAAAAGCTTTCAGAAGGACTGCGAGTCTTTTCAGTTGCAGCAAAACTTAGGCACTACTGGGAAATTGGATGAGCTCTTATTTGACGAAGAAGGGATTGTTGATAAGATTATGTCGTTGATCAGGAGTAAACAACAGCAGGACTTTCAAATTGACAGACTTGAAAAATTACAAGCAGAGGTATTCATTAAGACCGATTTGCCATAGCAGTTGACTACATTTTAAGCTTATTTTTCATGTATGTGGGTCTGTTGCATCATGCACAAATCGTATTTCCAAAGCTTTTGGTTCATCTATTCATTCATTCATTCCTTCATTCATTCGTTCATTCATTCTTTTTCCCATTACTACATGTATTCGTTGATTTTTACTTTAATAATACACGTTCATTGAATATTTAGTGAGGGAAATCAGAAACTAAGCTGACAAATTTTCAATTGCTGATGTAGTCAGTTCGAATTTTTCACACCCCTTAGTTTCATAAATGTAATATATTTTTGTTTGCTTTCAGAATCTAAGTTTGCTTGCTAACTTGCGAAAGATCGACAAGCTACCTGATTCCACATTAACGCTGCTGGTCAATGTTCTTCACAGTCATGTGTGCGTATTTGCTGTTATTTTTGCACATCGTATTGAACGAGCCACTTGAAGGAAAATCAACTAAATCTAGTTTCTTTAATACCCAAGACCACTGCATTTATATCAAAATTAAATTCTATTGCGAACAATAAGTTCAAGAGACGTTTTACCTAAGGTCAATTCGTTGTTTCTATGACTCAATATGTTTTTGAGTTTTAATAACATGTTTGTGAAAGAGCTAACCGTTTTAATATGTGGCTCTAATGTATTGCAATATTTGCAGGACCAAAGAACGGCTGGATGAAATGATGACGTCAATTGATGGACCATCGGGACGTAATTACTATTCAGACCTCGTCAGGTGAGAAACGTACACAACCATTACATTATTCACAAACTATACACAACTCTTTTGCCCACATGATAATATATAATAAAAATCATGGAAGATTACTGTAAACTTTTGCTTTGAATACAGAATTGTACACGTTGTGTAGAACGGCACGGTTCTGTTGCTACTCCGTGTTTAACTTTCAATTCGACCCTTAGGCAACTAGTCTAAAAAGAATGTTAATAGTTATCATAAAAAACTCACTTACATCGAAGCTCCCTTTTCAGCCTGCCATATTTTCAGACAACTCCTGACACCCTGATAGCACATGGCCTACTATTTTAAAAGGAACTGTGAGCTTCCTTGAGCAACAGCAAGTAGAAGCATGGCCTCCTTTCGCTTCGACATCCATCAGAATATTCCACGTGCATTAGAATGCATTTTTGCTACCAATACCCAAGGGTATACTTTTGAATAAAGAGGAAATAAAGGACCAGTAAGGGCTAGGGATGCTATGCAGTTGTTTTCCCCTGACAGCAAGGCGGTTAACTTTCATTACTGCCAAAGGCATGGATGATTAAATTATTGTGAATAGTTTTCTCTTGATAATTTCAATTTAAAGAAGAATTTATACTTTTTGTTATCGATAGTATTCTAAATTCATTGCACATTCTCTCAAGTTTGTTATAATTCCCCATCTACTCGATAAACGTGCGCTCTTTGGACTCATTCCCGTTGGAGCAACACCTCAGACGAAAGTGCTTTTTCGTGATATTTTTCTCAATAAATGAAGAGACATTTTTAATCCCCTTGCTTTACAAAGTCAAGGGCTCAGCAAATGAAACATCTGAGGAAATTTTTTGTCTGTTTCGAAAAAAACCAAAGCTTCGTCGTACTGTCTTCGTCGCATCTGATACATTGTTAATTCTAACCCATATGACGAAGTCTGGCAAAAAAACAATGTGCAGCCTTTAAGTGCAAGATCTATGACAGTTGATAAAGTCACACATTATTCAACCTGATGACCATAAAACTAGAAAAATATTATTCGCAATTCGTCTAGTAGGAAGCCTTTAAAATTTAGGTTTTTAGTTTAAAGTTTTGCTAGCGCCGACTGTAGCAGTCGATGTTAAATATGGTGACAATGAGTATAACGAATTTACCATCTGAAGTATGAAACATTTTTAAACCAATTTTCGCAGATCTCTTGTAAATGAAGATCATTCTAATGAGAAGCGCAAGGAGGACGATGAGACAAACACTGAAGTTCCCAGAGAAAACAAAAAGAGGTTTGAACACAACTTTTAGTTTTCTTTAGAGTTCTTAAATATGACGTCATAAAAACATAGTTTTAGCTCGATTTTATTTTTAATCATAAGAAAGAACACAATGAATTTCTCTGAAAAAATGCAAGATAAGATAGATATGTATTTAAAGTTTTGAAATTTAGCCAATAAAGGTTGGAAAATTGCTAGTGTATTACTGTTATTTGGCTTTGTTCTTAAAGTTTAAAGCTGAAACCAAAATACAGTGATTGGCGGGGAAAGAGCCTGGGCCTGTTTGGCTGTACCTTAGACAATTTGAAACTGTTGGCTCCATAATTGGTCCTACAAAAAGACGGCATCCTAATGTTTATTGTTGAACAATTTCAAACAAATCTACATACATTTCCAGGAAAAATATGTCTCCTGTTAATTAATCTAACATCTTTTTGCAGGAAAAAGGGAAAGAAAAAGAAGAAGAATGTAGTTGACCCAAATATTTAGAAGTAGATTTTATTGTTTATTTTATTGAGCATTGGAATTTTTTCAATTAATTTAAGCATATTTTTTTTTTCTAAAACAATTTATAATTTGTTTTGCCATTGTTTTTTTGTAGTTTTGCTAGCATCTGAGGCATACAAGTTATTTGTTTAGTTTGAAATACTGCGGAAACAAATACAAGCCAATTTAGATTTCACATTATCATGCTTTTCAAACATTTTGATGCATTAACAGATTTATCATATCACTGAAGTGTATTTATTCAACACATTTAGAATTTTAAATCAATTTGTGTAATGCTTATTTGTAATTTATAATGTTATATCAATATCTAAACTAAATTTATCAAGATGTAAGAATACATCATGCAAATTAGCAGCTTTTGAACTGTATTTATTATTTTCTGTTTGACTTCGACTTCACCAAATTATTTAGTTGTGTTCACACTTATGATAAACAAAAACCTAAGTTTAAATTTAGCAAAACCATGTTTACAGTTATTTTCGAAAAATAGAAAAAATTAGTTTGTAACCTCTCATTTTGCATTTTTAGTGGAAATAGGCAGGGTTTTCATGTTTCATTTTTAGACAATTGTTTACATTTACTTTGACCTAAAGCAAAATTTAAGTGAACAAATAAAAACTTCAACCCAGTATGAAAAATACAATATAATGTTCCTGGAAATGTTAATTGAACTAACTAAACATTTTGGACTTAATTTTGCCAAATAGAAAAGAAACAGTGTTTGCTTGTATATCTTTTTCCACATCTGGCAAATGTTTTATTATGGTAAAAATAAAATGAGCAGATCAGGTGCAAATAGTGAATCTGTTTGCAGGTTTCCTTTTTAGGAATAACACCAATGATTCTAAAATACTCTGCAACCATGAAAAGCCTTATATCAAATACGGCATGAAAAAGTAAAATGCTAAATGCAAAGCTTGAGAAAGTGTGATCTTCATCTGATATGGTTTATGTAACAGTCAAGAACTATCAATACATCCACCTAAACACGCTCACTGAGGAAATAATATAGACAACAAACAATGTCCTTTATCACCCATAATGTCTTAAAACTTCCAGTACAACTAGACTCTGGTACAATACATAGATTAAGATGCATAAAAGCAATGGACAATGGTTGAGTTGGTCAAGGTGAAGTACTTACAAAAAGGTAGATTAAAAGGATAAAACTAAAAGATCTATTTTAAGAAGGTATATAGTAAAAATGCAAAATATTTTACAATGGCAATGGCAGACTATCCATTTCAGAATAGCAGTCTTTATAGTATTCCTTGTATGCTTCATTTTCCTTTACCAGAACAACACTGGTCGGCCTTTTTGTCTGACTTGCTAGTCCAAGGTCCTGATAACAAATAGATTAAAAAATTATCTAAACCTTGATTCTCCAGGTTTCTGGTGGAAATTGTAAGTGAAAAGGTAAGAGATAATTGCAGTTTGGGTAAAATCATGAATTAGGCTTTTTACTGAGTCAGTGAAATTAAGAAATTTATGACTATCAGATTGAGACATGAATTATTTATTGAATTAATACTTGAGCATCAAAGATTATTTGGTTATTTGTGATGTTTCTAATCACATCAAATTTTGAACACCACATCATACAATGTTTTATAGGGTTATTAAATCTTAGTCCTGAACTTTTTCGTTTAGAATTTTCTACATATCAATATCTAGGTAATTTTCTGTGAAAAAACTTTTTTTGCTTAACATTTATTACATACTAGACATATTTTGGAATAAAAACTCAAGATAATGACAATGTGGAAATCCAATTGATATCACACTTTGGTGCATGCCTTTTTTCTTAGAGAATGGTTTTTTGAAATTTGACCTAGCTTTCACATTTAAAAAACTGACAAATGAAAACATGACAACAAAAATTTTTGACAACAAAAGTAGCATAATTACAGAAATTTTTAAAGCAAACTAAGCTTGCGTTTACATGACACATTGCTAGGGTTGGATCAGAAAGGGTCCATATGAAAGCCTAAAACAAGTACAAAAAACAGACCCAAAGTGGTTATGATTCAAGAAGTCATATACCACAAGCAAGAAAAAACAGCACCAGATTGGTTATGGATCTGTTTGAGGGTCTAAAAGTGTCATCTAGCTATATAAATAGGGTTAAAATAATTTTGTTTGGTGTCAGCTGATTTTCCAACTTCTTTTAACTTTACATAACAGTAATCCTGAAATGTAAGGTGACATGTGATTTGCCGCAAACCTACAAACATATTTCCTGCAAGGCCTGAGACGTGGCTTTCTAACAATACATTGGTCAAACATACAGGCAAAGTGAGCCCCTTCATTTATATCAGATCCAAATTTATGTTTTATGATAACTTTGTTGGAATCTTGGAGAGAATCTACTATCAGAAAAGTCACTCCTATAAAAGTACAAATTGGTAAGTCACTGACCAGTCTACTTGGCACAAAGCAATATGGCATCTTATTGTTTTCACAGAGAATTGGAAGGTGTGAAATGACATCTATTGGTGAAACATCTCCAGCCAAGATAACAAATCTGCAATATCAATACATAGAAAACTACCCTTAGTTAGGATGTATATTTCATCAATGTAGAAAATTGTAATCAGAGAAAGAGTAATTACGGGTTAATGGTTACTTTCTAAACAAAAATGAAACTACAAAGCAAAGACAGAAGATTGAATGAAGTAGAACATACATAATCAGTTCAACTGGAGCACTGTAGCGATTTAGACCTATTTGCTTAAGTTAAAAAGCTATTCATCTTTTGAAATTGCATCATATAATTTTTAATCCAGAAAATGAAAATACAATAAATAGTGTTACCCTTTTTCATTCTTGCGAAGTGCTTTTGCAACCTCCTTTACTCCTCTTCTCAAGCATTTTTCTTTTGTAGCTATGAAAAGATTTTTTTATCAAATGATGTTAGGCAGTGAAACAAAAGGAACACATCTGTACAAAAACTAGTTAACATTAAGGAAAAGGTACATTTAAGGGGCTAGGAGGCATATATGCCCTCAACGGATACATGTGGGACTCTCATGAGAATGAGGAAAGGCCCCTGCCTGATGATCATTATATGAAAATTCTTGTCAAGAGAAATAATGGCTTATCTTTACAGTGGTAGAAGCATATCTTAGTCGTGCCAATCCTTTTAGCTTAAAAGATAAAAGTTAAAAGCTTTCCGGCCAACAACAGATTTTATGACATAATATTCCCCACTTCAAGACAGTTAAATTATACCCCTGAATGTGGGTAAATTCATGATTGCCTGTGGGCAATAAAGTGAAATTTTCACAGGAAAATTAAAAAAATAATAAATAGTGGAACTAGTGGACTTAAAAGAATTCTTTGCTAGCTATAAAACATGACGAGAGACAATCCGAATCAGCAGTTTATAAATTAGTTTTGTTTGACACATTGAGGTACAGAATAAACTTTACTTGATGGAAAACGACTCTTCTACACAGAAAAATCTTTGGCAACACAACACAGACCATAATAATTTTTGGGTATTATAATTTGAGCATTTATCAAAGGCTAGGTTACATTCTCATATAATACTTTTCCAATCACCCTAAGACATATAGACGATGATTTGATTGCATTTTTGTCGTTGTTTAGATAAAAAAGAAGAATGATCTAAGAGGTAACTAGAGTGGGACCTTTAGTAAATTAATGCAGTTAATCAACAAAAGTATCGTACATAATTATCAATAATATACGGCCTAACCTTTTTTGACGGTTTTGTAGAGCTTCTTTGTCAGTTTCTTGCTTGCAAGGGGCTTTGAGATAATGCTTACTTTTTTAACAAGTTCTTCGTATGACGGTCTGTCTGATATCTCGCTGCTTGTCGTTGTATCAAGCTTTGATTCAGAATCTCCGTTCTCTTCGTCTTTAGTTTTTGATTTCCTTCCCATTTTGTTGTCAACTAAAGAACGTGCACATGCTCTGCCTCGATCCCACAAGTACTTGAAAGAGGTCTGGGCACTAAAAAGTTGTGGTGTGTAGTAAGTTGTGTTGTTTTTTGTTGTGTTATGTTGTGTTGTTGAGGGCCAATTCAGCCATTTAAAAAGGTCTCTACATTCAAAAACTGACATTTGTTGCTATATTAATTTTAAGCTGTCAGCATTGTACTGTTTGTGTCTTTCGAAACCTGCTAACTCCGGATGTACCCTTCCCCCTCCCCCGCCCTGACATCTTGCGCAAGAAGAAGAATAAATAATTTTTTCACTTTACTGTACACTCCCCTCACGAAAGTATCCAGACAGTTTCGAATTTAGTTGCGAATCTGTTGTTAGAGAAATTTACAAATTTCAAAGTCAGTTTTCATGAAAACATTGGCCTTTACTCTATTTATTCGTCGAGAAAAAATCTTATCGATATGTAAGGAAACTCTGTGAGGGTTTTTCCGCAAGATAGTAGCGACCGAAACAAAAGAATTGACTTCTGCGCAGTGTCTAGAAATAACGTTTTATCACAATGATGGGAAAAAAGTTATCATTAAACTGCTAGCATCATTGGATGCACAAAGACTGCAGTTTCGAGATATCCAAAAAAATTGACACACAAGAAGTCTAAAAAAATTTTTCACGGTCAAAAAGAACAAGAGCTCTTGCGCCATCAATGTCTGAGAGTTCAAACCATAACTAAATTTGCATCAAACCTGGTTTGCATCATTGCGCAAAATTGCATGAAATATTCACAAACAATTAAACTTTTAAAAGCTGTCGATAAATATTGCAAAGAAAATGATAAAGAATTGTGAATGTACCCTCGTATCAGCCAATTACATCAAGACTTGCAACGGTAAAGAAATAATACGGCTTTATTGCCCTGAACTGAATGATATGTCTGCTTTGCAAGAATGTTTTTGATAAGGTAAAATAAAATGTATAATCGATCGGTGACAAAGTATTTTTTCTGCGCGGGGAACGCCAGAACAATAATTTTGAAATTTGCGGATAACGAACGGAATTTGAAGCTTCGAAGAGGCCTAGTATTCTTTGTTTTTTCTTGCTATCAGAAGTTTAAACAGTGGAATATTCGCGGAGAACATGGCCAGATAAACAAATATTGTGTGCGGAATCTATGGTTGATTCTTGATAATGCGCAGGCGGAATGAAGGATAACAAATTTTGTGCGGGGAACTTTTCAGTCTGGAACACGTTGTATTTCTTTTTATTCGAAAATATGTGCCTCAAGAACCAGTTTGTAAAAATTTACCATGTTTTATTGGCCTATTTAAACTGAGTCCAAGTCACCTGACTTTGCTGTTCTTCGCTTATTTGACAACAGTTGATTTGCGTAAGGCTTGTAGCGCAAAGGTTTATCATTTTAACAGAAAATGATAACAGATAAAAAGCGCAAAAGTTTTGCAACATTTTAATGTTCTGGTTTGCCACAGGTTGATGTGGGGGTGTGGCAAAATCCCAGTGGTACAGCTAGCTTTTAACAACCGATCGTTCTATACAAATAGGCCTGTCACTATAGGGGGGCGTGTGTGGTGTGGAACCCCACAAAAATTCCATTGCAAAACGAGGAGTCTTGTGCCATCTAACGGTGATTGGTCTTGGTCTGCAAATTGAGGATGGCTCATTCACCTTATCGACAAATGGGGCTTGTAAACCCCCCTTGAGCACAATAGCTAGCGATGGGCCTGTGTAAAAAGGACTCAACAGTATGAGTTGCATTACCAGTTGAGTGTACGCTTTAAATAGCGTATCTTGTAACTACTACAAAAAAATAGTTGGTTGCTTTTTTCATTATATTTTTATGGATCATTGAATCATTATTAAGTCATACCTATCAAATAATATTTTAATATGCCGCAGACAAGTACATTTCAAAATACCCCCAAGGTTTTTTATCCTATTTCGTCTAACACAAAACCACGTGTGGTTTCAAGACTCTCTTGTGGCTTTTGATTCTGTCTGTAATTTTTTTGTATTTTTTCTAGATCCAAATTTTCTAGATGCAATATTATCTACACGATATTTTCTAGTTTTCTAACATAACAGCTTAACTGGAGAGGAAGATCAAGGTCAACAGAAAGGAAAGAATCATGAATATGCGCGGAGGAAGTCAAAATTTGAATGTAAATTTTGCCAAAAAAGAAATCAAGATATGATGTACCTTAAGAAGTGTAATGTGGAGAAGATTAAATACGCAAGAAATTTTCAAAATATCTTCGAATTTCTGGAAAAGATAACATTAAGCAAGTACACTTTTTGTTAAATTCTAGTAGGGGGGTAATATTCCAACCATTCTGCAATCATAAAATAGTAGAAGGCATGCCTCATGTTTATCAAAATTAGGGATTAAAAGACAACCACAGAACACACGATTTCCCAACTCTGTTTTTAATAATATATCATTTTCAGTACAAAATGCTAAAGCTGAATTAATATTCTAAGAAAAGTCTATGTACAATTTGATATAAAGAGCCAAGAAAACAACAAACCCACATGTAGCCAATTTCAGGCACACATTAACAGTCAAAATTGAAAGAAATCCAGTTTCTACAATATTTTTTTTAAACAGGCTAAGCTTCACCTTCCAAGGCACAAGTCTTCCAATTAAAGAAGTACCCTATATGGATAAATGGTTGTAAAAACCATCCCTTGCTGCTTCTGTACAAGACTTATGAAAAACACTCAATTTAGCACTTGTTTGACTTTATAACTTTGTTGCAAAAGGCAATTTATGCAATCTACTCTCTGTAGAAACTGCAACTTATTGCAGACATTTTCCAGTAACATCAAATCACAAGTTCCAAAAGAAAACAGTTGCAATAAGGAATTCTGTAGTGGGCAGAATGCAAAAGGGGATGTGCTTAGGTATATACTTGGTCGATTTTTGATCAAAAATTTCAGACAGTTGCCTTTTTGAATCCTTCAAAATTTGATAGAGGGCAATATAGACCATAAGGATTTCAGTAGATGGGTTGCAAACTTACCAAACAGGCTCAAAATGGGTACCTTTTTCATAATATGCTCCTCTTTAGCAAGGCATTGTATCATTATCTAGCCTAGCGTGTCCCTGCACAATGAGGTAACTAAGTGTCCCCAGGTACAAAACAAAGAAATTGCAAGGGCTCTTAGCAGTTTCCTATTAAAAATGCCTGCAAAATGCTAGTGCCTGTATTATTTAATTTTTTCAACTACCATCAACGTGCAAAAAACATTCAAATATATGAAAAAGCACATACAAAATGTCACATTTAATGAAAAATTTACAACTATCAACAATTTATCACAACCAGTAACATAAATTAAACAGACAGATGACTTTGGGAAGTGCCAACCTTTTCATTCAACATTGTCAGATATGAATTTTCGATTCAAAATCATGAAAGTAGCTCCATCTTGTTTTGCCAGTATTGATTTTGCTATATACAATCCTTTCTACATTTTATACTCACAGAGTACATTTCAACTTGAAGATTTGCATATTTTATTCAAATAGCAAATATTTTTCATATGGCACATAGCTTTTGTCATTTCATGCTGCATTTTGAAAATAAGCAAAGACAACATAAGACCTAAACCTCAACAATCAATCTAATTGATCATCCAAGTAACAGCATTTAAATGCAAAACATTTCATTTTGTCAGCCCTAGCCTTTGTCAGTTCCACATTCAATAAAGAGCAAAACAAGCTCACAAATCATAGGCAGGGGGCATAGGGGGTAGCTCAAGATCTACAGGAAGGTCATCATACATCAACTCCATAACCAGTTCATTGTCAGAGTCAGAATCTTTCTTTTCACAGGTGCATTGCAATAGGTTCAGAGTTGTGGCTATCACTGCATTAACACCAGCTCCAACAACAAGATAAAAGGCAATATTCAATGAAACCTTGATTGTTTCTCCAGGCTTTGCTTCATTATTTTCTACTTCCAGGACAACCATGTAACAAACAACCATGATGGTGACACATAAAAGCACTGAAAAATAAGAGAGAAATCTTTGAAAAAATGTAGGTGTCATTGGCATTCAAGAGGAATAGAAATTGCTCATGAGGATGGAAATTATCTGCCCCCCTCCCCTCCACCCCTCGGGCCACATAGAACCTTAAAACATACAGGTGTGAATAAAAAAAATTGGGGACTAAAGTTTATAAATTTATAGTTTAAAGAAGGAAAAATACATTTTTTTGGCTAAATTATACTGGAGTTCCTAGTTCTATGATCTTAGCCATTTTTGTATCAAATTCTTCATTGCCAAAAACTATATCAAATTAACGAGGATCATCAATTGTTGTTTTGTATATTCTTTTTGTTAGGCTGTATTTATTAGCAAGTAGAAATTCTAGCATTTGTTTACAATGATGGTATTTTTACACAGTCCAAATATGTTTCTTGACTGACCTTTCCAAATGTTATAACATTCAGTGCCTCCCCTGGGAATCATTAGTGACGACATATGAAAGGAGAACCTCAATAATGTACTGATCTTTATTCATTTTTAATCTTTATTTCAACGGATTTGAAACAAGAAAAAAAACACGATGCTTAATATATAAACTTGTTTGATATCATGAAACCCCACTGCTCCTAGAAACTTTTCACCCTACTGTTGTAAAGACTTTATGTATCTTTCTGGGTTCTCAGGGCAGAGATGATGGAGACACCATGTTGATGTTTTTATATCTATTTGCACTATTAACATAAGCCCTTTTATTGACATACAGGTCGATTATTATTAATTGATAAATCCATGTGAGTTATGCTTTACCCCACTCCAGGGAGTGGCTATCTCTATATGACCTTTCCCTTGGAGCTCCTTCTCTTAACTGACTAACTACTGTTCTTGCTATCTGAGCCAGTAAAAGAGCTTACCCTTCCAACAACTGCACAAAAATGTCAAAATCACTTGATTTGGCATTTGTTCATCAAAACTTCTTACCTTGATGTTGCAAGGACTGTAGAGCATATTAAAGATAAACATTTTAAGGGGGCTAAAACATTTTGGAGGGCTACACATTCTAAAAACCAAGAGCGATTTTTGGTTAGTTCTAAGTACATTTTGAAAATTATTGGGCTAAAGCCCACTAGCTCGTTGCTTCCATGGTCCCTGCCTTGTTGTACAAATTAAAATGGGACATAAGAAAGCATCTAAAAAGCCTTAAAAATTAGATAAAAATGCAGAACATACAAAAGCACTCATTAACATATATCAGTTATTTGGTATGCAGTAGTTCCAATACCATCCTCTTCACCCTCTTCTGTCATCAAGCACCTTTCTATAAAGACTTTACAGAAAACTATTTAAACAAACACTACCTGCAAGTATGTCTCCAGTTGCATTTTTTCGAATCACTCTCCAACCCCTGGCTGTTGTTCCCCAAGTGTCTAATGTGAACTGTAGGAGACTGAAAACCATTCCAAGAACACAGCAAGATGCAATAAGTCTCATTTCAAACACCACATTTTTGTTCATGCAGAAGACATCTAGAAAAAGGAAACAATCTCAACTTTAAACATTATATAACAAATTTACAATTTAGTGATTTTACCATTAAAGATTGACTTTTACCAGAATTTTTACCAGAAGAAAGATTTTACCAGAAAAACAAGCATAAATCATCAATCAAAGTTGACCTATCATGGACTACAAAAATACCCATTATGAGGAACGATAAAAGGTTGTCACTTTCACCAAAGTAAAAAAGCAAAAATATGATTTATAATGAAATTAGTATGTGCAGACCTAGCCGTTTGAGGCGGGCGATAGCCTACACGCACCTCCACCCTAGCCTCGGGTAAGCTATTCATTGCTCGCCTCAATGTCAGCTCGCACGTTAACCGTCTGCCTTGGTCTTCCTTTTATTTCTCAACACCTCTTGAAGTAAATTTTAAAATATTGATAGTAACTGTATCCCCTATGTTTTGACTTAGAAATAACATTTTAATCTCTCAGTAATCTCTCATTTTTAAATGCAATTGGGAAGAAAATCTTTTGAATGGTTTCATTTCAACCAGAATGCTATTTCGAAGGCCAATTGAGTATTCCTAACATGTGAAACCCGATCATTTCAACATGGCAAAACCAGAAAGGATCAACTGTTGAGCTAAGAACTTTCGAAAAATATGACAACAGGGCTGTTCTTGGAAGAAAATTTGAGGAGATAGATGGAAAGAAGATGGTTATGTTTGTTTGGTGCAAACTTTGCGCTAAACATAAAGCTTCTATTCTCTTGAACCTGCTTTGCAAAGGCAGTGCAAAGGCGGCTGTTGAAGCCTACATCAATGGAATGAACTTGGAATGTTGTTGACTTGCGATTATATGAAACTGTTGTTTTATTTTTGTCGGAGAATCGCCATCTTGTTTTGTAATCTTAGCTATTAAAGAATGTTGTTTATTCATCAGTCCTTTTCGTGAGCAAAATTACGCGTGTGTGGCAAATCGCACATGTAAACAAATTTGCGCGTGCGATCGCACTTGTAAGAAAATTTGAAGTACAAACCTGATAAAATTGGTAAAAGGAAAAAGCCACTCGAATACGTGCAAGAGCAAAACTCAATTAATCAATACATAACAGATTTTGTTGCCCTTAGCAGCCATCTTTTAAAAGTCGTCGTAACTCTCCAAAGTTACAAGAGCAAGTAAAAATTGTTTCCAACAGCTACTTGCTTTCAGGGCCTAATTACGTTTTGACAGGAAATCAGTTATTACACTTAACATGCTAATGGCGACTTAGCTGAAAGACGAGACGCTAAGTTGAATGGAGCACTCAGTCAAAAGCCAAACATCACTTCCGAAAATTGGAAAAATCATATTGTGGTCAAAAGTGCGAATCAAGTAACAAGGGAAAGGATAAACAATCATGAGACCATGGGAAATTGATGTTAAAGGGCCTCTCCAGCAAAAAAAAATTTTTTTTAATGACTTAAAAGTTAGCATCTGGTGCGTGTATTATGACAAAGTCATTGTTTTTGAAAAATTCCAATTAGTTTAGAAGTTGTAAGGCTTTAAAGTTGCACCTTTCCGAGAAAAAAAACGACAAAAGCCGAATCAGTTTGGTGACATTCTGACGTCACAATGTGCGGCTCTCGTTCGCCATGAATTTCGTATATCTTCCACCGAAGCGTGAAGGAGTCGTGGTCACGCGTTGATAACTGCATCCAGTTCCAGTTCCTGTTCCAGCTCTTCCCTCGCATATAATTAATCGAAATTGTCACTTCAGTTGTTCTCCAGAAACGATGAACAACTAAAGGCTTCAGAATTGGTGTCTGAAATGCTCAAACTAAAAGCTGGTGGAACAGAACTGAGAGTACCATCACTTGCAGTGTTCAATTTGGGAATCGCCGTCGTTCGATTCGGTTTGAGACGAGACTATCCGAAATACACTGTGACGTCAAAATTGCATCACAGTGTCACCAAACCAAAAATTTTTGTCGGTTAATTCAATTAAATTATCGAAATGCAAGAGCTTATATCTCACAAACTGTAAAAAAATATCGAAAAACAAATAACGAATTCGTGATCAGCAGGCTCAACTTCTTTATAAAAATTGCCAATAAAATGCAAGTGCAAAATTTGGCTGGAGAGGCCCTTTAACAGAAAACTGCAAAAACACCTGTTTGCGCGTGTGGTCAAAAGCACGCGCAATTTAACTTGCGCGTGTGCAGGCGTGTGCGGGTGCGATCGCACGCGCTAAACGAAAAGGACTGATTCATATACTTTTATTGACGATTTTCAAGAGACTTAAAATCTCCCGCCTGATTTTACCAAGGAGAGCGATTTACCGTGCGCCTGCTAAAATGCTCACGGCCAGGCCTGAGTATGTGCGGAAAATTTCATTCTGTTTCCACATTCAGACAGTGAATTACACTGTTTGCCAAATTTAGCTTTTTTCTTTAAAATTTCACTGTGTAGAGAATTTAAGTCAAATCTTTTGAAATATCTCAATATTTAAAATGTAGTACCTTGCAACTCAACAGTCCAAACAACATGAAATGTTCAATATCTAAGGCCCATTTTTGAAGAAGGTCAGTTGGTAGCCAGATGCAACATTGGTGATGTCAAAGCAAATCCAAGAATTTATTTAATTCATAATCAAGTTTGCACTGGCAAAAATGATTTAAAAGCAGCCCATAAAATTACCATTATGTGTATCAGATGTTTGTAAACTTTAAATTTTTAACCTACAGGTATTTTTTATAACAAAATTAAGGTCCGGTGCTGGTAGGTAGTTTCTTAAATTTTCTGGCCATTTTACTATCAGAAGTTTCTTACATGTTTCTTAAATTTCTTAGGTAAAGAATTTTTTAAACATGCTTCCAAGGAAAGTAAATGGTTTACTCACATTCAGAGATAAACTAACAAAGTGATCAAGGAATTTTATTTTCCTAAAATGACTAACTCTGTTGAGATCTGTAAGCAGTTAAGCTCATTGAACTTCATCAATTTCAATCAAGTTGAAGTCAAAACAAATTTTTAGATGGAAACTTCTTGAGTGTGCAATTCACAGAATAAATGCAAACTGCATGTCAAGTGTAGTATTGCAATATACAGAGATGTTTAATGTCAAGACTGTTTCGAGTGTCAACTCAGAAAATTAAAACTGCAAACTAAAAAGATTTTACTAGATTTTTTCAATTTGGGTAGGGTTGTTTCTTAACTTTAAAAAAATTGAGCCTACCTTTTCTTATAACCTGTTTCTTACAAAAAAATGAGTGTATTTGAAATTACTATCAGCAATGAAAAAATAAAAAAACCAACCTAAGAACTTAACAAATAGACATACCTAATCATAGGATATCCTATAAAAGTATATATATATATATTTATATAGATATTCAGAAAAAACATTATCGCTTAAACGTTTCGACCGATCAGTAATTGATAACGAGTTTCTAGGTGGACAACACGCAACAAAAACAATTAAAACAAATGACAACCCTATTAAAGTTTTCACCTCCTTGGAAGGAACGGAAGTCAACAAAAACATCCCAAGACGCACTCACGCAATATCATCTTATTTTTATGTCACATTTTGATTAGAATGAATATCTTCCCAAACCTATAAAGGTTATATCAAAAGGAAGTCAGTCGACTGGATTCTCGAGCAAACGTTCGCGTATTTTTAAAAAAAATTAGGTGAGGTCACACTTCACTGCCAGTGATGGACGGGGTGGGACTGCCTAGACTTCACTGCTAAAAACTTGACTCATACAAAAATATAACCTAAATCAACGACAACAAGCCTAAAATTGTCTGAATATATTTCATGCTTTGAAACCAAAGCAAAATTAAGACATGACATATTGGTATCCAACCTTTCAATGTCTTTTCGGAATGATGTTGACTGCCAACGCCAAAAATTTTATATAACCCGATGTGTTGAGATTACATTTGCCTCCACTGATTGAGAGCCAGTTTGGTTCTGCCATTGCCACGGCAAAAATCCCACCAACGACAAGACTGAAGAAAGCAGCTGGAATATTTCTCTCTGGTTCCGGCTTTCCGCGATCCTGCCGTCCCCTGTTTCTACGCGAACGTAGGGAATATGGCATGTAAGAACGTCTCATTTTTCGACGATTTCCTCTGATTCACAAGCAACTGTCAGCTAATGAAAATCTTTTAAGTCTCTATTATACAACTAAGGATTCCTTGAAAAGAGAAACAGAAGAAATCAAGACTAATCTATCCATGTAGGCATAACTGTCTCTTGCACGCAGGCTTTTAAATCGCCTGAAGTTGATGGCAAAGCAAAAGTTTCAAGTTCTGCATGTTGGTTTCACCAAAATGACGAATAAAAATGGTGCCAAATGTCAAGCTGTGACCTGCCAGTGATATGGATGAATCAAGACGCAATGTTTTTTCTCAAAAATATAAAAATCAGGGTAAGAAAAAAGAAACGAATGTGCATTGCTCACAAATAAATAGCGGCAAACAAACAATTAAATTTGTGATTCTGTGACTGTCTCCAGAGAAATGAAGAGTATTTTACGAGCTTTTTGAAGTGATAACTACCAGGAAGTGCCCCAGTTAGGGAGGGGGCTGTACTGTAGGAAACTTATAGAAACCAAATCCCGGGTCACATACACGGACAAAAAGAATGATAGGAAATCGCTCATTGAAGGAAAATCAATGGCAAAATAAAGGGTTCAAGTAAGAAAATCACCGAATATATACTGGCTTGTTAAGGGTGGGGGCAAATTTTTCTTAATTTAAACCAGGGGGCTGAGCTCCCCGAGCACACTTAACAAGCCAGTATATACAAGTTTTGAAGAATATTCAGTAAATATTTTCGACACATTATGGCAAATACAGGTGGAACGTGGAACCAAATTTCTTAACTGATTGTAGGAAGAAAAAGCAAAAACAGCAAACGATAAATAAGTAATATACATCTTGGTATAAAAACTTGTCTCATTACACCAAAGAGTTACAAGAAATGATAATTTCTGATCGGCATTAAGCTTGAAGTTGCTGCTTAAAAAGATATATTGTTAACGGTTTGCCTTCAATTAGGGGAAGTGGGAACATTGGGGGAATTGTTGGCATCGGGGGGAGGGAGGGGGATTTGCCAACAAGAAGGGATTTGCCAACAAGAAGGGATACGTAGACAGGAACAAGTCTCCCGAGACAGTTCTTCTTGGGGGGGGGGGCAAAATTAAGAGCATTAAGCATCAATAAAGAAGACTTCATGTAGTGCTTGGCGTATTTCTATGTCAGCCAAATTTCCGCCTCTGCTATCCTTACCATAAAAATAACTATATAGAAACCTGGTCCTTGGAAACACGACCTTTGAGATCTCAACTTCTTAAGCTAATATAAGCTACTCGAAATATCTATCATAAAAAGTGTATTTGGAATTAAAGGGTATTAAGCACAATTAGAAGGAAACCAAAAAGACGAAGCTAATAGAAAATCGTGTCACCTTTGAAGCCAGTCTACAGATACGTCACGTGTGTATATACTTTACTTTTCACTCATTTATTCATTATAAGCATACGGTACATAAAATAAATCTAAAATCATCTGGTTGAGAATCACCTTCGTTTCAACTACCCTTTTCTTTACATGGTATACTCTACATCTCTACAGATTAACTTGGATTAGATACTTAATGTAAAAGTAATATCTTAATGAGTATAGGAGAATTGAATACAGTATTCTTAGCTGTAAACAAACAAAAACAGTATGCAAATGATCCATCTTAAAATGACTGGGTGATCTATCTACCCTCCATAGTGAGCCTTTTGAAACCCAATACATTAAGGTAATTTTTAGTAATGCAATGATATCAGCATTGTAATTTTGCAAAACGAGAAATTGGCACAATGAATTTTACTTTCATCAGTTTATGGTGGTCTGAAAATACAACCCAATTTCATGTTCACTTAAGTATTTTTCAATGTCTCTGTGACACCTGTATGAGTGATTCTGGTATTTTGGCAAAAGCTGGCTTATAAAAAACGTCAGTATGCCAGTAATCGTTCCAGTGTTTAATTTCCCACGGCATTTAATTTCAATTTCTGGCATAACAAAATCTTTTCTACAAGAAACAGGATATTCTGCCTCCTGTCAATGACAGATGTTTTTGCATTTTTTGACTTAAAACATTGAGATCTCATCTTTATTACTGCTATTAGCTGTTTGAACACAAACACCTCAAATATCATCACACAACGTTCTACGTCGCAATCCTACTGCATTCCATATAGTAAACCGTTACTCTTCTCATCAATGCCAAATTTGAGAGAGCTGTTAGCCTTAGTTAACTTGTTTCTATAACTTCCTGAATCAAAAACGGTTCAAAAGATGAATACAGCCTTTTAAAATCATTTTCTTTATTTTCTAGGCAGCCAGCATCAGTTTTTATCAGTTTGCAACCATGTCGAGTTTTCGAATAGTGTGTTTCCAATAAAAGTGATTAGTTCTAAAAAACACGAGCCGATTAAATTTGAAAAAAACTGCCACATAAAAGGTAAGTAGAGATACTGCTCTTTAATTTATAAAATGGCCCTTAGGTAAAAATTGTACATACAATGAAAACAAAAATAAATTAGATCAAAACCCTTAGTTACGATGAATTCAGATGAAAAATGACATAAATCAACTACGATTTCACGGCAACGAGCTCCATCGTTGCAGTCGATTTATCACTGAAAGACCTCCTTATCAGGTCTACAGCCTCATTATGAGTCGCATCGAGAAGTGGATGACCATCAACTGAAATAATTTGGTAACCAGCCTACAAAAAAGCAATATACGATAATTCTGCGTTAATAACATATGGTCTGCAACGTATCAACATAAATTTGAGATCAGAGACAAGTAGCCAGTGCTACCCTAAGCACACAGACACTCATGTCGAAGAAATCAAGCTTTCATGACTGAGCCAAGATTGATTTAACTTTCTACGTTGAAGGAGAGTTTCAGATTATAAAACAAAGCAGTCACAAGCCAACTCCGTAATAACATGACAGTTTGATGAAGGGTACAGATAGAAATATGACTGCACATAAAGCAGTGATAAACTATAAACTGACAAAAAATTAAAAGACGCCATTACCTTAAGTACGCCAACCTCCTCCACTGCACCACCTGGATAGATACGTTCTATTCGCACTTCTGGCTGCTGCGTGGATCCTCTTCCACCAGAAATGCTAATTCCTGGCCAAAAGAAGGAATTTTCACTGTACAACGCTTACTAACAAAGAACGAAAAACAGGTTCCACGAGGAGCACATTCTACATTTATAAATGAAGTCATATTCAAGTGTACATCCACTGAAATAAAATTGAACTTGAGGGCAGAAACGTTCCGCGAAATAAACAATGGGGTTTAGGGTGATGTTCTTCTGTTTTTCTTTCAAGCAATATTCGTGCTTATTAATAGCTTCTAGTAATTGCTTGGAAATTTCTTTTGATTTACTGGAAGAACAAGAACCTGTGTTATCTCGAAGCCATGATGCAAACCTAAAAAATGAATTTCGAGCAAACCGTAGCATTATTTTGCCCAGTGCAAGAACAACAAAACATGGCGCAGAGAGCATTAGATTTATTGGCCAAAAAATATGGTAAAAGCTATCTTCTGAAATTAAAGAGTCTCAATCACTACATATTTTGAAACGAAATATGAAATCTTTAGGCAACTTCGAGTGCAGATGTAGACAGAAATTACCATTTATGATAAAAAAGGTACACAATCATAAGCCATACATATTTAATGTGAACTTATTTATAAATTTTCATACCTAGAGTTTTCCCAAGCTTTGGTACAGCGACTCTTATTTCTTGTATTTCTCTTTTCCTGTCAAGGATCGGTGATATTCGCGTATAGTCATCATCATCATCATCATCATTGGCAGTCGCCGTTTGATTGTCATTCTCATCCATCATCTTTTTCCCATTTAGATTTAGAACTGCATATTCTTGATCCTCTACAATATCAGACATAGTGCGCTCCAGCCCCCTTTGATGCTCATTTGCATGGTCCACCGAATCCTCGGATTGTTTGCTAAATACAACGTCATTCAAACTTTTTCGAGAACTCTTATCGACTTTTGCGTATAATTCCTCAAGATTACTTGGACTGTCCTTTGTTGGAATATAGTCTAAGTCTTTTCCGATCGTGTCGTCTTTCTCATAATCCCAAGACTGGGTGTACTCTGGAGAAGGTCGGGGTACATTGCTGAATGATTTGTAGCGCTGGATCGTGATATCTCGCTCTAAAATCGATCGCTGCTTTGCATATTTCTTTGATATTTTTTTCGTGTGTTCTTCTTTTTCTTTCTCGAATTCTTCCGCTTCTTGTTTTGAGCGAAGTCGGAATTTTCCACCTTTACCTATAAACAGACGAACCTTCAGTTTTATAAAACCTTAAAAAGCCAGATGTATGAAACGTTCATGAAGTTTGAAAAAAGACAAATACCTAGGCATAGCGTTGAAAATTACTTTCAATATTTTGAGATAGGATAAAACAAAAATTGGACAAAACTGAGCATTTCAGTTTATTACATGGCCTAAAGAAATAAAGTTGAAATTTTCAAAGAATATTGAGCTTAGCAAGACGCTACGCAGGCTCAAACTACGAAGATGCTGAAATTCAGAATGTCAATTTTCTGACCATCAATTTATTTTCTGTATCTCGCTTCTCATCCAAGTAGCAGTCAAAGATAATTTTCTTCATACAATTAGGCATAAAAAGTTCGAATTCTATTATCCCATTAGACAACCGTATGATAAAATGCTCTCATGTTTTCTTCACATCTTCGATCCACAGATTGAGAAGTACATACAAACCTTGCACGGCAGTGACAAGGGTCCGCTTTGGTGGCACCTCTGTTATTTCGCCATCAAGGATAGGTGAGGCTAAACCGAAAACAATATTGAATCAAATTTACTAAATCAAAGAACTTGAAGATGCAGTTTTCTTTAAGAACTCAGTTTTGTTTTTATTGATGTTATTTTGCGGTAAAAACCCATTTTATGTCAAGTTTGCTGTCCTTACCTTTGCTTTTAAATTTTGGAACAACTTCTTGATATTCGAGTAATAGACGATTTCAAGCTAAGAATATTTCTAATGAAGTAAACCAACTGCAATTTTAATCTAACAAGTATCTCTTTGGTAAAATGTTTCTAGAAAAGACATCTTTATTGAGAAAAATACCTTAATAATCAAAACATGAATAGCGTTACATTAATCATAAAGATCACTCTTTATAGTGTTAGACGCCCTATAGGCCGAAATGTACAAGTCTTAGGGTATAGAAAAGGACGATTCTACATTGTCACTTTTTGAGTTTCGCGCCAAATCCAACCATCAGCCAACGTAGCAGTTGTGTACATCTCTGTCTATACAGCTTCAAGTGTTAAACATCAGAAAGGTCAACAAAAATATAGAATGATTCTGCCTCAACTTTTAGTGTACATAACAGGACGGTCTACATTGCCACTCCATTTCAAAGTTTCACACTTGATGCAATCATCAGACAAAACTGCAATATTAGTCATAAATATATTGCTTTTCTAGACGAATAATATTTATTATTTTGCTCTTGATAAGCAGTGTAAACCCCAGCAAAATACAAAACAAAGTACACACCGACAATATCTCCTCCGTTAGAAATGGCATTTTCAATTTCTCTTTTTGAAACACGTGCATCATATCTTCCGATATCGTATGGAAAAACAACGGTCCTAAAATATTGAGGAAGTATGTCCCGCTCTCAGTTAAATGCAAATTGAAGTTATATAAAAAATAACACAAATCAGCACTAAGAGGTTTTGGACAGATGTGATGTCATTTTTAAAATAGATAATCTATATATCCTCTATTTGATGCTTCTGCGATTTTTAGTATCCCCTCGTACCTACGCCTCCCTTAAGCCCAGATAAGCGACATAAACACCTCTAATTTTAATGTCCCTCGTCAAACAATGCCTGGATTTAAAGGGGACTTTGACGGGAAAATATATAACTCACTAGATTCCCAGAGACTATAATAACATATAAAATCGAGATGTGTATTTAACTTTTCACTTGATTCCTTTTATTATCCATAGAACATTCCATAAATATAATTTATAATTTAAATTTAATTTACCTATTAATGTTTTCAATAAAGACAGGTTGTAAGAGTCTGGGAGAGAGGAAGGGGGTAGAGCACTCCAAAGTTTACAAGATCGAGGATTGGGATTAGGAGTTGTAGGATTAGGAGTTGTGGAATTAGAAGTCGTGGGATTATGAGTTGTGGGATTAGGAGTTGTGGGATTAGGAGTTCGTGCTATACGGCCATTGAACAGCCAGAAACATGCTGGCAAAATGAGAGTAAATATTGCTTGTGGTATCCAGCTAGGATTCTGTAATTAAAGAAAAAATAGCTTCATTGAAAAACTTTAAAACTGAAATGACAAACCTTATGTCCTTCAACAGTAGAGATTTTTCTGTTGTGTCCAGAATCTCCAGCACGTTAGTCATAAACAATTCAATATCACCCTTTTCTAAGTACTGAAATACAAAAATTTGAATCGATACTTTATTGTGTGCCAATGATAAAACAAAAGTGACAGAAACCAGCTAAAAGAATAATTTGATCAAGTCCCCCTTTTTAGAATTAAGTTTTGGTGAGCTCCACTTTTGAATACCCCATACCCAAATAAGCTCCACCCAAAAGAAGACCATGTCTTGTATAAGTATTTCCCTCAAAGAATCCACCTTCTTTTGCACCGAATGTTGAACAAGAAGACAGAAGCGGATCCAGAGCAAACTTGAAGGAGGGGCAGTTGGTAGTGGGGACGCTGAAAATTTTTCAAAAATTGGTGACGAGAGTACGCTGTATACATTAATTTCAAATACATTTTCGGAGTAAACAACATAACTTTGAGGTAATCCTTGAAGCAAATTAACCGATCGGTCTCAGAAACTTTTTCACCTGATTCTTATTCTTCAAAAGGGGCGCACAGTTTCCGAAAAAGGGGCGCCAGATTTGCTTCAACTCGTCAAGGGAGGGGCAACTGCCCCTAGCTGCCCCCTCTTAAATCCGCCACTGCAAGAAGATCCCCTGAAACTTGTTCGTAAAATTACGGCAGCTATTTAACGAGAAATCATAAAGTAAAATAATAGCGGACTTTTTCAAGCAATATCTTATGAACTTTGAAATAGATCTTCATTAAATTAATAACAACCTTGTGGTGTTATTACTGGTCATGTTCCGAGAAAAGGTACGACAAAATTTCTAGCAGACTGAAAATGGACAACAAATTTAGCATAAGTTGTCGCACCTTTTGATCATTGTAGACATTTTAGATAAGCAGCAGGTTAGCAATGCTTAATATTATCAACTATACAGACCAACAAATGGTTACTCTCCCTCGGTTGTACCTATCCTAATGCCACCCATTTTAGTATAATTTAACCAGAGTTCTGCCAAACAGAATATCAAACGCCCGAAGATCTCTTAACCAAGGGTTTCTAGCAAGGGTAAATTTTGCAAGGCCAATTAAATGGTTTGTCTACATTTTGACTATTCTGCCAATCAGAGACCGCCATAGATAGGTTTTGATGACAATAAACCATCTGATTTGCTTTATAAATATTACCCTTGTAAGCGTTCCCCAGTCTGGTAGAGCCGGCCACTGCGTCCCCCACCCCTGTGAAAATAAAATAGTACTTACATCTTTTATTCTCTTCATTAGCTCTTTATAGTCATTGACATTTAATACACTTTTTGCTCTCTCCTCGATTGCCTGTAAATATTCACGAGCACCACTCTTTGTCTTTTGAAATGGATCGTCATCAAATATATTCTTTTTCGCTAAATGAAAACACATAAACACAGGGGTCAAAGGCAGAAAAGAAAATAGGAATAATTCTATGATGAACCGATAAATATAAAAATTCTATGATAAATATTCTATGGCAACAGGGATAATCTTTAATTTTTAGCATTGAATTCATTCTGAAGATGTTAAAAAAACTTGATGTGACTCAAAATATTTCTAGCCTTTTAGACTAAACTAAATATAAATGAAAATTCTGATTTCTAACTCTTCAATAAATGCCTGAAAGTGTTGGTTTTGGGATATGCGTATGCCGATGCAAAACAATGATTAAATTTTAAAGCTTAGATGTAAACGTTTAAATTCTCAGAACTTCATGGTAATTGTCCCTCTTTTCATTTATAACAACAGGCAGATCATGCATGATTTGAAACAAGATTATTTTCTTGCTATAACTTCTCACAGACTTTTCATGAAATTAATATAAAAATTTCTGGTTCTTGAAGATGCGAAAAATGCACAGTTTTCTCTACATATCTTCTGGCAGTTTCTCATAAAGTTTTTGTTATGAAAATAAAGAAAATTGCTGATTACCGATCATTTTTGTTAATATATCTGCTCGTCAATTCTTTATCTTAAAAATTGTTATGATATTCAGAAAATTTAAGAAAAGGCTAATATACCACCAGCTTCTTGCTTTTTCTCAAGTATAAAGCTGGCGTCATACAGAAGTAATGACACTGCTTTAAAAATTGGCTAGAATAATTGTCGATAAAAATAGAAAGTCAAACATATCGATAAAGCAGCATAGCTTTACCGGTTGAAGAAACATGAACTGAACATTTTTCCTTGATCTAGTATCAAAATAAAGCATTTCCATTTTGATGCAATTCTATCAAGAATCGATGCTAAAAGGGCCTTCTTACCTGCTTTTTTCTTCGACCTTAATGTAAACTTTGCTTTTATTTTGTCTCCTTGCTTTTGAAGGAAAGACTTCGATCTCTTAGCCTTAGAATTCGGCATCAGATGACTCGTACCCTCTCCCTTGGACCGATCTGAGTCGGACATTTCTCCACTGTGCACTGATGATTTGGCGAGTCGGTCCGATTTTCCACTGTCGGTTGATTTCTTAGAAACTAGACTCGTAGCACTTGGAGACCTCCTATGATCGAGCTCATCTTTCAAATTTTCCTCGCTTGTGATTATAATCTCACTGAATTTCATAGCGTTCATCTCTTTGTTACCGACACTGCCATTTGAATGTAAAAAGATAGGATCAGTTCCGATTTCAGCTGTTGCAGATACGCTTAGTGTCTCTATAGGCAGGTTTATAGTTTCATTTGCAGGGAATTTCATAGGATCAGTACCAAAGTCACGCATGTCCCTCATGTTGTCCCTTAACATCGGCGATGGCATTGAGCTGGACATATAATCTGTCCTTCTTTCTTCTACGAAAGACGATTTTCACAATATTAAACACGAAATACTTTTATGGCAAAAGTATTTCAACCCCAAAGGAGACGTGGTGATAGATTCAACCACGACAAAAAATGACCTCTTGTACCATTATATCTACCATTATATCACATCCGGATGCAACATGGTTATCGTTTTTAGTGTAGTGTATGCGTGCTAGAGTGTATAGTTAACGGTCTAAGAGTAGCGTGAACATATCCTTTTCCAAACTCTCTACAAACTACTCAGCATTCTAGAGTATATTATAGATAACACATACTATAGATAGCTTTTGGAGGACAATCAACCAGATTTCGGAAATGTATCCACATTATTAGCATAGATGTGTACTAGAAACTTTTTTTCAGAGAAAAATCTACGTCAACGCGAAACTGATAACGGTTACATCTTAAGTAGGCACATTGCTTCATGATTTTCAGAAATTGGTGATCTAGAAAATCAGATATGGTATCGAACATTGATTTTTATTGTCGATGTTATCATTGACTGATCACTATTTAATGGCTAATACAATAAAGATTAGTGTCTACCATTGTTGTTACCCTATTTATGAAGTACTTCATCTTAGGCTAGACTAAACTCCTCCTAATCTGCCAATTCTTTAGGTGAAATTTCTGCTTTATAAAAGCATTTGAGATAAAACTCTAGCAGCACTGAGCAACCACAGGCTTCAGTTAAGGTTCCTCTAAGGTCCCATGGGTCTATGGGCCAATTTAACAGGCAGGTACAGTAATTGACCAGCACACTTAACTGTGACTTGTGATAGTAGTGAGGAAAGGAACTTTCATATTAAATCAGATGCCTGGATGCCCTTTAGAAACATAATGTAGAAAATTCAATCCATAATCAAACTCACTGAAAAACTTACTCAAAAGACCAGTTTTCAGCAGCAGGTAGTTATTAGACAGTTTCTGTGAATCACCTAATATACATTATCTTCAAGAGATAGATTCTGCATTTTTTATCAAAAAGACAACTTTGAAACAAGTAGGATTTTGAAAAACACCTGTCTTTATCAAATTATACCTGTAATGATGGACCCATCAGGTGCTAGCCAGCTGTATTCTTCAATAAAACACTTTTCTGCAGGTATTTTTCCAACAGCCTGCAAAAACATGAAAAATGATTTGATTTATGAGGTAGAAACAAAACGTCTTTCATCCTTATCTTTATGTAGCCTTTATTGACATTTAAGTCTGTTCTCTGGACAGAAAACCTTGCATTATAGTAGTTTTGAGATCATAACAGATGAAAAATTTGTACTGAGGCACAGATATTGTAACAAGAATACAAAAAGAAACAAATGAAAAAAAAAATAGAAATGAAAAAGAACAATAAAATTGCTAAAAATTCTGAAAATCAAATTGAAAGATTTGCCAATTTTTGAATATTAGCTATGGGTTCATGATAGGTCTTTAGGTTATGAGGAATATCATTAAAAATTAACAGTCAAGAGGAATGTTGTGAGAAAAATATTGATAAATTTTGGGGGAAAAAAGAATCATAATGACTACCTTTACTGTTAAAAGAACATCTTTGTTTGATTTGAAAAATTCAACAGCATCTTCATGAAGGATATTTTCAAAACTCTTCCCATTGGCATCCAAGATCTGATCACCAACTTTGATTCCAGATTTTTCAGCAATAGAGCCCTCATCAACTCTGAAGAAGGAATTTGTTGAAAAGGTGAATGAAAATGAGCACCAAGAAAAATTTATTTTAGATTTGTTGTTTAGAAGAGGAAAATTAAATTCACAATTTTGAAAGGCAAAACCTTCCTACACATGAATGGTGTTCTTTCAAATTTCTTCCTGAACTGTTTGGCATTGTCTTTTAAAAATACAATCACATGAAGTCAATAAACCGCTTCACAAAATATGCAGATTTGACTAATAACAGGCACTAGGCAGAGGTAGATTGCTCCATATGACGTTTGCTTTTTCAGAATTTATTATTTAATCCCTCTTTTGCAATGACTCGCCTTTGTAAAAAGCAAGAGAATTAAATGTGAATGTAACTATCAGTTCTTATCAGTTTAATACTTGCTTTGACCTTGAACCACTTTTTAAACAACCCTATAAAATATCTGTATCATTGGTTTGCTTTCGTCATAAATTGAAGTCATATCTGCTTGCAAAAAGCTTTAACGGCTAATCCTTGAGATTTCTCACCCTGTTTTCCACTTCCCACTTACAGAAATCGGAGTTTCATTTTCGGTATTATTTATTTTGATATCTTTGAAGTGCTGAAATATCTTAATATATACTATAGGGGGGCCTCTCTCCTCAACTAGCTTTGCTATTGAGAGAGTTCATCCTTTAAATAATTTCCTATACATACATATCCCACAGATAACTTGTGTTCCATATCTTATTGTTATAGTTATTGTTTGATATTTGATGTTGCTGTATTTTTATTAGTATTTGTGGAAATGTATGTTGTGGAATTTATATCAATTCAAAAGGGAAATTTTAGACGTTCATACCTTGACACATAGATCCCCAGTCCATATTCCAAGCCACCTCTAATGTTGAACCCTATAAATCCTTCTTTGTTAGACTCAATTCTTAGATTTAATCTTCTTTCCTTGGCATCACTGTCAAGAATTGCCATACTTGTACCCTTTTTTATTTGAACAGAATGCACAGACTAAAGAGATGTAAAAAATTCTTGAACTTAGTTTTTTATCATAAACATAAAATGAAAAAGGCTGTTCAACCTACCTTTAATTTCCAGAAATGAAAACATTAAAAATATATGTATGTAGAATAGCACAAATTTAATCCGTAAAAATAATAGCACCTAAACATTCAATAGAATGCAAAAATTTGGATTAAAAGAATAAAGGAATACATTTAACACAAATCTTTGTTGATAGCAAATGCTTATTTAGAAGACAACAAAAGTTTATTTCCATATATATATATATATATATATTACAGTACCTCTTGATCACTCTGAGTGGGGACATTTTGAGTCTGGCTGGCAATGCTTCCTGTCGGCTCACTTATAGAAGACTGTAATGAAGAAAATCCTGGTTCAGCAGGTGAAAAGTCTTTCAAATGATTGAGATTGACAGATCCATTTGATGTGTTCATCTTCCTAGTGTCTTTGGCTTCCCTGTTAAAAAACAGAATCATTTCATGGCAAAGATATCATCATAATCTTTACCTATTTATCTATCTATATTATTAATGTGCCTTGAAACTTTTCTAGCACATCTTCACAAAATCTTATTTTCACTGAAATCTCTAGCAAATTAGATAAATCTTTTGCAGAGCATTTCTTTTATGTTGAACTCTCCTCAGGGATGCAATATTTGCAAGTAGTATGCAAAGGTTTGCGAGTAGTATGTTGCAAAAATGGTTGTCAAAATAGCTACAATTTTTGTTCCTGAACAGTTTAACAAATTCAAAGAAACATCTCTGTAAACACATATTAATGCAAATGTACTGAGGTTATAAAGCAGTCAGTGTCTGTGTTCATGGGTAGTTTACATTATCTGCATCAGAAAATGAAAAACCTTTTCAAAGTTTAAGCAAGTAGTGTATTTTCACAAATATGTTACAAGCAGGGGTGCAACAGAAACAATATATTTTGGGGGTTTAAAGATAAAATTTTCAGGAAAAAAATATGTCCCCTGGAAACAGCAAAAGACCCTACCACTGAAGAAATATGCAATATCATGCCATTATTTTTGGCTTCCATTTGCAAGTAGTCATTTTTTTAAACTTACCAAGGGTTGATTTCAAGAGAACTAGGTAAAATTGCACTTGTTTCCTCTTTTACTACCAATTTCAGTTTATTCAGGGAAGCTAGCAAATCTGCTGCAGACTGAAGTGGGATGTTTTGCAGTGAAATTCCATTGACTTCAACAAGATGATCATTTTCCAATAATCCTGCATTCCATGCTGGTGAATGCTGCACCACTTTGGATACAAATACCCCTGTACCACTGTCTTTTCCGCCGCAAATATAAAAACCAAGATCTGTTTTGTCATTTAATAAGGTAACTATGCGGTATTTCCCTTGTGCAGATACCTTTCCGTTTATCTTCTGTCTATCAATTTGGGGAGTTAAAGTCTTCGCTGCAATAGCATTACGAATCAGTGTATCATATTTCGGCAACTGGTTGGGCAGTACCAAGCTTCTGACATCTTTCAAAATCTTTAACTTCCCTGTTGTGTTTAGACAAGTTAAAAGTGATCTAACCAATTTTTCTATCGACTTGTAAGTCTTGTATTCTTTCAAAGCATGATAAAGGTATTGCTGTTCTTGTTCTGAGAGCAGGAGTTTCGAGTTCTGTCGGAGTTGTTGTAAAGATTGCTTCTTGCTGACAACAGTGTTGTTTGCCATTTCTCCACATCTGTTTGCCGATAATGTCACTTTAACAGCTAATCGGAAGCATTTGCTTCTCGGCTATGTTCAGTAAACGCTCTTGCTTCCATTTTGATGTTGCTATTTGAGAACGCTGATTCTGTTGTGAATATTTACCTTGCTTTTGTTTTTACTATTTGTCGTGATTTCACTACTTCTTTGTCGAGAAACTGGTGTTGTGGTTGTTCTGTAAACAATTCTTGCGTGGTGTGGCGGCTAGAGGCCCTGAGGCCATTCCCAATCGAGGTTGTGTTGTCATGGCGGCTTAAGAAATTACGTCCATTTTCCAAATTATTTGTTATCTTTTGACACTTTCTGACGCTTGTTCTTCACAAAGTGGTTTCATTAATTCTCTCGGGCATTCTACTGAAAGGCATTTACGTATGAAAACTGATTAGTAGGTGGAGAGAATAGTGATATGATAGACACATCAAATTGCTGTACTCAAAGCATTGATAATCACTCTGAATAAATTGGACACTTTTGGGACAATGCTTCGAGGCATCAAACCAATTCTATCTTCTAATAAAGAAAGTGCGCAACTGAATCAAACCAGGGGCGGCGCCAGCCCCCAAAATAGCGGGGTGGACAATGAAGGGGTGGAGCTGATAAAGGGGTCTGGGTGAGAAGCCGGTGTAACACCGTACGAGAAATCGCGCTCGTTATTGATAACCGAGATTGAAATATTTTGAAACCCTCAATAGAAGAGTTGAATTTCATAAGCAAAGGTTTACATACATAAAAGCTGAAAACATAAAATAACATTTCAGAGTGGTGTTTTTAGCAAGCAATGGTTTTAAACTTATTAACGAGGCCTCCTTTGTCTATTTTATTTTATCTCGATCGATGCCAATTTGAACTCTAGGTTTTCCAGCCTTTCGTCTGACATTGAGGCTAAAAGGTGATGCAGCTATAACTGGTGGGGCTGCAACCATACTACCTTCACATCTTAAAAAGGTTTGGGTACAAGTTTTAAAGTTAATTATTGCCAAAAACCTTTAACAAGAAGGAAGGCAAAGACCACACTCTAAGAACCAACTGTTTAGCACGATAAATCTATGGATGTCTTATAAATCATCTTCATTTTAGTTTCTCACTTTTTACAGAACTGATGATCCAACACACCATACTCTATGTCAGCTAAGATCTGGAAAGAACCGTAACTGACTATCAAAATGAAAAAAGTTCCGATCTCAGAGAAGAAAATTAACACCCCCTTTTGTTTTAATCCAATTTCGGAAGAGTTGGGTGTTGCAATACTTTTGTCCTGGTAGTGTAGATCCTAAATAAGTGGGGTGGACCTGTCCACCCCAGTCCACCCCGTGGCGCCGCCCCTGAATCAAACCTTCAAATGCTGTCGCCATCTTAGAACTATATGTACATGTTTAAAACCCAAATTCTTATATGTAAAAAAACGTGTAACTGCCGTTTGAGGATGCAAATAACTCCTGTCAGAAAAATACAGGGCATTGCATGGGGAAAGTAACTTTCATTAGAGAACTGACACCCCAATGTTGTTGATCTGTTACTATCTTTATCCTTCTTTGCCAATAAGTAGGCAGCAACATGGGCTCAGACACAGGTTGGAAAGTGGGGGGGGGGGCAAGGGAACATTTAACATCCATAACAAAAGGTTTTGAAAAATACGCTATTGTCTTGCAAAAAAGTGACCTTAACTTCTTGATCAAGTTCTCTATGTTTATGAGGAGGTCCATCTCGGTTTCTTGCAGTGACTATAACCTCTTGGAATAAACTATAAAATGCCAAATTTCATTTTTTAAAACTTGATATGAAAAACAGCTCACTTGAAACCAAAATAAACCTTTGTTTCAAGATCTCTAATACAATCAACAAATTTCAAAATTATATTTTATCATCTGTAGTATTCAGGATTGTTTATGGATTTTTCTATCTCGAGTTTTGTAACCGATTGTTTGTCTGTAGCTCAGTTTTACGTAATCGATAACGCGGCATGGTTGCTTTTTGTAATCCAAGAATTGCTTCTTAAACTTTATTCTCCGATAACACAAATTTCGAGTCTTCTTCGCCAGTGATCAAGCTCATTTAGTCCCTACAACGGATGGCGTGTGCTTAATTGTATGTGACAAACCCATCTGAATCGAAAAGAGGGATTGGACAGGAAAACAATTCATCATTACCACACCAACGATAGAAGTTATCCTTAAAAATAGTACAAATTCACAGCTTAAAAAGAAATTACCTGCACATGGTACAATTCAAAATTAAAAAAGATACAAATTTTCAATTCTACAAAATAGCATACCAAAGATTCGTTATAATGCATAAAATAGAAATAAGTATATACAAGATGTACAAAACATGTTATTCGTTTTGAACAATAAATACGCTTAATTTAACCTCAAAAAGAGTAGCAAGAAGCCGAAATATCTTACAACAAAGACGGAAAGTGATACAAGAGACAATAGCTGTCCCTCGCGATTATATCTAATTCACGACGACCATGAATCTGCTTTACTGACATCACAGTCATGCTGACATTGGCATGATTCTGAAGCTTGTGTTGTTCTAAAGATATGGTATTTATGAGGGGAATGGATATCAGATCAGATTGGAAAATGCGCGAAAAACAAATATTTGCAATTCTTCTGGTTTTAAGATAGGGTCTGGTTATTGATCAACAAAGTCGGGACCTGGATTCCTTGCTTTTCTCAATGCTGAAAGAGAATACTAACAACATGGAAACAAAAAGAGGTAATAACTCGTCTAAAGCTAAGGAAAGCCATCAATGACAAACAAATTGTGAAAACCTATCCTAGTGCCGATTGGTAATTTTATACAAACAATAAAAGAAAACTTGCCATTCAAAGGCAGGCAGGCAGGGTATTAGTAATGAAAAATATGTTGATTGAAAACGTTTTAGGTAGTAAGATATTTATAAGCAAAAATCAAATACTATCTTATTACTTATTACTATATTTGCTTATTAGGTAGTAGTATGGGAAACACTTTGTCTCGTGTCGTTAACACTTTGTCTCGAGTTAAAAATGGTATGCTTTACATAACTGGTGCCACGAAAAAATATAACAGTAGGAAAGTCTAAACAGGTGCGTGACTATTCACTGTTGTGCTTCAGTTATTCTAGCTAAAAGTTTACATATATCAAAAGTGGACCTCTACTGCCGTGGTAAACAGCCTGGCTTTATAGAGGCAAAAATAGTAACAGATGCACATTGCGTATGTTTCTGAACAGAATAACAATTAAACGCATTAGAACTAACAAAACGTCTTGCTAGTTGACAACCATGAACGCCCCGTAACCAATGGCAAAACCAGGTGTTGCAATTTGACTTTAAGCAAGCGTTTATTGGCTCAACCAGAGGGTTGACATGTTTTTGGACATGTCTTAGCAACACCACTCTACATTTCGCTAACAGAACAGCTTCTATAGAGCTCGACATCACACTTGACAGCAACGTCGCTGAGCCATCAAACTTGATAGACACTTTAACCGAAAGAGCCATACATCAAACCAAACTTTCACACATTTTTGAAGGATACGCTGTATTTAGCTGCTCTTAAAAACGTTCGCCGTTCACTTTCTTCGTTTTCAAAGACCCCGGGAGAAATACCAGAATCAACACAGTCACTATCCGTCCGGTTTATCAATGCGCGATTTTCATTAGGTCCAGCTCCGGTATTCTCGAATGAGAAATGTTGCCTGTTTGTATTTTCACTTATCTGAGGCTCTTGCACCTGGCGGTCAAACACACTAGAATCCGAAGAGCTCGAGCTGCTGGAATTGGAGTCGTACGGTCCCATAGCCAACGGACTAACCACGGGTGGCTGTAATTGCAGGTAAACCTGGCGAAATAAAAATATTTAGCTGACTGAAAAGCGTAGAGTGGATATAGATTGGAAAGTCACAGCTTAAGTTGTTTAAAAAGCTAGGAAAATGCGTGTGTGAGCTAGCCTGCTCACGGAAAACAACATAAATGAAGATGGATCGAGACAGCTGGTTAAAAGGCTGCACTACAATTTACAATCTATTACATATTACTCAAGTTGAAGCAAAGCAATCTAAATTGAATAACAAAAGATTGGTATTAAAACCTGTGAAATAGGTACAAAAACTTTGAAAGAGGACAAACGACACAAGGAGATTTGAAAGAGTGTAGATTGAAAAGGCAAAACGGAAAACAATCGATTCTGGACATGAAAATGTTTCATTTCTTGTCTCACCTGGTCGCTTAGGTCTTGCATCAAAATCTCAAGCCTGTTAACGATTTGAGAAAAAGCTGGTCTTTTTGACGGGTTTTCTTCCCAGCAACAAAGCATCAAGTTGTATCTAAAGAATAAGCAAAGAGTAACTAAGAAAAGAGTGTGGGAAACAAAAAGCACTGAAGCATATTCTTTAATACCACACTGAGCGCATCGGCAGCATCAAATACATGCAATATCCTCCATTATCAAAAGCGTTTTTGTAGAAAAATTGACGCTGATAACAGAATAAATGAAACAATTTCTATAAAACATTACAATCCCTGAATAAAATAAATTACTACACTAAGCTTCTGTTGATTGTTTATTCCATTTCCTGTCCCTTCGAGCATGTTGTTTAACTCAATGTTAAGAGCTTTGTTGTCAAACTAATTTAAAATGTAATCATAATCTGTAGGGATTGCAGCTTTCTGGCCTGTCAGTAGGTCGCCTGGTAGTGGGGGTCGCCTGATAGTGGGGGTCGGCTGATAGGGAGGGTCGCCTTATAGTGGGGATCGCCTAATAGTGGGGGACATAAATGGACCCCCCAGGTCATGACAAAACAATGGCAAAACTTGTACTCATTTCTCTATGTGTTTCTATTAATAGAAATTCACTTTTCAATACGTTGCCATTTGGTGTCAAACCACTGGATAATCTACCAAAGCCCGTATTAATAAAAATTAATCTGTCGAAGCTTCACTTAGCTGACAAGTCTTCTTCGAAATGCTGAATAGTGATATACAGCCAAAACCAATGGTATTTATGAAAGTAGTCTAACAACTACTTGCAAAGAATTCAATGAGATGACCCTTGAAAATCGAAACCGAACAGCTAATCCATTGGGTTCAAGCTCATGATTATTCAAATCCGCACGAATAAGGCTATCGCTAATTTGTGAATGCCCTCTTTCAGATACTAAGTATTTTGATGATGGAAGGAGCACAGAGACTTAATGGTCAACTACAATCAGATCTTACGTAGAATATAGAATGGGTTGTTGCTTTATAATAACAGTTATAGCACCAAAGCAATGCTATCTCTTGTCCCAGTTTTCAAGGTCCAAACCCTAGCTCCTACTTCAAGAATCGATTTCCTGGATCCACTTCATGGTACATGGGGAAGCTTTTGGGACGCAATCATGATACAAGGCTAAAGTTATATTAACCAGTAACTGGACAAAATGTTTTGTGCCAACATTGAGACTTGAGTCAAAGGTTTCAGGCAACGACCAAATGCATCAACTAAGGCTGATACTGGATTTCATTAAACAATTTCTTTTACATGATGCAACGACATAACGTAATAAGACTGACAATTCTTAATAACCAAGGTGTTCCAAAATTAGATCATCCACAAGATCTTCCAAAATTATCGAAACAATGTAGAGAAACAATTCAAGATTCTATATATAACTTACAGCTCCTCAGAACAATTGATCGGCCTCTCCATACGATACCCACTTTTCAGTAAATCAAATAACCTTTCTAATGGTACTCCTGGATAAGGTGTTCCACCTGGGATAAAATTAAGCATATAATTTTATAATTGTGAAAATATGCAGTGAAAAATCCCTAGTCACTTCCTCCGTTCATAACAGCCTACATACCATTATATATAATTCACTTATTTTTGCCTTCCCCTCCCCTTTCGATTTAGTTTAAAACCCTGAAGTCAATAACATTCAAACACAATTGAGTGATTACATTTAAAGTGATATTTGGAATAATTATAAACAGTGGATTAAGATTCTATTGTTATCAAAAGGCTTCAGGCTCTGTAATATGGACTCACCGAAAGTCACGATTTCCCAAACAAGAACACCAAAAGACCACCTAAAAGATAGAATCAAAATAATCAATGGTACATTGAGAAGAAAATATAGGATTCGCTGGGAAACCTATCCAAATGCACTTTATTTCAAAGGCTATGCTGTTAAATGAATTAAAATGGATTCACTTTCGTGAACAAAGAAACTCATCAAAAAGATTTATAACCAATAGGAGACACATTTAGTACATATTTTTGGTCTTAGCTGGGTTTTGGAGGGAAAGATTTAAAAAATTGATTTCTGATTGGAGGGTTTTTGGATTTGTGAAATACTGCACGAAGAAATGACGTCAGAGGTTAAGCCGCATGAAATTCATTTTAATTGCATTCCTTGTGATTACCATGCGTCTTCAAAGAGAAATTATACTTGCATCAACCACAAATAAACGCCAACCTTAATACTGATGTCTTAAGACTTTAAATCTTAAGACCTAATACATCTATGTCGAAAATGGAAACGCAGAACATATCCTCTTATAATCCTATTTCCTGGTGTTTTAAAACTGGTTTATGAAAGATTCATTCAGGACCATTTATGACGCCTCTCAACTTAGCTTTACAAAAACCCCAGCTGGTGAAATAAATAGAAATGCAGAAAAAAACGGATTAAGAAAACGACCTCTTATATATGCAAAAAGTCTTGGTACACTAAATTTCGCATAAGTTCAGAGGCATCCCTCCTCCAACTTGAAACAACGTTGAATAAAAACAGTTTAAGGCTTAAAACTCATCCAGTGTAACTAATGTAAGGCTTTTCAACAGAATTGTGTTTTTTGGGGGGTAGGGGGAGGGTTCATACTCCTGTGCTGTATTTTACGGCCGGAAATTCACCAAAATCTTTCATTGACCGCAGCATGTTCCAAAGACTTTTGGCAGGGGTTGTGCGCTTTAAGAAAGACGAATCACGAGCCCCGACCTATCTTTCGTGATATGAAATATTATACTTTGCAAGAAAGAAGGTGTGACTATTGAGAAGTGAAAAGAGCCTGAAGAATTGACGAATTCGCACATGATAATCCAGCTTAGGATCCGGTAACATATGTAATGTTGAACATTGATGTGATTCTCCTATGCAGACTCCTGTTTACCAGCCCACTGCAGGGCCCTAGATGCTGTATAGCCAGAGATTTACATGCTTCGTTGTGGACAATAGGACTTTTTTAAGCTGCTGCACTGAGTTTTACGCTTAATGGGGTCAGCAGGTTGCCTTTCCATGTGATATTTAATCACAATTTGGTACTCATCTACCTCTTCGCACTGTATGCTATCAAAACAGAATACCTAACACTGCGAATTATAATACTGCATATCCGTACTTGCATATGGGTCAAATGTGCCTGTAAACATTCACAAATCTCAGGCCTACTTCTTTGTCCAGACAAAATCTGAAGAGCGCGTTTCTAGGGTTACAACTTACATGAAAAGGGGGGGGGGGGTATTAACCTAGCCAGTCTTTTAGCTGACCTGTCATAACTAACTGAGAAATAACCCATGCTAATTTACAAATTTCTTTTTATAAAGATTCGTTATATAATATTCGTCGTTACACCTCCCCTTCTAAGTAGACAAAATCAGATTCAGGATTTTTTCAAAAGAAATAATCAACTTACACGTCACTGTGTGTTGTGTAAACACGATCAAACAATGCTTCAAGGGCCATCCATTTGACTGGCAGTCGTCCCTGCAAGCGTTATAAATATCAACCAATAAGAACTAATAAAACATTACGAAAAGGGTCTGTCCATTCAAAAATATTCTCATGGACAAAACCAGTCATCCCTGTAAAGAAGTTTATTGCTTGAATTGAAGGATTGAAAAGTTCATTACAATAAAAAGTTCTCCAAAATTCTTGGGGTAATTTACAAAAGAGAATAAAAACCTGAAAACACAAACGACAAAATAACGAATAAATAAATAAATAAATAGCCATTAAAAAGTGTAATGAACGAATAAAAAACGTTTCTATATGTGAAGACGGCCTGTCCACAGGCCTAATTCGCTATGATTCACTTGTAATTCATTCTGAAACCTAATTGACTTGAGAATAGTTGCTCTTTCACTTCAGATGCGACTAAGGGGGAAGTTTCATCTGGGACCAATTTTTACGGACAAATTCCTTACAAGTTTTCAAACTTCATTCCTCCGTAAAATCTAAAATCCAAGCACAGACAATATGAAGAATTGTATCTGATCGAAATGTATGGCGATAAAACCAAATCTGAGCTCAAAAAGTCGTATAATAAAGTTTTGAGTAATTTAGAACTATCGACTTACGTCTGTTCTTTTTCTGTAGTAATCCTCTGCGTGTATGTCTCTAGCCAGGCCGAAATCTGCTATTTTCAGGATTTTATCGTCATTCACTAAGACATTCCTAGCAGCCAAATCTCTATGAATGCACTGCAAAGAAAATGCTTATGTTGTTGACAAAATACATTAATCTATGCAACGTACTATTTGTTGCAGTGTAATGTCATTATCGTCTACGGTACAAATAGAAATTGTTTCTAAACCTTAATGTTGTCCATTATACAATAAAAACTGATCACAAATAAAACAAGCTAGCTCTATGGCCAACAAATGGTATTGATCAACTTCTACAGTATGCTGTAAATTCCATTCCAAAGGAGAAGAGATTCCAAAGGTCTTTAATAAAGACTTTAACATTATTTTGTATCCGAGACCTTTTCCAATAATCCCCTCACAAATCTTTCGTTGTGATTCTTTTACAGATCATATTCAAAAAGACATGTTTTATCCATGACAACAAACCCTCAGATTCTGGGATAGTTGGAGGGTCATGGTAGCCGACCTTCTGATAGAAGATGGCACCTGATGATGATGATTCAAGAAGAACCCCAGGTTACCCAAACGTACGAAAAATGGTATACGCTTGCTGACAAAGAGAGTAAAACAAAGTCTCAATCAAACCTGGTCATAAGGGTATTTGCTCATTACTGTGTAAGCGTCAAACAATATCAGCCCTTACCTTCTTCGATGCAAGGTATTCCATTCCTTTAGAGACCTGGTACGCATATGACGTCAGATCAAAAAGTGTTAGCTTCTCAGGAGGTTCAGGCAGTGGAGGTCCTGTTGGTCGTCTTTCTCTCAGGAACTGTCTTAAGTTTCCAAAGCGACAGTATTCAACAATCACACACAGTTTCTCTGCTTGGAAAAAGACACTGGAAATCAGTCCCCTACATTACAATGATTAATTGTATATTAGATTCGTAAATTAAGTAGGGGCTTTACCCAACACTCAAAGATATTCACAAAATCAACAGACAAGCGAGCTTTGATAACAGTCCCTTTTCCTTAAAAACGGGGGAGGGTATGAATCTAATAGGCTTTGCGCTTTTCCCAAGTTCTAATGCTGACCTGCTCACCGGGATTGAATTGTGAAAAATGTGGCTTAAAAGAATAAATGTATGGAAGGGTTACCTTGCGTACATACGCCGAGCAAGTTGATTATGTTCTTGTGTTTGCCAATCATTTTCATGACTTCCATCTCTGATATGAGATCAGACAAATCGTGATCGGTAGCATGCTCTGTTGAGAGTAAGCGAAGCTTGTGTAAGGTATCTCATCGAGTTATCAAGCAACAATTAGAAGTCTAAAGATTCAGATTAGAAGGCCTTTAATTATCTAAATTAAATATATATAACTATTCTAGACTAAAATGTGTCTACTTTAGCTTTAGATGCTCTGAATAAAATATAATGATCAGCTTCTCCAGATTGATGAACTTACAATAAGTGACTACTCAAAATACCTACTTCCAACTGCTTACCTTTAAGCATTTTGATGGCAACAACGGTGGCATTAGGGTTGCCAGGCAATCCATTTGAGATACCTTTCATGACGCGACCAAAGGCACCTTCACCGAAGCAAAGACTGAAACTCAAGACTGTCATATCTAACTTCCCATTCTGGATCATAAACAATATCTGCCTGGAAAAATTGTTCAGTGAGCGTTGAAGATAGCCTCGACTTGTTACGACTAAGTGTCCTCTGCCTTTGCAGTGACCCAAACTGACTCGTATTCAAACTCGTCATGACGTCAGGATCAAATTCCACAGTATGGTGAGAGGTGTGGACAACCCGTTTCTCGTATTTGTTTTTTCTACAAAATGATTTTCTCTTGCGAAGATATATAACCAGCAGTACGGCCGTTAGGCAGAAGAAAAATACCAAAAGAAGCAGAACGACAATAAGGGTTGTTTCACTCGTACTCTTTATCAATTTTTCCTTGACGCCCATCCTGGTTGCCAAGCTGTTCATGCTTGTTGCTAAAAATTAAATGCAAAAATTAAATTAGGGGAAATATAAGAAAAAAGATATGAAGTAAAATGACTCAAATATTAACGATTCGAAGTTCAAGTTAATTATGTTGAGATGTCATTCAAAATTACTAGGACCTAATGCGTAATAATATCGATCGTCAATGAATGTCTACATCTAAACAGGGCATAACGCAACGTTTTGATGAATATATAATATGACATTGAAACCTTTCCCTGTCTCAGCCCTTTAATATATACGAAGATCACTAAAAAAAGAAATCGCTTACAGAAAATACAAACTGGATTCAGAAAAAAATTTGCGCATTACTTTACTGAAAATTTGCGCATTACTTATCTATAATAAATTTGAAAACTTCAATGTGCTTACTTGGTATAGCAGTTGATGGTTCTTCGCGATGAGGTATCTCAGCAAGTCTGAATGACGATGTCGCGTAGCCAACCGAATTTCCAGCCATACAGGTGTAGACAAAAAAGTCATCTCTGCTGATATTATTAAAATGAAAAACAGCTTCTATTCTACGAACCGATTTGGTGTCTGAGAGCGGGTCACTCTTGTACTCGGTCGGTTTTTTCAGGACCTGTATCACCTTAGAGCCATTACTTGACTTAGCTGTTACACGCAGCAGCTGAAAATGCAAATTTCCCTGGGCATATGCAACACATTCCACTGTAACGTTTTGACCAACCGATGCATATATCGTGCTGTTGTCCACTGGCTTCAGCATATAGGGACTCGTTCTAACCACCTCTGTTAAAATAAATTTCATTGATTGACACAAATAATATAAGCATTCTGTTGTCATTTACGCCTAAAAGTGTGATGAGGAAAAACATAAAGTGGGGTTCCTTCAATTCAACGAGAAAAAATACATTTTTTATGATTGCCAGGCTAAGATGGCCTACTGTTGTTGACATGCAGTAACCAGGAAGAGATCATAATTCAAGTTACAAAAGAGAAGGCACGACGACAGAAGACAGTATGTTCTACAGAGAAATATGCGTCAGTCTTCGTTCTTTTCAAAATCAAACGTTCGTACATTAAAGCACAGGTAAAGAGTGGAAGAGACAATAAACCATAATGGCATGATACATCAATTATTGCTGATACAGACAACAAACCTACCGTGTGGAATGACGTTCATTGTCCGATTTATCGAGCTTCGACCGTTAGAAACTATGCATTCGTATTTCCCTTGGTCTTTCGGGTGCAGTTGCAACAATGTCAGCACTTGACGATCCGGGCTTATTTTCATGAGCCTGTTCTTGTTTATTGTATCAAAGGTTAGCATTTTGCCATTAAAATACCTAAAATGGAAACATAATTTGCTTCTAATAAACTTTATATTCAAATTAACATTATACTCAATATTTCGGCCAGGTTCATCTCAAATGTTCAGTAACAATATCAATTCATCTCTCTTTTGTCGCTGATGCAGAATCTTTAAAAAGACAAACTTTTACTACATTCAAGTAGAAATGTGATCTGATTACGGGTGTTTGGGCCACAAATTGGGCTTTTTGTAAAACGACAAGTGAAGAAACAGCAGTGGTTGCATTGCCGAAGACGATGGAAGAATTTGGGAATATAACATGGCAAGAACGTCGACATAACTATATTAAGGTTTTTAAAATTTAGGATTGTTTCTCAGTGGGATTTTTGTAGTTGTCTGGTCTTGAAAAACGTCTAGAGAATATAATAATATATTAACTTTAAATAACAGCAATTGCAAGAAATGTTTCATATATCGAAGATCCAGCAAAAGGATGAAAAGAGTGAGGGGGCAACGGGAATTCACACTTGGAAAAAGCAAATTCACGCGGGTTCTCGGTCGAAGATATCCACAAGAAAGGGGAAAGGGGATCTACTACCCAAGGAGTATCGTCTTATTTGCAATGCAGATTCTTGCTGGCCTTCTTCAAACAAATTCAAAGGTTGCCAATGGTAAAAACAGATGTAACCTTGAGGTACATACCAAGTAATGGTTACAGGACCAGACGAATGTATTGTACAATCTAACGAAACTTTGTTTCCAACAATTTCGACAAGCTCTGGGGCGAAATCCCTCTTAGCAAATCTCATAGTACCTAGAACAATAATAACACCAAATATAAAATGTAAACAAACACGTACTAAAATACAGCGCTTTTATAAATAGACTGTTTGGAATTCACAAGAACACAACAAGTCACGTGACTATATTTCTACCTAAGGCTCTTTTCAATGAAAGTTGTTTTTAATAACAAACAGTCTTTTGCGGTGCATAAGCCATTTAATACACATCACCTGTGTTTCAGAAACTAACTCTTTTCCATTAAACTCGATACCCAAAATGGACATTCAAATAAATGGATTACTTTTCCTTTTCATGAGTAGGGGGAGTTTTGCTATGCATCAGGGTCCGTGAGAAAATTTCGATGGAATTTTTGCTTCAAAACATTTCATCATGGACGCGGAATTTCTTGAAACCTTTGCGGAACACGGAAATTGAGTTAAAATTTTGACCGATTGATAGAATATTGATAAGGGAGAACGTTCCTGAAAAACTGTCAGACTATGCTGGTCGGCGGAATTATGAGAAAAATTAAGCGGAAGAAGAGATTTGTGAAAAATTATTTTGAATTCTTCCAACACTGATTTCTTTCAAGCATTTATTAAAGGCAAAGATCCATACATTTAATAGGCGGGTAATAGTCAGGGAGGGAGGTCTCCGACGTGGTGTTATTTGAGCTCCATCTGAGCCGCTTGTTCATGCCAGAAAGTGGCTAAGTACTGCTCCTTGCTTCTTTAGATATTTCTGACTGTTCTTATAAAGTAGACGCCTGATCATAGTCAGGACCGCCAACAAAGAGGGTAGCCGGGAAAAGCACCGCGGGGCCCAGGCCCATTCTGGGGACCGTACTTATGGGATCTTTACCAATTCTCATAATCTGCAATCTAGATTCGTTGTGAACCAAGGGCTCTACTACATGCATTGGTTGGCATGGACCTGGCCTCGCTCTTGGCGGCCCGGCTCATAGTTCACAAATTGTAACTCCTAAGATGGTAGGCCTAAAACTGAATTCTAGTTAGACATACAAATGAAAATGTCTTAGTAGAGTTCGGTCTGAAATGATGCACGCGATAAAAGGCAGTTCGTGGATGCGGCTCGACGTGCTATTGCGAGTCACGATTGACTCAAAGGCAGAGGCATTTGTAACGAATACCACAAGAATATCGTTACAAGACACGACATTGGGCGGTATGTGTGAGTCTTTTCAACAAAGCAACAAAGATAAACTCCTTCTTAAATAAGATTATTTGATAAAATCACGAGGTCAAATAATGAAAGGATATTTCATCTTATATCAGCGAGACTGAAAACAACCGAATCCTACATTTCAATCGCCTGACTTCAAACCACTGAGCCGCCCGATCAGTATTGCGACAATACAGTCGTTGCTTGTACTAATTCGTCGTCAAAGAACATCAAGATCACCCCGCAAAAATCACTTTAAAAAGATCCCCTTCATACCCCCTTCTCACTTTAAGTTTAATCTAGACAATCAACTCAACATTCTCCTCTGATCAGTAACCCAACTCTCCTGAGGCTAAAAATTATTCATGGATAATTTAGATTTTTTTAACCGGGGTTGGGGGCTAAGACATCTACAACATAGCCTATCTTTCTAATATCCCCGGATGGCACCTTTGTTCAGAGCCCCGTCAGGGACACAGTCTGAGAGTGGTAGCGCCAGCTACTGCCGAGTGGAAGGGTAAGAGACCAGGCCCTTTTGCCTCGTTTAAGTACTTTGTACCCGGTGAATTTTCCTTAGGCGTACCCCTACCTGACACTTTTTAATCCATTTATAGAAAAAAAGGTGGACCATTTTTCGACAAAAGTGGGGGAGCCACTCCATACCCTCCCTTAGCGCCGCTACTGCAGTCCGTTAAGAAGGCAGGATTCGAACATGTTGATTCAATCTAATTCTACATAGATTTTGGACTCACAAATTCCATGAAGAGTATCACAATAGGATGATCTTCAATTTCACGTGGCTTAACCTATAATGCACTGTAAGAATATTTCTATACAAAGGTTTCTTTCTGTTTCTATCACCAACTATATTCTAGTAATATGCATCTGTTTCACCAACCAAATGAAAATGGATAAGGTGAGAGACTGGTGATCTGCAAAACATCAAAGGCGTATTAAACAAAAACTTCTGCCTTAGCTAAACCCCTTTACAGGGCCGCTGAGTGGGGGGGGGGACAAGGGTGAAAGGCAAATTTCCCTAGGGTCGCGAGGTTTAGGGGGCCTCATTAAGTAATAAATTTCATTTTAAGAAGGAAATAAATCAAACGTAGCAAAATTATGCCTAAAAATATTAAAAAGGTTCTAAACGGTTGCCAGGTATGCAAGGTAAAAATGCATTTTAAGGTAATCTGAAGGCGTGATCGCCAAAATTTTCACCCGGTTTTGCCCCAGTGCCTCCGAAACCTCTCGGCAGCCCTGCCCCTTCCTAAAATGCACTCATCCCCTAAATAATGACGAAGACTTTTCGAATGTATTCAAAGAAAACGTCGGCTCTCTCTATCATTTTGCAGTACAGAACACCTAAGAGAACACCTCAGTGATGATGATTTATGTACTATAGAAGAATTGATAGCACTTGTAAGTGATAATGCCGCAAACCATTTAGAGCTTTTGCATTTGACAGATGTTGGGTGGGTAAAGTTGGGGTCTAATCATCCTGAGATAATCTAGGCAGAACTTTGCGAATACCAAATAATAACCGCTCGAGCAGGGCAATGAAGACTACGATCTTTTAGATGTGTGAGGAGATGGAATATTTTATTCTATCTTTGGATAATGAGCTCCAAGTTCCCCGTCTCAGTTTTTGTCCTTAGGGCTCCAAATGCCTCCGTTACGCCACTGGTTGTGGGAAATTCTTCACTTAAAGTATTGTCATTAGAACAGGCTAAGGCTTGAAGTTGGCCGATGAACATCTCTTAAGCTACACAAAAAAAGTAAAAGACCTGATTGATCAAACCCTGTTAATAATTTTTCCTTGGGGTGGTGGTTAACAGAGAGGTAGACGCGGGCGGGTCTGCGGTTCTTATCTTTGCAAGATGAACTCAGCAACGATATAATAGATAAAACTAAATTGCATAAAGAACAACGCCTAACCTTAAGACATTCGGACAACAACAGTCTACTTTTCATTTAACTGCTTATCAATAACTCAATCGGAAATTCAATGTCAAAGGCAGTTTGTCCATGCTTTGACTAATCCTCTTGCTCATCCAAAACAACTCAAGGAAAAGCAGGAAAATCAGCTCATTTTACTGGTCCATTGCGGAACGTCACAAAAGGACTCCATGATAACAACTTGCCTGACCTAATAAATATATTACGGTTTATGTCTGTAATAGTTTAAAGCAAAATAAACGTCACATAACCTAGAACCGTTTAGATTTTTGCAATATTAAAATTATCTTTTCAAAAGACATTATCTTTTGCTACAGAGTACTTTAAAATAAATGCATAAAACGCTGCATTAAACAGCTTTGTAGAATGTTTTTCTCGTTAACCCTAGGGCGAAATGCATAGTAAGCAGTGGCGGTTTCAAGGGGGTCCAGGGGGCCATGGCCTCGGGCGCCGTGCTTATGGTAGCCAAAAGGGGCCCCACACCTAAGAAAAAAATAAAAACTGTAAAGAACAAGAGCCCCGCAGATGTTTTTTGCCCCGGGCCCCGCAGTCCCCAAAACCGCTGCTGATAGTAAGTTGTTCTGTAGCTGGAACAATTTGTAGTTTAATCTATTTTCAGACATCTAGTCTACAAAAGATTAGCAAAAGAATTTTCGCTAGGAGGCGTTGTCATATTGTGATTAGCAAGGTGATAGAGAAACGAAGCAGGTTCAGAAAGAGTTGGCAGCAAATTCATGACAGAAAACTAGTTTTATTTCCATTTAAAAAGTTTGCAGCTGTTTCACGCGAACCTAAGTTATACCATTTGTCTCAAACGCAACATCAGTTTGGTTTAACTGCAATGGGTGAAAATAGGACCGTATCCCGAATTGCTGAAGCCAAACGCCCTATTTGATCGCAAGGGATATATTTCTTTACCCTGAAAACTTCAATAATTTAGCGCATTTGTACCCTTAAAAGTAAGGTGCCTCAGGCTTATTTTATTGGTAATCGTGGTTCTTTTACCTCAGTTGACAGAGGATAAATAACAGCTAGAAATTCATAATACTGTAGATAAAATTGCAGATTTGAGAATCGTAAAGGCAATGAAGAAGTGTTGACAAGAAACATTACAAAACAAGCCAACTTCCTAAACAACTGGAGATCTAGATATAATTTATTTATCTCATTATAACACACAAGAAGAGATATTTTTTGCTCATAAAGATCTATTCTGTAGCTTAACTGACTTCAGCAACTAAACCCTAGCATTCATGAATTTGTAATAAACTTCATTGCGCTGAGAGCTAAAATTCCTAAATTAAGGAAAGATTTATGGCCATCACTAGAAGATAGAGTTTTACACATTATTTAGAACTTTTTTTAAACAGCATAGTCATATAACATCTCTTAAGTCAAAAAACCATACTACCACCATTGCCATATATTCAATAACCTAAAGAGAAAAGTATTCAAAATATATAAAAACTTACTGGTTATGTAATATAAAATGGATTACCTTTTGATAATATATGGACTTGCACAGTAATAGAATCATTCCACATTGCATTGCTGACAAAACACTTGTACGTTCCTGCATCGCTCAACACTACAGATTTGATCTTGAGAAAAGTGTATTTTCTAATCTTGTAATGATCATTTGTTTTTTCAATAACAGTGTCATCTTTAGTCCATTTATAGGAAAAGGACCTTTGATTCTTCACATCTTTAGGCAGTTCACAAAATAATTTTACATTCTCTCCCACTGATGCTGTTTTCTCTGCCACATAGTTGTCCCGTCTTATCTTAACAGATTCTATGAAAAAGAAACCACATTATATCAATCGCCCTAGATAGATAGTAGAACAGATTTTTAGGTCATAGTTGCAAAAGGTTCAACATTATTTGCACTGGCAAAGAACTTAATCCTAACAGGCAAGAATTTTGACAAAAATTTCCTGGAAAAGGGCCTCACCATTCTGACAGGAAAAGAGACTAAATACTTGCAATAACGATTTTACATATAGAAAATCTAGGTAGAATGTAGATGTTAGCAAACTCTGGCAAGGTGTGCCTAACTCCTCCCTACCCTATTGCATTCCTTGATTACAGCTACAGAAGTTACTATGCATGATTAATTGTTAGTTAAATTGGGTATTCAAAAAGTTAAATTTGAATTTGGTATTATAAAATGCAAGGCTGTTTATGCAAATCAAGGTAAAATATGCTGACAGGTCACATGGTAGGGAGAGCATCACCACTGATTAGAATAGGCTTGTAGCAAGGGCCACAAAAGCATGTTCTGGCAACTGTTGTTTTACCATTGACAAAAGGGATAGATGTACCACAACCCAATATACCTCAAAAATTACCTCTTTGCCCTCAAAGATTAGAGGTTCACAGAAAGGTGATCATTCATGCAGACTCCAGTGTTCTGTGTCCACTTTTAAAATGCAAGGTGATTATGTGACCACAATGTTCAATTAAACCATAAGCTTTGCACAGTGGTGGAAATTTTGAGGGATATTGATGCAGTGGCCCCAAACCCAATTCAGCATGTCTTAGGAAATGTTCTGATAAAGTCTTCCCAGAAATCTGACAATTTTTATAAGATAGCACCTATAAAAGTTCCCATGGGTCTGTGTTAAACCCAACATTAAAAAAACTCAACTTTGTCAGTCACTGACCTCAAATAGTATCTACCCTAAGGGGCACTTGAACAAGAAAGTGACAGTTGCCTCTGCTTCTAAATACCCTTTTCCAAACAATGTCCTTTATTTTAATACCCTGTTTTAGGGTTTTGATGCAAATCATAACACCCTTACCAAAAATTTCAATTGGAAAAGTATACCCTGTTCTGCTGCACATCCTGTCAGATCAAGCATTGGAGTGCCCCCTCTAAGCATACACCCTCTGATTACAGACCTCTTTCTTGACAACTTAAATTAGCAACTTGTATTATTTCAAGTAATGCAATTTTATCAATCAATGGATATAATTTTTTTCCAATTTTAAAAGTTTTGAATGAAAGTTAAGATGATTTTGCAGCAAAGGAAAGCAACCCCAGACTCCATTGCTAGTGCCTGATCTGTTCTGTGTCCTTGTGACAGGACCTCTTATTGACTAGATAGACAATATTGTACTTCCAGCCTTAGTGAAACTTATAGACTTTTTAAGATTGTGAACAAAACTTTTAGCTAGACTTATCACTCCTGGCTACCTGGTTTTGGTGAAGAGTTGTGGGATCCGTCATGGCTCATTAGGGAAACATTTCCATGAAAAGCTTTTTTTCAAATTGATTGGATTTTTTTTAAAATACTTAACCACATCAAAACTGTTTGATATATATGGCAATCTTAGGCTCAAATAGGATATTTTTTCAAGCAGGATATCATATTAGGATATCAGGTTACTCGAATCAATACTTTAACACTCCTTGTGGTGAATGTCCCAGCTAAAACTAAGTAAGGGTCACAACTGCACATTACAGAATAAACTCGATGTTGACATTTTTGATGACCTTTTTTGTGAGTTAAAAACTTGGGTAATTAAAATAAAGCAACCTAAAGTCATTTTACACAGGAAGCTGCAAAAACATAGCCATGAAGGCTGAGTAACTGAATTTAAAGGTACAAACTTATGAAGAACAAACTTAAACTTCTCCCTTTGAGAGTGCCTAATCAAACTTATTTTAGGGATATAAATTGTTCTAAGGGCAGTTTCTGGGAGAAGAAAACTGTCCTTTGACCTGGACAAAATAACATGATTTGATATGGGTTTATGATTAATCTTAGGTACAAATGTGTAGTTTTTGACTTAATTGTGCTTACATTTGCTTGATTGAAGGGTATGGTTCATCTAGCAACTAAGTCTATCAGCCTGGTTGAACTATTCAGTAGCTGAATATATCTCCTTTTTACTTCTAGCTGCAATACCCAGTGCTGTTGGAAAGATTTCATATTGCGGGGGGGGGGCTGCCATTGTTTCCTTCTCATTAAATACACTGTTATAAAGGAAACATGCTACAGTTTGACAATTATTGGGAAAGTTCAAGCCCCCAGCCCCCCCCCCCCTCAGTTCTGATGGGCCTGATACCATTTGAGATAAAAACATCAAAACCAGAATTACAAACCCTATCTTTCCTGTTGCTTGTGGACAAAATGAAGTAGCCATTATTGTGATTAACATAACTGGTGTGGTCTCACTACTGAGATGAAAAATACTGGCCAATAAAACCTAACATCATAGCCACTTTAACTGAATGGTATAGGAAGAAAGCTGATCAAAATTAATCTACCCAAAAGAAAAAATGAGTTACCAAATGTTAAATTTATAAGCAAACATTGTTTGAAAAACTCGAAAACTGCATTTCATAACATGACCCAAGTTCTTTATGAAAATGAATGAAAGTTGGAATGAATTGCAATAACTGAAGGAAAACAATCAAGCACAGTGATAAATATATCACATTTCTCTATTTTTGCCATCTTGCTAACAAGCTCTTTCCTGTGACATAATAGTTTCGCATTAGCACCTATTCCGAAGTCTCCTTTAATTTTAGTCTGCAAGACGGAAAAGAAGCAGAGAATCAGTTCTTTTCCTCATTGAAAAGCTGAGCTGATAAAAATAAGTGTTCGCCGCTCGTGCTCGGCCTAAGCCGACAAACCATTAATTACCAGCAACAGGAAGTTGCTATTCTTTTAAAATATTTAAGAGGAAGATTTTAACTGAAATCTGCATTTTAAATTGAATAAGATGAAGAGGGATTTTATTGAATTGGTCCATCTAAATGGACCATTCAAGAAATAATTTTGCGTGTCAGTCAGCAGAAGTATCACGGCAAACAATTGTTTTTATATCAATGACACACTGGGTCATTCATTATTTTAATAAAAACTGCCATTCTCAGGGCAAGTTGGGATTCAAGTCTCGTGGCTTGCATTCAAAAATATGTTTTGAGTTTAATTCGATTTGGACCTAAGGGTTACGGTTCGTAAACAGCCACGTTAACACAAGATTCAAAAATTGATATTGTAGCAGTGACAGGTTAATAATTTAATCTACGTTCAGACTATTGATATATCAGCGATGTCATATTAGCAGTCAATTTGGAAAATTCTAAGTGTCCAACATGCCTAGCTTGACCTAACAGGGTCCAAATTTAAACCGATAGATAACTTTCTATTCACGTTTTCCTCCAATCTAAAACCCTCAAAATGTATCGTGGTCGCGAATAAATATTTGAGCACTTCAATTTGGCATAAGTAATTCGTTTGACTTCCCCTCGTTCTTTGAATTATCTCAAAGTAAGAGTCTTGGACTATTTGTGTTTCTTTTTGGGCAAAGGTTGAGCATACTAAACTTCAAACTATGAACTGTCTCAAAGTAAATAAGAAGTCACTGGTTTAGTAAGGTTAGGGAAAGCTCGTGGTATTGCTGTTATGGTGATTGCTCTCGGTCGCGTTAAAAGCAACCGCTAGTTTCCTTCCTGAAGTCTTAATACACAGAATGAACAAATCCGCTACTTCCAACGTGAAAATTGCTCTCGAAGACCAATATGAAAAGACTAGTTGTACGAAGGTTTGCAGTCCTTTTGATACGACTCACTCAGAAGCACTCTTGTGTCGGTCGGGCAGGCCGATATCAAGGACCGCGGAAAATAAAATAAAAAGAAAAAAATTGACCACCAGGCTTTACCTTCAGCTTTGACCAATGAGAATAACAGCAGCACTGCAACAGGTAACATCTCTAGGAGACCATTACATTCCATCTATGCCAAATTGACAGGAACATTCCAGAACAGACACATTCCAAAACACGATATATGCCTTTACAGCTTACAAACACTAGCTGCAGTTATTCCAACAATAGGCCTTGCGGTAGAAAACTGACCGCTTCACATGTTATAAAGTTTCCCACATTTGAATTCCGTCAATGCCCGAACGCTTTTCGCTGATACACTTTGGAAGAATAAGCTTGGCAATATTTATTGAGCCTCAAAACAAATGTGCAGGCGATCTCCAGAAACGAACGAATCTCATTCTCTATGTCTTGAAGAAACATTCGTAAATAAGTTACACGCAAATAGCGCGGGATACCGCGTGACACAGACAAACACTTTGGATAATGAATCTTAATGGTTCTTTGAAACATTCAATAGAACTGAATGACTACACAGGTAGCTTCCTTTTATTTCAAAAAGGTCGTGAATTGGCCTTTAAAATATTTTTCAATAAAACTGACGTGATTTTTTCAGCCCCTGTACAGAACTTATGGAAAACTGAAGGTCACGTTTGCGCAGGAGAAGTCTTGTTGTTTCAAGGATTTGCGTGCAAATTTTGTATTTAGTTGGAGTAACGAAAAACAAAGGGACTTGAATACAGTCTGAAATAACGAATATTTGAAAATTAGTTTTTGTAAAGCCTTTATTTATCCAGCTTGGGTAATGAAATGCATCGTGAATGGAAAAACAAAATTGCAATGTACGGATTATTGAAGACACAGCATAGGTGGTCACAGGAAAGCTATCCGTGGTACTTAAAGAAATATGCATTCATTTCTACCAGTAGAAATAAGTTGTGTATGCAGCTCCTGAATAATGAGGGATATATGCTCTTGAAAATGGTGGCAATGCCTTTTTGAATATCATTGGCATAAATGATGCCAAAATATAATTAACCTGCCTGTCACTACCAATGTCAATTTCTTGACATTATCTGTCAGATCATGACTTCATGAGAGCTATGATCTGAAAAGTGGGAGTCCAGTTACCCATTTTCCCATTCTGTGTGTCACAAGAGCCACCTTCATTGTGCCCGGCTTACTTTCGTTAGAAAGGCCTTTCTTTGGTGTACCTGATACAAAGTGCCAATTGCTATTGGTGATGTTGATAGTTTGTTAGAAATGCGGATTGCTTAGAACATCTCATGAAGATTCAATTCCTTCCGCTGACTTAATTTCCATTTTTTGACAATTTATCAAAGTGCATAGCGTATTTCTCGTAGCCTGTGTCCCAGACCCCTAAATTTCAAGTTAGGGATCTGGAGCACAGACTAATGTCTGGTAACTTTAGCCAATTATGCTGGTCTATCAGCAAAATACCTTAAAACCACATTGACGTTAGTTTAGTACGACTAGCTCCTCGGTCTTTTCATACTGAACCTTAATTTCTAGCTATACAGCGTTCTAAAGACGTGGAGAGATATTATGTTTTGACTAGAATGTCATGGCAATATTATATCACGTTGCAGCAGCACTAGGCCAATATAAACATTTGACCTTAATCTTCATGTTCTGAATCTTCCGTCACTGTTGCTACAAACTCGATAAAACCCTAAGATTATCGAACGAATTGTCTGCTAGAAGAGATCTTTCTAGTGCAGATTCTTTGGTTCAGTGAAGTATCAGCATTCATTGCCTTGACTGTTTTACTATTAGAAAGGAAATTAATCTGTCATATGTAGCACACATGCACGAACTAAAGACTAATAAAAATCCTAGTCTCAACTATGTTATTAAAATACAATATTGTAAAACAAAAGACCTGACAGTAATTTTGGGATAGATAAGCTTGTAGCCCGCAAAGCATCATAATTTGCAACCCCTGTGAGTAAATAAGCGATATATTTTATTGTTATGTGGTCGCAAGAACGTGAAATAAACAACTAGGCTCCTTTTTGATAAACAGAAAAACAGCATCATAAATTTTTAGCTGCTGCAGCGGTTATGTATTTATAAACCGACCAATAGCGTGGTTCAGTTCTAGAAATTTTGGGCCTAGTCAACATCAAGATTCTCCTTAACTCAGCTTTTGAGTTAGGTTTAGCAGGGGCGTATTTTGCATCACCAGCCCGATATCAGTCTTGCATCAATAAACACTATTGCTTTTTACCTATACATCATACTATGTATACATATACACTCTTTTTTTTTAAGAACAATTTTATAAGAACGCGAGCCCCAAAACTGGTCAAAAGTTAAGAACAAATTAAGAACAAGCTGATGCTGAGCATCTGCAAAATGCAATTTTGAACAACGTTTTTTCTTAAAATCAAGGAGTTTTAGCGATGTGTGGGTGCTTTTTCGGTGAATATTCAAATTTATCAACAAATTAAGGCTGTCTCACTCACTTTGTTGGCAAATGAGGCCTGAACACCTCCTTAGAGCGAAAAAGCTAGCAATAACACTGCTTACACCCTCTTAATTTAAGAACAAATTAAGAACAATCCAGCCTCAGATTTTCGAAAAAATTAAGAACAGTCAGCCTGAACTTAAAGTTACTGGTTCTTATTAAAAAAGAGTGTAGCAAATAAGTTTACTAACAATTTCTATTGAAATAGAAGGCCTGCCTGGTCATCAAGGCTAGGACAGTATAACCTGCAAAGTTCCGTTCATTGTCACATAGGTTTCAAAATTGATTTTCTTGCAATTTTAATGAGATGTTATTGGAAAAGCAGAGCTGGAAGCTAATTAACATAAACACCCTGTTTGTTGAATCAGTTAACCAAAGGGGTTTAGCATCTAAGGGCATGACCAAGCCGATCTCTACGAAATCAAACCATTCTGCACCCTAGCCATCAACCCCCGCCCATCAAATCTTGCATATCTCGCTATGTAATGATTTCTATTATGATGTGGCCTTGTCGTGTATTTAACGCATTGCGCTATCTGTCCGATTGGAGCCTGTATTGTGCCCCCTTGATGTAAAGATACTTTACTTCATCGATGAAGACACCCTAAGCCCTTCAGTGATTCTTGTAAACATCTTTTTTGCTGCAATTATTCATACCCAGAGCCACATTGAAACATTTGGAGAAAATCCGCGATTAATAAGAATATAAAAAGCCACATAAAAGTGAAGGAATAAAGCGATTGGTAAAGGGATTAAAAACTGGAACAAAACAGAGTAACCGCGTACAATGGACGAGGTTAAAGATATCTAAAATAATGCAGAAAAATCCAAACATTTGCTGAAGATTTTACCGGCTATTTGTCAACATTTTCGAACAGTGGTATGGGGTGGGCCATACGCTGCACACAGTACACCGGAAAAATATTTCCTCCTGAGTTAGGTGGTGTGTCGTATTTATTTCCCAAATAGATCATGACCCAACTATAGACCAATAGCAAAGCATTGAAAAAGGTTTCCTTTTATCAAAATATTTAGCACATGGTGGTCTGTGTTCTTGATAGGGAAGGTGGAAAAGCAGGGACATGGAAGAAAACATATTTTCACGCCAGACAATGGTGCAATTAACCTATTGTGTAAAACGACAATAAGCTGTATTGCTAGAATCGGTTTCACAGACACAAAACAGAGAAATTATATGACAATAACAGATTAATTTCCTTTCTAATAGTAAAACAGGCCAAGGCAATGAATGTTTATACTTCAGCGCACCAAAGAAACTGCGCTAGAAAGATTTCTTCTAGCAAATTCGTTCGATAATCTTAGGGTTTTATCGAGTTTGTAGCACCAGTGACAGAAAATTCGGAAAACGAAAAGAAAGGGCCAATGTTTATATTGGTCTAGCGCTGATGCAACATAATAAAATACTGCCATGATACTTTCGTCAAAGCATGACATTTATCTATTCTGTGCCACCGACTACCAGTTGGTTTTGTCCGAAATGAGAATGAAAATATTGTTAGTACTGTGCTGGAAGTTTTGAAGACATTCTAGCTTCCAGGGCCTCACAAGTCATGGGTTTTTTATGACGAAATTTTGCTCCACTAAGTATACTCAAGCATAACTAAGGTATTATTAAAAGAGGGTACTACAGTTGTCAACTGGATTGATTTTTGCTTTTTCTGCGTGAAAAGAAGCATGAGTAAATGCAAAAGAGATATCTGTACTGGGAGCAATTGTACATAAGAATAATATAATAATTTCTTCTTTATATGTTTTGTGTGAAAATTCGGTATTTGATATAACCAAATCTATTTAATCTATTCAAGGCAGTTAGATAGGAGGGGCTGAGCAAGCTCCAATTATCCAATAATTAAATATTGAATTTGACTGCATTGTGGGTGTCCAGAAAAGCCTTTCAGACCCCCTCCTTTAAATTGAAAATTCCTCCCAGGAGCCCTGCGTCTGTACAACAACACGTGACTGAAAAAATAAAGCACTGGCAAATGACTGATCTCAAGTGAAATTGGTCATCCGAAGCACGAAGTCCGAGATAATACCACAAGGACATCCTACCTTCGGTACAATTTCGATATTTTACAGTATTTGCTAAGTTGAGGCGTATATGAGGCGGTCTATTTCGGTCTGCCCTTTCAGTTTATTGAAATAACGGGTGGTGAAATGGTATCAGATTCACAATAGAAGGCAATAAGCACCAGCATATCCAAAGAATGAACCGGAAATCAATTAAAACTATTTGATTTGATATTTTCCTGATTATTGTCTCTGCCTTTTAACTTGAAACAACAGATATTTGACTGATTCTGCAAACCCTCTTCAACTTGCCCACCGCTATTCAGCTGTATTTCAATTCGCTTACAAATTTATTATTTGCCAAGCCGGTGTCATATTGCAACACCCTTGTCCTCTGAGTTTTCATAACATTCGGCAAACATAATTTACTTTAGTGATGTTAAGTTCTTATGAAGCAGCACGTGTTTTATTCATTATCATAGGCTTGTTATTTCAGTTTATCCAGGCGCCAGTGTCAGCCTTCTGAATACCCTACCACATCACTATTTCTTCGTCTAATTTCGTAAAACTTTAAATATTTCCTTGACTGCAGACGACGGCTTCGTGAACAAGCTGAGGTGCTTAGGCGTCGAGAAGTTGTATTGAAAAACACGACGCGACTTTGTGCATGCTATAAAGGGGATTTTATAGTGAACGCTAAGCCAATTTTTCTAACGACTCTTTTAGAAACCCGGCCTGGTGGACCATGTGCGGTTTTTGGAAATTTCAGCATAGCATCGCAGATTCGTCTATACTCTTTTTTATTTATTGGTCCTTTCGTTTCTTCTAGGGGGTTGTTAAAAATCTACGTTTATGCTGAGGGGACAAATCCACAACCGGTTTTCCGAAAGTTCACCAATTCGATTGCCTGATAATTAAAGTTTTTCGGGCTCGAGGTGCAGAAAAGTTTTTTCCCTCCAAATATCCAGGAAATACACGTGCTCAAAGGATTCTTTCCTTTTAAAGTTGAAAACTCTAATTTTTACTGTATTGATGACATTTCGCGTTTTAATCAACATCCCATGATATTCAAAAGAAAGCCTACAGAGGTTCCCTTTATTTCATGCTATTGTATTGTATTTCATGCTTCAGGGAGTTTAATGAGTGTATCGTTAAAAAGTCAGTCTTGTTATCTCTGTCCCTAGAAAACAATCAAAGCATTGTTAATTAAATGATTTCAAAAACATTTACTAACACAAGTTTGAGCCGTGGTCAGATTTCTATTTTCTCCTTGGTTCACAATTTTGAGTCTTATTTGAAGTAACAAGAGGTTTTAACTAAAAAGTACCTAATTAATAGAGAGTGCGGGAAAATAACCGACCCGAGCGAGGCCTATTTTTGTCACAAAGACAGGCAACTAGATCAGATAAGCAAGCGTTAAGAAGTAAAGGTCAGGTATTTCCAGGGGTGGCGCCAGAAATCTTCCGACAGAGGGGTTGGCGCTTCCGACAGGAGGGCTAAAATTACTAAAATAAGCAGTTTTCGTACGTTATTTTGTCAAATTTGTTAACGATACAATAACCTAACACTACAATAACGATACAATAACGATACAATAACCTAAAATTTCCTCTGATGGGGAGGGGGGGCTAGATGCTTCCTACGGAGGGGCTGTAGCCCCACTCTGCCCTCCCCTGGCGCCACCACTGGGTATTTCATGTGCAGTGCAAACTAATGAAGGGTAAAATGAAGTTCATCCAATGAAACGCAAATGTGCCATAGCAGACAGGCAACATCAATGCTGTTGTCAGTACTGGTTAAAAGTTTCCGAGACGTCAATGATGAACCTGTACAACGAAATTTCTAAGATTCACTAGAATTTTGACCAGAATAAGCACTTGGGTGGTAATAGTCCCCTTTAATTTTTTTGCCGAGGGTGTTAGGCCATCTTCTAGCAAAAACATTTCTTTACAAAACAGGTTTTTTATACTTGGTTTTTATTTGTCAAGGTGAACAATATATCGTACACTGTCTTTGATAGACAACTACAATGAAAAGTATGGTCCCTGGTTCATCGAGGTAAACATGCATCAAGCAAATGGTTTCATACCCATTCGAGGCAGAATGAATTTTGATGTGACGTCATTTTTGACTCTTGCTTTTCGGATTCCATTAAGTACATAAAGGCTTTATCTTGAGTGGTCAGCGAAAATCAAGTTTAGATTCTATATTGACTTGATCTTCTTCCCAGCAAAGTTTTCGTAAAAAATTAATTGCCATTGACAAAATTTTTCAAATTTTGCAAGATCCACAGTGTACTAAACAAAATTAGATGCGAGATTTGCTAACTAAACTAGAAACATAGCGCTATGTAGCTTCACCTGCATTAGACTAGAATGAATCCTGTTATCATGACCTCAAACGGTATCATAGGGTTGCCACAATCACATTTATCTCAAAGCCAGTATGCAACTGTAACCAGTAATGTGGTTTATGGTACAGCCAGCAATTCTTAAAACGCTGTTCAAACAAAACGTTTACTATCAAAACGGTTAAGGTCTAGTTCTTTGGCAAGACTTGGTGAGACTGTGGGTACAAACGAGCCAATGGGGCTCGCTGTTGTTTAAATTTATCTATACAGTTTCTATAGAACCATGACAAATTTATATTATCCCAGTCAAAGGAACCAACAACCTGGAGCGTACGCGCGAAGGAACCAACAAAGCAATGTTATTTTTGTATTGTTTTAAGTTTAGTTTTGAAATTATTGGGGGGTTTGAACGTCCCAGCCCCATACCTCTGCGGACCTTGCCAGTAATATACCCTTATTCTCAACTTGAACTTCAAACCTCCTTCTTTTTAGCATCCTCCGCCTGTTTTTTCCTCTGCTAAGCTTACTACCCCTCCGAAAATATGTTTCTTTCACCTGTCTTTTTCACTTTTGTATTACAAATTAAATTATCTAAAAAGACATAAATGGTTGATATCTACTTGTAGATATGATTGTCTTTCAAAATTTAGTTTTACATGAAACTCTCTAGAAAGTTGCCTCTCGTTTAAAGCCAGATTTTAGATGATTGCATGATGAAAAAAGGATGATGGATTAGGCTTAAAATAAACAATTCATAGATAGCATTGGAAAAATAAACAAGGATACCAGAAACAGGTGGCAGGGCTTGAATTCATACAGAAAACCTAGGGTTTGCACACACCTGCACCATAATTTGAAAAGCTCTCTTTTTTCAAAAACCGAAAGATCTCTAGGAAGCAAAGTGTCACCTATGCATCTACGCAAGTTTGAATCTGTTAATGTTGTTTTTTATTGTGGTAAAAGGTAGAATAATAGTAGTTTTAGGTTTTAATGGTGCCAGAGTCAAGAAAACAGCTCAACCTCCCTTCTGGTATACGAGAATATATCAAAAACAGTGGGAAAAGGCCTGGTATGAATATGGTAATTCCTCTTTTATCTTTCTTTACATTCGTCGCACGTTTGATCAGCATATTGATTCTGCTGAACTCTACTATAAAATACTGGCAAACGATTAAAACCATGCATGGTCAAAAAAGTAGATAAAGATAACAACAACAACAACAACAAAAGAATCATTACGATCGCATTACTGATACAAATTATCTAAAGAATGTTTGGATTTACATGAAGTACTATCGCACAATACTAGAAAAGAAACTTACAAAGAACATCAAACCTACAAAATGAATCTAAGTACAAATGACAAATTCTGCGTCTATACACGAATCCACTAGAAAATAAATACGTTATATTTAACCTCAAGACTGAGCTTAGCTTGAAAAGCATGGAATGATTTTTAAAGAGATGCATCAGGTATGATTGAATGCTTTACAATGTTTCTTTTACTTGACTAAAATCGCCTATTTACAATACAACCGCGTAAATATGTGTTGTGGAGGTTGACAGATCACTGATAGAGCTTTATCAATAGAGCTTACATTGGTTTAACTTAAAAATCAGGGCAACCTGTTTTTTGCCTTCCCTGCTTTTAGTCTGCCCTATTCTTTCTCTACCCTTTTTGTCTGGCCTGTCTTTTTGTCTACCCTTGCCCTGTTACCCTTACTTTTTGTCTGTTCTACTTTTTGTCTGCATTGCTTTCTGTCTCCCCTGTTTTTTCTGCCCTGTTTTTCGTCTGCCTTGTTTTTTGTCTGCTTGTCTTTGTCTGCCCTGTTTTTTGTCGGCCCTGTTTTTTGTCGGCCCTGGTTTTCGTCCGCCCTGGTTTTCGTCCGCCCTGGTTTTTGTCTGCACTGTTTTTGTCGGCCCTATTTATTGTCCGCCTTATTTATTGTCTGTCCTACTTATTGTCTGCACTGTTTTTTGTCTGCCCTGTTTTTTGTCTGTCCTGTTTTTTGTCAGTATACTTTTTGTTTGCCCAGCTTTCCAACTCTTTCATGACTGTCTACAAGATGGCAAATGATACTTTCTAAAAGTCACCAAACATAGAACTTACCAAGTAGCCATCGTTTTCACAGATGCCTCATAACCTATAAACTATGCATTTTAATGTTGCAGCGTTCTGTTAAAATCAGGTCAACTGCCAATCCAATTACAACGCTATCTAGTAATGAATTTATCTACCAAATCTACAGAACCAGTTCACTGGACCCATAGACGCAGGAAGAATTCAAAAGGTTGAGGTACATGAAGGCAAAAGGGGACACTTCCTTGAGATACAAATTGGTACTTTACATGTGTTTCTGAAATCTGTTAGTGCAGGGTAACTTCTGAAACCATCTGTGCCTCTGAATCCTTCGTCATCCCACGTGCAGCATTTGTGGACTGGGCCACAAGCTATGTGAACTTTAAGCAGAGTGGTTGACGCAATCATTTTTATTTTTTTAAATGCGGGACCGTTGAAACGTTTCTTGGAAACGCATTAACAATAAGTAACGTACCCCTTTCCCAACAAAAACGTTGACAGAAGCATGCCTCACTTACCACAACAAGCAAGTTTCTTAACATAAAATCTAAATTAGGATTATCACACGAGAGAATATAGGTTAATTTGGGTCTTAAACATAAAACGGTTTAAGAAAGACCACAAAACACGTTTATCAATCATATTTGATGCAATAATGTTTCAGCCACAATACGATCCATTAAGAGCAATAATAACACCAATGAGGGATAAATGGCTCGAGTGCCGAGAAACCTCCCGTGCTTGCGAATCATTAGTATGATAAACACAGTACGAAAAAGCCTAACATCAGGGCAGCTGAGGGGGGAGGGGTGTCAAAATGATTATCGTGTATAAACTCATATTTGAACAACTCATCCAAGTAACAGAAATCATTTCCAGTCATGTACCTCGCAATAATTAAGCCTCACTTTTGGTACTTCTCGTTAACGTGGCTCAACTAGAAACAGCGTAAACTTTTCATGCCTCATCTCTCCTAGTTTGGTTCCATTTTGGGGCTAAACGGCGAAATGACAACAGCAACACAGCTCATGAGGTAACCACGCGCACACTTGTCCACATTTTTTCACACATTCTTGAAGGAAACACGGAGCTGGCCTGGCCTTATGAAGGCACGTCTCTCACTTTCCTCTGGGTCGTAAATACCGGGTGAGATTCCGGAGTCGTTACAGTCACTTTCCGTCCGGTTTATCAACATTTGGTTTGCATTTGATAAAGCTTCGGTATTTCCATATGAGAAGTTTTGTCCATTAGGGTTGACAAGTTTCTGGGGTTCCTGTGGCTGAGGATTAAACACACTGGAATCCGAAGAACTAGAACTGCTTGAATTGGAGTCATATGGTTCCATTGACAACGGACTAATCACGGGCGGTTGCAGTTGTAAATAGACCTTGAAATTAGGTTGCTTCAAATTAAAATACGAAAATAAGCATGTTCCACAAATAGCTAAAGTGAGAAACTGCACCGAACATTCAATTTTGCACGTTTAGAAGTTTGAAACCCTGGTATTTATAAAGGAAACAAGGTGTCGAAAGACTCCAATTTGATCAAAGACTATATATCATTGACCATCAAAATCATTATATATCATTGACCAATCAAAAGAAGGTAAGGACGAATGGTGAGCAAAAGGTGAGAGACTGCAGTTCAATTTCAAGATGAATGGAAGGCAAGGTAAAACATAAACCGCAAAAGAAAAGCTAGGTAGACGTCACGTGTTTCAAAGGCAACAGTCATGACAGCCATGAGGGATCAAAGATACAAAAGCGTAGGAGAATGGACAAAGCAGAATGGTTAAGGACTAACAATTTTCGCCAACTCTTTTAGTAAAGTGCAAATATAAAATATAATATTGTTGCATAAAAAATCTAAAATGAGGTTAAAGTGCTGAAGACAAGAAACAAAAGGTTGCTTGATATGTTACCTGGTCACTTAGATCTTGCATTAACAGCTCAAGCTTGTTAACAGTTTGAGAGAAAGTTGGTCGTTTTGACGGGTTTTCTTCCCAGCAAGACAACATCAGTGCATATCTAGAACAGAATTAAGAATATCTCATTTCTGAATTTATAACTGGGATTAGGCAAAAAAGCCGACAATCCTAAATCTAGTGTGCTAGATCTGCTCTATGAAACTAAAGTTAGCGACAAAACAGTCTTTTTAAAGAAACTGAAATTCATTCTTTCAATATTAAATGCAATTCTATTCCATGAAACAAAATGTTTTGAGCTCTGATACTGCAATAACCACTCTACTCAAATAAGTTAAAGCGGTCTTCGTTTGCTTTTATGAGCAATATGTAGGAGGGAGACACATTATTTTTTGTCTTATAGCGCTGCTTTCCAATGTTGTATAAAGGCATATGAAATGCAGCCATATGTAAACAGGTACAATGCCTGCCAAAAGTCTTGGAACACTGACGTCATTTTCCAAGGTCAAAGTCAATCATCCCCCTCTCCCCTACAGAACAATGTTGGTTTACTATCAAACGGGTTAGGATATTAGGAAGCACTTTCTTTTGCGCTTCTTTTATGCTATTTCTCTAAATCATCAACATTGTTCTAGGGGAAAATAATATTTTTTTGGGAAAAGGAATGAAAGATAAGAAATGCAATGCAAATTGCTAGGTGTTCAAGTACTTTTGGCAGGAATTGTATGTGTAGCATAAAAAGTTTATGAATAACTTTGCAATGTAACACTCACAGTTCTTCAGAGCAATTGATTGGTCTCTCCATTCGATATCCACTCTTCAGAAGATCAAACAATTTTTCTAACGGGACACCTGGATAGGGAGTGCCACCTGAAATGTTGATTGAACAGCATGGTTAGATAGATACAACATTGGGGGAAAAATAGAGAACAGAGAACCACATTAAAAGGTGAACCTATGGGAACATTTTGAAGACTTATACCAGAATTAAAGTTGGTTTGCACGAAGTTGATTCTAAAGACAAGTTTTACTGAAAAAGATACTCACTCTCCCACCAAAGGTAACCTTTGGGAACTTTTTCAGACTTATCCCAGAATTAAGCTCTGTTTGCATGAGACGAATTCAAAGGACATCGTGTACGCTGATATTTAAAGGTACTCACTCTCCCACAAAAAGTACGTGAACCTATGGGAACGTTTTCAGATTAATCCCAGAATTAGGCTCTGTTTGCATGAAATAAATTCCGAAGACATGTTTTACTGAGAAAAAAGGCATCATGTACGCCTATATTTGAAGATACTCTTCCAGGTGAAGTGCGTGAACCTATGGGAACGTTTAGAATATTAATCCCAGAATTAGGTTTTGTTTACACCGGCGTTTTGCTATTTGTGTTTCGTTGGAAGATACAAGACAAGTTGTATGAAACGTGAGACTCTGTCACTACTTTGAATCAAGGAGAGGTTCTTTCCCAGGGGGCTCTATCCGATAATATTGGGTAAGAATTTTTCTTTATGATCCGAAAGTTTTGGTTACTTGATTTAAAAAGCATTTTACATTTATATCTACCTCCTGAGATCTGATGTTATGAAACAAATGTTGTTTGAAAATGAAAATTTAGGTAACTTTAGGTGCTTGCGGATGGATCTCCCGTACACAAAAAGTTCACATGAACACGCAGGAGGTTCTATAACACGCTACAAACTTTTAAAAGGAATATCTAATTTTCTGCTGAGCCTTAATAATCTTAATTCTTTTTATTTTGAGCCTTAAGATTATTCTTAAATTATTCTTAAGCAACAAAAGGCGTAAATTCATCAGAAGACCAGAGAGAAAATTCAAATCTTTGTTGATGTATTACGTCATCGCAAAAACAGAAGATGACGTATATGGTCATCGAACTGATTCCGGATACGTCTATTTCAATCAAATATTTGTTTTCCTTTCCAAAAAACTCAAATAAGCAAAAAAAATTGTTGATGGCTTGGGTTTTTGCATTATTCTCAGATTATTCTTAAATATCGGCAATTCTAAGTCATAACATTCTTGCAGACTATGTTTTTTTGAAAAACTGTGTAACAGTTGATAAACTCCATTCTCTCTGTTATTTGATATAGCCGGCTTGGAATAAAAATGATATCCGATTTGCGTTGCTCTTCACCAACCTCGACGAATCTTTTCGTAATGAACAAAAAAAAATTTTCAAGTAGCAAAACACTTACCAAAAGTCACAATTTCCCACATAAGCACTCCAAAAGACCATCTAAAAATAGACAAACGGTAGTGAAAAGGATGTCATCAAATCGTTTGTTCTAGTTGACCCCACCGACCTCGTTTTCAAAACAGGAGGACGAAGCCAATGATATATAAGCGGCGCTGCTATATCATTAGACGAAGCACTGGTGTGGTAGCAAACGGTAGTTGTGCTGATTAGTGTTATGGGATAGGCTTGAAGAATAGATTGGAAAACTGAGCCAAAAGTAATGATAAGGATGATGATGATCGTTTTTATCATTATGATGATGATGATGTTGGCGATGTGATGATACGAAAACCAATTCATTCAAGCATGCAGGTTCAAACGTGCAGAGGGTAGTGACCTACAAGGTACCACCCATATTTGCATACCTTTGTAATCACAAAATGACAGGTGGGAATGTTCCTGAGCACCGAAATTAAGCTCCTCTTCAACTCAACAATTCACCATTGGCATATACACAAATAAATCGGTTTTTGGAAGGAAGTTTGTGGTATTTGCGAATCTATAACAATTGAAATGATAAGATCAAGAATGCAATCATATAACACTGACGTGAAAGGCTACGCCAACCAGTCTTTACAGGCGCTAAGCCTGTGCAAATTCTCTGTTTAAAAAAGGATCAGCCATGACAAACCTGAAATCTCGCCAATGGACTAAGCTATGGCAATCTTTTACAATCAATAATTCAGTTTTTCAATTTGGATCAAGCAGCATCTGTACAGAAAGAACTGTCTACATCTCATCTTTGAAAATCTACGCTTCTCGGGAAAATAATTTGGCAGCTAATCAGATTACAGTTGCATTGTACAAAAAAATTCAAGTCATTATTTGCAAATGTTTGACCCAGTTTTTGACAAACGTGGCTATATTGCTTAAATTTTAAGCTCGGTTTTTTCTACTCGATGACCACACTTTTCAATACTATGCAAATCTTCATCATTGCTTTGGCATAAGACGATTACAGGGCTTATGACATCGTCGTATTACAGTTCAGCTTACTGTATGACTCAACGTTGGCCAACGAGAACCAGCTTATGAGGAAAAATGCATGTAGATATGCTCGCACGATTGTGGTTCGCACGAATGACCCGATAAAAATATACTTGAAAGATCACAAAGAGTGAGGTCATAAAAATGTTTTTAAGAATGTTTTACTTTTGACAAAATATCTTGAAAGCGTAAAATTTTTTAAAACTGTTACAATTGATGGAGACATTGCAGACAAATGATAGAATCGAGGTTTGCTTCACCGCTGCTATGGCCTGGTCCATAGATTTTTAAAACAGGGTGTGATGTAATCTGTTTTGCTTCTTTTGAATGGACTGTAAATAAATGAGTTTCACGGACCCATGGGGAAACCGTGTAATTAGACTTTTACCCTCGGCCAGGGGGGCTCATCACTCTAGAATATAATTAAATATTTTCGAGTTAATATGTGAAATGCATTTAAAAAACTCACACGTCACTCTGTGTCGTATAAACACGGTCGAACAGTGCTTCTAAAGCCATCCATTTCACTGGAAGCCGTCCCTGCACAAATGAAAATAACATACATAGAAGAACTCCCTTAGCAAATAACAAATTGCCACAGATAAAGATAAGAACAAGCTCTCTTGGTAATATGACATCCAGCAAATCGCGTTTCTGGGCAATCTCGCCAAAAAACAAAAGTATAATTTGGTATGCCCATTTGTTCTAAGAGACCGTAGGTCCATTTTTCAATTTGAGCTAGAACATTTTCCTAAGAAAAAAGATCTCACAATTTCTACAATAGATTCTATACATGACAAGTCTTTGTTGCCTTCGATTGTTTCAAACCCTTAAAATTTTAAGTATTACGCAAAGGCGCTTTGACAGATTTTAATCTACCCAGAAGAGTCTCACCGACCAAGAAAGCTACTTACGTCTGTTCTTTTTCTGTAGTAATCCTCTGCGTGTATGTCTCTAGCCAGCCCGAAATCTGCTATCTTCAGAACTTTCTCGTCATTTACCAAGACATTCCTAGCAGCCAAATCTCTATGAATGCACTGCAAAGAAAAAAACAATGCCTAAGGTGTCAGTATAACCAGTTTCAGGAACACTTGGTTTTTTTCCAGCATTTGCTTCATGTTTAATTTTTTGCAAAAACGTCATACTAAATCACTGTCTGTTCACGATCAAATACAGCAAGAGGTTTTTGCACCTCTAAAATTGAAAGCAAGTGTCAAAAGACACGAGGCATTGAGACATGTGGCATAGAAAAAACATTGATCTACTAATATTACACCTAGTTTATATACCATTCGTCACAACCAGATAAACTGTTCTTCACTATGAAGCGAATGGAACTTACCTTTTTCGATGAGAGGTATTCCATTCCTTTAGAAACCTGGTACGCATATGACGCCAGATCAAAAAGTGTTAGCTTCTCAGGAGGTTCAGGCAGTGGAGGCCCGGTTGGTCGTCTTTCTCTCAAGAACTGTCTTAAGTTTCCAAAGCGACAGTATTCAACAATCACACAAAGTCTTTCTGCGCGGAAAAAAAGCAAAGGACATCAACCTCTACTACACTGACATAGAACAAATCTTACTGGCAAAGGGTAAAGTTTAGTGGCTGCTTAAAAATTTCAAATCAGCAAAAGTATGCTCGAACTAATAGAATAGAAAATATCTATCTTTTGGTAAATATAACATCACAAAAGCAATAGACAAGCAAGCTTTGATAACATGCCCCTACTAGACCCAACACGCTGACAGGCTCAACAGGTTATAGTCAGACGTAGGCAAAGGTTTCCAACTAGAGAGAAAATCACCAAAGGTTTGTAACCCTCCAAGATTCGAATGCAGGTTATAATTTTGAAAAATATGGCTTAAATATAAAAATATAGGCAGTGGGTTCCAACTGGAGCGAAAATTACCTTGTGTGCATACGCCGATTAAGTTGATTATGTTCTTGTGTTTGCCAATCATTTTCATGACTTCCATCTCTGATATGAGATCAGACAAATCGTGATCGGTAGCATCCTCTGTTGAAAGTAACCAAAGGATATGTTAAATATTTTGACGAGTGTTTACAATGAACCAACTATTAGAAGGCTTTCAAAACAGATAGTAACAAAAAGTAAAAGAGTTACAAAGTTAAGGGAAAAAAACAGTGTATCGAATTCTTAATAATCGAACTTATGCATTCGAGTAGATGGAGTCAGGAAATTAAATGTTGAAACAATTTGGTACATGACACTAATTAGATGATGTCTTTGGATGTGACAGCTCATGCATACAAAGCTTGCTAATTTTCATGGAATAAAACTGTATATAAATGGACCCTGGGATATTAGAAGCATCTGAGAATTGAAGAGGGTAGGCAAATATATGACTGTATGTTGACCATTTACAGTTTGATGAGGGGTAGCGTGGCCACATCTTCATTCATTCGGAATTATTTCATCTGATAAGCAATGCTTACGGTAAAAAGAAATAGCACTTCATATTGAGGGAATTTTAAAAGTGAACAAATGTTAAAGAGTATGTGTTTGACAAAATAAAAGTTTTTTATTTTTTTTTCAAAAGTTGAGGCAATGGTACCACGCCGCTTTGGTAGAAGAAAATGACATGGATTCTACAAATATATCTATTGAGGAATACTTGTAATTGTTTTAACAAGATTTTCTGCAAGGCAGATACAGTCACTTTAAAAAAGGATGTATTTTTGTTCTCCAATTGAAAGACAATTTGTTCATGGTAAATAAACAAAGACAGACTCCGTCACATTACAGAATTTCCGAAATTTTTTTGGTTTAGACATAAAAGTACACTTGTTTTTCTCTTCTAGAATATTTTCATTTTCTCACCTTTGAGCATTTTGATGGCAACAACGGTGGCATCAGGGTTGCCAGGCAATCCATTTGAGATACCTTTCATGACACGACCAAAGGCACCTTCACCGAGCAAAGACTGAAACTCAAGACTGTCAAATTTAACTTCCCATTCTGGATCATAGGGAAGATCTAACTGGAAATATGATTCTGTCAGAGTTGATGACAAAGTCGACTTCGCACTGCGTTTCCAACTCAATCCCCTTGTCTTCTGAAAGGCTCCAAATTGACTAGGACTCAATCTACCGCTTCCATCTTGTTCATAGTCTATGGTCTTAGGCTGGTGGGTGTATACAATACGAGCTTTACTTCTCCGATTCATACAAGGTAGTTTTTTCAAGCAAATACACGGGACTATTACAATCAAAACAAACATGACCGCGCCAAAAACGGACAATAATATCAGATGGAGTTGTTTGTCTTTTTGCGATTGCTTGTCGTTGGTGAACTTTCTGATGCCGGTACCAGATGCTTCGAAATAAACAGAGAACGCTTTTATAAAAACTCAAACAAAATGGAGAACTTTTAAGTTAATATCTGGTGTGTTTAGAATTTTTCTAAAAAAAAGGTTTTAAATAATACCACAAAGCAGGATTTTGAGAAAAATGAGACTTAGACGGTGCTTTAAAAAACCGTGCCTATTCAGTAAAGTTTTTTAAACATCAGTTTCTTTTAACTTACATTGGGCCTTTAAATCGTTTTTAAAAATATTCCCTAAAACATTCCCTGAAAGGTGGAGCTAATTTTCAACTTCCCTGGCTGCAAGTGAAGAAGTTGATATCATAAACATGCATTTTTAATACCAAAGTAATAACCAGAGCCATAGATTCACAACTATTCTTTCTAAAATGCTACATCGTAATGCAAAAGGAATCAACTTTTTTATCAAATATCTATATACAGTATATAGACTAAAATAAACAGACTATTGTGACACAACTCTGAGTTTCATGTGTAAACAATCATCAGGTGTATAAAAGAACACAAGCTAACGGCAAGCAAGATATAACGGTGAAAACGAATAATCGAACACAATCAAACGAAGTTAATTGTGCAGAGTGATAAATCATAACAACTACATTCTAAGATCGAAAATTGCTAATCAAAAGTTTGTTTTGGTGTCTACATTGGCTTATAAATTCTGTTCTATTATTAAGTATTTTATTGTCCCCTAAAGATTGAATTATATAAAATTTTTCTGTCAGGCATAATTTACAAAAGTTGCTTCTAGCTGTGCTTTTTATTCTCTTGACAATTCTCCATTTAATGGTTGGTATCTTTCCTTGTTCCTTCAATTTCCAAATAATATTATCTTTTATACACCTGATGATTGTTTACACATGAAACTCAGAGTTGTGTCACAATAGTCTGTTTATTTTAGTCTATCTAATCGCTCCGGTAAGTTGAGCACTCTAGACAGCAATATGATAATTAATAAATATATATATATACAGTATATATATAAAAATTGCAAATAAGCAAGCTAAAGTTTTTTCTTGTTCAGAACGGTAAGCCAGAAAGTATTTCTGTTTAAAAAAATTAATGGTCCTCACTTGGAAGCTGACTTGACGGTGCAACGATGCTTGTTCTCTTCACCAGTCTAAACGAGGTTGTAGAAAAACCAACCGAATTTGCTGCCATGCATGTGTACAGCTGAAAATCTTCTTCGCTCAAGTTATCAAAGCTAAATACAGCTCTGATCCTGCGCAGCGATTCAGAATCAGACAATGGGTCATTTTTGGAAATCGATGGCTTCTTCCGGACTTTAACAACGTCGGAAGCATTTGACCCTTGTGTAACACGAAGCAGCTGAAAGTGGACTTCCCCTTGTGCATACGCAATGCATTCCACTGATATATTCTCTCCTACAGATGCATATATAGTGCTGTTGTCTTCTGGACTATCCATAAAGGGGCTTGCTCTCACCAATTCTAAAGAATGTAAATATCTTGTAAATAAAAGACTGGCAATAAATAGCTATTATAAGTAGCTATTTTTTCTAACAACAAACCTTTCATTAGTTTTAATAATTTTCGAGAACTCTAAACTCTGGAAAAAAATTGAACCTCGAGGTAACAGAATTTTCAAAAAACTGTTGCACCGTACGTTTTTTGCTGAGGCTTGTTCAGTGTGATAACGCAAAATCTCTGAAATCGAATCTTAATACTGATAAAGTAAACGATTTTTATTAACAACACCTAAACAGCTTTTCTTACTTTTAAAATCTAAAAACGCAAATTTCTGCTTGTAAGCGCATGCGTTTTTAAGCAGGGTAACAGGGCCACGGGCCTGGTCTTACTTGAAGACTGTAAAAATCCGGCTTAACCTAAGCATGTGACCTAGACAAAACATGAATAATCAGTGGGGCGTTGAAAGTAAAGTGAATGTCTACAAAAAAATCTGATGTAATTTCATTACGCACTCTTAGGAACGATGCTTATGGTCCGCTCAATAGAGTCCCATCCATTGGACACGTGACATTTGTACTTTCCTTTGTCATCAGCATGCAACTGCAACAACGTCAAAACTAAATGGTTACGACTGAGCTTCATCCTCCTCCCTAGTTCCAAATCTTCGAAATTCAGCGCTTTGCCATTGAAAAACCTGAGTGAATGAGACTTAACATTAATAACTGGGCCCATTCATTTGTTCACAATAGCGCAAGCCTTGTAAAAACATAAGAATGAAAAAAACGTTTGACAAAAATCAGTTTCCTACATTCTATTTTTACATAAAGCTACTGAGATATTTTCACCATCTAAAATTATTAAAGAAATGTCAGGCTTTCCCTGAGATCATTCTATGATACTGCCAATTAAAGATGCAATACTTTCTACAGTCTTACTGGCAGCTAATTGTTTTCGGTTAACTCAATAGTAGACTGATGAACTGCAACTCAACAACACTTAATCATATATATTGAAACTATGATTATAAGACTTCAATGGCTTGATGCGCACGAGAAGGTATTATACGAGTACCATGTGTGCATTTCTTTGAAGATCTTGATATCTATTAATAACTACGATAATATAAAACAAGACATAAAAAACGTTGTTGCATCAACATACCATAATACGGTAATGGGATGGGTGGACTTGACTTCGCAGTCCAAGGTGACCCTGTTTCCAACATTATTCTTCATCACAAGAGGAACACTGCCCCGCACGAATTTTAAAGTGCCTGAATAAAGGACAGAGGTGGATAAAAATATGTCAACATATTACAGTCGTATATTTATTATAGGGAGGTCAAGAAAAATATTAGTTGTAGAGATTTTAGGATTAATGTGTCAAAAATCACCGTAAGAAGTTTTTAACACTTTTTCAAGCTCATTTTAGATTAGGATTTATCCGAACATCACTGAAAAATTTCGGAGAAAGCATTTTCTGTAATTATTATTTAGCAGGAAATTTTAGGGAATGAAGGGAAATCTAAAGGTATATCCAGAGATATTAAATGTTCAGTGTCGAGAGGCAATTAACTCTAACCTAAAACAAAAGGATTTTGGGGGATTTCCTGATAAAACAATAGGATTTTCACCAAAGGTGTATGAGATTTTTTGGAGTGATTTGCCCCTCGTTTAGTGTAATACAGCGCAAGAATTTAATCCATGTATGTTTAGGCAGGGGAGTAAGAAAGTGTGGAAGCGTGAATCATGATAATTCAGGACACCATTTTCACATGTTACCACATTAAATCCCACACAGTTCAAAGTTCCCAGACCTTTGAAGATATTCAGGTTAGCAATACCACTTCTTACGTAACTCTCAAGAATTATGTGTGAACCATGTGGGTTTTAGGCTGTCTGCAATCACCGCAAGAAGATGAAGGTTGGATTGATAGCAAGGAATGGCGATTAATCAACACGTTACTGGAAAAGCAGTACCTTCTCTTCACTTTGTATAAACCTCTTTTTAGAGGAACGCATACTTAGAAGAATTAGTTATGGCTTTATATCGCATTTTATAAATTCTGATTTACATCGTTACCCGGACTGTTTTCTCCATTTCAAAATGCTTATCAAAAGACTTGATATTTCAGTTGCGCTGCGCAAAGGTCAATTAGATGAATCATATCCTCATCTTGGGAACTGGGCCTAAGCAAGTTAAACTGCCTACATCAGTACAGTGAATGGTCCGTATCAACGTAACAAGAGAAAAAAGGTCGTAGATATTGTGCCCCAGATGGTATTAAACCATTCATTAAAGCCTGTCTGCCTCGGAATTTGGCCAAGTATATCAATACTCAATGAATTGGACAATAACTCACAAAAACTATGACCACAAAATAGTGGCTCTGTATAAGAAAAACTGCACATTCTAACATTCATACAAAATAACTAAAACAAAAGCCATTTGTTAATATCGATGAAATGGCTTTATTTTATCTTGATTTTTGTGGCTCAAAATCTGCCTAACCACTGATATGAATTTCTATCGATATTGGACGCAGACAAGAATTGTTTCAGCTACGAGAAACGTCAGCATTGTCATTTAAGGGGAGCGCCGTGCTGAGCACCTTCGAAAGAAAAATCATTTTTGGGAGGGGGGGAGGTCGGGGTTGGTGGAGGGCTCGGAGAAGAGCTTAAGAAAAGGGCGATGGGGAGCTCAGCGAAGAGAAATGTACGTGCTGTCATAAAAGAAACATAACATTGTCTAGCAATTGGGGGCTGCAGATTCCTACGGCGCGGTTAATATTGCATTGACTTTGACTTTGACAATAACTTTGCATTGAAATCGCAAAAAGAACAAATATACCATCATCAAGGGACGTGAAGATCGTGAAATAATTAACAAACAATTGTTATTCACATAGGCAGCAGGCAACTGCAAGGCTTACGGTTTACCAAAAGCTTTGCTTTTGTAGCGTGATCCACACACTTCCAACTTAAGCATTTTAGCTACAAATACGAAGAAACAAAACTCACTTGGACCGGGCGTGGTTGAAGCAACTGGAATCGGCTTCTCTGCCAACTTGAATGACGTTCTGGCATAGCCAAAAAGATTACGAACCATACAAATGTATAGAGAGAAATCACTTTTTGTCACGTTATTGAAAAAGAATATCGCCTGACTCGTTGATGGTTCGATCCTGTACACGGTCGGTTTTTTCAGGAACTGCACCACCTTAGAGCCATTACTTGACTCTGTTACAAGCAGCAGATTAAAACGTAAACCTGGCTGGCCATATGCAACACACTCCACAGTAATGTTTTCACCAACAGATGTATATATCGTGCTGTTGTCCACTGGCTTCAGCATATAGGGGCTCGTTCTGACCCCCCCTGTTAAAATAAATTTCATTGATTGACACAAATCGTATAAGAATCTTGTTGTCTTTTATGCTTTAAAGTGTAATGAGGAAAACAACAACACAGAGCGGGATTCCTTCAATTCAACGAGAAAATAATACATTTTTATGATTGCCACGCTAAGATGGCCTACTTTTATTGACATGCAGTAACCAGGAAGAGATCATAATTCAAGTCACTAAAGAAAAGGTACGACGACAGAAGGCAGTATGTTCTACAGAGAAATATGCGTCAGACTCGTTACCAGGTCACAATTGTGACGCGCTTTTTTCTTTGTAAAATCAAACGTTCGTACATTAAAGCACAGGTAAAGAGTGGAAGAGACAATAAACCATTATGGCATGATACATCAATTATTGCTGATACAGGCAACAAACCTACCGTGTGGAATGACGTTCATTGTCCGGTTTATCGAGCTTCGACCGTTAGACACTATGCATTCATATTTCCCTAGCTCTTTCGGGTGCAGTTGCAATAATGTCAGCACTTGACGGTCCGGGCTTATTTTCATGAGCCTGTTCTTGTTTATTGTATCAAAGGTTAGCATTTTACCATTAAAATACCTAAAAGAAAACATTTTCTCATTATGATAAAATGCACAATAAAATAAAAATAAAAAATACACTACATTTTGGGCAGTTTGTATCCCAGTAATTGGCCCAAACAGGTTTTAAAACCGAGCCTGTAACGAGAATAGTATCAATTCATCTTTTGAGTTGATTTGCTTGATAGATGAACAAAATCCATAGATAGTTATATCTAAACTAATTTACTACTCTCAAGGAGAGACTATCAGGTGTTCGGGCTATAAATTGGGCTCTCATTACGATTTCTCGGTCGAAGATATGGGCTATAATAGGCAGGGCGCATGGCAAATTTCTTCTGTGAGGACGAAACGCTGGTGAGTTTCGTCCAGAGAGGAGAATAGGAAAGGTTTATTGCCAAAGGGTTATCGTCTTATTCGCCTAGCTGAACCTAGCTAATCTTCTTATAATAAAAGATCTGGGGTGTGCCCAAAGGGAACTTTGAGGTACATACCAAGTAATGGTTACAGGACCAGACGAATGCACCGTACAGTCTAACGAAACTTTGTTCCCAACAACTTCGACAAGCTCTGGGTCGAAATATCTCTTAGCAAATCTCATTGTACCTAAAACAATGAAAATATAAATAAATAATCAAAAGTAAAGGCACAACTAAGGTCAGGCCTTGCATTTCCCTGCTAGGAAGGAGAAGGAGGTAAAAGTGGTAGACCATATATTATATATTCGATGGCTTTTGCATTTTCCTTGGGAAATTAATTGGTTTTGAAGTAAAAAAATACTTTCACTATGAAAAGTGTTATCGTAACAAATATCGCTATCTGTCGTTCTGTTGTGTAGAACAGTACAGCTTTTTCTATCGCAAAAATAAAAATAATTACAACAATAAATTTAAATCTCCTGTGACTCTATGGCGAGTACCATCTACGACAGCCAATTACAATAATTATGCAATACATTCATTTTTTTATAAGAAAATGGCTATAAGAAACGAGTACTGGACAGTCAGAAAAAAATAAGAAACTTCAGTACTCGAAGCAAAAAAATTAAGAAACTATTAAATCGTGATAAAACTGAGAATAACGAAATTTTGTAAAACCCAAGAACAAGATTGCCCTGTTGGCCTAGAACTTAAGACACAAGGGATAAAAATATACTTCCCACATCTAAATACAGCATCAGAACGGAAGCTCTCTCTTGATGTGAAAAAAGGTCACGAACATCTCATAACATCATTCATGACATCATAATTAAGAAACTCTTAAGAAACAATGAGTATTGAAATTTCCAAAACATTAAGAAACTGGAGTACTCAACATTGATCTTTGTTTCTTATACAAAAAAATGAGTGTATTCAACGAAGGAAAACTAAACAAGCAAAAACAAAAAGAAAAAAGAACGATGTTCAACTAGGTGTCTCGAAAGGGAATCCCACACCTTGAAGCACCTGTAGAGCAAGCGCTAGATCGAAAGAAATAAAGTAATTTTGTGGCCAACAAAGGAGATGGAAGAAAAAAATCGTGATAGACAAGGTTTGCCAGGTGCACAAAGGAGTACTTGAGGGGTACCGCATCCCCCCTTTGGCGCCACCCCTGGCTGGAAGATCATCCGGTAACTCGAATTCATGAAGAATTACCTGCGCTCTACCATCGACCAAAACAGGTTCAGCTCACTTACTTCAATGTCCATCGAAACTGATATTGCCGAAAAACTTTACAATTATTCGCAGATGCAAAAGCCAGAAAGGCAATTCATAAATAGATAGACTAACAAATAGAAATTGTTTCGATAATTGTAAAGTAGGTAAGGTTCGATTTTTAGATAATTTTCATAGTTAAAGAATGACCATGTGCTTACTTGGCATAGCAGTAGATGGTTCTTCGCGATGAGGTATCTCAGCAAGTCTGAATGACGATGTCGCGTAACCAACCGAATTTCCAGCCATACAGGTGTAGACAAAAAAGTCATCTCTGCTGATATTATTAAAATGAAAAACAGCTTCCATCCTACGGAACGATTTGGTGTCTGAGAGCGGGTCACTCTTGTACTCGGTCGGTTTTTTCAGGACCTGCATCTCCTTAGAGCCATTACCTGACCCTGTTACACGCAGCAGCTGAAAATGCAAATTTCCCTGAGCATACGCAACACATTCCACTGAAACGTTATGACCAACCGATGCATATATAGTGCTCTTGTCCTTTGGCTTCAGCATTACGGGACGCGTTCTAACCACATCTGTTAAAAAATTGGAGAAAGGGCTTATACGAAAGTTGATCTTATACGCAGAAAACATTACAAAAACCAAGATTGGTGACCCAAAAATGGATAAAAAGTAAGCTCTTAAATAAGAATATATGAAACTACATATGAAACTACAATGTCATATGAAACAACTGTAAGGCAAAAACACTTTAAAGAAGTTTTAATAAATTGGCTGTTTTCCCCAAAATCTGACAGCATATAAAGGGGGGGGGGGCTTATTCAAGAGGGGGACTTTCTCAATACACGATGCTTAAGGGGAGAGGGTTATTCCAGAAAGAGCCTTATTCGAGTCGAGGGAGGAGGCTCAATCGAATAATCACGGTAGGTCCCCTTTAATTATAAAACAATAACCAAACCATATCCTGACCATATATGTGTTTTCTTCATATAAATTTACCTAAGCAGTTACTTTATTAAATAGTTATTCGACCATTTTAAAATATAAAAGAAGTTAAACAAAGTGACTCTCAAAACGATATAACCTAAAAACATCTTTATTTTATTTGCCTTTTTATTATATGATACCTTCTTAAAATTCTGCGTTGATCCAAACAATTCTCCGGGCTTCTGAATTTTGATTACAATACCCATTTTTGACAAAAACGCTCGAAATTTGGAGCTTGAACGCACAAAACAAGGGAGGGGCAGGCAGAATCAGAGGCCACTTTTCAGAATCAGAGGTACAGTACATATTTGCAGCTGACAGTGGTGCCCCTTCCTGCCTCAGTTATTATCTTTGCAAAGATAGCAAGATGTCTGACTAGCCAAAGAAATTTTATCGTGGATCGCGAAGAAACTTAAAGACGTCATCGTTCCACCAGAAAAGTATCATAAATCATTCGAATAGAATGGTTTAGATATTAGTCAGTATGAAATTTATCCATATCGGGTTTAGCGAAATACTTCTTATCTGTTGTTTTAAATTTTAATCTAGTGTGTGTGGTAGCTCAAAGACCGTCAGATTGGACGTCTTTTTTGGCTGGCTATAAATTTGACGTAGAAAAATTTCGTTCTTTGCATTTAATTGGAGGTTTGGGTTGACCTTTAAATACAGACTCATTCTCTTGAATATCAGATAGGTTTGAATATCAAACCGACCTAATGTTTACAAAGGTCTACTATTATCAGCATATGAGTCAAGATGTGATACGAGCCTTATCTCGTGGTTCCAAGACAAGAGCCTTTTTTGCCAGGCTGATAAACCTTCTATTAGAAATTTTTGCGATTCCAGACAGATGATGCAGTAAATTCATGTTGGCGAGACGAAGAGGAAAAAGCTTTCTCAAAGGGTTGGTTTGCTTACAGTCAAAAAGCGTGCGCAATAGTGGCTGGGTTCCATCCAGAACCAACTAAAAGGACCATTCAGTGGCAACAGTCCCGCTTAAAAGCACCAAATTTCTAAAAACATATGGAAATTTCCTACTACGCCAGAATTGTGTAGAAATCTTTATATTTAGTTTGCATAAAGATTCAACCCCTACTATGCCCCTACTTTCTTGACATCTCGAATGACTGACCCTGTCCACGGAATAGGTTGCTAAACTGATAAAATTCTGTTAAGGGAGCAGTAAGAGTCTGTAGGTTATAAATTAATCGATCAAAAACAATAATAAAAAGGATGTTTTAGGGAATGTTGGCAATTGGCATCACTTAAGTGTCATTAAGACTTGGACAGGAATAAGGTCATTACCTTGATCTGATTATTCTGGTGTACATTATTTGATTCTGGCGAATTTTTTTATGGAACACTGAACGAAATCTACTTTACTGTATCATTTCTAAAACTTGTTTTTTCATTTTCTTCATGTTTTTTAGGGCTGGAGGGGTCATTCATACAGTGCAGAGGGGATGGTGGCCATGAAACCTGCCAGCCCATAGGTAGGGCACCAATTTTAGTGGAGGAACATTTTTTAATATTTTAAAACAACATAAGGATTTCATACCTAGAACTGTGAAGTTTACAGATATTGAATCACTCCATGCTCCATTGCTGATTGAACATTTGTATACTCCCGTATCACTCAGTACTGCAGACCGGATCCTCAAAAACTTAAACATGCGTATTTTATAATTGCTGTTACTTTGATCAATAGCCTTTCCATCTTTCATCCATTTGTATGTGAATGATCTTATATTCTCCACATTTTCAGACAGTTCACAAAATAGCTTTATGTTTTCGCCAGTATTTGCCCATATTTCTGGTTTGTATCTGTCTTTTTTTATTCTCAGAAGTTCTTCAGTTCCTTTAAAAAGAATTTTTCCATAAATAACATTTCAAATCAATACATAAACTGTAAATTTTGAACGATCAGCCCCTTAAAATGAGCAACTGCCTTTAAAATTATACAACGACTAAGCCTGTGAGAGTAAAAAATCCTTGTACTGCCTGTAAGATTTTAATAACCTGTTATGCTCTATTTAGTTTCAAATGTAAACTCAAAATATGACTGTCTTTTTTTCAATTCTTGAAGTTTATTAATATTGCTTTGATATATAAAGTGGCTTGAATATATGTATTTTATAACATTTTTTCTGAGAGTCCTTGCAAGTAAAAATATGAATTGGAGGCACAGTCATGAAAATAACAATAAAAATATATTTTAAGGGAGTGGCAGTGGAGGTTTGTGAGACATATAAAGCATATTCACACTCTCATATATTCTCAGCATATAATTATCTGTCTATGCATTCCAATTGTTCATGTGCTTGATTAAACTGTTGAACTGATGAGAACTTTATAAATTGTTACAGCCCTGTTGTAGGTGTTGTGTGAAAAGTGTTATACGAATATGTGAGTTGGACCCTCTCAGCATATATATAATAATATGTCTGTGCATTCCAATTGTTCATGTGCTTGATTAAACTGTTGAACTGATGAGAACTTTATAAATTGTTACAGTCCTGTTGTAGGTGTTGTGTGAAAAGTGTTATACGAATATGTGAGTTGGACCTTCTCTTAAAAAGCTTTAGTTTGTGGACTTATCAATCTTTTGCTTCAGTGCAAAGAGCAAGGGTAGATTAGTGTCCATTTAGCCAGTTCATAATTAAAATATCAAAATCAATAATTGATCATTGCAAATACAGCAATTACAAAATTATTCCTGTGAAAATAAAAGTGCTTCAAAAGAAAATATAAATGTATTACAATTGCAGGTGAAAACGAAAGGTCATTAGTATCAATATATTAAAAACTGATGCATAGATATTGTTTATAATCTTCAATAAAGGGGATAAATTGTCAGATATCCTTGCAGTAGGTGTTAGCTAATTAAAAGTATTTGATGCTGCATGACTGACAAGACTAGAAGCTCCACTTTTTGGGATAAAGCATCACTGATTACAATTTACTCAATTATATCATTCTTCTTGGAAGCAGGCAATTTTTCCACCCATCCATAAAGCAACAATTTTAGACTACTCTTTTAGATATTAACAACATAATAAATCAAAAGTTCTCTTAATACAAGTGTGGTTTTTTGCAATATCTAATGGGCTTTCAGCCATTTCTAAGCCAATGAAAATTTGCTTGTTGATTAATAAAAAGTAATAATACAGACACATTGGAAACCATTCAGCAGGATATCTCATTAGATTCTGACCACTAAGTTAAAGTAAATGAGGATTCCTTCTCTTGAGTTACATTGAGTGTAGTTGCTAATCTAAATTTCAGAAAACATTCCAGCTTGAAATGGAACTGGTAAATGACTCAACCATAACAACAATGGCACTACTTTCGATTCAATTAATGTCAGGCTCTTTCAGTTATGTAACTACTTGAATTTCCTCAAATTTCAGCCATAATCGTATTCATATTACAAAAATTCAGGTTGGAGAGAAACATTGGAAGACTCTGAAACAGGAAAACTAAATGAAATTATTTCACTACTGCATGGCATTCTCAGTCTCTGTATGGTTCAAACATAAATTGATTTGCTTGACTGGCTGAAAACAAATTTATATCCTTGAAAAAGCTTATTTGTAACATGATTTTCAAGTTTATTGCATTTGAAATTCTACTTGACAGAAACTCTTTTCTCTATACGTGGGGGGGGGGGGCAATTTGAGGATTTACAGTAAGTCTGACACCAGCCAAGAAACTGTAGCCCTTAATTTTCGTTATTCTCAAATACAAAATCCAACCAAATTTCATGTGTGAGGAGCAGGACCTCCGACGACGGGGGACATACGGGCCATCCCCATATCACTATTTATGGGTCTTTAATTTTCCCTTGCCCCCCCCCCTACTTTATAACTTGCGTCGGAGTCCCGGACTATCCCCTCCTTTCTAAAGTACATAAGATTTTTAGACATAACCTAACTCTACTTGAGGGCTTTGTGAAACTTTCGTACACATATGATCTCATGTGCACTGTTGCTAATTTAGGGACTGAGTCAAGGGCCCCATTGTCTTGAGAAGGCTACCCTACCAATGACTCACGAACGAAGCGAGTTCAAACACGAAAATTGTGAATCTACTCTAGTTTTGTGGCTACAGTTTCTAAAAAAATGTTTAAAATCTTGTTTGTCAAATTCATTCGGCCCACAAACAACATATTCAATATGCCCTCTTGAATATCTTGATTGTTTCAGCGTAACAAACAACATGACATTGTTTGCCCTTATGGCCCGGGGAAAACATTGCAGTCCTACGTTTCTACTGCATCATCGTCGATAAACTAGCGTTATTAACTGTGATGACAGTTATCGCAGCCAGCGCTATTAAGACGGCTATACACTGTCTGGATTATTTTGCGAAATTTCACCTGTAAGTCTGTTTTTGATGCCACGATCACTGGTTTCCTTCCTTGCCGCATAAATAGGGCAAAAGACTAATTCGTGACTTCCCGACTCTCCGCTGTTACATTTATAGAGAAGTTACTTCTTGTAACATAAAAAGCGTAAAATTCCTCAAGAATATTTTCAAGGATATTTTCAATATGATTATAACGGAATAATTAATAATATTGCTATTATTTTAATAGTAATTTTAAATAACAAAAAAATCGCAAAATTTACCTCTGATCGTTAACAGCAGACAAAACCAAACTAAGGCACATTTGTAAAACATTTTGGCTGGTATACAAATTTCATATGTGCATCGGAATTCAAGATCTGCAAAACATTGTAAGTTATTATTTCACGGCCAGTGGAGTCCGAGGTGATTTTATCAACAATAAGCCTTGTGGTTAAAGTAGACCGCTTCACGAGTTGCTGAATTCCCACATCTCAAATCCACGAGATTTCAAGTAATTAAAATGCATTAAAACTCTAAAGGTGAGCCTCGTTCAATCCCATCGTTGTATTTTTCATGCCACATGCTGCAAATCAATAGCAGATTTCATTTGCAATAATGATTCCGCATGATACAAATTCTGTGATGAACACTACCGCGGGAAAACGCGAGACACAATAGTATGCTTGACGTCACTCAGTCTGGTTGAAAGCCTTTTCATTCTTTCATGGTGTCAAGGAAGTTTATGGCTCAATCAAATTAAGGAATTTAATATTGAAATTAAGTACCTTAATCAGAAGAATAATGCAGCTTTGTCTTAAAAGATCTTGCAAGCCAGAAAAGGCACTACACTTTGAGCATAGTTAATAGAATATGCTTTGAGGGTAACGAAGGCATTTGCTAAAGGAGTACCTGCAAAGTAACACATTTTTCCGAAAAATGAAGTCTTTAGTAAATTAATTGGAAACATAAGTACATGCTAAATATCCGTGATTAAATCAATAAAACAAAGGAAGTTTGCATGTTACAACTTCCACCACATTTCTCTTGTGGGACGTTTACAATCAGGGCCTATACCGAGGATATACTCGTAAATCCTTGAATTGCCCACCCCTCGAAAAAGCCCCCCTCGAATAAGCCTCTGCCCTAGAGCTACAAATTGTCAATAAGCCCCCCCCCCCTCGAAAAAGCCCTGATTGCTGACGTAAATTTTCGAATTGGATCCCTCAATTTGATGATTTTTGCCATCTGAGGTTGCCTATGACGCTGTATTGAATAAGCACAACAAATTCATACTTTTGGTAGTAATTAATTAAATGCTCATAAAGAAATTCCTACTAACATAAACGAGGTCTTTTAATAATGTCTTCTTAATGTCTACAATAATTCTATAAGCCCCCCCTCGTATAGGCCCCCCTTCGATAAAGCCCCTATCCAAAAATATAAAAAATAAATAAGCCCCCTGGGGGCTAATTCGAGGATTTACGTAAGTTAGGTTTTGCTGATTCTAGGTGTATCAAATAGAAAATAACAAATTACATGTGGGAATCCTATTGACGACAGAGCCGTAAGGGCATAGAAAAATGCAAGGGGGCGTGTCACTGAATTGGCACACAGAGGGACGGGGAATGCTCTCACTGTCCTAAAGTGTGTGGAGGCATGCCCTCAGTTTTAAGGCCACTACTTTGGTTCCTGGTTAGACCTTCTAAAATAATCAGAAAATTTTTTTGATTAGTTGATTTGGTCGACGATTGGCATATTGTTGTTTTCGTCTGACTTCTAAAAAGACCGCACCGTTTTAAATGAATTAGACAATAGAAAGAAATGCTAAAAAACGATGCAAAGCTAAATCAAAATGAAACTTCAAGAAGGCTTTTAAGCAAGAACTCCCAAACCTCGAAAATAAGCAGGGGCATGGTGGCCCACCGGGACTTGGAAAATCTACCGGTCGGCCCTTTAAACTTTTCATGTGAGCCCTGGTTTTAAACAAGAACTCCCTAAAAGTAGAAAACAATCCAAAATAAAATTAGTTTCTAAAGCTTCAAAAGTCATTATATAACGGAGCAGTTACTCGATGAATGTTGATGCCGATTTCAGGTTTTTAATTTCAGGGACAGTTTTAGTATCGGCGCAAACTACTGCAAAGTGGAAAGATAATGGATGTGGCCAGCGAGACCACGCCCCTTTGGCCTCGTTTCAGTGCATTTGGAAGTATGATCTACCCCCTACCTAGCGTTTTTAACCAATTTCTTGAAGAAACATGTGGAGAGTCTTCTTAGAAACCTTTACACGGAATGCTGTGGTCTAGTCAGTGGGATTAAATCTTCCATAAGAAGAATCGGAGGATGGTCAGGACAGATAACCTGACACGATAACCACGCTGACGCACATCGGGTTCAATTCTCTCACTCAAAATTTCTTAACATCTATAGAAAGCAATCATGCCTGGACGCTTGCCAATTTGGTGGTGGTGTTGCGTTCAAAAATCCTGAAAAGGTCATCACACACAGGAAACCATTTTGATAAGAAAGAGCCTGAAATGAATCGACTCTAACACAGCTCCCACCTGGTGCTGACGGATAAAGACTGCAACCATTATTTAAACTGGAGTCTAGAAGTTCAAGCTAGACGCGGCAGCAGCTTATTCTTTCAAAAGTGAAAAAAGTCACATGCCCCTAATTCTATAAAATACCTTGTTTTGAAAGTCTTGGACCGCCCTTTCAACTTGAGTGTAGAGAGCCAAAACAGTTGAAAATATTCTGGTATCAGTTTTTAAATATCTTATTAAATGCAAAAGGTTTATAGCCCCTTTCCCCCTAGCCCCTAAAGTCTGGAACAAATTTATATGAGAGCCTATTACTAAACAAGTAAAAACTTCCTGTTTACTACCAAATAAAGTCATTCTTCAATAATTATCTTCTTAACTCCTATTCTTTCATTTACCTTACCATTTTCAAAGAACAGAGACAGAGGCACTATCAGGCAACCTGAACGGTAATATGGGTAACCTCTCCTCATCAAAATTTTTTAGACATGGGTAAGCACGTAGAAAATCAATGTTGAAAAAACAACAACGTTTAGAACACCAGATCAAAAAATTATCCAGAAAAGAAAAACACTGAGCCTCGGCAAAAATTGTTTGATTCTATGAAAAAAAGAGTGGAACTGTTAGTTATCGTTGTCTCTACTCATTGGCACTCTGGTTAAAGTCACACTTCTGGTTTAAAGCCACATCGAATGAGAGAGTGGCATATGCAAGGGGGCGATGGTGGCTCCAGAACCTCAACGAATATTGCCCAAAAGGTTTGTCAAAAAATACTAAAGTCCAAGTCCGGGTCAGAACATTCGTTGCGTCATCACCGGAGATATTTTTAGCTAAGTGCAGCTAACCGCGTAAACACGATTAATGCTCTTAAGAAACAAGGAATGGTCTTGCTCTTAAGCTTTGGCTAGGAAGGTGTTATCCTGTAAGGATTGGTTAAACTATTTACAAGCCCATAAAAGTTGACCTATTTTTGAGCTCAGTGTTAATACCCAAGTTATAATTGTTGACTAGCGCTTCGGTCTCCGCAAAAAACATATAGCAAAAGTCTTGTAATAATTTCATGTTTAAAAACATTGTGGGCTTTCGTATGTTATAATCCTTTTGTTTGTCCGGCGGTTGTTATTGCTGGCAATCAAGTTTAATCATAAAAACAGCGACATAGAATAAGCATAATACCAGAACCTTTGAGATTTGAATATCATCGAATTATCCATCAATATTGGAATGCTGATGTTTCTTTTCCAGCATATCACTGTCGAGACAAACAAGAAAAACCAAAATTATGAGACGCTGGAAATGCCACACCAGCGAAAATGTGTAACAATGCTTAAATAGAACAAGCTTTAGAACAAGCTTTATACAAAAAATAATTGCAATAGTGGCATGTACAAGGAGCAATGGGTGATCCGAAACACCTACTTGTCGAAAGAATGGTTCCCGAGATTCGTTCATTTAGACAAAGAAGTTGGTAGAGCCAGGTCCATTATATTTTGACGTCATTTAAGTATTTGATTGCACCTTAAAAGTAAACCTTCTCTGGTACTATAGCCCAATGGTCTGGGGGCAGCACCCCAAGTAGCGGCGCCACGGGGGGGGGGACGTGTCCCCCCCCCCCAGTTCTCGGCAGTTCTCGGCAGGATCAACCTTGTATTTCGTCTAAATTCGATGAGAAAATGTTGGGGGAGGGGAAATATTTTGGCAACATACTTTTTGTGATGTAATCCTATGATTTTCAAATTGCCTTTCCATAGTCAAAAGCTAGTTATAAGCGTTCCCTTAATGTAAAATTGGCGTTTCTTGTTGGTAAAAGCGCGTTCTCTGGTGCTAAAAAGGGCGTGGCCAAAGTATTTCTACTTTGTCCCCCCCCCCCCCGGGGCGTAGTGGCTGGCGCCGCCGTTTTGCACCCCCTCAACTTCCCAGAAATTTGGTACGCCCATGAATAGCAAAATATTTTTAATATCCTGCCTAATGTTTGAAAGTTTTCAGGCAAAAGTATTGCTTCATCCTTTTAACAAGAAGCGTTCATTCTTTAGATGTTGATGCCTAAACTTTATTTTCTATTGCTGCAAATTCTACTGCAAGCTTTGGAAAGGGCTTTTTCCTGCCTGAATAATGAGTAATTTGATTCTGATCTTGATATTAAATTTTTAAGCCTAAGGATGAGGTAACACCGATCACTATCATAAAAACCAAATGCTAGCTTAGATTAAGCTTACCCTCGCATTAGATCTGTTCTATTCTGTATTGCCCGAGCGGCGAATAGACAGAGCGGTAAGTGTCGGCGGACATATCTTTCCATAACCCCTTTTCCGGCTTTTCTTGTTAAAAAATACAGAGAGGCAGACGTTGCTGTAAAACGGATAAAAATCGAGGCAATCGGCTGATATTGAAAGAACAAATTCAGCGGAAATTGACGAAAACTGGCTTATTTGACTCTTCTCCTGATTTCGCGGTGTATCTTTAATCGTAGAACAAAAGATACTGCGCGTCTTCACTAGCAGATGCGATTTTGAAATTGACTTACTTTTGTAAAAAGCTTAACAAACCAGCGTCAGAATGATAAAGCTTGTGTCTGATTCTGTGAATTCTGCCAGCTGATCATTTAAAAATCAATTCGTTAGACTTTTCCTTTCAAGGGATACATCTATAAATTTCCGGGTCAATATTTAAGTTGTAGGCAAATAGAAATACCTTCTTTCACCTTCATGTCGAATCATTCTTTTTTACAATAAATATATATCGGCCGAAATAGCCATTAATCTATCGATCATACCATATACGCATCTACGTATATTTTAATGACAGAACGTAACAAAACATTGACAACATATGTAACATATTTCAAACACAACGTCATTGATTCAAATCTGTGTGAGACTCTTCGTATCGAGTAACGCATTACGTAACTAGCTTACCAATAATCTCAAGTATATATCAAGGTTAAATTACATTGGAGCAATCGTAAGTGAAGTAAGTATATGAACATAATCTCGCCTACATTTAAACTGTACAGGTCAGGCACTAGCAAAATAACATGTGTTCTGAAGGTGTGAAAAAGAAAGAAAATGCCGGGCAGTTAGGAACCTCATTTCATTATCTGGCGATTCTTACAAACGACATTACACAGGGATCTCTTATAAGATCTCTGCTTTTCAAAACGTTTTTCACAAATGACATTACACAGGGACCTCTTCTAAGATCTCTGCTTTTCAAAATGATATGCATTGTATCGAGAAAGTAACATTCAAAGTAAACCATATCTTTTTTGGAAAAATAGTAATCTAAATGGGTTTAGCAGAAATATTCTGAACAAGAATTAGCATGCATTTTCTTGTTTAAAGGTCTCCTTTATCCACCTTTATAAAGCACATATCCTAGAATTCTAAGCTGATCTTGAAAGTCTTAAAACATTGACAAATCAGCTCACTATCTTTAGTGAAGATTCAACTTCATAAAATGTATGCTTTTAATACATTATCATTGTTCTCTCAAAATTCCAAGGTCTTTGCTGCTACAAATCAAAGCAGAGAATAGTTTCAGGTTAAGACGGCTGCATTCTGCATTGAAGAAGACGCAGTTAACTGGAAAGTAGACGCCGTACCAGTATTTTCGATAACTAGTGAATTAGGCCACCGGTAAATCTCGTACGGTTATTGTTTTTATTCCATAAGGTCGTGATCGCCACAAGCATTGATGCTTGTTGTATCGAAGTTGAGCATTAAAGGTATAGGCATGCAACCAAAATCCCTACAAGAAAAGCCACTAAGATTTGATATGGCAAAGTGTTGTTTATCTTGGAACTAGGTGAGTTGATTTACTCAATTTCATTGCTTGTGTCAGGTTTACATTGTATACATTTATAAGCCAAGTAACACAGTTATTGTTATGATTCTGCTATCTATCCTGCTCGTTGTTCTTGTTTTCTCGGTAACTTGAGGCTCGGATGTTCTTATAAATATAAATCGAACAATTTTTGTTTAGAAACTATAAAATTGCTTCTAAGACCACTAATTATGTTTTGTATGGTATTATTAGTAGCATGGTTCATAAGTTGATAAAATTTTCGAAAAGCAAATTTGTTTTTTATTTGAAATTATTTTTTAACTGAGGCTAGTTATGTTCTTACCTTTTGTTCATAGAAAGATAAAGAGTGTACTCGTATGGGTATTTAGCTCAAAATGGGGATATATCTGTATTGAAATGCCAGTCGTTAGTTAGAGGTGAAAAAAGTAGCACGGCCCTTGTAGTTCGATTTCTTCAAAAAGTTTTCTTTCAAATACTCTGTTCAGCATATAGGAAAAACATCAACAACAACAATCAATAGTTAACCCTACAGCCTTGTTAAGTTTGACAACTTTCTAATAATTATATATTTCTTAGGTGTGACTTAACAATAAAATATATTTTAAGAGGCTTGACTTTTGACCACATAGCCTAAAGAACACCATGGAATACCACTAAATACCCAAAATCAATCTTTTGAAAATCTGGCGGGACAGGGCCAATAAGAGAGTTGAAATTCGCTAATGAACTACTTTTAATTTGGTTTGGCTCAAAAAGTTATGAACAGAAACCAAATTACAGTGATTCGATAGGGAAAGAGCCTGTTCTCACGTGACCATATTCCAGCCAATGTGTATCAATTCACTGACTTCGCGCATCTATAGGTACTTCACGTTGCTCTATTTGGTTAAGTGATTCCAATAAAAAAATTCTCAAAATAAATTTTGTGACGTCACAATTTAAAAACTCAGTTGCAACTGATTATAGTCTAGACTTTTTTGAGACGGCAACTTTCTTAGCCAACAATGATATTTGTTGAAGAGAGTTATTCATATTATCCGAGTAAAGCTTTTAAGGTGTGCTAAGAGTTCAGTAGAATCTCAAAGTAGTTTTTATAATCACGTCAGGTCTTCTAGGGGCCCCGGGTAGATTGCCCTTTGATGCAAAGGACAAGGGACAAGTTACAATGTCTTCAAGCCTGCCCCTTCCCCCTGGCCTCAAGCCCCCTGGTCTTCGACACGTGATAAAAGATTACATCGGTACGGTCACTAGTATCATAAAACGGTACGTGAGAATGCACAGCATTGGCTCAAGAAAATGACTGTGTGTGAAAGGTTTGGCGCAAGTCAATATACCGAAATGGAACTCCTGTCAGTTTATATCCTTAATTTCCTTACAAATGTTGGCTTCATGAAGGGCTCTTTTGAGAAAATTTCACATAGAATCAATAGAATGAAGTTTTGACAAGGATTATTCCCAACTGGTAGTTAGATAAAGCAAATAAACTCACGTTTGTGAATAAAATGTGAAATGAATAAAAGCATGCTTTGGAAGGCGCCCTCTAGATGAAGGTAGAGAGCATCTACAAGCTACCTTTCTCTATAAACTCTGCATACTCTGAAAGGCATGATCAAATGAAAATATGCATCCAAAAGCCTACCTATAGCAGACTAACGAGGGTTATTGTCAGGGCCGTCTCTAGATAACGTTCTGTAGGGAGGGGGGTTAAAGACCCATTTGCCATCAAGGTGGGTGAAATATTCTTTGTTTACCTTTGTATACCGACATGGTAAAAGCTCCTCATTTTTTAAAATTTTATATTTAATTAAGGGACAATATTAAAGAGTTTAAAACGAAAATGCATTCAAAATATCAATGAACAAATTTCAAGAAGTAAGAAATCCGCAATGTGGGAATTTTATGCAATCAAACGATTGCACAAATGATACCTAGCAGTTTGAAAATAACTCTATGAAGAGTAATGCTATTTCTGATTTCGTATCACTACTCTGTCCTCAGCAAGACAGCCACTCTTGAAATTTTGATTGCTGCATATACTCTGTTGTTGTCTCGTGATTTGCAAAAAAATTAAAAGCTACACTCAAAAGTCATCGAAAAAGTCGAATAGTTCAGGGCGTTTACAGTATCAATCAGGCTTCTTGCTCTTCTCGCCTTTCAAAGGATATTCTTCTTCTTGTTTTCTTTTCGTCATTTTGTCAATTTAGTCCCCCCAGGCAATAGTGCAAGTGAAAATTTATTATATTATTTCTGCAAGCAGTCCCCAGTTTTCTTTACTGTTCGTTTACTGTTTGTATATTTCGTCAAAATATATTATAACATTTGATCAAACACAGGATTTTGTTACCAACTCTGAAAATAATGCTGCAAAAAGTCAAACGCAATGTCTTCACCACACACAGAAGACAGCCAAAAGAAGGCCATATTTGAGATTCCGTCTTCAGAAGAAAGTTTCACACCCTCAGAAACATCCGAAAAATACGAAGATGCTACGAATAGTGATCCCAATGCATCTAACAACGGAAAAAAGAAAAGAGAAGGTTCTCGAAAAAGAAGATCAGGAAGTAAAACAGAAAATTCCAAGAAATCATCTCCCGGTTCTTCGAATACGAGCACAAGAAATTCAGACTCGAATGGAAACATCCAGGACGACAATAAAGTGAATGAAAAAATACAAACTGATGCAGAATATCTAGAGCGGGTTCCTAGTGAACATGGCGATTATCCCGCCGAACAAGCTTTGATACCAAAGAGACATGTCTTACTTTTAATGATATTTCTTGGTTTTGTTAATATTTACGCGATGCGTGTCAATTTGAATGTTGCGATCGTTGCCATGGTCAACAATAAAACAGTCATCTTGCCTACAGGGGAAGTGAAAAAATATGTAAGTTAACCATCTATATTAACTTTCTAGCATATTCCAAGACGCCACCATGATTTCATTTACAAATTCTATAGATTTACGCGACTTAGGTAGTTTTTAAGGGAAAGGCGTCGTCAGAATTTACTTTTTCAATCCCCGATAAACGCCTAAATTTTTGCACATCCGATATATTCTCATGTTTTAAGTTAAAAGCCTAATTGACCTGTTAATCAGGAATATAAAGGAATATGTACATATGTATGTATAAAGTACCTTTTTTAGAAATTTTAAATTTTTTTTATGTAGTTCTTAGAGAGACTATAAATGAAAAAGAGGGTCTATGACACACCCTGCTTATCAAATGCATTTTTCTGATTGCTAGATTTTACATAGAAATTCTTATGAAATTTTGATATTTCTAATAAGTTCCTCCAGGTCCTTCTTTAATAGCAGGAAAATCCTCTATCTGAGATGAAGCACATTAATATTCTATCTTTAGCCTGCAGAGTTTCATTGGAATTCACGTGTTCAAGGTAAGCAATTATATTTGTTTAAAAGGAAGGGTTTGTATTTATAACAAACAGTTGTAATTGGTACATACTTTATTGGTTTTGCACGTCACTTACACAAAAGAGGACTTTATTTTTCAAGAGGACTGGTGTGATTCTCTTCCATCTTACAGAAAGGAGGCTACTTTAACAGTTGTGACTCATCCGCAGCCTTATAGACTATTAAGTAAAAACTATATGCAAATGATGTTTCAAGTATATGACATTTTTAATGGGCAAGACTGAAACTTAGAAGGCGTCGAACTAAATGTAGAAACATCTAGCGAGAACGAGACATAGGCTGCATGAATTCTTATTTGCATTTGGAACATTTTAATACTAATTCGATGACAAAGATTCTAATGTGAATGAATTCAATCGTTCAATTTTTTTGCTTCTAGTAAATCTAGAAATAAAAAAAGTAATTCTAGAAAATGTTGCAGCAAATTGTTACTCATCTCATGCACGAACTTTCAGCCTCATTAAGATTACCCTCAAGTAAGGAAAAAAGAACAACAAACCAAGTGAATCCTTTCATAAAGGTCGAACGAAGCATGTGATAGGAATAAAGGGCTTTTACTAATGCTCTTCACTAAGGGCCGTCGTCCTAGAGGGCGAAAAAGATGTTACAATTTCCCCTTAAAACAAATCTGTTGCAAAACCAAGGAGTTTATGTCACCTAGGGTTGACTGGTTGGCAAATTTTCCAACATGCTGGAAAAAAGGACATCTTACCCGTTTTTTCGGCAAAGGGGGAACTGGAAACTCCCCTTAAGCACAATAGTGAATGCCTACTGAACTTTTCCTCTTTTTGTGTCTTTTTAGGCATTGTCGTAGCTTCATTTTACTACGGATACTGGGTGTTACAAATTCCTGGCGCGTGGATTGCGATGAGAATTGGTGGCACAAAAATATTTGGCTACGGGGTCTTCCTCTCTGCATTATTGTCAATACTCACTCCAGTAGCAACACGATACAGCGTTTATGCCCTGATAACCATACGAATTCTTCAAGGTCTTTTTCTGGTAAATATCTCCTTTGCATGATCTTGTTGTAAGTCTTGTAGTAGGAAAGGCTTGTTGATAGGTCCGGGCATTTTCTTTCTGTATGATATATATGTATATATCAAGAAAGATCTACTAAGGTGACTTTTTAGGGTGTCTCCATAAAGTGTGATATCAACAATGCAGTCAATTTTTTGTTACAGTGATTTTTTACATACAAAGTAAGCTCTAAATGGGGAAACAATCCATCTTTCTGTTTTATTAGTAAAACTGAAAAAACCTAAAAACCCCCGCTACTCATTAGATACCCTTCCTTAATACCTCTCTCACGAGGAAAGCTGCAATTTGTTAGTAATCTTCCTTTCTACATTAATCAACAAAAAAGTGAGTTAATGATTGAGACCCCTAAATAGTATGCCCTCAAGGGTTTTATGATAAGATAAAAGTGATGGAGAAAATACCTCACAAACCTTATTAAGCATTACATAATTTTATCTTTATTGTATTATAATGTATTGTATGGTATTGTATTAATTTTTATAACCCCATATTGTATAAAAACACATTCAAAATAATAAGAAATTTAACCTATTTGTCTCCGCATCATGAATCATAAAGTTGACTACATTTGTTTATTGTAAACAATAGCCTATAGATCTACCACAATGTGTCATGTTTAGAAAATCCCTACAAGTAAAAATCATCAGAGGTTGCTTTGTAAATAATTTCTTTTCGTATAGTAAACCGTTCTTTCGCTTTTTATCTCGGTCACAACGAATCTCTAACAATCAAATACACTATATCGATCGTTTGTAGCCTAAACTCAGCAAATAAAACTTGTATTTATAACTATGATGTTTTCATGATGTAAAAGATGTATTCATATCTATCATTGCAGGGAGTAACCTTTCCAAGCAATCATGCAATTTGGGCAAAATGGTCACCGGCATTAGAACGAAGTACATTGGTAACGATGGCAATCGCTGGTATGCTACGATTGACATTATTTGACCAAGGGTTCAGTGGGAGTTGAATTTTCTAGGGGGGGGGGGGTACATTTTTTTCTAGAAAAATCTGACAAAGAAGGAAAATTTCCGGAATTTTCTGACAAATTTGATTCTCTAGTGGTTCTTTATAGCTCCACGCCCCCTTGCTATTGCACTCCTATGTATAACTCAAATTACTTCAACACTTTCTTGCTTTCTTAGACGTCTTCAAAATATCAATCTCTACCAAATGTCTTGGTGTACTACATTAAGTTTTGGCACATTTTCTGTTACATTTCCCTCTTTGAACAAGGTCGTTTTTTTTGTAATTTTAAGAGATTTCGCATTGTTCAATCAGGTTGATATGATATCTAACTCTACAAACAACAATATTTTGGGGAAGATCAAGTGGATGATGGTCTTGCTATTCAAAAGTAATCTTTTAAGATTACACTCAAGCCAAGGGGCGGGCGTTCGAGGACTTTTGGCAGGGATTGTCCCTCTCAATTACCTATTCTGCTATCAAAGTACTTTTCCAGATATGCCTGGCATTTGCCACGTCAAACAAAGGAATGTTGCTCAGTAACTTTGCCAGTTTTTTACTTAATCAATAAATCCAAGTTTGCACACGTTTCCCAATCAGATTTGGCTTTCGTGCTACAGTTTATGACGTAAGATAAAATTGAAGTTTACATGCTTCAAGCTTCTACAAGCTTCAGGCTATGTCAGTTCGATTAATACACTCATGTGCATTTTGTTTTGGAGTAGAAACTGGAAGCGTATCTTTTTTAAAAATGAAGCAAAAAAATATTCAAAATAACGCTAGGAAACACTATCATCTACCTATAAATTTAAAATACTTCCGCGATTAACGGAGTTCTTGATAGAATATGTTTTTATAGAAAATAAGAAAGCTTTTTTGAAAATTAAAAAATTTATATTTTGAAAATTAAAAAATAAATTGGAAAAATTGAGAATATAATGTAGATAGAGGGCCCCTTGAAAATCAACTTCTCTGCTGAAGAGCCACCCCCCTAAAGAATTTAAAATGAAATGAATGAACAGTTGATGCTTGTTTGCAGGATGTCCAGTAGGAAACATTTTGGCGATTCCTATAACTGGAATGCTTGCAAAATATGGCTTTGATGGAGGCTGGCCCTCGGTGTTCTACTGTTTTGGTGAGTCACATTCAACTGCCTGAAACGAAGTTCATTTTTTACTTGCAGTGACGTAGTGCATGGCAATACTTCTGCTTATTCTATCTATGCCTTAAACCCTTCCCTCTCTTTTAAATTTGAAAATAGAAACACGCTTTGATTTTAACTATATTTGTCATAGCAACTACAGCTATATATTTATTATAACTATTCATGATTATTTGCTATCTCTTCCTGACAGGCATTTTTGCACTTCTTTGGTATGCTGCCTGGGAGTACATGTCATATGATTCACCTGCCAACCATCCGACAATAACAAAGGCAGAGAGGTTCTACATCGAGAATTCGATTGGAGGAAACGCTTTTGATCCGATGGTCAGTAAATACAAACTAGAATAATCTTATTAGTTACAGAAATGAGTGCCTGAAAGAGATGTGTTAAGAGCACGTGGATTCTGTCTGTGCTTAATGAATGACTCACCTAGATTATCTATATTAATGACTGGCTATGGGTGAATCACCTACCATCATCCATCACGATCTTTAGAAAATGTCACTTTGTACACGTGTGATCCAATAGTATTATATGACACTGGATGGGCTGGCTACATAGTGTACGATGACATTTGCTCTTGCTAGCGGAAAAGAAATGAAAGAATAATTAATAAAGTAATGTCAGTAATATCGATAGTAATAAGAAGAAAGTTGAACTGCGGCGCCCTGAATGGCTTTCTCTTATTACTCAAACCTTTTCGGAGCACAAACTAAACACAGCTTTTGCCATTCTGAGAAAAAGAAGGCTATTCCTTCAACGAAAGCGTTTGTGCGTTGATACTGTATACATTCTGATGCACGAGAGAAGCTAAATTAAAACTATATTCTAAATTACAACAGTTTTGCAGCTGGCCTTTCCCTTAGTTTGACGTGCATTCATTCTTTTTCTCAATTGCAGAAAGAAAAGCCTCCTTGGAAAGAAATATTGACCTCAGTTCCGATGTGGGGCATCACTGTTGGGCACTTTGGGGCATGCTGGGGCTATTACACTCTCTTCACCCAAATGCCTACTTACTTGAAGGATATTCAGCATCTTGATATCAAGACGGTATATTTTAGTCTTTTTACACAGTCTCAAATACATTTTGAATAATATTTGAATTACCTGTCACCTTAAGGTGCCAGTCTTAATTGCAAAAATTCCACGTATTTTCAAATAAACTTATAGAAAGAGACGATAGCATACTAATTAAAGGTGGAAATTGGAACTTTAAGGTGGAAATGTACTTTGAATTAGTACAATTACTCACCTACTGGGTAATATGAAACATATTCCTTCTTTCAAGAGTTGTCTATCTATTTTTTCAATGGACAATAAAAATTTGTTTATATAAATACTTCTATGTTGCAGCCTTGGTAAGGCAGATTTTAATAGTTAAACCTAGGCCTTAATGTGCTAATTATTCATGCTTTGCTTTTAGATGGGCTTTGTCGCAGCAGTACCTTATTTACTTAAATCTTTTGTTGGGCCAATCGGAGGTATATCAGCTGACATACTGATAAAGAGAAAACTCTTAACGGTTCGAGGGGTTAGAGCGTTGTTTTATGGAGCAGGTGAGTGTAGAAGAAAATCTTGTTTTTATTCTATTGTCCATTATTGTATTGTAGTATAAATGTAAAGGAAATAGCAATGCTGTTGGCTATTATGCATCAATAACTTAGATCGCGGAAGAGGGATGCCAGTTTTTAACGAAATTTTCCCAGATTTTGAAGTTTCTTTACCCTTCTATACGGTTGACCGGATCTAAAATTTTGTTTTCACGTATTACATACCAATATGGTTTTGAAACTGGAGCACCTTATGACATTATTGACACATATAATGTATAAAGTACATGCAAAATTACGAGCTTTCGTTGCAAATCTAGAACAAGTAATGGGCAAAAAGTAAAATGATAAAAAAAATGGAAATGTATCTTTTGAATTAAGTACAATGCAGTGTATGGTGTCGCAAAATGCATGTAGCACAAGCTGTAGGGCAGCTTATTGTTGTATTAGGGAGAGAGAGGTCTAAACAAACACATATAATAGAGCCATGTAAGAAAAAAGATGTTTGCAATTAAAATGCAGCATGGACGGTCGCTAGCTATTGAACTGCAGGTGCCACCTGCCTGCAAGTGGGAGAGCAATCCCCTATTTGCCAACAAGTCCGAAGATTTGCGGACAAAGGCATCTCTAAATGACAAAATCTCCACGTTTTTGAACCAAAAATTTTTCCAAGGGGGGTTTTCCATAAAACGCCGTCAATAGTTACAGCTCTGAAGCCCAGTTTGCTAATATATAGATTTAATGATGAAAGGAGATCCCAGCTTTGGTTTTTACAGTTATCTTGTGATAATTTTAGGCTGCTTATTGGCCGGCAGTTGTATTTTGGCAACCGGTTACTGTGCTGCAATGGAAGATGCAATAGCGTTCTTGATACTTGGGATTGGCTTCAGTGGTTTAAATGCGACAGGTTATGCTGTGAACCATTTGGACATTGCACCGAGATACGCCGGCATTTTGATGGGACTCAGCAATACCTTTGCGACGATACCTGGCTTTCTCAGTCCGATGCTTACAGGCATGATAGCAAAACACAAGGTAGGTTAACAATGTGGTGTATTGAATTCAAAAGGGGTTCAAAGCTTGATAGGAAGATTCTGTATGGACTAGCTGGGTAACCAAGGCTGTTGTACCATGGGTACCAAGGCGTCAGGGATTCAAAGCCAGTACGAGCTGGGCAGGGAAATTGCAAATGACAACGTTGTAAAAAAGTGAAAGATTTTAGTAAAGTTAGTAAAGGGCATTCTATTAGCCACTCTTTTCAGTCGTCTCTAAGGCAGCTTTATGAAGGAAAGTAACTAGTGAGTACTTTCGTTCGTAAGTTCGTAGACCTTGGAAGAAACTTAGGCACTACAGAAATGTGGACTGTGCACCTTAGCTGTTACTCTAGGATGTACATCCAGAACTTTCAGCCATCCGATCACGGAGAAGCTCCCAAGCTTCAGAAAGTCGATCAAATACAATTCCTCAAAACTAGTCAATATAGGAGCAGCTATAATAGTAATCACTAGGTGCTTGTTGATCGCATTAGGCACGAATATTAGAATTTTAACATCACACTTCCCTGTTCTCTAACCTGACCTCTGATAAACGAAACCGTTATGCATGTTGGAACAAATAACTTGTTCTATTCACTCTATAGAAAGCATCAGAATGGCGGGTGGTGTTCTGGATTACATTTATAGTCTACGTAGTGGCAACTGGATTGTACTCTATAATGTGCGCTGGGGAGCAGCAACCATGGGCTGATCCAGCCAGTGAGAACGCTGAAACAACTGCATTGAGTGAGGAGCCAACGAGATCACCAAACACGTCACAAAGGACTTCTACGACCTCACAAAACTCTAGAACAAAGTGATTGTAGCATTAGACGACACATGGACACACTTTTATGCTTTGGCTATAAATCTGGCAATTTCATCTCTGACAAACGGGCATTAGCTCCTATAGTTAAAAAGAAACAGTTACTTGATACTAGTTTAATTTTCGTAAGAAATGTTCATGCCTTTGACTTTTTTAGTTGTTTGATAGGCCGATTAGTTTTTTTTGGTTCGAAAGTTGTACACGACATGTTTCAGTGACATTTGACTGTCTATCATGTAACTCTTTTCCATTAATAAAAAACTTTAAGTAGGTTAAATATCGCCCTAGTTTAGTCTTCCACATATTCAGAGCCAAAGCTAAATTGGCCAGAATGAAATGGGTAAACTGCAAATATGTTTTGCTTCACATTTGGAAAATGCCAATACTAAATGTAAGACATAGCTTTTTCATTCCTTCATTACAAAACAATTAACATGATGTTGAGAACCAAGCAATACGTTGGTGTTATAGTATTATTTTACAGCAGTCTGTTGTTGTTAGAATATATTGAGAACTATAAGAGATTCAAGTTAAAATCAAATTAGTTAATTCTGCTCTTTAATGTGTTTTTAGCCATACGTTTAAAAAATAACAAGGTTCTCACGCATATTGGCAATAAAAAACACTTGCTCAAACCTGAATATCGTCCGTGAAAAATCTTTTGCAAAGTCAGAGAAAAGGGTACTTTTCACGCAACTCAGAATAAGAGATATGCAAAGTCAAAATAAGGGTACAGTTCTTAATGTAAGGAATACAAATTATATACATTTGACAATAAAGTAAGCCGGCCGGGCAGTTTCCTGGCGAGATACAGGAATATGCAAATTTCAAAATAATTTCATTTTACATTCATAGACGACGATCGTAAATTAGTGTTGTTAGTGAAGTAGCAAATTAGCGTTCAGTTGTGGCTGATGTTGGCCGCATATCGGTTTTGAAGTAAATGTTTTTACACAATAATTTTTTATAAAGCTTTTAAAACTTACAAGGTGTTTTTTGCCTTATTGTGTATCTTAGCAGGGACACTGCCCTGTGATGGGAGAAACTTTTAAACGCACTTTCTAATACTGCAGAGTCTTTTTAAATATTTAAAAAAATATCAAAGCAAAATGGACACTTGAGATCCTGAGAAAGGACAACTGCTCGATACTTCAATAGAGAACCATCCAGTATCTTCCCGAGCCATTAGAAAACAAATATTAGACAAGGGATACAGCCCCCCCCTACTTTTTGCAAAAAATGCAAAATATTAAAAAAGAGCCACCAGTAAAGCCTTTTTTCATTCTCTCTTAGTCCCCTGACCTTCTGTAGACCCCCGTCTTTTTCATCGCTCCGCGGTGGCTGGAAACTGGTTTTGCATAATCCTCCAAGCATTCAAATTGTTTCTACTGAGGGGATTGTTTCTTCATTATTTTGACCTGTAATTATGTTACTACTCGACAAGGTGGTAAAAAGGTTAAATGACAATGACGGTAAAACCAGTTTAAACAAACAGCTGGAATAGCTTTGTGCAAGAGAACCAAGCTTTCAACTTTAGATTAAAATAACACTGTCTCATGAATAGATAAATTGTTAGGTTGCCTCAAAAAGGACATAGAAAGAGATATTTCAATGTTTTATGATAGGACAATGGAGTACAAGAGTTTGATGTATTTGATAATGACGAGAAAGTGATAAACCATAAAGAAACCGTTAGCCCTCGAACTGGCAGCCCATTTTTAAACCCGCCCCCCCCCGCCATCTCTCGAAATAACATTCAACGCAAAGTGACAAAGTCTATTATCTGTAAAAGGAAAACTCAAAAAGAGGATGATTGGAGGCATAGCCAAGGAACATTTCATCAAGCTAATTAATTTGGGATCTACTTCATTTTCAACTCAACACTGAAGTTGAGGCGTAACTTGTGCTTGAAATTCGCAAGCCTCTTTTCGTGGCTCTTAAAAATTTCCTTTCAATATTTCTTCGGAAACTTTTCCAGGTCTGAGAACAATTCCATAATTACAAAACTCTGGGCAAAGAAGATTGTATTGTTTATTTTTCAACTCGAGCTGGTCTCCTTTAATTGTAAATTTTTTTCTGAAATCGAGGACAGAAACTTTGTCGGAAGAAATACGAATGAAAAAATAGACAACAAGATAATTCTGTTTAAACAACAACTTCTAACAAACCTCAGCCTAAATTAACAGACTGAAGAAACAAAATGTCACTTGTATTGTTACAAAACTCTTTACGTAGGAATAACGGTCTCCCTTTATGAATCATCTAACTTTGAATTCATGGTTTATGTTAGCTGCAAGTAAATAAAAAAGGCTTAATTACAGAAACAGTACACCTTTTTGAAGTATTTTTCAGTTCCTAAACTTTTGCTGTCAGATATTTGCCTAACTGCCACCAAAAGACCTAGGAAAGAGTTAGAAAATGTCAGATTATGATGTATTCCAAGTCTTTGCTCTAGCAACAAAAAGAAGATAGGAAGAAGCGTTTGAATTAAAGCATGGTTTGGTAATTGGATATAAGACACTAAGGAACGGAAAGAATAAAGTGTATGTTTTCTCCAGATGAAGTTTAGCATTAGTAATGTTCCTATTAATGGTTCATATACTCAAACATGCTGGGTAGCACTGTTTGAAAACAGTTCTAGAATGTATGCTAATAGACAATGTAAATACGAACAATTTTACTCAAGCTATTTCAAAGAAGGAAATCTTAAGCAATCTGGCAAAATACAAGAACAAAAATCTAAGAATCTAGGCGAAGGCTACCTTGCCTTATACCAGAAAAAAAACTCACCAATTAATGGCCTTTGCTGGCTCCTTTCCTCTTCATTCTCTCATCACTCTCTCTTTTAGTAGCAGTAGGTGGGGCTGCTAGAGCACCAGAACTGCCAACTGTGGCAGTGGCTGCTGCCTTTTGCTTCAGCATGCTCCAGTCGAACACATAGTCATACTGGTGGTTGAGTGTACGGAACAGTATTCTGAATAACTGTCTCAGATACATGTAGTCAGGTGCCTCTTCAAACCTCAGTCCACGACAATAGTTTAAGTACATAGCGAACTCCGTTGGGAAGCCCTAGGAGGGTGAAATAAGGCATGGCGCTAGATTAGGCCGACAGAGAAAGTCGCTGCTGGGAGAACTGTTTTTGCATGCTAGCTATATGTAGATTTAAAAAGACAAATAGCCTGGCAATGACCAGATTACTTCAGTCGAGAAACTCCATCGTTGTTGTAAACAAGAACAATTTAAAATTCATCTAATGATATCAAGGCCCACCCCTCTCTCATGTAGTCAACAACATTAAGCTAGAATTACTGTGTTCCAACGGTAGTTTTAGCACTTCAAACTCCCTGAACATAAATCCGGTCCATTCAGCAAGTAGAAATTATATGAGAATGGCTGGTTAGGGTCGCTAAATACAGATCCAAGGGTTTAGTGTTCGAATCCCTGTTATCACTAAACTTGCGCTTAGAGTGAGAAGGCTTGTCTGATTTTCTGATCCCTGTAATTCCAGGCATAGGAAGCACAAGGTGTGGTCACATCAAGAGGAAGGACCAGGACACTGATCGATAAACATAGCTTCTCAGTGTCATAAAAACAACCTTCAAAATGCTAGGTAAAAAACAAATACAAATAAAAATAGAAATTATACGAATTGTAATTGTTTCTTAAAGGCAATCGATAAATATAAAAGTGGCTTAAGCCATCCGTCAGTCAATACTAGCCAATCAAAAAGCGCGTGAGTGTAATCACGCTCACTGATTGGTGAATCTTTTATTGAAAGCTGGCTTAAGCCCCTTTAGTATCTGTAGATTGCCTTTAAGAGAAAGAATTTTGAAATCATACAATAAGATTACCTTGCAAAGAACCTCAACTGGGGTGGACATTTTCTTTTCACTTATTTTCTCATATTTTTGTTTTTTAGTAGCAGCCTAGAGCAAAAACAAATGGATCATATGAAAAATATAAGCAAACACAATTAAAATAACATTGTATTACCATTATAAAACAGGCATAGGATAAGATTTATTGAATGCCTTTACGCTCTTCGTGACACTTTGTGGATTAATAGCAACACAAAACGTAATCTAGATTGTGATCACAAAAGTTTGAAAACTTCAAAGGAATAAAAAAAATTCCATTGCCAAAAAATTTGTCAACTTCTCAAATTGTTTTCTCTTTTTCCTTCAAGTATCAAAGTCTTACAGCATCAAAACCAAGGTTGTTCACAAGTTGTAGATTTTAAGCATTTTTGCAATTCTGTACTCGTCATTTATATTGACCTTTCCGTTTCTGAATGATCGCATCCGGCCGGTTTTTGCAATCAATGCCGTGTATGTTTATCGGAAATGTTACAGCCAAAGTTTTTATCAGCCAATTTGGCACCATGCTGACACACAGTTATCCTTTTAATATAACATTTTAATGGATACACCTAAATTTGTAGATATTTCCTCTACAAAAAAACTTGAAACGTCTTTTGATGCAAAAGAAGTGTGACCAATAATGGGATGTGTTATATATCAGAAAAACACTATTTTGTTTTAAAACTTGAACAAGATAAGTATTAAAGCTATCAAAACAAACGTACAAATATTGTTGTTAAAAATGAAAGTATACACCAAAGTACTGCTAATTTATCATATTAAACTATAGGGAGAGAAGGTCATAATTTACCCTTAATCCCTGCCATGGCAAAGTGGAACGGTTAAAATACATGAGGACATATCCAAGAGACTCCATGTCATCACGACGGCTAAAAATTTAGGTAAAAATATAATTAATCTTTGAAAGAGGCTACAAAAAAAAGACTTTATTGTATGCATGATGTATGATAGATCACAAAAAACCACCCAACTTTCAAATGATACCAAAAACAGCTTACACCGTGCAACTTACAGGGGTGCTTGGAACAAATGAGTTTTTTTAGTAATACTACATTTAAAAATTTCCCCGTTACGGAACTTATATTTGTTTCTAACTAGGTGATGGTTTGTAAAAATGTCTATCGTCCCGCACAACTTGAGCTTCCTATGAAAGACCGATAAGCAACGATTTTCAATGCACACAAACAGATATGACATACTGCTCAGGCAAAACACAACTTAAAATCATTGAGATTTATACCAAAATTCATTAAGATGTTTAGTGGTTTCACGGATTAAAAAAATGAAAATATTTTCCTTTTAGATGGAAGATTAAAACATGAGCTGAATCTCCATCGGTGAGAAGCAAATTAAAGATATCCGATAAATGAAATTGTTTTGCCTTTTTGCTCTCTCGTTGCTAACAAAATATTCACGAAGTAAGATTTATTATGTTTCAACTTTGGATTTTTGCGGCGGTACTTTAACTGCTATTGCATTAATCCTTAACGGAAAACAAGGTCAAAAGTTTGGTCAATGATAAACTAAAGTTGTTTAACAAATAAAGCAAGATAGTAGCCTCAGTGTCTTTTATCAAATATAACGGGCGCGTATACAAGCACAAAAGTTGTGAAAAGCGGAATGGGATCTCAAATTGTTACTGAAAATACCTGATTAGGGTGTAAGGGGCCTAAGGGTTGAACTGACTGCAATAACACAAATGGGCGTTTCCATTTAAAACTAAGACTTCAGAGTCGAGAAAAAAACAGGGAGACAAACGACCATCCCGAACCGTGCCTTTAAAGTAAAAGAGTCCCACTTCTGCACACAAATGACTTTTTTATATTGATTATGACGATTAGGACTAGTGCCAAAAACATTTGTGTATTTATAACGACCCCAATATCAAGAAAAAAACTCACGATTGCTCGATGCCAAGATGAGCATTGATGCTTGCATATCTTGCAGTGCCCGTTAGGTTTTTGTCCTCTCTATAATGAATGTGCTGTTTCGTACGGGCATCTCTGTACTTTTTGGCAAGGCCAAAGTCAATCAAGTACAACTGGAATGAAATAAAAGAAGGAGAGCATCATAAAAATTCCTCCCAAGTAACAACACTGTGGCGTTATTCCAGGATACCAATGACATGACAAATTTGTTCCAGCGTACTTGAAATGAACAACAAAAACGGTTACATGATACAAAATTTTTCGCACGTCTAGTTACTTTTCTAAGTGTTTTTAACCGTAACAGTCAATCACTTCTCACATTACGCGTTATAAGGTGACGGGGTCACTTTATTTTTCGGAAAGAGGGACGACATCAGTTTCCAAAAACACTTTAAAAACAAATTAAAGGACAACTATCAAACAAAAACAATCCAGCATTCGAGAATGCAGCAAAATTTATCACTTGAAGGCAGATTGAAATATAAAATAAAACAAAGTTAACTTCTTGATACTCAAGGTTTCTTTATTCCATATACAAAAATCTTACAATGTCAAAGTGCAAAGCAAAATACTATACATACCTTATTGCAATGTCTTCCAATCCCCATGAGAAAATTATCCGGTTTTATGTCTCTGTGGATGAAGTTTTTATTATGAACATACTCTATCCTGCCAATCATCTGAAAAAGAAACAAAATTGAATGACTATTTTAGAAAGAGAACAAGAAAAGATTTTGGATTAAAAATACTTTAACAAGATGTAGAAAAATTATTTACTGATCAATTATTTATTATCAAAAGACTAGCATACATAATTAATATGCTTGTTCTTAAGATATGATGGTATGTGACAAGTCATCTACTATACCTTCTGAACAAGACCCAAGTAGTCAAGCAGTCACCTTACTACTTGAATATTTTATTAACCTTTCCACTTAAGAGATGGAGCATTCCAATAAAAAAATTAAATTGTAAAACAATATTCCTTCTTGTTTGATATTTTCTGTAAAGAAAAAATATCATAAAACTGTATATAACTTAAGCATCAGAGTTAATTAATTCATAGAAAATTACCAGAAAAAATAATGAGCATTACTCCGAAATTGATAAAAGGTAAATTATCAAAGAGAGTATTTTGCACCTGATCTGCCAACATTAACACAGTCTTCATTGTGAACCTTCTAGAGCAAAAATTGAACAAATCTTCCAAACTTGGCCCAAGAAGATCCAAAACCATCACATTGTGATCCTTTTCCTGTCCAAACCATCTGAACAAACAAAAACATATAAATTATGCAAGTGCTAGAAATGCCAGGTGACAAGTCACAGAATAATAAAAAAGGAACTGTCTTGAAAAATCCTGACCTAATGAAAACATTCACAAAGTGTTGACAAACAACAACTGAACAATTTGTATTCATAGTTTCTGTGTATAAATGAATAAATAAATTATTCATCCAACACTTTTGCCAGTAATGCCTGAAAAGTGATTTGGTTTGCACCTAATTATGTATCAAGCTTGATTACAGCAAGAAAGCATGTCTTGCATTTAGGTCAATTCCATGGACAACTGATGTTTCATCTCAATCTTATTAACAAGGTTACACAAATTTTTTATTTATAAGACAGTGTCTCTTGTCTCATAAAAAGAGTATAATAAGATATCTATATATATAGAATATCATGCAAATACTAACAAATTTAATTCATTTTTAAAAATGCTTTATTTAAGAAAGAAAACTATCGATAAAGTGAAAGTCTGAGTATTGAAACATTACCTAATATGTGGTATGCCAACTCCACCTTGGAGGATTTTATAAACTTTTGATTCATATAATAGCTGTGGGTGTCTTGCTTTAACACTTTCTAATTTTGTAGCAACTTCCTGTATGAAATCAATGACAAGGTTTGAAGCTAGGATTTAAAACAAGGCTTTTGATAGCTAGATCATCCTTAATATGCCAAAAAAATTTGATTGGATAATCAAACTTGATTAATAGATAAAAGGAACTCAGTTTAATGATAACAATGAAGATTTCATGTAACAAAAAAGTTTGGTTCTTAAACTGAAGAAAATTTGACATTATAAATCAATTATGTGATACAAATTGTCCATGGTAAATTGGTGAAACATTTTAAAATCTTTCAAAGATAACATCAAATAGACTTAAAAAAATAAAGCAGAAGCACAAAGTACCTCGCCATTGGTCATATTAACAGCAAGGTAAATATCCCCAAATGATCCGCTACCAATCTTGCGAGACAACTTGTATTTGCCTCCAACAACAAACTCAGTCTTTGAAGAACTACTACTACCGCTACTTGCAGTAGCCATGGTTACAGATGTAAAGTTATCCTGAAAAAAAACTTCAATGCTAGACATGGATGAAATGGGAAAAATGAGCTTATAAGATACAAATTTACCAGTAAAGTTCCTCTGTGGAATCTGGGTCACCATATTTTGATAACAATAAAACCAAATAAAATTGTTTCCTTGTATCAAAATTTGCTACGTTAGACATCCTCTTCAAACATTTGACTATATAGAATTTTTCTGTTAAAAATTCTCAAAGGCAGCAACAGAACTAAATTTCACATATTGACTTAATACACTGAAACAAATTTATATTGATTTTTGAAGCAAGGATAGGTCGGAAGACATGTTGCAGAGGGACGTCAAAGGGAAACAAGGAAAGGTCACAGCCACAATCCTGCTTGTGTTACAGAGCAGTTTTGAAAAAAATATGTCCACAGGTACACAAACCTGAAAAAATTTGAATACATCAAACAGACTGCAGTTAGAAAATGAGGAAATTGTTTTCATACCCAGAGGCATTCCTCATCACAACATTTAACAGCAATAACAATCGACATGGAAAAATCCATAGATTTCAGTAAAAATTCCAAAAATCAGAGATTTCTTTGTAACTTGTTAATGAGCATGGTAACAAAAAATGGTCTAGTCATAGCAAATTAAATGCAGTACAAAGAGAGGCAAGACAGTAAAACTTGTCATGTGAATAGCCTTTAGAAGTTTTGTGTCAAATACAATTTGAGTCAAACTTATCACAATGGAAGGAGGTATGAAAGTACCAAATAACAATAAAATAATGCATATTATTACAATTAATCAGAGCACTTTCAAAAAAGCAGTTTACTCTGAGAAAAATGTTTTAAAAACAATTTGGCTCATTTAATTCTCCTCCTTAGCATTTAACTTCTAAATAATAGTAAATGTTAACAATGAATACAAACTTAATTCAATCATTGACCAAAAGGATCTTGAATAACAGGATTGTTAGGAGATATATTTGTGGTTTGCTGATGTTTTTGGTAATTAAAAAACCAGATGTCAGACACACTACAATGCAACTACAACTAAATATAATGTTTGAATTCTAGGCTTGTTCAACTACAAGTAAGATTTATTGATAAAAATTAATGTGCTATATATTAAGAATGCAGACTTACTGAAATATTGATAGTTTCATTCAACTAATCTTTTGCCAGCTTAAAAGTAAATAAACTGTGGGAGTGTCGCTTACCCAATGACTATGTAGCACAAGCACTGATTCATTTTTATGAATAACAAGATGTAACTTGCTTCACCTGTTCCTATGCAGATTAGTTGATTACATGTTTGTGCCATCTGCCACATCCCAGCAATAAATGGCTTATGTTTATCATTGTGCTTTTCACTTAGCCAATCATTTTTGCAATGAGTCTTCAAGTACTTTATCAAAGCTTGAATTCCAGGAATTGCTATCTTGGGTAATCAGCTTTGAAATGATAAAGCTAAAACACTATCTGGTGATAAATTCCTTTTGACAAATTTAAGTTGTTAATAGTAACCGATAATGGGCTTCATGCTTTCATAAACAGAAAAAGCTGGCAAAAGCAAGTATATGTTGGCTGAAAAGCTAAAAAATCATGTCCTTTTTTCAGTGCAAAGATGCAGTATTCTTAACCACCTAGTGAAATTAGTTATGTTCAGTTCAGTTCAGTTTCATATAATTTTAAAATTCCACTACATACAATCCAAAAAAGAGAAAATTTAAATACAATTAAATATAGCATGCTTAACTAATTAATGCAAGATAAATGCTACACAAGAAACCTAAAAGAAACAATATATAGTATTACATCAAGAAGACAAAGGAATTGTATGTAGGGGAATTTCTTAAGGAGGGGCTCTCTCAGTAGCTAGGTTAATCAAGGAGAGAGCACCCCCTATTTATTTATAACTGATTAGCTAAATCTTTCAAAACTTCTTTGAACAATTTATGCATCTGACTTTGGACTGAATGGGGACTTTTCATGAACAGTATTTGTTTTCAAAGAAAAAAGTCTTAAGTTTGCAACAAAAACTACAAGCTAATTTCTAGTATGTCTAGTAAAGCTTGAAGAAACCAACAAATGAATCAACACACATTAATTCAACTTTCATAACATAAAGATCAAAAGAATGATGTATTTACTATCTTTCCAACATAACACACTACATTAACCTTGGCTAAGATCCTACACTTCAATGGCCTTAATACAACAATTGTTCTATTTTTTCTTGCATTTTAATGCATGAAAGTTGGTTCTTAAAATCCCGATTATTATCCAGTAGGTTACACTGTAAGAATAAACAAACAGATTTTGAAAATCTAAGTGTACCCACAGAGAGAGTACATTCCTACATAGAAACATCCTTCCACTTTTACTGAAACAAATAAAAACTTATAATTCAATAATGAATCTGCCATAGAATCATTTCTTCACTATTCATCACCAAAAATCAGCGAAATCGAATTTAGATCAGCAATTGGCTGTCATCATATTCACCCTCAGAGTAGTGATACCCCATTTTTTATAAGAACCAGTAAATTTAGGTTCAGGCTGACTGTTTTTAATTTCTTCGAAAATCTGAGGCTGGATTGTTCTTAGTTTGCTCTCAAATCAATAGGGTTTCTTCAAGCAGTATGACTGCTAGCGTTTTTGCTCTAGAAAGGTGTTCAGGTCTCATTCCCCAACAAAGTGAGTGACCTTCATTTGCCATCATGTTTGAATATCCACAGAAAGAGAACAAACACATGGCAAAAAATCCTCATTCTTGAGATGAAATAATGTTCAAATTGCATTTTACATTGCATTGACCAATTTTGAGGTTCGTATTCTTACAAAATTCTTCCTATAAAAAAGATTGTAGCCTTACTAATTCAGGCAAATATGAAGTCTAAAGATTCTGAATAAAAAGAGTCTTCTGTCAAAATCACATTCTTAAGATTGAAAATGTTCATTCAGCCTTGTCTGCTCAACCTTACTTTTGATTTTCTTCATATTTTGACCTCTAAATACTTTTAGTGGTTTGGATTCAACTGGTAACCAAGCCTCCAAATGGCCAAGTCTCTATATACTTTAATTACCCCTTTTTCTTGTTATCTTAAAATAATAAAAAATTCAGATGGCATCTTGTCATTACCAAGCTGTAATCTACCCAGGATGCTCTTAAAAGTTTCAATTATTCAAGGCAGTACTTATTCAAAGAAAGGCACTGATTTTTGGCTTTTCTCCAAAACACATGCAACTAGACCATTAGACTGTTTGAAGGTCATTCTGGTCCACCTATATGTTTTAAAAAAGTAGAAGATACAAACTGTTTACTAGCCCAGCCAGGACGAGAAAGAGTTAAGTTGGCCTGATTTTTGCAGGAAAATTTAAATTTGTAACAGAAGATGCTCAACAGCAAAAGTTTGGAATGGTGGAATAGATGCATGGCCTAAGTGAAGCCCTGTAGTGACCCTGAACTTTACTTCTTATTATGATCTGAAGTTACAACCACACACAAAATTATTCACATCCAAGTTTTATTTCATGTGTAATTTCTCTGTAAGTCTTGGTTCCAACAGTGGAAAAAATTAAATCATTGCAAATATCAAGGTTCCAGTCTGTCACATATATATTTCTGTTTAGGCCTTACCTTGTCAATGTGCCCAAGGATGCTCATTTGAGAGATGAGTTGTAAATTCGAGGGGGGATACTGATGAAATGTTCCGATAGTTTAAGGGGGCATATTTGAAGGGGGTGCTAGTTTGAAGATTTAAGGTATACTAAATGGTTAAACTGCAAGAGGAAAAAGATTTACAACAGAAGAGTTGAAGATTTATACACGAATATAAATAATGATAAGCAATTTTCCGAAAAAGATATGCAGGTGTTAAGCGAAAGGACTTGGAAAAAAAGAAATAAAAGCGGGTGATCAACAAATAATCCTCTGTAACATCATATACGTGACAGCCATATCAACAATGTCGCGTGAGAATGGAAACACTTTTACAAGCTAATTGCTTGTAGATAAAATATATGGAGATAATTGAATATGCAACCTGATGCATTTACAGTAAAAAATAAACACAAATGTTTCGGATGAATCTATAATAACGGTGAAAAATATCGTGACTAGTTACAGTTTATTCGCTAGCCCTAGTGATTCTAATTGCAAATTTACAACCAGATCCTTTTATTGCAGTACAAACAATACAGTTTCCAAACAAAAGTAAATTATACAACAAGATTTGCTGCAACGGAACTGGCTGTTGCCGGGGACATTATAAACGTAGATGATCGACACAATCCAACGTTGGAATGCAAAGACATTTAGTCGAATCAAAAGGAGGGCCAAGTCTGGTCAAATGGTAACTGTTTTTTGAACAATTTAGATTCTGTTCGTAAGTGAAATGAATTCTTTCTACAGAAGATATCCGGTTCAGCTGCCGTATTGTTTGTTGTCTCCACCGCGTCACGGTGGCTATCACGCTTCACACTTTCAGGGCTGGGTTTCTGTGAAATGTAAGCAACAAATGAGGCAAAAAAACACACAAGAAACCGATTCAAACTCACCAAAATATGTTCAGACTATTACATCGTATGTTATTTGTGTCACTAAGGCAGAAACATCGGCTTACAGTGGCAGAAGTCTGTTCATTTCTAGATCTGCTCACCTTTCCGCCATTTCTCCAACTCAATCTAACCAACACAACTGTACTTCTATTGCATTATGGGATTCCTTCAGGTGTAGGATAGTGACGTCACGCAGTGTCGGTGCAACCATGTGGAGTAAATAGCAACACCAGAGGCATGGCCTCCGTTGCCTTAATACGAAAATAGATAATATTTCAAGGGACAGAAACTAGTAAAAAAGGCTAGCATTAAAACAGGGTGCTTCGACAACCTTAGCCACTGAGAGAGTACCTCATTTTTCTCTATTATTTGTCGATGGTTTAGAAAACGAAAACGATAATACCTTGAGCGTTTGCCTCTAGCGTCACCCCTGGATTACTGTCATTTGCTAACTGATTCCAGCTACTTTATCAAAACTGAGTTATGGCTAGCAGGTAATGCGAGCCATATCACCCAAAATTCTGATAATGGCAGTAATGGTCCATCTTCATTCCAAAAGCGTACCGTCAATCTTAGGCCCTTATACAGTATTCTCTTCAATTAGCGGACACCTTCGGGGCAAGAGCAAGGTGTCCGCTAATTGGAAGTGTCCTCCTTTCGGAAAGTTTTGCAATGTAAGTCCAAAATTTGAAAACAGACCCGAGTTTTGTATTTAAAAGTTGTAGTGGTGGCACCAGGGGAGGGCTACAGCCCTTCTGTCAGAAGCATCTACCCCCCCCCCCTTGGAGGAAATTTTCGGTTATTGTCGGAGAAAATTTGACAAAATAACGTACAAGAACTGCATATTTTAGTCATTTTACCCCCCTGTCGGAAGCTCCAACCCCTCTGTCGGAAGATTTCTGGCTCCACTTCTGGGTGTAATCTGGGTAAGTAATGGCTATCAGGTTGAACTCAGACACTTAAAAAAATGACCAAATTTACAACTTTCATGGACAAGAAAAGCTAGTAAACTGGACTGTAAAGAAGCTCGAAGCTGTAAAATACCAACTAGATTGTCAGGTGTCAAAGTGTTTGAAATAATCATTCGTCTCAGTTTTTTGTTCACTGGCTCCTAACCTTTTTGTACTGTCCGCTAATTGGAAAGAAAAAAATCAAATTGACTATTTTGTACAAAAATATTGTCCGTTAATTAGAGTGTCCGCTGATTAAGTATCTGGGTTTTAGAACATTCTTTATGAGATTTTGACCAGAAAACGACCGGAGGAAAAAATTTGTCCGCTAATCAGAGGTGTCCGCCTTTTAGAGTGTCCGTTAATTGAAGAGAATACTGTAGATTGTTTTGAACCCTAACATCCCAACCTAAAAATTTAACGGCCAGGACTAGAAACAAATACTGAAATTTACACTCAATTAGATTTTAGCATTTTTTAAAAAGGAAGAAGAAGATAGCAAAAAATCACGCGGAAAAGTTTCATAAAAACAATCTTGCTATGAAATTGTACATAATAACTTTTAACTGGCGTTATCACATTGGGTAGCTGTTAGAATCTAAATCTAATATCTTTCGTATTAATATGCGTGCCATAAACTGCGGTCTTTTCATATTACTTGAGCATAAAGAACCAAATTCTGCAGCTTCAAGCTAAATATCATGGTTTTATCTAATATTAGCTAATGCATCAAATTGGCATAAAAGACATCATCGTTACTGGCCTTTTTCATATCAGTACCAAGAAGGAGAGCATATCTTTTAGAGCTGATAGAACATTTTATCCACAAAATCTCGAGGCTACCAGAGTTCATTTCAAAATTTCTTGGGGCGTTGATGAACCCAGCTTACTAAAATTAATCAATTTATTACCTAAATGAGCATCATGTTAATTATTTCAATTCGCTTTGATTAGTTTCCTTTTTTGGCGCAGCCTATGTTTATAAATCATAGAAATATATTGGCACTGTATTGTATTGTATTGTATTGTGTTGTATTGTATTGTGCTAACATATGTATGGTAGTTTCTTTTGAGTTAGCAAGTAATTCTTTTGTAGTTTTTTGAGTTGTCATGTTTAATTTTAGAGATTTCAAAGTGCAAAAACTTTACCCCTTTAACTTCAGGGCTTTATTTAGAGTATCTAACAATTAAATTTTCATGTAGATTGCAGACACCAGGAAACAAATTTATAGTAAAGGAGTTACGATGCATTCTAACGCTAAGTATGGCATGTCGTAAAGCCAATTCCAACATAATATCTTTTAATATTCACACCGATTTCCTTCACCGAAAGGAAAACACTGGCTTTTTATCATACTAAAGGGTAAAGACGTTGTATACTAATGATAATATTTTACATGTAATGCAATCCAGACATTTATAAAACAGTTTTCAAACTTGCATTTCAATTCTTCCAGCTAGCCTTTTTCCCACTTTGCAGGCAATCGCCGAATTTTTTCCATATATGTCATTCTGAGTACAGTTTTTTTAATTTACTATGATCACTTTTCATTCCATCACAATGCCTCTCATATAACCAAAGACTTTTTCTTTTAATGAGTTTAGAGGAAGTATTTCGCTGAATGCAAGAAAGATGACATTAACTACAGTGATGCCTTCATTGTTCCTATTTCATGAATTCAAAATTTTCATCAATTTCTGAATATTTATCTAAATGTAGAAATATGAAGCACAAGCTTTTGTAAGAAAGCTGAAAGTAATCCACTTTGCAAATCGTTTGCCATAAAATTGACCTCTTTGAAATACAGCAGTTTAAAAAGCTCTTTCATTGTTAATTGAATTAATGACGTTCTTAAATATGGTCAATTCATATAATCAATCTTTACTAGCAGTGGCGGACTGGCAACCATTTGACCCACCGGGAAAAGCAGCCAAAAGGACGCCAATATGTGCTAAAGTCACAAAACTTTAGGGCTTGTGAAACGGGCTCGGAAAAACTTTGCTTTAGCTGAGAATCAGTTTGTTGCAAGCATTGTCACAGGAAAGGAAACGGGGGATTGGGGGATGGCCCTCGGAAAATTTTTTGAAAGCACCCTATTTAGAATGTCGGAACATGCCCCATGTTGAAAATCAAAGTTTTTTATTCACAATTGGCATTGGCATGAGAAGATTCTCAGTCAAATTGACTTTATTTTAAACGTCTACATGGCTGACAAAAGTTGTAGGTACCAAATGATGTATTGCCCTCAATTTTAGGTATCAAATGATGATTTTTCAGCTAGCGAGACACTATCTTCCAAGATTTTACAAAGAAAGCAACTTCTCTAGCCTAGGAGACGAGATTCTTTTCGATTAAAATCGATCTCGAAATCTTTAGAAATTTGACGAAATACATGATTTCATTCTCATAAATTTTCGAAAGTTTTGCAGCATATCTTTGAAAAAATTAAAGGGGTGCCTCAGCACCTGCTAGCCTAATGACTGTGTTGCTCCTGCCTTACCCTGGGTACCAGACTCACTATATATAGTGAGTCTGGTACCCAGGGTACTCCTGCCTCTACGCTAGAGTTACGCTAGATATGATGCCAGTGCATCAGCGTGCGGAATTATTATCAGTTATCGAACACATGCTTAAAACTATAGACCGAAAAGTATCTGATAACATATCTTGGACAAATTGATTTTTTAGAGTACCTGCTGCCGTCCGTTTTGCGCAAATTGATGATTTTGCAGATTGAAGACTCCTTCTGTATGAGAGACTGTGCATAGACATGGTAAAAAGGATAAAGAATTTCTTAAGAAAAGGCACAGTCTCTATTCCGGAACAAACGTTTGAAGGAAGATTGGAATATTTTAATAGATGGTTGTAAATTTGAAACCAGTTTTTTTCAAAACAGCCGGTTTAACTTTCCATTAAGTTTTAAAGAAGGTTCGTACATGAGGGCATGAATTCTCAAAAAATTCCGTATAAAGTTTTTTAAAAAGTTGTCAAGATTTTTGGCTCCAATAAGTCATAATTTCTTTTAGGCACAAAATTTCTGGTTGTAACGTACAAAAAGCATGATGCCTATGAGTTTTTAGTTGAATTGCAAAATAAAATAGCTTGCCGCCATTAGGACGTTCAGAAAGTATTGTCCTCTATCGTACCTAGAACAGTTTTCACTATTAAGGGATAGTTTATGGCTCAACCCATCTTTGATTACATAATATGTGAACGTTTCCATACCCAATAGCCAACAGATCGATAATTTTATCCAGGTATAACTATTTTGATTGGAAAGAGTACAGGGTAGTGCTCAATTATCCTTCCAAAGTGCGAGCCCTCAATTATTGGATATCAGGCACTAGGAATAGTTTGCTTTAGCCATAAGTCAGAAAACTAATATGGTTAGTCATAAGTCATGGGTTTAACAAAATTATTAGTCACCAATAGATATCAAATTAATTCAAATATAGCGTACTTGCTTGAAAAATTTAAAAGCTAATGAGGGCTGGAAGTGAGAGTAGGCTTTCTGGCTGCTACACATGAACAATTTTTTAGCGCTACTCAATTTGGAAATGGCTTTGAAAAAAGCAAACATTTGTTAACATACTAAAAGCCTGTTCGTCTAAACCTCTTCAGAGTATAAAACATCAGAATAAGGGTCAGAAAGAACAAGATGGAGAGTAAATACCAATTTCTGGATCGAATTTTCCATCATGTTCTTTTGGACCCTTATTCTGACTATTCTGAGGTTATATGCTCTCGGAAGTTTCATACGAAAAAGATTTGAGTATGTTAAAAATTTTTGCTTTTTTTAAAGCCATTTTCAAATATAATATGTTCTTTTCAAGGTTTTCAAAAAATCTTACAGAATTTGCTGATCAAAATTTCGTCTTCAATTAATTTTACAATAACAAAGATAATTGACTTAACAATTAATCTTAATTTTGCTCAACTTTTTATGGAAACGTACTTTAGACAGGAGATCAATTGATGATTGTAATCAATTTTAGTTTTATTCGAGGATTCGTTGCCTTTTGAAGGTTTCTAAGTTTTTGAAAAAAATAACTTGGGGCGAAGGGCGCACCGGGAAATTTCCCGGTGTCCCGATGGGCCAGTCCGCTTCTGTTTACTAGAGAACTCACTATTTTCTTCGTGAAAAAATCTTGTTTTCTTTTTGTCGCATAGGGTCTGCTGAAGAAATTTTTAAAAAACTGATCAGCATCCCTTTCGAATGAGCACACTCTAAAATGTTAAAAAATTCAATGAGCATTCCAGGCTCTCATTAAAGGACTTGCAGTTGATCTACAATGAAATTATTCAGCAATAACGAAATTAACAAAAAGCAGTATGTTTCCAAGTAATTAAATGAGAGACTACGAAGGAGCTTCATTTTTCATGAAATTTACATGAATTCCAGAGATCAATTCCTCCTATCCCGTCATGCGCCTCTTTCCCGCCCCAAAACAGACAAATAGTCAGTCGGATTTATTCCAATTACACGAGATTTGGTAGCTGCCAATAACTCGTATAAATCTGCCGTGAAAACATGAAAATTACGAAAAGTCAGGCTTGTCAGATTCTTGGAGTTCCTGATGGTAAGATAGTTACGATGAATTATAAATTTGATTGTAATATCCGCAGCGCTGCTTCGTCACCTGGCGAAGAAATCTGGCTCGGCCTACCTACTTAGGTAAAATGACATGAGGCAGGCCCGCAATGCAAACCCCTGAACCTGTAGCTTCCTTGTATTCCTTATCATTTATGATCATTTTGAATAAACCATTTGCAAAATAAGCTTGATTGTGTGCATATGAGGTATTAAGCATATTTTATGTGTGAATTTTAGACATGATATCATTTTTCAGATCTCGTTGTAAATGGTGGAACAACTCAGAAATCAAAGTTATAATATTTTCACACAAGGAAATGAATTATATACAATCCAATTTACTGAATATAGCGAAAAGTCATGCAGCACAGAAGGCTCAGTGACTAAATGAGATACCCATGAGATATAAAAAACAGTAAATTGCGTAACGGAAATGTAGTTCCTTATCATGTTGTTTATTAAAAGGATCAAGTCATTAGTTTGGATTGTTGAGCGGACCATGTTAGAATTAGAGAAGAAATTTGCATGCCTTTCGTTTTCAAACTTAACCTGAAAGAAAAGTAACCTTTTCAGTCATTTCATCATATTTGCCTTCCTGCATTGCTTCAATGCTACTGATAAATTTGCAGTGTCTGATTGCTTGTTGGGTCAGGAAAATTAGCTATGTGCTTCTAGGTTATGTGCTTCAAACTACCAGTTATGGTTGAGAAACTGCACACAAGCTTTGACTGGGTTTGACAGAATAGATCATATTACTAGGTTTCGCTGGGTTTTAAAGTTACAAAGATATATTAATATGTATAAAGATATAATAGATATATATATATATTGCCTTATGATTACATATATATATATGGTTAAAGTGGCTTTGATAAAGGCTTAAAGCTGAAACAGAATACATAAAAACTGCCTTGGCGCTGGTGAAATCTCCAGTGCTGGCTTTGGAGATTCCTCGCTCATTTCATTGGGCGGTTTGGCTCAGTAGAATAAGTTCGGTTCCAACCAAGAGTGGGTTGATACAATTGGGCAGCACCCTTGTGGAAAGAATTTTCCCCTTGTCAGCCTTTGCTTTATGATTACATATAAATATATATATATGTAATCATGTTGATGAAATCATGATTCTCATGATTTCACGCGAGATGCAAAATTCATCATAATTGAGCAATTAAGAACAATACCATTCGAAAAAGAAATTTTAAGAATACACCTTGAAAAAGAGAGGATTCCTGAATGCAAAAACTTAAAACCCTAACCCCACTTGGCCTTAACCAAATAATCAATCATCATTTTCAAAACTTTGAAAAATAAATATATACCCCTTTTATACCCTGTTTTATCATTCATTCATTTTCAATTTGATTGTCTCCTTCCCAGGGTATGGGTTTAGAATATCTATCATTGTATTAATCAAACATCACATATATCAAGTAATAAATAAAAAACATAAATCAAAAGTGTAACTCAATGGGAGGGTTAGAAGAAAGTACAGGAGAAGTTGCTGCTAAAGTAGGTGGCAATGCAAGTCTCATGGGGGCTCAAATAATATGTATATATAGCAGAAAAGAACACCTGTTTAAGAAGAATAATAGATACGCAAAGAAGGTAAAAAAAAACATGTGCTAGTGGAAGGAGAAAAAGAAAAAAAATAAATAATAAAATGCAAAGAAATAGCCTAAGATCTATGTATCAACATGCTTAGTGTTTAAGCCCTTAGGAGAAAAACTGTCTAGCTTATACTGCCAGAAACTTTCTTGCATCCTATTTCCCCCAGTAAGCCTATCAATTATACTAACCCTTATATCCTGTAGAAACCCTTGGTGGCCTTCTCTAAAAAAGTGCCTGAAAAATTCCATCTGAGGTACTGAGGATCCCTGACTAAACTAACGATTACATGCCTTTTAGTTATTGAACCTCAATCTAAAGGGAGTGTTAGTGCTACAAACATACTGCACACCACAAACATTGCACTCTAACAAATACACCACATTAGACTAACTATTAATTTCTCCAACTCTGTGTTAAATACACACGCATATATATATTTAACATAGAGTTTAAGAAAATAAAACTACATGTTTTATCTCTACAAGCCTGTTTTGTGAATAACTCACTCTTCAGGAGATGTTGATACACTCAAATATTCCTTGTATAAATACATAAGTCGGTACAGAAGATGTTACATAATGTGTGAGGCTATAGAAAAGGTGAAATAGAGGCAGTACATAAAAAAGGTTTTTGTGTTACATGATAATGTTTTGTTTCTATGGTGGCAAGAAGATACGAGTTTGTTGCATTTGTTGAGGGTTGATAATTCGGGGTAGCAGATAATGAGGATCTTTTCTTTAAGGCAGGAGCTGCATCTTTTGCTCGAATTGTTGTAAGATGACTTTGTTGAGAAAATGCACCAGGAAATGGAGTGGTTGATGTTGTTGTCTTTTAGAGTCCAGAAGTATTTGGGGGGAGTTCTGTGGAGTTTCTGTGTATTGTGTGATGGAATGATGCTATGTGATTTCTGTTTCTTGTCTTGAATTCGTTTTCTGTAAGTCCTATGTATGTTTCTGTAGTGTTGTTGTCTCAGTGGCTTGGTAAATGACAGATGATTGTAGACAGTTTCACAGTTCATGTAGGATTGTATTATGGTATATATATATATATGCCTACTAAATAAATATGCATTGTTATATGGCTCTGACAAATGCTTAAAAAGCTGAAACAGAAGAGATGACTGCCTTGGCTACGGTGAAATCTTTAGGATTGGCTTCAGAGGTGACCAATCATTTCATTAGGCTGTTTGGCTCAGTGCAATGATCATAGCTTTTGATGCAGGAACTGGAGTTTGATTTCCATCAGGTGCAGTAATTTTACAATCGGGCAGCACCCTTGTGGAAATAATTTCCCTCTGTCAGCCTTTGCCTACTGAATATATCGGGCCTTTTCGTTAAAAAAAGGCCATGCGAGTGGCCCAGCGCTTGCATGATTTTTCTTGCACAAACGATCACTCTAAAAATATTAAAAATAATAATGAACAATGCTAAAACTCTCTGTAGCGTTTATAAAAACTGTGTGATCCTCTTATATGGTATATTTGTGTAGGTATTATCAAATAAAAAGCAAACAGTTATAATGACCCTTAATGCACTCCAAGAATGATTAAATACCAAATACGAATGTGCTTCGTTTATAAACTTTATGCATACATCCATCATATAGACATTATTGCTGGATGATCGCAAAATGTTGTTCCATACCTTTTTAAAAACGCTTTTACTGCCCAGCAGAAAATGTTCTAAGTGCTATTGTAGTTCAAATACCAAGTAAATACTTAAAGTATTCCTAAACATTCACTGTGGAATTAATTTTTTAAATGCATTTTTTTGTTGAGATTTGATTAAGTCAGCTTACTTATATTTCCTTTGTTTTGATATATTGGCTTTGTATTATCTTTTTGGGTCAAAAGAGGACAGAAATGTGTTAATTGCTGAGACATTTATTCCCCACAATTAAACGCTCGTCTGGTTGGGTTTGTGTGAGTGCTGACACGATTGTGAGTGATTGATCGTGTCAAACGAAAAGGTCTGATAAATATACATGCTTATATGGCTCTGACAATTGCTTAGAGAGCGGCTTCGAAAGTCAATGATCATTTCCTTGGCTTGCTTGGCCCAGTGGAATGATCGTTGCTTTAGATGCCTGTAACTGAAATTTTTTTCCAACCAATTACCATCAGGTAGCACCCTTGTAAAAAATTATTCCACTTTCTTGGCCTGTCTTGCCTTGCCTTGGCCTGCTAAAAATGTACATGGTTTGTGTTACAACAGCTAGGTGATCATGTCCCTGGATGCATCAGAAATCTTAATTGGCTGGAGGTGTGAAATAGGGGTCACAATATGTATAAATGTTAGTAGTTTGGTGATGGGAAGTTTTTTGATGTCAGATTTAAAAAACAGGTTTGATCTGTTGTGAAATATGGTATTCTTGTTAGAATTAGTGGTGATAAATTAGACTAAGTTATGGTATCGCTTACTCATTGGATTTATAATTTTTTGCTAATAGGTGTATCTCTGGGTTTCCTATAAGGGGTTTTCCATGTACGAGGCAGCTCCGTCTTTTTGTACATTCATTTTTGTGGAGCACATTTTCATTATTCATTGCAGACATTTTTTTGGCTAGTCTTGGGTCAGTGTTTCTCATTCATAGGAGAGGCTAAGTTTGAATTATTTTCTTTCATGTTTAAGGAAGTGGGAAGCTCAATGAATTTCAAGGATTTAGTGAGCAAAATATTGCTGTTTTTGTTTCAAAGAGTAACTTATTATGTTGTTCAAATATGATCCCCCATTAAGATTCCACTCTTGATAAGACTTTGTATACCCTTAGCCAGAATATGTGTTTTGAGCATGTAGGATTAGTACCTCTTAATTTTTTAGCTCTCCAAAAGGCTGCCTTTTACAGTGCACCATAAAGTGCAGGCCTCGCAGTTAAGATTTTAGCAGGCGCCTTGCTGATTGCAGGCCTCAAAGCAACATTTTTCATGAAGGCCTGCAATTCATAACTTCCAGTTTAAATCACATGAGAAAGCAGTAATACCAGTACTACTGATGTTACTGTTTTTCCCTGTGATTTTTAAAAGCAAAAGTTAGGTTCTTGGTTAATCAAGCTCCTCCATTCAGTTTGGCACTTGATAAAGCTCCTAGAAATTATTTTTGTCTTCTGATCATATTTTCTTAAATGTGCACAATCAACATTTGTAACAAATAGCCTGCAAAATCAAATGAAAAAGAACTGTTACGATGATCTGTAATGCACTCCAAGAAAGACTAAATCCCCTTTATAAGTGTGCTATGTTTATAAACTTTATGTACATCACAAAGGCCATAAAGACATTATTGCCAGATGATTGCAAAATGTTGTTCCATACCTTTTTTAAAAACGCTTTTACTGCCCAGCAGAAAATGTTCTAAGTGCTATTGTAGTTCAAATACCAAGTACCTAAAATATTCCTAAATATTCACTCTGGAGTTGATTTTCAAATGCATTTTTTCGTTGAGATGAGGTTAAGTCAGCTTACCTATATTTCCTGTGTTTTGATATACCAGCTTTGTATTGCCTATGTCACTTGCTTGGGTCACAAATGATGACTAGAAATGTATTAATTGCTGTGACATTTATTCCTCACAATTTACCGTTTTGCCCAAGTGATTAAATGCTCGCATGGTTGGGTTTGCACAAGTGCTGACACCATCGTGGGAGATTGCTCAGGTTAAACAAAAGGCCTGTTTGTGGTACCAAAGTATTATGTAGCTTTTGTCTTTCAATTTTATAGACACCCACAAAAGAAACTTCTAATATTTTGATCCCAACATAAATTCCTAACAATAATGCACTGAACAAGCATACAATTATTGCCAAAAGTACTTGGAACTTCAAGCAATTTGCATTGTGTTTTTATATTTTTCAATTCTTTTCCTGGATACTCCTATTTCCCCACCCCCTTCCCCCTGAAACAATGTTGATAGTGCAAAAGAAAGTGCTTCCTAAAATCCTAACCTGTTTCATAGTAAACCAACATTGTTCCATGGGAAAGAAAGGGATGATTGATTTTGACCTTGGAAACTGACGTCAGTGTTCCAAGACTTTTGGCAGGGACTGTAGCTAGACTATTAACACATTTTTAATCTAAAAATTTTCCTGTAATGATCACTGTGGCAATGCAGATTTAGAGTGGTTCTTTCATCACGCTCAACCAGCATAGAAATTTTTCTGTTAAACATGCATATCGTGTCATGCCATTCCCTCAGTCCCAATATTGTAATTTGAAGATGATTCCCAGGGCAACAAGACAAAGTTTCTGATAAAAAAGTAACCTTCACAAAACACAAATGGCCAAGTGCGTGATGTTGCTACTTTTTGAAAAGCAGATGTGTGACAATCTCATCTAGGTGCCGGCATGCAATCACACGCCGCAAACTGAGAGGTCTGATAGTGGTATAATGTTTATCTAATTTGTATTAATTTTTTGCTGTTGTTAGTTGGCATCAATGTTTTTGGTTTGTAGCTCTTATGAAAGGCCGACAGTTTTCAGCTTTAAAGAAATGAGCAAATTTTCACTTAAAGTTATTTGAAATTCAAATATTCAATTTAGTCCCATCTTCACATAATCACTTGGTGCTTCTGGAAGTTTTCAATTTGCTGTGTATTTTGTGTAACAATTACCTAAAATTTATGAGTGCATTTAACCCATTTTATTTAAATTTGTATATTTTAATTTCTACTCACTTAAAAGGTCATTACAGTAATCATTTTAGCAAGGCTGGCTGTTTATACTTTTTAAACTTTAGGACCACAGCTACCATTTCACAGTCCATGTAGGATTGTAATGTAGTAAAAAAGATAGAAAGGCATTTCAGAGTCTGTAAACATAAAACCAAAGACAATTATGGTTCTCATACAGAAAACGATCAGTTCCTGTATGTGAACCACAATTGTCTGTTGTGGTTCACATACAGAAACTGATCATTTTCTGTGTGATTTCGTACAATTAGTATAATACATACTTTGTCCGTATTCATTGGCCAACTAAAGCTATATCTGGATCTATGTAATTAAGCTATATTAGTAATGATAACCCTCTTCCACGCCATGAGAAATGCATATATACTCCAAGGGTTTCTGAGATGAATCACAGAACATTGCCCACAAGGTCTATAATTGTTGCCAAAACTCTCAAGATTGCATTGCAGATTTGGGTCCTTTCTTTTCAAACATGATCCTTCTCCCCTTTGTCAATGTTGAGGTGACTGGATGGGCTGAAATAGAATGCAGGGAAATTTAGCTCTCATATAATGCCAACATGAAATAGGGGGAAGAGAGTTTGCTGTCCCCATTTTTTCATTTTAATGTCAAGGACTTTTCACTTTGATTGTAGTATTGAAAACATGGTCTTACATAGTTATCAGTCTCAAATGATACTTGGTCTCACATTTTCAGTTTTCAATCATGTAACATGTTTATCAGTCCAAGAGAATGAAAATATGTTAAAGACTATGAATAGGCAACAACTAACAATACAGCTCAATTGTAGTATTCTACATTTTATGCAATCGTATTCATGAATACAGATGCATTCATATTAATTTTTGAAGTAATTTCTAGATGACTAGTCTGCCAACACTAAAGCTTTATAAAATCCTTGAATATTGTTTCAAAATACTTCATTGATTCACCTAAATTAAACCCTACAAACCTTGATTTTCTGATTAGAAGGTTTAATTTTTCTTAACAGGGTCATTAAAGCATTTTTGTCATTCTTACCTTCATTAAAAATTATCGTCATAGCTTTGTCACAAATCTAGTGATTTAGAGAATATTATATATGAAACATTTTTCTTTATCTTAATAGGCGCTACTCTTGATGAGATCAGGTCTAGCTACAAGCATCTTGCTAGAAAATGGCATCCAGATAAACAAGATGGAAGCATCGGCAGTGAAGAAGCAACCAGGGTATGACCTTTACTAAATCATTTGTTTCCATACTAAATCCATATTGTTGCATAAACATTCAAGTGCACTTTGGGCAGTTTTTGTCTTCAACCATTTGTTTGATATCCGCAAAGATACAAAGTTTTCTTTAATTTGGAACTTAGAATATTTCTGTAAAATAGGATGTTTGGATATAACAGATGTAATGGAAAGAATGGATGTGAAAGTCATCCAATTTAGCATTCCTCGTTTGTTGGCTTTTTGGCTAGGGCGCCTTTATAATGTGAAAATCCATTTTAGTGCCCCTGATAATTGATCGGCAGGAGGGGCAATTGCCCCCCTTGTCCCCCCTGCCAACATGGCACTGAAACCAATGTTTTCTTTCCGTAACTAACTTTCTTAACCCAGTGAACATATGGCAAAATAGAGAATGACTGGCTTCCATCTATTTGAAAATAATACTCATTCAATGTATATTTTTTCATTTGTACAGTCTTTAGCCAGGACTTGTATCTCCTTTGTCTTGATCTTTTTCCACTTCCCTCATAAATCCCATTTTTCCAAGGGCTGTCTCTTCATCTCTTCTCATCGTTCTCAAACCAACATCTTTATATTCCCTTTCTGCTGCTGATTAATTTAATTGAATCTCCGTGGGTAAAAAGGGATAGCAGTTTACAAACTTCTCTCTCTTAGTTAAGTTGAAGCAATTTTTAAACGCAACCTTAAAAAATTCATCTCTTAAAAATCACCTCTTTTAAATAGTTGAATATTGTTGATCATTTGTAGTGGAAAGTTATTTCAGATTTATATCGAATACGCAAGGAAGACTTAATTTTGCACCAATAATAATTGAGTAATTTAAACCAATAATATAACAAGCCGATATATAAAAAATATAATTTTAAAACTATGTATTTGTGTACCAAAAAACTGAAATTAGCAATGAAATAAAGGAAATCTGTAGTTGATATTTTGTCTTCATTATTTCAAAAAAGTGAATGAAGAAACACTGCCTTGATTTTTTTGTTCTAAACAAAATAAAAAATTCTAACATAGCCTAGTTTCCTGAGTGTTAAAACATTTGCATCTCTTGCATTTGACAGCAGAGGTTTGTTTTCCGTTCTGATATTGCAAAGCTAGCACGTGCTGGATAAACTCGTGTGATTGATGTCAAACGACCATTGAAGGCAAACTATCTTTTATTAATCTTCATAAAATTATAAATGAAAAATCAATTCGCTGCCTCGAAAAACAATTATTGGAGGAAATGATTTTCTTTTCTGCAAAAAATGAATTGAAAGAAAATAGCCATCCGCTACCCTAGAAAAAAATAAATTGAAAAACAGTTTGCCATTCTGCAATATATTTCGCCATTAACAGATTTAATAGGTGTTTACATACTGAAAGCACTGTATGCCTGGGCGAGATATTAGTATTCCTTTTGTTTAATTTATCTCGAAAATTTGTCTAATTACATTGGATTCTCGTCATCGTATTGCTTTGTTCCCGATATCTTTCGTATTGATACTCGTTGCAAGATTCACAGAATCCGGTGGACAGCATATCCTGCAGTTTTTCCTTCTTACACAGTTTAGATACGGACTTAGGAGAATTCTAGCTTGGGCATTTTGCCAATTTATTTCATTTTTTTAATTGATCCTCTGCACTGCAAAGAGGATTTCTGCCATCTCCGTAACTACCTTCAAAATGACCAGTGTCCCTATGGGAACAGCAGCGGTTTTAGGGACTGCGGGGTCCGGGGCCAAAAACATCTACGGGGCCCATGTTCTTCACAATTTCTATCGTTTTTCTTAGGTGTGGGCCGCTTTTGGTTACCATAATCGCGGGGCCCGGGGCCATGGCCTCCCTGGTCCCTCCATAAAACCGCCACTGCATATAAATAAAAGCTTATAAGAGCAGTGACCAAATGCATTACATGCTACACTTCAGCAAAAAGTTTTATTCGACAGTATCTAAGGAGAATGGTGCATTTATTTACAAAGCTAATGATTCTTATTGTGTTGACGTACTTGATTTTTTAATACAAGTGAAATTGGATAGTCCGCCAGTGTAAAATGCCTCAGATAGTAAGCTTCAATCTTTGCATCAGCTGTTATATATTTTGCTACAAGATAAGGCAAGGTATTGTCAAATGGTGTGATTTGTATCGTTTTAACGTTATGTATGTTATTTTTCTTGGCCTGCATAAATATTGCCAACAAAGCTGTTAGAGACTGCATTTTGAGATTTTCTTGCTAGTGACTTTGTAGAGTTTTGGTAAAAGCAGCTTTCATAATTGAAATTTTTTGGGGCTCTTTTCTCGTTCGTTCAAGTTTGAAACGCTTATGATAATGCTGGAGCTTGATGTCTTTATTTGATGCAAAATACCTTACTTCAGAAATCCCCTTAAATTCTACAGGAAATCGTAAGGGTCTTGAAGATGGCGAACGTTTTTGGAATAGCTGAGTTAATTGAAATACATTTTAAATTTACAAATCATTTGATCGCATTTCCGGTTTAGGTTTACAGCCAAAATCAATTTCTGTTCAATTATATTTGACTTATTAAACCTAACTTTTGAAATGACCTGAATATTTCTTGATTAGTTTCTTTTGTTTCTGACAAGTTTTATTTCTCCTAGAAATTCCAAGAAGTATCTGCTGCATATAAAAAGCTTACAAGCAATGAGAAAGATTTTGATGAAGACAGAATGACTTTGGTAAGGAAAAATTCCGCCTTTCTATGTTTCCAATGTCTTTCGATTCGTCTCAAAATTCTAGCCTGTTTATCTCTTAAAGTTGGCTTTAAAGTTTGATCATGTGACTTAATGCCTTTTCTGTCAGTATATTATTATACTAACAGGAAAGAATAGTTCTTGAGAAAAGGTATGCGTCTCAAAATGCCCATATAGAATTGAATGCTCTGTATGTTATAGTAAAGAGAATGTCTGGGCGCGATTCCCAGTACCAGCCAGAGTTGAACTGACCTTGCTGATGTTATATCATATTGTAGGTCGTAAGCGATAATGCCTACTGTTGTTCTCCATAGTCTTTTTAGTGTGTAGTTACATTCTTTAGGATAATCTTTAGACATGACATGTGTTTGTTAATATATAAGAAGAATAGATTGTTTACTAACAACTTTCAACGTTTGCCTGATAATCGCATTCAGCGTGGAACACGGAGTTGCAATTTAGAATCGTCATATTCTATACAGAATTGCCTGTTCAAACCACCTTGTGTGTGATATTCCCTTGTCAATTTCAAATTGTTGTTTTGACTAAGGGCAATAGATATGTTCTCATGGTCCATACGAACGCAGCATTGCAAATCCAAGGCTATTATAAGATCTGAAAAGGTGGTTTTTAGTTAGTTATTGCCAGTAGCTATTAGTGTGAATTGTTTTTTATTCTTGTTTTTAGTCAGAGATGATGGAGTTGTATAGACAGTTCTTCTCGTATGGAAACCGTAAGTTTGTGGTTTGTTTCTGTACTGTACTGCACGGTTTATGTTGTTTGGTGCCCTATGTTATTCGATCATTGGCATTCAATTGAGGATTTATATTACCTTTTTTAAAGTAGTCAGTTAACTGTAAGAAAGACGAAGGTATATCAAAGTATACCGTGGCCACAGAATAGGAATTAGGCAGAAGGGGAACTCCTGCCTGCCTATCAGGTGAAGCCTGAAAAAACTTGCGCATGCGTTAACTTTTACGAGGCTTAGCATGTATCTGTCGGGGAAATTTTCAAAAAGAATGAAAGTGGACAACCTTTTTTGAGACGAAATGCCCCATGATACTGATCAAATTCAATGTTGTACCATAATTCGTTTATATCTGATTAGTGAATGATAATTTGTCATGGCTAAGTTCGTCTAATGAAATCGAGGTTAAAGGGGAATTAAGGAAGTCTATTGTTGACTCAGGCTTCAAAAACAACAAAGGAACCGACAAGAGTTACCCTTCTGCATATTTCCTATTCTGTGCCGTGGCTGTATTAACCAAATTTACCACGCCCATTTCCACACTTAAAATGAAATCCTGAAATGGACAATATGAGAGTCTATACTCCTAACAGGCTTATCCTATGTATGACCTTGTTAATAATTAGAGAGAAAAAGCTCCCCTTTTATTTTCAAAGAAGTTATCTACAGTTTAAATTAAACACTGGGAGTCAGAACGTGCAAACTAGATATGTCGAAATTTGATTTTTACTATTTGCAACTGTTCTGTATGCAAGATCGTAATCAGACCCTATGTAGCCGAGAATTTCTGATGATATGCCCTTTTTCTCGTTCTGCCACACAATATCATGCAGATAGTAGATTGCTTTTTTGTGAAGCTGATTTGAATTTTCTGTAAAGATGGATTCTACACTTCCGAGGGCAACCCATTGGCTTTCGGCCCTTTATAATAAGATATGAGATATCGTGTTCAAATGTACGTCACGAACTGCTATCCACATTTTTCAGCTGGTCAAAAAGTCTATATCACACCGGGAACTCACTTCTCAAGGAGCAATAAAGCTCAACAGGGTCACTATCTAAATTGGTCTCGAAATGTTCTCCTTGCTGGATCTTAGATTTTTTACGTTCTTTTCGCAAGATCCTCATTAACTTTGCTAGATATCAACGTCATTAGAACATAAGAGATTCTGTCCTCTCTTAATGATGTTGAATGAAGACAAATGTCACGTAATAATTTTTGGAGATAAACGTAATGATCTCTGTAGCATCATGAAGGTGACCATAAAAGAGGGACTGCAAAAAATGTTGCTTGGAATGAATCTAGACAAAATTAAGATTAAAACAGCAAGTAGGGTTCATTTGCAAAAATGCTGGTCAAAGGCTACATGCTCTTTCAAGAATGTCTCACTTTTTTGATACTGAACGTCTTAATACTCTTCCAGTTTAAATTCTGTCCGCTTGTTTAATGATTTCTGCGATAAAACGCTGAACAGCAAAGTTAATCACATTCACGAACAGTTATTGCAGTTAATTTATAAAGACATACGACCAGATTTTGATACAGTTTTCCTTAGAGACTTTGCAGTCCCAATTCACATTACGATTTTACAGTTGTCTTCACTGAAATATTGGAAAAATATTTGACAAGGAAATAAGAAATATTGTACATATTCGAAATACTCTTAAACATTTTATAACATCTATATTTGTATTAAATTTTCGCCTATTTTTCTGTATTAGATATGTGGAAACCACATTATTTGTTCTATTTTTAGACAATTTTAATTGAATTAGCTTTATTATGTAGCTATTGACGCATATGCCTACTAAAGAATGATAATAATAATAATAAATTTCTGAATGTTGATATGTTAGTTTTTACCTATGTTGCGTTTCTGAAACATATTTGTATCGCTGAAGCCAAATTTTTCGTTGCAGAGATGGGCCAGTGTAATTGTCCCCACCATCACCACCCAATGTACAGGTTTAACGAGGAAATGTCTGATTATGATGATTATGATTACACCGATGATGACGACAGCGATGAAGAATTCTGGGAAAGTATCGCAAGTCGCCTTCGCAGTAAATACGAAGCAAGGAAGTTTATGCCAAAAGGTAATCATCCAAACAAATGCAGTTTTGACAATACATGGCCTGCTATTTCACTCCTGCTTGATACTTGTAATGGCAGTTAGATTATATGAATTGCTGTAACTGTAGAGCTATGGATACTTACTGTAGAAGAAATGTGCCAACAACTAACATACAGAGACCATTGCAATGATATTGTTGTTGTGGGATATTAGCCAACTATTTGTGAAGGTGGGGCCTTATATCCTTCTGAAAGCCCTTAAGATTTTTTTGTGGATTGGATTTTGAAACTTAGAGAAAGGAGGGATGAGTTTCTAAAAGGCTGCGTATGAGCAGAATCAGAAAAGGAAACGTATGAAAATTTGCCAAAGGGAAGGTTTTTGAAAACTTCATAAAAATATGCATCCTTGCTTTTCCCAAATGAAGCAACAGTTCTTGAATCATTTCTTAAAGTTAAATTTCCACTTGATAATAGCCAAAAATCGATATTTTTCTTTGCAAGCGTTCGCATTCCTTGGCCTAGTATGCATGATGATTAGTCTTCATAGAGTGACGACAACATGACATGGTATTGACTCGATATCAATAGATAAATGCCATACTATGTAAATCGGATGATAAGAATTTTGTCTTCCTTTCTCCTAGATTCAACAGACACCCCTCGTTCTGGAATCACCGAAGAGGTTAGCTTGTATTTCTAAAATTTGTGATACTTAACCACAGGGCCGTCGAGAGGCAGCTGGGGCCAAGGGGTGATTCACAAAACTGGACCCAATTAAGAACATTTCCTGTGGCCATGCCTTTCAGTCTCCCGGAGAACAAGGGAAACGCCCTTTTTAGGTACAATTGATGAAAACGTTTTTTAAGGATTTAACAAGATTGTGCAAAAGCACAATACATGAATCAAGGACATGTGGGTAAAGTTTTTCTTTGCGATAAACTTACAGGCGCTGATTCCGTATAAGTAGCTGAAATATGTATTTCATGTGTTGATTCCGTATAAGTAGTTGATTCCGTTAAACGTTAAAATATTCATTACGATGTTGGCTATGTCAAATGGTTTGCAGCTTCGACAAATTATGTTTTTGAATTTCATTTGAGGCTCTTCTAGTGATCTGATACGAGATATCGACCTATGAGTCCAAGTTCTCATGGTTCTTATTATTCCATAGCTTAGTTTTTGTTGATGGAGTCCCCAGCTGCAATCATAATGCAGATGTAAGTGCATTTTTTGCACATTACAGCTCTCGGCCGACCCTGCGTATAGCCCCCCCCCCCCGCCCCCCACCACGATGATCCTCAAAATGCCGTACTCTCAAGGCTGATGTTCAGATTTCCAATGATCGCATACATTTGTTGCATTAGCAATGCTATATCTGATATGAATTTTCAAGAAACGGTATCCTTCCTATTGGCAGGAAGATATTGTTCTATTTCTTTTATGTTTAGTCAAACTGATATTATGAAAACATGAGCAATTCATAAACAATATTTATTTGAAAATTGTTGTCGTTCCTTTTTTAGGGAAAATAATCTACCCATTCACATTTTGAAAACACACGCACAAAAGTATCTTGAGAAATGCGATTTCAAAAGATGGAAAGAAATTGTTGATAAACATAAATTCAACCAGCAACCATTCAGTTGACATACTTTTACTCTTTAGGAAGCTTTACGAAACGCACAAGAACTGATAGAAGAGGAAGAAATAGAAAAGCGACGAAAAGAAAAGAAAAAAGCCAAAAAGAAGGTTATAGTTGCTTTGTAAATTCATGAAATAATAACTATGAACGTAAGTGAACTGTACCAGGAATAAATGATAGATTTAATTAATAACAAACTTTCGAGCATAGCACGTTATCAAGCTATGCTCCCAGGGTGGGCCATCGGTCATTTACGGTATATTTTTAAAATACCCCAAGGTCATGGCCGTAGTCAATGTGACTATTTGTGCACACGCTAAAGCTAACATGTTAAGGGGCTATGCTCGGAACGTCGTTTTTCATTAAATCTAGTCTTTATTCCTGGTACAATATACTTACATTCGTAGTTATTATATCATTTTATTGTACCGCACGCAATCTAGTGTATTTTTATATTTACTCTCAAGTTCTAGAAAGGTCTAATAAGGAGGGGGGTTGGCATTTTTTTGAAAACTCGTAAAATGGGGGGTCATAATAGATTGGAATGCTTAGATTTTCCAAAATTATGTTTAAGTTGGGGGGTGTTTAAATAGGAATTTTGCATGAAAAACATAATAAGGGGGGAATAAATGGAAATGGGTATGCAAAATTTCTGAAAAATGGAGTTTACCCCCCCCCCCCTCTACAATTAGGAACTTGAGAATTAGCTGATCGAAGAATATTTAGAACTAATTTCAAAGTTGCAGTTATTTCCAACACAATTCTTCACGTCTTCACGAGAGCATATCTCAGCCATCTTAAAGAATCATTAAAAATTGCAAGAACATCATTACCTTTCGATGCCCACTATATAAAACCCTCAATTTAGACAGACATGCAGAGAATGGTTCTTAACGCTGCTGTCTATGTTTTAAAGTGTTTAGTTGTTTTTATATGTATCTTGTAGATTGAACGGGTTTATATCTTTAACTGTCTAAATGAGCATGGCTAGGTCTATCTTATGGGTTCAGTCTCGTGCCACTGATACTAATCTCCTTCTTTCACTCTCCAGAAGAAGAAGGAAAAGAAGAAGCAAAAAGAGAAGGAGAAAGACCAACCAGATGATATTCAAAAGAATGATATCAATACAGAAAAAGCGAATATGGTAAACTGTATTTTATTTGCAATTTAGAATGTTTAGATAGCCCCTTAAGTAGGCCAGTTGAGAGCCACAACGGGCGCGTAGGCGGCTCATGCACAACGGATCCTCTAGTATTAGATGCAGCAAAAGGATCTTAGTGGAGAAGTTGTGCAACTTGAGGCGAAGTGTGTAATTTTGGGGAATGAAAACAGATTAAATCAATCTATCAAATACGTTGATAGTTTTCTCTGTCTTACACAAAGTGCTGACCGCAGTCAAAATGGCGTAAGGTAAATTACAGGCCCCATTGCTGGTATTTGGCTGCAGGGGGTATCAAACCCTATGTGTATTATCTCGCTAGCTTATTGGTCTACGCCAGTGAAGAAAAGGAAAAATGCTCCAATACCTCCGTTCAAGGCAACCCCCCTTGCAGAAAGCAATAGCCCCGTAGAACAACGAGTCTCCTTACACTGTGCACGAATAACTTCTAATCTATATTAAACCTTATTGTGGTTTCCTTTTCTGTATTTAACCTTAATAAGACGGACGATCCACCTTACCATTTAGCTTTTGTCGCTAACTAGTTATTATCTTAACATTTAGAATGGACCAGATCTGATTGCCGAGGAGAAGAAAAAGAATGAGAATTCCCACATGCGTATACCAAATGGCTACCCGTCAACGTTGAAAAATGATGCAAAAAATAAACCATATACAAAAAATAATAAAAAGCATCATGAATACACAGAGCAAATACAAAAGCCCGTGCAAATAGTCCAAGAAGATATAAGACCATCTTTATCGAAGGAGATGAGGGAAGAAAAGGGAAGAATAGGAAAGGAAACAAAGTGAGTGAATTTTATTACAGCGAAAGATCAGAGGTTCTGTTGAGGGGTCAGTTGGACCGGTCCCCTTGCTAAATTCAAGGGAGATTTCAGGGCCCCTTAACAAATGAGCACATGTTTGGTTGGACGAATTTTGTGACGGCAATCTGTTTTATGCTACATAGATAGTCTTTGAATGAGCTACATAGACAGTTTGATTCAGTTCATATACAACAGAGAATCTTGAACAAAATATTGGGTGTGGTCACGCATGTGGCTTCTTTATATTGACTACAGCATAACCCTCCTCAGAACGGCACCCCTGATAATGAGAACCTCTAGATAGTGATCGAGGTGTCAACACAAGTTGTGCCTCTCCACCCCAGGGGTACCTGGTCCGTAGTTATGTGCGCCGTCGTTAGCTGCACCCTGCTATATGTTCAAAAGTATGGCGACCAGGGGGTATTGTGACAAGTCGTATGACCTTCGCACAGTCAGTTAATGAACACCTCCATATTAAGACACCGCTAGATAAGGGACACTGCTAGACAAGGGACATTGCTAGATAAGGGACACCGTAAGATGAGGGACACCGCTAGATAAGAGACACCGCTAGATAAGGGACACTGCTATACAAGGGACACTGCTAGACAAGGACACTGCTAGACAATGGTACTGCTAGACAAGGGACACCGCTAGAAAAGGGACACCGCTAGATAAGAGACACCGCTAGACAAGGGACACTGCTAGATAAGGGACACTGCTAGACAAGAACACTGCTAGACAATGGCACTGCTAGACAAGCGAAACCGCTAGAAAAGATTTAGAAAAAAATTTGATAGAAGAAATCAGAAAAGTTTTTGTTTATAATGAATTTTCCCTTCAACTTCTAGACCATCAAAGAACAAGAATGGATCTGACGAAGAGGTTTGTAGTTGTCGATGTCTTTTTGAAACGTTTCACACCCATTGAGGAATTCTTTACCTCTTATTCTATCAAAAAGGAATATATTTTTTTACTGTTCAGCAGAGTATAGCTAAGGGCGCATTTTCTCATTAAAATTGAATTTAGGCAACATTTTCGAATCTGTGAAAGCACGAGCTCGCGGAAGGCCATCTACTAAATTAGTTGTGAAGTTTTCAAAAGATGATATTTTCAATTGTTCGTCAATTAACCTTCTGCTTCTGTGTAGCTTTGTTTGTCATTTCTTTTATTTCAACTGAATTCCCTTCTAATTCATATTGACATCTGTAAATAAGTTTTTACTACATCGATTACTGCCTGTTTCAAGTTAATGAACGCCAGAACAGTCGATTAGTCAAGCAATCGCAATAATACTGATATCTTCAAACAATGACGATTCAGAAAAGTTTCAGAGTTCCGAAAAATTGTTATTTCTGCAGCTTAGAACTTCGTGGAAACATGTTGAGAAAATAATTAATGAAAGGGCCAGAACTAATACTATACTTTTTCAATTGTGGAAGGTTTTAAAATTTTTGATGTGTTGTCATTCTTGTTTTATGAAGGATTATGGCCTGTCGGACTATGAGAAGTATGAAACGAAATATCAGGGTCTTTATTTATGTATATATTTTTTGGTTTTTCTATCATTTCTTGGTTGCCAGTAGATTTTCAGGGCAAAAGCAACAATGAAAGCCAATGGGCGTGGTTTGTTTTGGATAATCAATCTTCGTTGCAATGATTCCGAACTGCAAAACACTTAAGTGCTAAATGTGTTCTTTTGTTAGGAGCAGTTTGATGCAAGCAGCGCCTTCTTCGCTAGAGCTGCCAGTAAGGCTCCCCAAACCCAAACTGCACCTATCCAACCGCCCCCAGCAAAGGACCAAATCGAAACAAAACCTACCAAAAAAGATACCACGAAAAAGAATGTCAAAGAAAAGATTAAAGAGGTTAAAAAAACTGTGATTAATATGAAAGAACCGAAAGTGGAAGAACCAGTTGAAGATCTAGCTGAAAAGGAAAAAGATACGCCAAAAATTATACCAGATGGTTATAGTAAAGAGGGAAATACGAATTTAAATGATGTTATAATAAAAAGCAGAAAATTGGCAGTTACAGGAAATGATTTTGCAGCAAACGGGGAGTATTTGGAGGCGATAAAAATGTTTACAGAAGCAATATTATTAGATCCAACCGATTTCAGGTGTGTTCCCATCACGCTTGTCTCATATTCATCAATATCGACACCACAACGATATTCAGTTCAATGCATATTTTTCTAAAGATTGTTGCCCTATGTGACAAAGATGATTATTTTCTTACATATGGTTACTAATAGCGTATTAACGACTATATTTGATAATTGTTAAACCGTATGAGGTTTTGGGCCACTTGGATTGGTGTTTGTTATTATCTATACAGTTTTTCATCTCAACTGCAAAGAACAATAAATTAAAATTGATATAAATTTCAGCATTTGTATTATTACCTCAATGTTTATCTTTGTAAGTCAAAATTACCTTCAGACGATATCAAGACCTGCATTTTTGTTATATCAGTATCACAGAGGCGGGTATTATTATAAAAATACCAATAACGTAGCTTTATAATATTTCAAGCAGTTATGTTTTACCGCCTATTCATGGTTCGAATGTGTAAGCTTATATTAATTCGCAATCATGCTCTGGTCCTACATTTTTTAATTTTTTTCTTTAATTTTTAATAAGTAGTTACTGGCACCACTTTGAAAAAAATGGTGTACCTTTCGTTGTTCATCTAAAACTCTGAAATGATGCGAAGGCCCATGGTCGCCTGATAAGTCTCTTTTCTAATAAAGATTGAGCACATTTAAGCCATCCAGGATAAAGCAAGGTCAAAAACGAGCTGCTGTCTTTCAAAATGTTTTCAGGCTTCTTTTTGTTTTCAGGCTGCAAGATTTATCAATCATTGAATTATGGATCTGACGAAGATTAATTTGACCTTTGACATCTGACTTTTGACAGTTGATCTTTGACATTCTGGTCATTCATTTTTGATAAGCCGATTTATTTACTTTTTCCCACGAGTTTTTGTTTTCTTTTTGATAGGTTCTTTGGCAACAGGTCTTACTGTTACGATCGTACTGGAAAGTTTGAAAAGTAAGTAACAATTGATAGATTTAATATATAGATATTTAAAAATAAACAATGGACGTGATGATTGACTTTGCATTTTTGTTGAGGGATTGTGCTCAAAGACTTTTGGGCTTCTATTTATAAGTATTCATGCTGCAAAAGGCTAATGTATCATTATAATATCTGATAAATATTACGTGATGTAGTATTGTGTAAAGAAGATAGTTTTCATATTCTGGTTAGGTTTTGATATTTTAACTTTTTAAGTTGTTTCATTATTCTAAATGGTGGATTTCCATAATGCAAATTTCCAATGCAAAAACTGTGCGGTGAAGCTATGTTTAAACTTTCATACAATGTGTCGAATTGTTGGCGACTGTTTAAAACAAGCTTTTGTCGCTTGAAAATGATTGTACTCTGGTTGAGCTTCAACTTTTCCTGTAGCGAAATATTTCCCTATAAACTGAAATGCGATGAAAGTGTACATACCCTCTTTTCTAACCTGGTAATTGCTCTCTCAATTTGCCTCGTGGAAATTCGCCTTAGATGTCATGACAGCGCGATAATGTCATGACCTCATGGAAATCCTTTGGTTGCCTTTCGCTCAAGATGTTGGGTTTTTCGTGGTACCCTCGAAAGCTTTATAGATCTCGTTTAGCTGAAAGGACTAAATGAAATTATAGATGGCCGTTTTTGTGTAAAAATGAAGAAAAAAGTATTTAGCTTTCTTTCATATTGAACTCAGTCAAGATTCGAAAATTATTTTACAACAGTGCACTGAAAGATGCCGAATCAGCAATTGATCTTGCATCCCAGTGGCCAAAAGGATTTTTTAGAAAAGGAAGAGCTCTAATGGGGCTTGAGGTAAGCTTTTCCCTTACGTTGTAACCGTACGTCTTTTCTAAAGGTTGTTCCTTTACGTGGATCCATGTGGAGAGTTTAATGGGTTAGATTGTCGATAGAACGGCTATCGAAAGTTCGACTAGATCCACTGTCATACGAAAGATCGACTTTCGAAAGATCGAACGTGGAATAAATCGACTGTGGAAAGATCGCCTGTGGAAATATCGTCTTTCAAAAGATCGACTATGGAAAGGTCAGCTGTAGCTATCGACTGCGGAGAGGTAGTCTGCATGGAAGCAGGAATCAATTGATCAAAAAAACGCCCTGAAACCTTTTGTCTATGCTGGTAGACACATTCTCTATTACGTTGTCGTCCACAAAAAACATTTGCTTCATCCCAGCAAATCTCTATTATTTTGGATCTGAATGACAAAATCTAAACTTACTTACTCATATGATGTGATTCTGTACTTCAATGAAAGTTTTTGTCTACACTTATAGATTGAGAGTTATTAGGAAAGCCACCCCCCCCCCACGTCGTCTCTCTGCTAGAATCTGCTAGTAATTGGCTAGCCGCAGTTTATTCATTGTCACTGTTCTCCATTGTGATAATAATTCCCTCATTTCTTTTGAATATTCTAATTAGCATAGACTGAATTGTCTCTGACTCAGTTTCATCCCCGCGGTATGTTTCTCGCTTATTATATCGACAAGGTTCTTGGAAATCATTGGAATTTTTTAAGAAGAAAGGACACATTTGATATTATTTTGCTGGTTAAAATATCGCTGCTCCAAAAAATTTTAAATTTTTCAGTTATTTGTTTGCGAAAAAGATTGAAAGTACTACTGGGAAAAGGAGACTTGTGGAACACAGATTTCGTCATATTTTGGCAAAGTCAGTTTAAACTACGAAAAATATACAAAGAATTTAATATGCGCGCAGTTTTTTCCGGTCTTGTTTGCTGTCATTATACATTGTATTTTATGTTTACGTTTGGAACGATTTAACACACGATATCACTTTCATAGTGCTTCTTAATATTCTAAAAAATCAATATGAGAGCATGGGTTGTGTTAATCGTACTAAATGCGTAGGCCCTAGAATTATAGGAAACAAATTTTCGATCCTTTCTTTTTGTTTTTATATTACAATGATTAAGATATTTTTTGTTTGTATTTTCATACTTTCAAAAAACTACAAGACATACAAATATTTTCATGAAAATATTTTCAAAGCAGAAAACTACAAGACGATGCCTCAGGGGAGCATGGAAATTCATAATTGGGAAGGGTGTTAATAAATGAAAATGGGTATGCAAAATTTCTGAAAAATGGAGTTTACCCCCCCCCCCCTACAATTAAGAACTTGAAAATACTCCCTGAAAAGCGTTTTGGTAGTGTTAGTGATATGTCATGAGGCAAAACAGTAAATTTGTAAGGCTATATCAGGGTGTTTAGATGGCTTTTGAGATAATAGTCTTTTCCTTCGCAGAGGTATCAAGAGGCAGAGGCTGCGTTCCAGCATGTTTTAACCTTGGATGCCGAATGTCCTGATGCTCAGTTCGAGCTTGAAAAAGTCCGGGTTAGGATTCTAACTGTAAGTTGCTTGTAAATCTATTCATTTTTCTCAATTCACAGAACTCTAGTTCTTTTTCTCGTTGGATAGGCGAGGATTGAAGGGCAAATTGAATTGGTCTGCACACTGGAGTTCTCAACGATGGGACAGTTTTTATCTTAGCGTTTCTCAATGTGACTCGAAATTTAGAAACGGTACTGTAGTAGCAAAATACCTAACATTGGTAGCTTTGATTCAAAAGAGTTTGAGGAAGCTGCGATATGAAGGGAGTGAAAGAAAAAAGTAGAATAAAGAACATGTTAGGAAAAAAATTCCAGCAGGAAAACGTTGTTGAATACTTCCTACGAGGCTATCATGTTAAGCTGGAAATGGTTTTTCATTGCTACTAAGACCAAGATGTTTCTACCGATTTGGCAGTTTGTAGTTTTTTGATAGGATTTCAAAATATTCCTCTTGATGTATCCATTTTGAATGTGGTTTCGGAATAGCTTCGGTTTTTTCTTTTTCAGTTGGCTATTTTTGTTTGCTTTTAAAGTACAGTAATGCGGGGGAAAGTTGTTTTTGCTTTAGCAACGATGACTGCAAAAATGAGAAATAAACCTTTACAGAGAGCGTTGTGCTGTAGTCGGAGAAGCATTTGTTAAAACTCGCATGCCAAAATATCCAATGATTTGTGGAATCAAAGGAATGCAAAAGGCATTCGTGTTTTGGTTTTTCTATATAATTCCACTTCTTCTTCATCCTCCTCTCCTCTTCATCCTCCTTTTCTGCATCCTTCTTCTTCATTTTCTTTTTGATTTTCCTTTCCTTTTTCCTATCTTCTTCAGCATCTTCTTCATCCTCTCCTGCTCTTCTTCATCCTCCTCTTCTCTTCATCCTCCTCTCCTCTTCATCCTCCTTTTCTGTATCCTTCTTCATCTTCTTTTTGATTTTCCTTTCCTTTTTCCTCTTTTTTCTTTTCATTCAATTTTTTCTCTTCTCCTTGTCCTCATCTGCTTCTTTTTCCTTTTCTTTTTTCTCCTCCTTTTCTTCCTCTTCATGTTTTTCTCCTTTTTCATCTTCTTTTTATTTTTATTTTTCCTTTTCATTTTCCTTTTCTTTTATTTTCGTTTTCCTTTTTTTCTTTCTCTTTTTCCTCTCCTTTCATTTCTTTCTCTTCTCTCTCCTTCTTTCACTTCTTTCTCTTCTTTCTCTTCTTACTTTTTGCTCTTGCCTCACTAGGTGTTGTTGACAGTATGGGTCTTCAACATTCAATTAAACCTTTAATATCCATTTTCTCCATGAGGTTTCAACACGCAGGCATATCTTTACGATCACTGATCTTCACTCCCGGTCTACATCTGCATTTTTGGCTAGTTTTTGAGAAATAACATGAGCGTTGAATATTTTGTCTTTACCCACGATTCAGTATTTTCAGTTTATTCAGCTGGGGAAGTTGAGAAGATGTGGAGGGGGTATAGCTGCAGATACAATTATTCTGGAAAACTTAATACTGCTAAAAATGAAAGGTTGAAATCGAGGTTTGATCTTCTCTGATCCTAGGACGTAGCTGTACCACGTAAAAGTGATTAATCTAAGGCAGATGTTGTAAAGAGGCTTACTGGTATTAAAAAAAGAAAAAGGGGAATTGATAGTTCATTGGGCTCATGTTCATATGTCTTTAACCTCCCCGTATTTGTCATTGTTTAATTTATGATATCCAATAGGATATGGGGTTTCAACCTGCTCTGGCAAAAGACTCTGTTCGTATCCACGGCACGGTGCAAGCTGCATTAGAGGCACTCTTGGCAGGCAATGGTGAGTAAATTTAGCGGCAAAAGTCTTTTTTTCGGGGTTAGCTTATTCGTTATCTAACAGAAAGATTAATTTTTGAAACAGCGTGCTTTCAAGTCAGTGCTTTTTCAAAAGATTTCATTCTGAAAGCCATTCTGGATTGCATTATCGGCTAGGATTTTTTAGTTTTCAAGTAGTTAGGAGGCATAATTGAACATAAGGAATGCGTTTTATTCGAGATTTTTATTATAGATTTTATAATGGATTCAGCCTGAAGCTGAAAATTAAGAAAAAGAGCTATGACGTAACATTTAACGGCGCCAGAGCAAAGGCTGGCCATTAGTTGTTTTTAATTTCTTTCCACTGCAAAGATTACCTTGAAGGACTGTTATTTTTGTTTGCAAATTTTTTTGTTACTTATGCAGTGGATTTTTAAGAAAGGACAGTTGTGTAGGAAGTAAGTTGGAAAATAATTTATGGTATCCAGTTGTGGATCATTCCAAAGCATTTTTGACCAATATTTTCTCAACATCTTCTCTCTTTTAGTTGTACGTAGAAATGATGGTGATGGAAATGAATCAATCACAGAAGAAAATTACACAAAAACCAACGGAGTTTCCCCGCCAGAAATGAAGACAACTATACTGGTGACGTCAGCAACGCAATCAAAGTAAGTTTAACATTTTTCTTTATTTTGATTTGATATCGTTCTAAATCTAATATCTTCCACGTCATCTCTGCCTCAAAAGGAATTTCCATCGATTTTGTAGTTCTTTGATAGATTTAACATAAGATTAGGAATCGTTGCAACAGATCGAAAATTATATCCTAACTATTGATTCTTATTCATCGGTTAACATTGCCGTCTTCCAGACTAGGTTAGTCCTTACACGCGCCACAGACCTTTCGCTAGAAATTTTTCTACGGCAGGGCTTGTCTCAAGAGAGGCTGAATACTTTCCTTATGCTAGGCTGATAACAAAGAGCTTGATTTTTGACCTTATGACCGAGAGGGGTGGGGGGGGGGGGTGTTGGCTAGCATGCTCTGCTCTGACAGGGGCTCTAGACACTACAAGCGCTCCCATGAGGTCACCCCTTAATGATCCAAATCTGTAAATCGAATCTTTTCTTGGCATCGGCTGATGATACTCGATGGGCTTATGGATAATTTAACAGAACACAATTTCCTTATCAAATCAAGGTTTTTTTACGTCATACAAATAGCAATTGTGTATTGTTTTAAGCACAACTGACTTGAATTGGCAGATGTACAAGTCGACTAAATTAAATTTTTCAAAAGAGACTGATGGCAATTGCTTACATTTTGTTATAATTTTGCACTGCCTTTATCTAAGACAGAAGAGTATCTCACTTTCTCACTCATGATCCATGATATTTATAGTGTCTTTAAAAAAACTGCCTATAGAATGAGCCCTGCCTTCACTGAATTTCGTCTTATAGATCAATAAACATGTTTAACTTAGGAGATTTTATTTTAGAAAAGTCTCCGGGTCTTTGGGTATTTTTATTATAAGTGCCTTTATCACCCATCATATTTCCGTTTTAGAATAAAACAGAGATGCACGGCATTATGGGTAGGCAATGTGAATTCTCTTTCGGTGACGGAAAAGCAGTTGAACCAGTTGTTCTCCAAATATGGAAAATTGGTTAGCGTGCGATTATTACCGGAAAAGTACTGCGCGTTTATTAATTACCAGCTGCCAGAGGATGCTGGGAAGGCATTGGAAAAGTTACAGGTTTGTATTGCCATTAGCCTAGACACTGCATATGCACACGAATGTGTTTAATATGCAATGGGTTTAGAATTAAAGTGTCAAGCTAGCTCTTGAAATTGAGGAGACGCGTGTTAAGGTGTGATTTCGCGTTCTTTGCTCTGATTAAGACGTTTTAGAAAGTTGCAAGGAATTCAAGTAACATTGTGCAATGAAACTTCTCCTGCCAAGCGTGAACTACGAGCTTTGAATAGATAAGACTTGTCCTTTGAGGCCTCCACGATATCATCATAAATCACCGCCACGTCTGTAAGATTGCGATTTTTGGGTCTCCCTACTACTGAGAGCACTCAATGTCATGAGGTTCAGGGAGGTCAATGCAGAAAAGTTTGTTGGCAACGCAAAGGATCGAATTGAAATTCACACAAAGATATCAATCTTCTCAAAGACAAAACTTGATGGGCTGTGTACTCTAAGCAAGTATAGTTATTTTTTGGATTGTAATTTCCGCAAAAATGCAAATGCGATCTAAAATTCAAAAAGCGATAAGCAATGTAATTTGAGCCTGTTGTATGTCGATGAATGATGACCAAAAATTAATGTAATTAAGTAATTAAGTAATGACTTTTTACATTTGAAAGTTAAATGTGTTTGCGACGTTTCAAGCATAACTTTTCTTCTTCATACTACTAAGAAATATTTCATCGAGTAATTCTTGTTTTTACTTATCTAGATATTGGCATTTGTTGAAATTCAGACCATAAAATGTGTGACTTACCGGATGTATGTTACAGAAATGCTTCCCCCAGTCTTTTCTTAGTTTTCCAATTTGGCTACTCAATCTACTTGATACAATGTTCAGGGGGTCACTTATTCTAAATGCAGACCAGTTTTCAGACCAACTCATTCAAGCTATGTAGCTTTTTCATCTAATTAACTTAGCAAGCTTGTCATTATCAGCGCATTGACTTTTAATTGCAGGGATTTGAATTAGGCGGACAGAACCTGCTGATTCGGTACCCAAATAATCCTCCACCAGGATCAAATGTCGCTGTGAATACCGTTAAATCAAATAATACAACCCCAGCAGCTAAAAAGCCGTGAGTGATTATTCATTCCCCTTGTTATTTAATCATAATGACGATCATGCTGATCATAACATCATAACTTTATAACCGCTATCGACATTAATCGCCAATTATCAGAAATCAGTAATCGGTATACACCAATCATTATCAACATTAAACATCTTGATCAATCATCAGTTATCAGAAATCAGTATACACCAATCATTAATCATCGTCATTTTCAACATTAAACATCTTGATTAATCGCCAATTATCAGAAATCAGTAATCAGTATACACCAATCATTATCAACATTAAACATCTTGATCAATCATCAGATATCAGTAATCAGTATACACCAATCATTAAAAACATCATCTTCATCGTCTTGATCATTATTCTGCATCACCATTCTTCATCCACGTTTTTCATATCATTGTTGACATCAGCATACCTTTCATAATCACTTTCAAGACCAGTCACCATCGCCTTTAATCATAGCCAAATTTATCAGGCTGCGTTAAAAGTGAGTTAACCATTTGCATTGTCGACATAATCTTTTTTTTCCAAATATCTCCATGAAACAATAACAATAGTACTGTCTTTTTCAGTGTTGAGAAAAATACAGCGTCAAAAATTACTGGTCCGGTGAATGGCAACGAATGCTATTTCTGGAGAACAACCGGGTGTGTGTTTGATGTACACTGCCGATACAGACATATATCTGAAAACAAGGGCGTGGACTTGTCAAAGGTACAGGCAAAATATGGTACCCATCTTTAAACTCGCTGAATAGATTTTACAAAAGGAATGATAGCAGACTTTAATAAGACAAATTAGTACAACCGTTGGTTATCATCTGCGGAATAAATAGAGTATTAATGTTTCTACCTGTTTGGTTTTTCTTCTTGCAACTCTTCTGGGCTTCTAACTAAAAAAGCAGTCTTTACTTCGCAACTGATAAAACGCTTTTTAGCAGTGCATTCGCTGGTTTGACAAAGCGCCTCATAATGTAGCTAGCTCTTCCATCTGCTCCATCTCCCGTTTATGCTTTTCACAAACTTTGATTTGCTTCCAGTTGAAGTTTTCGCTGCGATATTCACCGCCTTGAAATCAATCTTGTTATCGTTTGGAGAGGAAATGCCACTGAAACAAAAACAGCGTTTCCGCCCAAGTTTAGTGCTGGTTCGGTTATAGTATATATTAATTGTCTGCGAGAAGTCTCTTTTTATTTCACAGCAAACATTGTTTTAATTTTTTTTTGTTTTAAAATTTGGTTCACGACTTTGTCTTCTGAATTTTAATGAGTCTAAGCGTGTTCTTCTTGATTTGTTTTCATATAATTATTTTCATTCAATAGAATCAATTTATATTCATTTTGATTTAACCTTTTGCGTTCATTCCACCATTCGTGACTCGTTTTTCTCTTCTGTTTTCTTTACTGCTTTCACCGTGCTCAAATGCAGCTCTATCTGCCACAGGTGATAACTTGGTGGGAGCTTCTGAGACCTGCCCAGGTGCTTTGCCACATGCTGTTTAGAACATTTTGAGATTAAGTCGGATTTTGTGCTAGAACAGCAGGGAAACGTATCAAAGTCAATTAGATATTGCCCAATCAATAACTGTGTGAGTGCAATGATGTTACTGATTGGCTAATTGTTTTTTGACAGATGGCTACAGGCACTTTTGTATCAGTCGATGGCGTTATAGCTGTGGTTCAACGACTGGAACTTTCCATTGAACGTGTTCTGATATCCAATAAATGTAGGCAGTGGCAAAAAAGCTTTTCTCGATTATTAATTTACTTAAAGATAGAGATGTGAGGATTTTGGCAATGCGAAATCAGTTTTGAGATGGTTTTTGATAACAAAGAACAGCGCTCAATAGGCTGCGGGCACCATTGCCAAAAAGTAGCTTAGATGTTCATCGAAGCAAAGCTTTGCTTTCAACGTAACTGAAAAATAGTCCAATTTTATTTACACGTATTTATGTATTTCCTTAGGTTAATGTCTGTGGTGATCAGATTTAGTTCACCATCTCTTTATCTCTCAAAAAGTACGATTTCACTCGTAAGATTTTTGTCCCTATTTCTCCGAGGTTTACCCAGATTTTAATTCATGTTTGTTTAAGATTCATTCAGGTAAGGATAGCGTAACATAGAATGTCTTCTTTACATCTACAGTCACTTCCAAAGGTTTTGGAATAATGACGTCATTTTTCAAGGATGAATCCAGAAATCACCTCTCCACTTTAGAACTCACTTGGTTGTAAAGTAACATAGCAAATGAGGAGTCACATTTAGTCGTGGTGCAGGTTTGATATTAGCCTAGATAATCAACATTGCTTTGTAGAAGGGGACGGAAGTAGTAGTGGTCTTGAAAAGAATAAAAAATTTGAAAAAGTACAATTTGCTGATTGTTCCACAAAGTTTTTACCGGCATTGATCTTTCAACGACTTGGTCAGGTATGCCTGCTTTCTGTTTCCACATCTTTCTTTCTGTTCTCTTTTGTCGTGCTCTCCTTGGGTCATACTTTAACGAAAAGTGTAGCAACGAAGCTGTTCAAAATGCCCCAATGTTCAAAAGTAAGTACACGTTTGGAGAGATTTTCTCCGTATCAGTTTCTGTGCTTGGCTTTTTTGGAAACTGATCGCTTTGCTGCCATGTTTGTAGGGGTTGGGGGTCGCCGGTTACGCCGATCATTAACGTCCATTTATGGTGTCATCAAAGTAAAGAATTGCAAGTAATACAACTTTTTCTATCCATAACTTCCAGTCGGTTTTCAAAAGTTGCTCATTTAAAAATGTTCAGATCGCCGGTCACGACAAAAAACTGGTCACGAAGGTCGCGTCCGAAATATAAAACTTAACACTTATTTTCTCATTTACGATAAAGGTCGTTTGCGCCCAAATTTTGAGTTGATTGGATCAATGAAAATAAAAAGTCTCTGTCATACCATGAAAATTTTATGAGGAGAGAATGCAATACTAGAAAGAGAATGCGTGAAAACGCTGTTTAATTTTCTCAAGAGACAATGTATAGGTCAAGGAACCATTTTCTTTCGTGACAACTTACACGTGCGTATATTTCTATTCGCGCAGTTGTGAAATTAACGAATGACTACACGCTTTCGTCCCTTGCAGCGCAATTGATTGAATGCCCAAGAGATATTAAAGGGTGATCTATAAGATTCCTGCCTGCATGCTGAAGTCTCATTTGACGTATCGCAACTGTAAAGGTAGCAAGTCGTAGGCGTCCTCGATTGAGGTTAAATAGAAACTAGAGATTTTTAACTAGACTAGATTGATATCATCCGCTGGTGATAGGTGAATGTGCTCAACATTGAAATCTTCTTTGCTGAATTTAGAGGTTCAGTATCATTCGTGGAACTTGTGGTATCCACAGCAAGTTTTAAAAAGGTATGAACTTTGATTGTTTCGAAAACTTCCACTGATTTTAAGTCTTTACTTTTGCATAAACTGTCCCTTTTTCGCACATTTTTCTTCGTTTTCGTTTTTTTCGTTTTCACACTGCCTCGTATTTGTAAAAACTGTTTTTCAGTGATTAATATCAGCTGTTAGATGTATTTAATTTGAAGGAGCTATTCAGTTAACAATTTTGATGCTTTAGCTACTGGGAATTTCTTGATTGCCCCTGTTTGGAAATATCAAGTTTTAATGTCTGTGAAACCATGCGATGTTTAGGACGCGCGAGCATATTCGGTTTACATGGATACTGTTAGATGCAAGAATTTGAAGAGAATGCGTTGGAGCCTCTGCGCCAAGACAAGGCTAATTCGCATACGGTATCTATGTAATCTAGGAGAATAGTAGATTCATGTAGAGGATCTCGGTGAAGGAAGATTCCAGGGGTAACTAATTGTCTGAGAGGGAGTAAATTGCAAACTTTTATTTAAGGTGTAGATAGAATAAACATTGTGCCCGAAGAAAAAGGGTGATGAGGTCAGTGCGATGAAAGTATGGTTGGGTGGCTAGAAAGAGGATGGCTCACCAGATAGAGGAGCGGTCGACACAGAGATAGGATTGTGGACATGGAAAGAGGTGTGCTGTTCAATGAGTGGTGACATTGTTGAGAGGGGGCTAGTGGACACTCTTGAACACAATCGTTCGATTGTTTTTGCTGGAAATTTTAGCAAAAAATTTGCTAAAGCGCAAAACCGTATTTCCTAAGCAACTATCGTGAACAATGCACTCAGTAGTCAGCCAAACTTGTAATCGGTCTGCCCTTCAGACCATTGCACTTGTTCCCACGGGAACAGTGCTTATCTTGCCCCTTTTCGTATCACTTCGATAGCGCGTGCAACATTTGACTTACTTTACCTTCCATAATATTATTTATCGGACATTCTTGAACTTTCGTAGTGTGTTTTGCTTAATTGTATGTATTCGTTCGTCATTATTCTACTGCATATACTCTAGATCTAGAACTATCTTGAAAATTTGTTGCATGTAGCTAGGCCATAAACATCATTATATTTAGGGACGCCGTTTCCACCATGGAGCAAAGGGGGTAGGCCTGAGTAAAAGGGCATTTGAAAAATAAATTCCAGCTGCTAACAATCCTTTCGTACCTGTCATTTTGTTTTGACCTTCTATAGGTGACTTGAAAATCGGCTAGCTTTTGGCATAAGAAGTTTCTTCACAATTTTTGAGAAATTTCGTCATGAATAGGGCAGTATAGTCAGAATTTCATATTAATCTTAACAAACGGCCGGCCGATGTCAAGGGCACTGCTATGAAAAGGGCACTTTGGCCCCCTTGTCCCTCTTATCAACAGGCAACAGGGGCGGTTGGCTTACATTTCCCCCTCTCCGGCGTCCCTAAACGGAACGTTGTGGAAAGTAAAGCAACTGTTTCCGTGTGAACGATACTTTGCTTAGCAAGGTGGATGGGTTAAATGATGCAACGACTAGATCTCTTAATGTTCAATATTCGTTGGATATATGTGCCTCAAAACTCTCTAGACGCATGCAGCTTTCTTCTAATTTGTCGGCAGTTATGCAAACTGCAGACACCGCGGAGAGTTGCAAAAAGTGGGGGGTCTAAAAAAGTGTGTGGGCTATAACCAAATATAAAGCCCCCCAGCCCCACTGCTCTGCGGTACCTGAAATGTAAACGTCGGTATCAGTGGTGTGGTAGCCGGGGGGCCAGGGGGCACGTGCCCCTCCAGCGACCAGGAATCAGCCGGCGGCGAAGGCGATCCAACTCTTCAAAGGGGCACCAAAATCACGCGGAAAACAAAGAGGAACGAAGAAGGCCACCTGACATAGCCGAGCATTGGAGTGGCGAATATTTTGATATGAAGATTTCTTTCTCTCTTCTCTTTCTTTCTTCCTCCGCAATCCCGTGCCAATATGCCTTCTTTGCAAACCGTTCAAAACCCTTGGCGCTTTGGAACCCGGAACCCAGGGTAGGGATGGCATCCCAGCATCCCTTGGCAGTCCACTTTAACTTACCGAACATCCAAACGCAACCCACTGACTTGCTTGACCTAATGAGGTTGAAAATGAGACATAAATACTATGGGAATTTTTCAAGATCAGATTTTAAAAAATAATGCTTCAACTTTAAAAAGAAACTTTGTCTTGTATGTTCAATGGAATTGGAAATTATCTTAAATTCTTACAACTCACTTGGGCCTAAAGCAACGTATGTTGTAGATATTTCGAGTGCGATTTTTGGTCATCCCTGGAAAGTTATACTTTCAAATATTTTTTCTTGTCCCCAAACATGTAGCGGTTTTCAGTAAACACTTAAAATTCTTGGTTTTTTCGTAATGGTAAAGAAGAATTCATGAACATTTCCATGAATCTTCCTGGTTTCTGGATCTATTTTGTAAATATTTTAGATGAGTTCATAGAGTTTCAAGAA